AAATACTAATTAACTAATTCTATATTTATATTACCTACTAAGATAGAGTAGTAGTAAAATATAAAAAACCTTAAGAAGCTCACCTAAAAGTATATAATTATAAGATATTCATAATAATTAAACTATAAATAATTATAATAGTAAAGTATAAAAAGTAGTTTAACTTAAGAATATTTATAAAATATATAGTAAGATATAAATCTACTAATATCTATTAAATATAGAACTTAAGGAAGGAAAGGAAGATTATCTATATAAGGAATATTATATTTAATAAGGAAGAATTCTTCTTAGAAGATAGAGATATATTTATTTAAGTAATAAAGAATAATTTCCTGATAATTAAAATTAATAAATTTAAATAAATAATTAAGGATATTAAAGTTAAAATCTATATTCTAATCTAGGGAGTATTAAATACAGATTACCCTATAATAGAGGATATTCTAGAAGGTAATTTCAACTTACTTAATTATCTAGTTTAAATATCAAGATTAGTACTTGAAGCCATGGATAAGAATAAGGATACTAATATAAACAAGTAAATAGCCTATCTAATATTACTAGGCAGCAGCCTAGAATAGTTAGTAGTAATGTTGGCAGGTACTTACCAATATAAGATAGCTAAAACTAAAGAAGAAACTAAGCTAAATAAAAGCTACTAAATTATATAGAAATCAGTATTCATGGCAGGGAGGTTAATACAACCAACCTAATAAGATGGAATACTAGCCTCCAAGGCAGAAATATAAAGATAGAATAGGTAACTAGAGAGTCTAATTAGGATCTATCTAGATTAGTTACTAACCTTTCTAAAGATATACTGCCAAGTTAAAAACTACCTACTATCTAAAGAATTTATAAAGGTAGAGCAGGATTACCTAGCTAGTTATAAAATAATAAAAATATAGATAGAAGTAGATAGACCTAAGTATATAAAAGTACTAGAATATAAATAAGTATATATATATAAAAGTAATTAAGGTAGTAACCTAACTAAATATAAAGTATACCTAGTAGTAAGAGAAGATTAATAAAAGGATTTAATAAAGGACCTATATACTATAACTCTAGTAGTAAGATCCCTCTAAACCTTCCTAGTAATAGCAGCCTAATTTAATCTAGAATTAAAGTAATATAATATTATAAATATATTTATTAATATAGATAATAATAAGGAAATATATATAGAAATACCTTTAGAATATTAAAAACTAGGTAAAGTATTAAAGTTAAAGAAAGTACTATATAGACTTAAATAATCCCCTTACTTATAGTAGATAACTCTCTAAAAGGTTCTAAAGTTACTAGGATATAAACCTATCTTATATAAACTATATTATATTACTAGAGGCAGGATCCTAATATTCTTTTATATAAATAATATTATATTTGCCTATTACTAAAAATTATTAGTATAAATATAGGCCACCATATAAGAGCTTTAGGACTAGTTTAAGATAATAAGAGGAAATAACTTACAATAGTTCCTAGGAATAGAGATTATCCAGGATAAAGAGAATAGGCTTATCTAGCTAGATTAGTTAGTATATATTAATAAGATTACTAACCTGGTAGATAAAAAGGAAGGTCTAGATACTACTCCTATATTAGTAAAAATAGTGCCCTAGAAAGATTAAGATAGAGTATCTTACCTATATACCTAATAATATTAATAGAAGGTAGGATCTATAATATATATAATAGTTATAACTTAACCAGATATTATATTTATAATATCCTAGTTATCCTAGTACTTTATAAACTCTAGTAAAGAATACTATATTAAAGTAGATTAATACCTATAATATCTAAAAAGAATAAATAAACTTATCCTATAACTTAAAGATTTAAATAACTACCTGTTATATAGTAATACCTTATTTATAGATAATTAGGACTAGAGAAACTCGCAAGGATATATTATAAAGTTATTTAGAAGTATAATAAGGTAGAAAGCTAGTAAGTAGGTAACTATAATAACCTCTATAATTAAAGTAGAATTATTAGCATTATTATATATAGTAAAGGAAGGAATCTTTACTAAGTATCTACTAGATAAAATCTAGGTAGAGTTAGAGAATCTAATTATTAATATTTAATATAATAATATGTAAACTATCTAACTAGTAAATAAGGAAATTAACTACCTAAATATAAGGCTATGCTATATAAATATCTACAACTACTAGATTAAGTAGGAAGCCTAGAAGGGAAGGATAAAAGTATTATATTATCCTATTACTAAGATAATTATAGATAGGTTAACCAAGGTGCTACCCTACTAAAGCTTTAAGGTATTTATAAAAGATTTGGGGATGGTAGAGAGACTAAAGTTAATAGATAACCTACTACTAGATATAGTTTAAACCTATCTAGGATAAGAATAGTATCTTAAATTGTATAATTACAGGTTTAAACTAGATAAAATTCTTTAAACCTGAGGGGGTATATTAAATTAAAGGGGTATCTTATAATATACTTAGTAAGTAAAGAGGGGGTTATTACCCTATATTAAGGCCTTAGGCAAGCACACAACCCCCCAACAGACACACACATCAATATATCTGATCACCTGCTTCCATTGAGCTACCCCTAGGATCATCATATATCCGACAGTGGTTGCATGTCACGTGGTCGCCGTGACATCTTGCCAGGTGGTATTTTACTACTTGAATTGGGCATGACTGGTCACAACTAGTACTACTAGATAGGTGATTTTGAATCCTGCAGCTTTATAGAATATATTACTGACTTACTACTAGTATTATCACATATGGTAATGAAATTTGGTTATTACTGGTCCCAACTAGTCAAATTTGGTAGCCACCTGGCGACCTGGCGACCTGGCGACCTGGCGACCTGGCGAGCTGTACATTCGAACAAACCACCTAAGTCTTGTACTTTTCTGTCAACCAAGTGAAAGATTATTTTACTGTTATCTGTCCATTTTTGTACGACAAGGCCATTCCACCTTTCTCGAGCACCAGGAAGGTATGTTGCCCATTGCGAACCAAAATATTTGTCTCCTCAGCCATTCTCAATTTATGATTTGCTTAACCAGTCACATCCCTTTCCATATCTGGGTTCTACTATTCATACAAAGGTCTCATTATCTTTTTCACACATTAGACTGTGTGCGGTCTAACAACGCGCTCTTTTTTTCTGCTGACAGAATATCCTATCACATGCATGGTCAAGTTTTCTGCCGGCATAATCTTGTATGTGAGATTTTGGGTTCCCTGCAGACCTAAAAGAGCACAGAGTACGGCAAGCTAATACTGCCATTCTGCAACAATAAATTTTTCGATTTTTTTGCGGGCAGAATTCCTAATTAGGACTAGTCTTGAACTATATAATATTATTATATAATATTATATTACTATATTAAGGTAATCTTACTATATTAAGGTAATCTTACTATATTAAGGTAATCTTACTACTCTACCTCTATTTAGGGGTATCACGTGTTATTATATAACCCTGTATTATAATTAATCTACTCTAGTAGAGATCCTTAGTTGCATTATATTAGTAGTATAATATATTTTATCTAGCATGGATAAACTAATTACCCGTAAGTTATATAGGAGGTAAGAATTTTAATTTTAAAATCTAAATATTCTAGGTTCGACCCCTATCTATATTAAAATTACTTGGGATATCTTAAAAGGTTGATTAGGAGGTCGATTCAGAGGTTGATTAGGAGGTCAATTAGGAGGTCGATTAGAAGGTTAACTAGAAGGTCAAGTCAACTAGAAGGTCGATTAGGAGGTCGATTAGGAGGTCGACTAGGAGGTCGATTAGGAGGTCGATTCAGAGGTTGATTAGGAGGTCAATTAGGAGGTCGATTCGGAGGTCAATTAGAAGGTCAACTAGGAGGTTGATTAGGAGGTAGGTTGAAAGTACGGAGTATGACTAGAGAACTCACTAGGTCATAATTAATTATATAATATAATATAGTAATATATCTTATATAATATTAAATATATGAATCTAGCAGGCAGTTGTTGTAGCGGTCAAAGGTCTTAGTGAGAATTTTGATTGTTGCGGAGTGGCGGTATTAGCTTGCCGTACACAGAGTGACTTTCTGCCGGTATGTATACATAATCTATAACGTAAAAGTTCTAGTTTCTGCCAGAAAAATCTAGGATGCTAGACAGTTTATGAAAATTGCCTCCAACTCGTATAATCTAAAGCCCATTTTCATAATTGTTACCCTTGAGCTTGTCCTTTTCAATATTTAGGTCACGAGACTAGAGATTATAAAGATAATAGCAATGTATCCCGTCCTTGTATAATGGAGTGGAAGGACCTTGAAGCTTTTGTAGTAAGTTTACATGATAACAATTACTGCTGGCGGCGAGCAAAGTTCTAGATTCTTTAATTAATATCAATATAAAGGTTTATTAAATGTATTCTCTATATATTCTAATGATATCCTTGCGGCTGTTTCAATTTTCTTGATCAAGTTGACTGCTGTGATGATGGTTGTATAAGAGACCAGCGTTTTCGAAGTGAACTCGCCAATCGGTTAGGGAAATGCTTCTGGAAGGCTGGGGTTACTGTGTCGAAAGCAGCTAACTCTCTTATGAGTAAATTGAGTAGCTTATCTTCTTTCCCACTATAGGGTAAAGCTTTGCGCCTCATGCTATGTGAATTTGTAGGCTTCTGACAGGATTTGGTCGCTTGCTCGCGAGCTTTTGCTCTTGTCTCGCAGCTCGTCGCTCCGTTCATAGGCTCTCATTCAACAGGCTGCGGAACACTGGTCATCCCACATGCATTTAATGCAGTACCCGGCATGGATGGTAGTATTGCGATACACCATCATCTCGTAGTGCTGACTAGTCATCAAGGGAAGGTGATTTGCACAGTACTCTTCAAACTCACTACTTTTCCCGTCATGGAAGGTAAAGCATTCCCAACAATACTTAACCTATCAAAGCAGGATTCTCGTGCTACAGGCATATTCTTGTCGTAGGCAACCATAAATATGCGAATTACGCCCAGATCTCGACTTGCTATAGAGCGTCAGTAGTCACTTGGAGAAAATAGCATGGTAACTCACAACTCTAACAAGACACCGCAACTAGCTACTGGACAGCAGCCCTGGATAGGCTCTTCTCTCGGACGGTAGACCACAGTAAAGTCGCGAAGACATTGGGTGTAGAGATCTCTCACCACACTGGCTTTTTCATCAAATGAAAGAGGCGCATTGGATGAAATGACCGCCACTAAACAGCCCAATTCAGGCATGAGCTTGCACAGCACCTGTTTCTCTACAGCCTGTTATTTCTGGTCAGCCCGCTCGCGACCTCTAGTCAAGATTTTCCAATCACGTCGACTTTAAACCCATTCACTCTAATATTGTTGCAGTCTTCTAGAGTAAATCTCTCTTCGCAACACCATATGTTCTTTATATATACGTTTAGACTCCTCATCATCTAATACGTCACAAAGCTCCTTCATTCTGGCTTGCAGGCGTGGATCTGCCTCAATACTCTGCTCCTCTTCGAATGGTAGTCGACGTGGAAGACCAGCCTCGTGAAACTGACCGAAACCCTGAAAATATTCCACATGACCGTGTTCAACGGGCTTCCGTCTAACAGTGTTGGTAGCATCCACGCTGGAACAGTCGGCGAGATAATTATTTCCAAACACAGCCGTAGATTTCTGTGTCAAGATCTGAGCAGTGTGTGTCAGGGAGTACTTTTCTGCCCGAGTGTAAGTAAAACATAGACTTGAATCGGGGAAGTAAGATGGACGACCAACCTTCGACCGCTGCACCTAAGGCACGGCGCATTGCATGAACTGTAGCAGTAACATAGTAACACGCAGCAGCCATAATCCTTCTAAAATCGGCCTGATAGCTCTCCTTGGTCAATGGGTCTTCACTGACCCCTTCAGCTGTTGCGGGTCGAATGATGCATCGATTTCTAGCCTCATCATTCCATCGGAGGACTAACTCGTTCTGTCCCTCTGGAAATTCTCCGCTCGAAAAATTCTTCTGGTGTGGAAAAGCCGAAGAGAGCTTTGTCTGCAAGGGCCAGGGCCACGAGATATAAAGCTCCCGAGTATATGGGTTCATCGCACTCCCAGAGCGCGGTACCGAACCTTCCATTATTAGACATAAATCAGAAGCATGGAAAATAACTGCTTACATCGTATTCTCGGGGTCTTTATTGTTCTTGACGAACTGTTGATCGACTCGCCATCCGACTCGCCAAGGAACATCACGAGCACGAAACAACACAAGCTGAATATTCTTCTTCATGTCAGAAAAGTCAATGTCAAATATATAGGACTGCCAAAGTCTCACCTTGTAACGGAGCCCCTTGCCATCTCTTTCTGCTAAAGGAGGCGTGAAGGAAGACACTCGCGCACCAGTGTAAAGAAATTGAAGGGTGGCAAAATGAAATTGAATGCGATGTCACCCGGAAATGAAGAAGGGGTCATCTGCAGTCCAGAGAGTAGTCATGACACGCTCAAAGTCTTCTAGTTTGAAATTATACTTTGGCTTTCTGATAGTTGAAAGGAGACCTTCTTCGACCAGGTTATGTTCAATCCACTATGCTGTTAATAGAAGCATCGCATAAAGTAGCAGGTAGTGCTTATGTAGTAGAGGTCCTTTCGGTCCTGATTAGAGATCTCGTTTCCGGTTTCAAAGAAAAAGCCTGGGACAAACTCTTGCGCACGGATCAAAATCGTATGCATAGTAGGTCGTTCATCAGGAGTAATTTTGCCCTTTGTGGAGGCGACAAGCCAACGGATGAAGGCTTTAAGGTCTTGCAAGGAGGGAACTGGGTGGCCTTCTCCAATCTTGTATCCCTCAGGCATGTTTCTTTCGTCGATGAGGAACCTAGTATGCAGTGTCAATGTAGGCTCCATGTTTAGTACTTTGCACAGACTCACTCCTTATATTTGCGTACTCTCTGCTTGTAAATCTCTTTTGTCTTTGCCGATGCTCTACCTCTGGTCCTTTCTGCATCTTTCTGGATATGAGCACTGGCATCGTAACCTCGTTGTCGACGAAGCTCACGGCGGGCTTCCCTTCTCCTTTCGGCCTGAGATGCTTTCCATGCAGCAGAGCGTCCAGCCATTGCGTGTACTATTGATTCAAAGAGATTGAGTTTGGAAGAATGAGAAGTAGGAGACAAAGAAGAATTCGCATGTAGAGGGATGATAGAGGAACTAAAAGCACACTGGCGAGAAGTTCGTATTTATGTTGTTGAGTGAGGTGGAGTAAACGCATATTAGGCTATTACTGACCACTCTTTTCCATTTCCACGGAGTATGAGCTAAGGAAATATGATTTTCCATGTTGAAATTATGGTCAAATAGAATTATTCGGTCCTCGTCTATGTGATGCCTTCACAAAAGTGATGTGTTGTTATCTCATACTCTCGGGTTTTAGTTCGTACGCAGTTTAGAGGCCTGGTGCTAGTCACGTGGAGGCCAATCTTGGTCGAAGCAGGAGCTGCTCCCGAAATCCGGGAGCGGTCGGAAAACTTGGTGCGTGCTCAGTGAGAGATCAGTGAGTGCGCAGGAGCACAGAAGGAGCAGTCAGGTGCTGCCCTCACAAAAGCGGCGGCACCCGTATAAGGCAAGCGGACGGGACTCGCAGCAAAACATTCCAGTAATGTGTTCAACGGGGAATTCCCGAAATCCCGGACGCCTCAGGCAGCCAATGCATATCCGATCAGCCCTATCCGAAATCGCCTCCAGAAGTGTACAGCAACTACCTAGGAAACTAGTTAGTTCAAGCTGTATGCTTACTCAATGCTTAGAATACCTTCTATACTCCAAAATTGGTCGTGATTTATATTATAACGCGCTCTACTCTCCTTGTTGACTCTTCAATGTCAGGTATGGGTTGGATAAACTCCTTACAAACATGTGTAGAATACCCATGCATACCCGTCAACCATCGGATACTAACCAACCCATCGGATAACTAGTTGTATCCCATCGGCCCGAAGACACACTACTCTGGACTGTATGTACTGGAATCCAATCTAGATATATTCCCAGTGACATCTCCCACTCGACTGTCTTTATTTCGGTTCTTGATTCAATCCCACTCCCTACAAGAAACAACCTCAAGAAACCAACCCCAAGAAAAGAAAGAAAGAAAGAAAGAAAGAAAGAAAGAAAGAAAGAAAATGTCCTACCAAATCACGACCGACTCGACCCTCTCCCCACCTAACGCCCCCGCCCTGATCGCATTCATGGAATCCTTCTACAGAACCAGCGACACCGAAGCGCTGCACGATCAATACGTGGCTAGTTTCACGAATGACGCGACGCTGATCATGGGCCCGAAAACCGCAAGGGGGGAAGATGGTACTTTTTCTTCTTCTTCGAACCCTTTCTCTCCTTAATAAACAATCTAGAAATCCGCTCCCTCCGCCACGGCCTCTGGACCCACGTCGCAAATCGCAAACACTTCCCAACGCGGATCTTCTTCGGCGCCGCGAACGAGCTCATGCTCTACGGGACCGTCCGGTATATGCTGAGGGCTGCGCCGGAAACCGAGATCGAGGTTCCGTGGGCCGGCAGGGTTGTGTTTGATGAGCAGCGGGAGTTGAAGATGAAGTTTTATCAGGTTTATTTGGTTCGTTTTCTTTCTCTCTCTCTCTCTTGCGGGTTGATTGCGGGTTCTGTACTGATTGATTGATTGATTGATTGCGTGTAGGATCCTTCGGTTCAGTCGGGGAAGAAATGAAACATAATTCATTACTCTGGAAATAAAGCCAACAGAGGTAGGTGTCTGGCTGAGCTGAGCTGGGCTAGTGAGATAGGTACTTACTTACGGTTCGAGTGTACATACATTACAAAAGAACTAGCATATACGCATGCGTTGGCGGACTGGCTGGACTCTGGACGCCTCAATTGAATAGATGACACATAAAAGTAGAACTCAGTTCATTCCTCTCTTCTTCTTCTTCTTCTTCAGGTTCGTAGCATCAATCGCTCCCCGGTCCATATCCATATCCATATCCATATCCTGGCCGTTTGCCCATATCTCATCTGAAATATTTCAATCTCATTCGCAATGTATTGTAGGGAGGAGATAGAGAGAGAGGTAGGAGAAGATTGAAGTTGTCAAACGTCAGGACTTTTTCATTATTTTAAAACAAATCCGAGACTAAAATTTACTCGTCATCCTCCTCCTCCTCCTCGTCAACGGTGGTCTTGGCAATGCGGTCAAGATCCCGCTGGCCGCTCTGGGTAATGCGACGGCCGCCCTTGTCCTCATCTTGCTCGAGGACACCAATCTTCTCGAGGGACTGCATGACCTTACGATCGACGGAGCCGGAGGCGTTGACGTGGTGGCAGGGCTTGGAGCCGCGGTTCTTGGTAGAGCCGTGGACCTTGCGGAGACGACCAACACCAACGGTCTTGCGCATGTAGATGTGACGGGCAACGGCAGCAGCGCGGACGTAGTACCTGCAGTGGCATTCAGTTAGATTATGGCGATTTTCACACAAAAAGTGGCATTCTTCAAAGTTCGAGAGAGGGTTGGTCGTACCAGTCGGCATCCTGGGGAGGGAGTTCGTTGGAGGCAGAGGTCTTCACGGTATCAACCCAGCCTGTAATTGTATTTATTATTAGCAATCATTCCATCTAGTCAAGGGCTTTTTTTTTTTTTTTTTTTCAGGAGTAGCGACGAACCGGGAATAGGGAGCTTGCCCTGACGCTTCAGGAAAGCAGCGTAGGAAGTGATGAACTTCTGCGCCTGTAATTCAAAAAAAAAAAATAAATGGTCAGCACATTTCCCTTTTCTCAACCCGAGTAAAGCCCTGATTTCTCGGGGGATCGTGGATTCCATTGTGCAGTCTGTCCGTCTCTGTATTTCTAGTGCCGTAGTATCGTGTCGAATATATATATATATCCTCGTGGTTGTCGTTCAAATCCATTCATTCAATTCGACCCCCCTCTCTTTCTAGATTTTCAACCCCCGGCCAGGTATTATCGTACGGAAATCCTCGTCTCGAGTATAGATATCCCACTATCCCATCGCAATCGTCTGTCGAATCTGGTGTGCACAGCATCGATACCTTCCTCCCCCCTCCCCCCGCGGCCCCTTTCTCCTGCTTCTCCGAACCAATCGATCCCACCAGGCAAACCGGGGCAAAAACAAAAAAAACAGTAAGGTGAAAAGGGACAACTTACGTCCACATCGCGAACGGTGACACCACCCATTTTGGCGACTTTTGACCTCGAAAATAAAGGTGTTCGGGGGAGTTGAAGAGGGCGAGGTGAAAGGATGGGTGGTCGGTTGTCGTCGTCGTTGGGGAGTCGGTCAGGTCAAACCTCAAAATTTCACTCGCACACAAGGGAACCCAAAGTGCTGGCGGCTCGGTTGGTTGTGCGCGCTTCGCTTAGCCTGTTTGGGTCTAGCCGTACCCTAAGCGTTGGACGCCTGGGGCATGAACTTTTGTACCATGTGGATAATTACTAAGCAACATAACCCTTCATTAACTAACTAACTACCTAACTACCTACCTAGGTACCTAGGTAATTTACTCCGTGGAGTGAAAAGGTTGAAGGGAAAAATTATATTAATCTATCGCAAATCCCGCGAATCCCATATTGTACAGTCTATTGTATTAATGTCATGTCTCATCAGTCCGAATCCATCCATCCCCAACGCCCAAAACAAAAGCCGAAATGTAAAACTAATTAAAGTGTAGGCGCTCTCTTCAACCCAACACAATATCGCACAAACAAGGTATCTATAAAGTGTCCATGCCGAATACCCGGCGGACGTTGTTTCTCAAACTCGTCGATAGCGTCCTGGACACCGAACCCGCATCGTTCGATGAGGTAGCTGACAATCAGGAACCCGGTTCGGTTGAAACCGTAATGACAGTGAACTCCAACAACAGGGCGTGGATGCGGAGGCTTGCTGGATTTCTTCATCTGCTCAGTGATCTCCCGTTGTAGCCGATCGACCAAGGCAATAAAATCCCGAACCTCGTCCGGCGTCGGGGGAATCTTGGACACAGTGGGGTATTTATGGTAATGGATACCACCCGCTTCCAATGATGCCGGGTTGTACACAGGACTTTCGTGGCTGATATCGATCACTGTATAGATCTCGCCACGGTGTGCCTGTGAGAAGAGGACGGGGTTATGCTCTTCGTCAACCTCTCGTAGCATTTTAAGAGCCACGAAGGTGTTAGCAATTCGTTGCGAAACAGGAGGAACTTTCTTCCACTTGGCCAGATTTTTAACATCCCACTTGCCCGAAGTGTTCAGATATTGTAGCTGCCATCCAAGGCTCAGACGCTGATCCACATGTTGGGGGAGGAAGTCTTGAATAATTCCGGCCAATGTGCGGTAAGTCGCACGGTCGTAGAGGAGTGCATGGGAGGCTGGCGCCGGAAGGATCACAGTCTTGACAGAACGCTTTGGTTTGCCTGTACTTGCGATTTCCTTTTCATTCTCCTGGGATTCGATGCCACATTTCTCGTCGTTTGCGAGAGTGTCAGGGGACCCTGGAGCTAGAGGCTCGAAGCTGGCAGCATCAGGTATTGTGTTGCTACCGTCGGGGCTCTCGTCAGCGTGCGCGCTTGGATCTCCGAAAAACCCGAGAATTTGCTGGATCTCTGCGGGTTTGGTCACAGTGTCGGATTCGCCCGCGACGAGTAAAACCGGTGTTTGCACACCAGCCCAAATATCCTCTCCAGGAAGACCACCAGTTGCCTTACCGTTGGTGTAGGAAGGCAGAGTTCCCCAGGCCATCCGCCTCCAGACAGACGTCTTGCTCTGTCTGTTGTAACGAACCTGGAGGCTGCGCGTGTCGGAGTCTGCATCTGCACCGACAAGCCTGTTGACGCTGTTACTGTTCAGACCACCGCGTCTATCCCAGTGCCTCCAAAGGTCAAATATAGGACCCGGGATATTTAGCAGACGGCGGAACGAGGCAACCTCTTTAGGGGAAGGAGGCGAGGCGCGAGGACAGACAGCGACCAGTCCAAGGATATGGTCCTTCACGCTCAATCCAAGTGGAGAGAAGGATGATGTAAGCATCGCGGAAAGGGAACAGCCGAGACTGTGGGCAATGAGAACGACTCCCTGGCCCGCCTCTTTATCGCGATGCTGGTCGATGGCCGTCGCCAGTAGTTCCGCGAGTGCTTCAACGGTATAAGCATCCCATGAGGTTGGTTCGAAGGAAGATAATCCGCAGCCTGGAAGATCAATTCCGAAGCACGGCCCAACATTCGACAGACTTGTGAGCAGATGGTTGAACTGCGCGAGTGACCCTCCTAATCCGTGAACGAAAACAAGCAACGGCATTGGTGATGGCTTGGTGGGAAACTTGTCCATTTGGGGATGCGGACGATAAAATGTTCGGATTGATGGGTATTTGGCGACAGATGTAGAGTAAGAGCGGTACGTAGAATGTTTCCTCAATAGGCCTGGATCTGTATCAAGCGCTTTGTCACTGTTAAGAGCTGTATTTTTACATAGAAAACGCGATCAGAGGCCTTACCAGTTTCGGCGCCCTCGGCCTGCTGGGATGGGTGCGAATTTTGCGAACGCCCACCTTCCATGCCATGATGCAACGATCCAGAGCTGTCATAATCATCCTCGTCGGATGAAGTCACTGTTCCTCCAGATCGTTGGGGGTATTCCTTGCGAAAGCCGCGACGCAGACGTCTCTTGGACGACTGTCCACCCCTGCGTCGAAACACCGAGGAGAACACTCCGCAACCGACCATGGTGATAAAGCAGGTAGTTAAGAGTAATATCTTGTTCCAGTTCACAGAGCCATCTAGGTAAAAGGATTGGGAACGGACAAAAGAGATTAAAGCGGAGGTATCGACGTTAGGTAGCCCTAGACGGGATGGAGAAAGAGAGAGTCGGACATTGGCAGACCTCATAATCCTGGAGATTTAGGCTCTCAACGTTTATATTAAGTTCACCAGTTATCCAGTTAGTCCTGCTGCAAGTCTCCCCGCTCCTGAAAGAAGCCAGGTCATTCACTGATCTTCAAAGCTCCTAGTTTCAGGACTAGCGACGGGAGTTTCTCCCCCCGTAGGCGCCACCAACCGGAGGCGCGAGGATGTATTCTGGAATGTAAATGGAAAGCTTCAAGGAACACCGTGGGACCGATTAGCAGCGTACACGAGACGGAACGGCGAGCGCTCTTTGGTGGAGGGAACGTTCGGGTCAAGAGTGAGGCGACCAGGCGGGTCGTTTAAATCGATAGGTCTTTTGAAGGAGGTAAGGGAGGTCAAATCTGGGCTATAGTTTAAGCTGGAATTGAGCCAATGAGTGGTAGGAATGCGTCACGTTCAGCTTCCAAGGCGTAAAAATGGTCTGGATCCCCCGGGGGAAGAGTATTGAAAAAGAGAGTCTGTATGCAGTAAACTGGTCACAGTCGTCAAGAGCACGTCATGATTCGTGAGTAGTCATTGGTATACTTCAATTGTTGGAGGAAGAGGGTTTCCCAAGGGTTTCTTTTTCCTGATCGCAACAAAAGTTGGGAAGGCGGGCGATGAATCATTTGTTCGAACTTCGCAGTTGCGGAATCGGGATGCCCAGTCAGGCTTGGGTGCTGAGTCCCGTGGCTGATGACTCAGCGGAGAGTTCCCGTGGTATATTTTTTCTTTTTTTTTTTTTGGCTACAGATTTACAGATCCAGTCTCCCGGTTTAGAGTGGAAAAGGGGGTGAAAATATAGTTCGAACAGGGGTTTAACAATACAAGTAAGAATAAAGCAGCAAGCAGGGGGGATATCCTACTACTATTGCCTTTCCACTTTCGGTCCAACTGGGCGCCGCTTTTTGCAGAGAAAGTGACTGTCACCCTAAGCGCTCGTCTAAGCTTACACGTGCTGGTTATATGACCCTACTAAACTAGGTACTGCAGCACTCTTCTTCCTTTATATCGCTCAACCAGCTTGTCGTATGGCGGGTTTACGAGCGCCTACTTGACCAATAAATGGGACATCTAAAAATATTTGCTACCGTGAGTATGTGACTTTGAGCGAATGATATGAGAAGGGCGGGCTAAGATTCCGGCAACGCTAGAAGATGGATAGTCTGCCGGCGAAGGTCATCAACCCAAAAATTGAGCTATAGTATATACAATGCTATATCATCAGGCTAACCGCAAGTATTTTAGATTGCAGGGGTTTTCCTTCTATCATTCGGACCAGAAAGTCATCGTGATAATAATTCTTTACCCGTTTCACTAATAAATCGTGGTCATGGAGCCCGTCGCTGAGCCACGCGATCGGTACAATCTCCGCAAAGCACTCATCCTTATTGAAAGAGACATCAAAGCCCTGGAAGAGAAGGATATACATACCTTGGACCAAATACGTCCAGAATAATATAACATAGAATTGTTTTAGAAGTTCTACCTACAGACTTTGTCCTAAAGACTAGTGTAGTTGCAGGTCAACCCTTTCTATATCAAGACAAGATATGACCATGGTTAGGTAGACTACAGCACCAAAATGACACCTCAAGCCTCCATTTATTTCGCGGAATAAATAACGTCATGATTTATTAAATATGGGACATGTGAAGACGTCCTGCATGGTTACTGGATTAAGGGGTATATTAAAACCGCTAATGGATGCCATTTCCCGCATTGAAATTTAGAAATGGTCTATGTTAAAGTTAGAGAACTTGAGAATTCAAAATAAAGTCAGTTGGATCCAAAACACCTTCCCTTTGTGAATTATAAGGTGCTGGTTCTAGAATCTTGGGCTTCCCCCACTATGACGTCGCAAGTGGAAAGGATTCCTGCAGGATATTATCTCAGTCTTATATAACAACTCACGGCAGGCAGCAACCATTGGGTTGGATTAGTTCTTCAATTCTCTAGATGACGACATTGAAGTCCCCTGAAAATGTGCAGGCACTAGTTAGCAGTTCAATAAAACTACACACTAGAGACTAGAATTGCTAAACTACTTCTGGTGATATTCTCTCGTCTTCTCATTCGTTCCTATGCACAAGTCCCCAGGCTAAGTCCTTTTAGGAGACATTCCTGTGCGATCTTCTAGGTGGAAAATAACTTCAATATCTGGCACCGGGGTAGTTTAATGTCATGGTGATGGACAACAATACATCAGTGTATAAGAATCTCAGCATTTCTCCTTTCAATGGGAGGGGTGTAATCGCAATTTTATTTTATCCTGTATAACTCCCCCTTCTTTCTTTTCGTCTCTAATCCCTCACGTTGAGAAAATGGAGACCGGTATCAGAGCACCATACCCGAGCTCGAACTTGCTTCCATTTCCGTCATCATATCATGATAGCAGCATACCGCTGGGCTTGATATACGAATTGGTAAGTGGTTGGCTAGCCTCAAAAATGGGTGATGGGGATCAATACTGATGCGAATTTATTACTGTCATTGAAGGACAGCTACAGAGCTCCCCAGGATATCGCCATGACCTCAGTAGTATCTTATGGGGGTAATCGATCGCCCCCTCCTCTCTGGTCAAGCGCCTCGTCGGCCGTCCCCTCCCCCGACCTGGATTCCGTTTTCTCCCACTCGCAAGAAGGAGATTTGGAGGAGACTTCGATCCAACAGATAGTTCACAATAATTTCAAAGATGTACCTGCCCATCTGTGTCCGTTACTATGTCTCCCAAGCTAACTAACTGTCGAAAAAAAAAAAAAAGGTCAAACGGCGTCTGCAGAACCGAGAGGCGCAGCGTCGATTCCGACAGCGTAAGGAACAACGGCAACAAAACCTCCAACAGAAGATACAGGATCTCCAGGTGGGATACCGGAGCTTATCAGAACAGAGTGCCAAGCACAGTGACCATGTGAAGCAGTTACTCGAAGAAAACAGTGGGCTGAAGTGTGAGGTCAAGAATCTGCGCCGGCGGTGGCGGATGATGATGACTCTCCTGCAACAACCTCCGAATTCCCCATCTTTGTCCACTCGCTTTGTGGAACAAGGGTACTTGGACAGTGTGTTGCGCCAGCTGGAGGAACTTACCGATGACGACCCCCACAACTCCTCTTGTTAGTGGCCTTTCTTTGCTTTCCTCTTATCTCTTCGATGACGCCTCTTTTTTCCCTTTTAATGAAAATGTTCCACCGCGTCTGTCCTATGTTTTACATCTTCCAGCTTGTCTCGAGGGCTACCGTTGTTAGGGGTGGAAAATTGAACCCAGGACAGGTCACTTTTCACCAATAATAATAGACCATGTCACAGACCTCCGCCGGAGAGTTCGAAAGCTGCAGTTGGCCCTTTCCGTTTTACTAATATGTACATAATCCTGACGGACATATTATGTGTGGAGGCGTTTTATCATGGCCCGACCTGAGCATCTGTAATTGGCGTAACTCAAAAAGCCCAGCGACTCGACCGCTCGCCTGCCTTTTCCTAATGAGGAAATTGCCAATAACTGCCAGTGCCTGATGGTGATGGTGGCAGCTGCTCAGGACAACACGCAAGGAATTAGCCCTAAGTCAGGAGAGGGAGAAGGGATTCGCAGGGCGGTTTCAGAAACCCAATGATTCTCTCTCTGGACTCCAAGCACGCTTCACTGCGATCCTACAACGACGACGACGACGATATCAAGCAAAATGTCATCCTCCTCAGAATCGCGGTGTTCTTCTCCATACTCGTCCGCTTCATCTCGAAGCTCATCTTCTTGTTCTCTTGCTTCGAGCGGATCTCATTCAGTCCTGCTGTCTCGACACAAACCCGCCAATTCCTCCGTGAAACCGACGTCAACCTTTCTCTTTGTGGACTACCGGACGGACAATCCCCAGAATCCGATATCTAACCAGAAAAAGCATGCGTTTGTTCAGAAAAATTACCAGCGGAAGAAGAAACAAGAGTCAATCAACCGGCTGAAATGTTCAGCACAACCGTTCACGCAACAGCTGGCCTGGGGGCCTTCGAGTGAAAATGATTCAGGCACTGTGATTGACAGACACAGAAAGCTCCAGCAAAAAGGGACTTCATATGATGGTTCTCAGCAAGTGGCTAGAATGAGTGAAACTTGGTCCCTGAAAGCGTACCTGAGTCAGGGCTATGTCGACCCGTTTTCTTCCTCCGCAGTACACATGACAGATAACATGAATTTATATTTCCATCACTGTATGTGCGCACGTCGGAGAGACCTGATAAACGGGATTCGCTGATAGAAACTAGTTCGGATACATACCATTGCGTCCTGCTATCCACTCGATTCGATTCGGATGAGTGTCTGGTGGTGGCAACGGGCCATTACCCAGCCGGCCCTCCTCCAAGCCCTCCTCTTCCTCACAGCGGGCCACCAAGCAACTCTCGAATCAATCAATGGCATCTCTTCCCGAGCCATTCAAAAGTCAACCAAAGACTCTCTTCGCCTCCGAGGTGATACCCTGAAGACCTTGAATGGTATTATGCGAGATCCGATGAAGGCTGTGGCCGAGTCGACCACTCTTATTGTTGCATCTCTCGTGGCAATTGAGGTAAGGTTTTTTTCTGAATCCTACGTGCCTGGTGTGGAGACAACGGTTGCTTGCTTGATATTGTGGTTGGTAGAGTTAGGTTTCTATAATGATCTAACTTGATTTCCAGGCCGTCGATGCCAATTTCGAGGCCCTTGAAGCGCACACGAAAGGACTGATCAGGCTTGTCCACCTCTTGGGAGGGTTGGATGTCTTGGATCATATGACTCTTTCTAAGATCTACCAGTATGACCACCTTCTAGACATGATGATACATGATGGGGCGGGCTAATGTGCATTATATAGGAGTGCCGTAAAAAGTGCAGCTCTCAAGAACTCCCGACCTATCTTCTCACTCTCCGCAAGATGGCGAAGCGAGATCTTACAAGAAAGCAAGGTGTTCCGGTCAACCGAGAAACTGGAAACCTCTGAAGCTTTGGCCTTGATCGGGACCTATTTCTTCAAGGCTCCCTGGTTCCAGGGGCTGGACTCCTCCATGAAGACGTTTCTTCGAGTGTTCCAGCGGCTCATCACTTACTATGAAATCGCGCAGCTGCGGCCTTCGCTCGTGATGCCAACGGATAACGACCTCTTCCTTGTCTTCGAGCATGAACTCCTTTCCGCTAGCTACGCAGAAGAAACCGACGTCCACGAGCCCTTGCGTCTGTGCCTGCTGATCTATCTCAATCTGCGCGTCTGGCACTTCCAGAGCTTCCCATTCATGCGGTATATGATAGAGGCTCTGAGACAAAGTTTGGTCCCTCGCTTAAATTACATAGAGACCATGGACCGTACCCTGTTGTTCTGGATTCTGTTCGTCGGGGGCATGGCGTCCCAGGGCTATAACTGCCACCCGTGGTTCGTCCACCATCTCACAACGACCACAACGCGTCTTGGCTTCGATAAATGGGAAACGGCACGGCCCGTGCTAGGGAGGTTTTTCTACACCGATCAGCCGGGGGAGAAGAGAGGCGCAGAGGATCTCTGGAATGAAGTCCTCGTGAAGGAAAGCTGTAAGGTTCCCCCTACTACGGATTTTGCTTTCCCGTTTCGCACGTACAAGCGAGCTAACCACCACCACCACCACCCTTGCCGACAAAACATAGACACCTATATAGCTCCGAAACCGTCATTTCAAAGTACCAGGATATGAACGGGGATACATATTAATTTCCAGTACACTCGGCATCCGCTTGAATATACAAACACTCCATAATTTATAAACCGAAGTTCTACTGTTTATTGAAAGAGTATACTCAAATATTTTATCCAATTGAGTAGTAGTAGTAGTCGCAGCAACCTAGTGGAGCGTAGTCTGGATTAAGATTCTGATAGATAGAAGACACCGGCACTTGGATAGTTATTCAATGCTTCCAAGTGAGTGGAACCCTCTAGATTGTGGCCGTGATGTGATATGAACCACCAACTAACTGCGACAGACATTTACACCGATACAGTCGACACCTAAGGATGCCTCCGTACTTGGTACTACCATAGTATGTATATTCTTAACCTGCTTGAAGAAGGTTAGGTAACTACGTACTGGTAGCTCCTGATGTATGTATGTATGTATGTATGTATGTATGTATGTATGTATGTATGTATGTATGTATGTATGTATGTATGTATGTATGTATGTATATATATATATACAACAATAGACAACTACTCGGTGTAAAGCGAGGAATCGTGGTTAAGACGTCAAAAAAAAAAAAAAAAAAAAAAAAAAGGTGGCTGGCTTTCTTATGTATTTCCTCAAGGGGGGAAAAAAAAAAGATTTTTTAAAATAGATCCGTCATCGCGCCGTGAGAGGCATCTCCAACTAACCGAGCATACTTGGCCAGGACGCCGCGGGTCACGCTCGGCGCGGGAGGCTTCCATTCCGTCAACCGGCGCTGGATCTCCTCGTCCGAGACGTGCATGCTGAGTTCGTTCGTCTCGGCACTGATCGTGATCAGATCCCCGTCCTGCACGATGGCGATCGGCCCCCCGACGGCTGCTTCGGGCGTGATATGGCCGACGATGAAGCCGTGGCTGGCGCCCGAGTACCGGCCGTCCGTGATCAGGGCGACGTTGGTGAGTTTGGCGCCCCTGAGCGCCGCGCTGGCTTTCAGTTGCTCGGGCATGCCGGGTCCGCCCCTGGGGCCCTCGTAGCGCACGATAAGCACCAGGTTCTCGCCGCGCGGGATTTCGCCGCGTGTCAGGGCGTCGTTCAGTTGGCGCTCCTTGTCGAAGACCCGGGCTTCCCCCGTGAACTTTGTTCCTTCTTTCCCCGTGATTTTGGCCACGGCGCCGCCGGGCGCGAGGTTGCCTCGCAGGATCTGGAGGTGGCCCGTGGACTTGATGGGGTTGTCGAGCGGGCGGATGATGGCCTGGTCCGCCGGGAGGGACGGGTGCGAGGCGACGTTTTCGGCGAGGGTTCGGCCGGTGATGGTGGGGATGTCGCCGTCGAGGAGGCCCGCGGCGATGAGCAGTTTCTGCACGGACGGGATCCCGCCGATGTCGTACAGGTCGGCCATGTAGTATTTGCCGCTGGGGGAAAGGTCCGCGATGAAGGGGATCTTGTTGCTGACTCTCTGCACGTCGTCCAGGGTGAGGTCAACGCCGGCCGTGCGCGCCATGGCAAGGAAATGGAGCACGCCGTTGGTGCTGCCCCCCAGCGCCATGGTCATGACGAGCGCGTTTTCAAAGGCCCGCTTGGTGAGCAGATCGCGCGGCCGGATGTTCTTCTCCATGCAGACCCTGATGGCCTCGGCGGCCTTGACGCATTCGCGCATCTTGGATGGCGACGACGCGGGCGTGGATGAGGAGCCGGGCAACGACAGTCCCATGGACTCGATTGCTGTGGCCATGGTGTTGGCAGTGAACATGCCCCCGCACGCACCGGCGCTGGGGCAGGCATGTCGTTCCAGATCATCCATGATCTCGTCCTTGGTCTTGCTCGTATCGCCCCCGTCGTCCTCGGGCTGGCGCAGGGTATCGTAAGCGTAGGCGCCGGCGGCCTCGAAACAGGTCGAAACGTTCACCGGTTTCCGGAGGAGGGTGGAGTACCCGATCTGAATCGTTCCACCGTAGATCATCAGCGACGGTCGGTTATGTCTCGCCATACCCATCACCACTCCGGGCATGTTCTTATCGCAACCTGGAATGGCAACGCAGGCGTCATGATACTGCGCACAGGTAACTGTTTCGACACTATCGGCGATGATTTCACGGGATTGAAGCGAGAATCGCATCCCTGCCATCTCTCGTTAGAACCGCCATCCCTTCCAGTCCGGCCGAGAAAGAAAGGAACAAACTGACCTTCACTCCCCATCGAAATCGCATCCGAAACGCCAATTGTATTGTACTGCCACCCGATCATCCCCTGGTCTGCGACTGCCTTCTTCACGGTCTTGGCCAGATCCATCAGATGCATGTTACATGGATTTCCCTCCCACCAAACCGACGCAATTCCAACATGGGGGCTCTTTGCCATGGCATCCTGATCAGGAACACCAGCGGCGTAAAGCATCGCCTAATGGAACCCTCGTTAGTCCCTCCGTACTAGCAATAGAAGAAGAGAAAACCAATACGGACCTTTGCGCCAGGGAAATCATGGCCCTTGGTAATATGTGTCGAGTAGCGATTCAGCGCCAGAGAGCCATCCGCGTGCTTTGCGTCACTTGGAAGACAGGGGAATTCAATGTATTTGGCTTCTCCCACAGAAGAGGAGGCGGCCGCGGGGTTGGTGGAGTCCATGGTTGGCTAGCAGGCAGGTTTCTTGACAACGAATCTGTGATGCTGAAGTGAGGAAAGAAAGAAGAATAGAATCCTGGGTCAGGTTAGATACCAAGTGCCCAAGCTGTCCGACTGGGTTGCGGGGGGGGAAAGAGGGTTGAATCCAAGTAATCAGAAGAGATCTAATTAGTTGAAAAAGGGTGGAGTTGGAGGAGGTTGTTGAGTGGACCGTTCGGTTACTTTTGACAGGACCACCGAGTATACAGAGGAAATTATTTATGTACAGTAGAGTAGTATAACCCTAATCCACCTTCAACTGCTCTACACCTACCATCTCGGCTTCCCGATTCAAATTCACTATCTCAGCCTCTGTAAACGGAATCCCGTTCTCTAATCGCATTTCGTTCGTGATCTGCTCAATCTCTCCCGGGTAGTAGATGCGCTCAACCCCAGCCATCTTCTCCGACCCAACCACACGCTGATACAGATAGTCCATGCGGGACTTGAAGTCCTCGAGGCTCATAAACAGGTCTGGCTTGATAGCCATCAAGAAGTGGCCCACATCTGCAGGCTTCGATGGATCGTATGGATTCGTTACGTGGCCGGCAAAGGCAGAGCCGGACAGAACACCGGAAAAGACGTCCATCATGATCGACAGCGCAGACCCCTTGGGTCCTCCCATGGGAAGCATAACACCCTCCAGAGCTCTGGCAGGATCATCAGTCATATTGCCCTCGCCGTCTAGCGCCCAATCCGTCGGGATCTTTTCGCCGCGTCGGAGCGCCTTATAGATCTTTCCTCTTGCCGCGATCGACGGGGCCATGTCAAGAATGAAGGGTCTCTCCTTGCCGGCAGGGGCACCGCAAGCAATCGGCGACACGCCCATGAGCTTGTCCTTCCCCCCCCACACAGGAAGGGCCGGCGAGGAATTGGTGAAAACTAATGAGAGCATCCCAGCGTCAATCGCCTGCTGGACCAGCCACGCCGACATGCCAAAGTGGTTCGAGTGCTTGACGGAGACAAACCCAACGCCGAATTCCTGGGCCATCTCGATGGCTCGCTGCATACCTAGATGCGCAGCGACAAAGCCAAAGGTGTTTTTGCCGTCCACCTGGGCCACGATGGGCGTGACTTGTTTCAATTCGGGAGATGCCGAGGGGTCGAGCACTTGTTGTCGGATTCGTTGCATGTATGATGGAATGCGGTTGGAGCCGTGGGTATCCACGCCGCGGAGATCAGCTTGGACAAGACATCTGGCGACGATGGAGGCGTTTTCCTCGGGTACATTGTTCCCGATGAGAATTTTCCGGACGAAAGTCTCCAGCTCCTGAGGATTGATCTTGTGGACTGTTTGTTCAGACATGGTAGCGTCTTGAGTCCTCGCGCGCACGGAGAAACAGTGTAATTTATCACAAGGGACAGGTGTGAAGATAGTTGTGCTTTTAAAACGGCTGCTGGCATGGCTGCCCTGCCCCGCGGGGCTCATCCACCTATGTATGTATTTGTGACCGATACCCGAAAAGTGGAGAGTCAATCTATCAATCAGATTTAAAGCTCAAAAATCACTTGTATCAAATATGGACTCAGGGGGATTTGCTGATTCTTCAGCGCTAATATCAATATTGAAGGCAGAAATCAGCTCATCTACCACAACTCTTGTAGCTGTCCCGGGTAGTGCATGACCAGCCGGAAAAGGGTGTCATATTCTAAAGAAATCCATAATCCCAGTGTTTGCGGGTTGTTCTTGAGCATAGGTTTGATTTCTCGGTAAAGGTAAGGTAGTGGGAGGTAGGAGTGGTCCACGACTGCCCATAATGATGTACATGCACGAACAAGAAAGTAAGGGGATGTTAAATAGTGGGTATCTCTAAAGAGAGCTTTCGTGGCCGGGAATGTATGGCCACCCCGATATTATGCATAAAAACGAAAGCAGCAGCAAGGAATATGGATATATCCTCCGACTCCAAAGAGGCCGTATGAAGGCCCTCGGCTCTATCTTGGTTGCTGTTTCTCATTGTCTGACACATCGTCGACTGACTCTCGATCAACGGTAGACCATTGGCTAGAATTTTGAAGCACATCTTCGGGATCCTGCAGAGCACTTGAGTTTTCCATCTTTTCCGGTGCCTTTTCCGAATTTGGGTTCGCAGGGTCCTCAATAGCAAACCCAACAATCTTTCCGGAAGTTGACTGTCTTGGGGCTTCTTCTAAGACATCACCGTTCCACGGCTTGCATTTCTTGACGATTTCCCCGCAACGTAGACAGATCCAGCCTTCTCCTTCTTCCCCTTCAAGCTTTTGCACTATACACACAAAACAATATATGCAGCCACAGGGCACAGTCTCATATGGGTTTGTGACGTCTGTTTGAGCAGACCCAATGATTCCTCCCGATGAAGCCATGACTTCATTTTCGGTCGTCGAGCCAGCACTGCTTTCTTTGTAGCAAATCGCGCAAGTTCGCTCGGGGAGGAACGCAAGCTCCCCTTGCTTTTCATTTGGTTCATCCTCGTCGCTGGTTGATCTGATAGCAGAAATTGTTTTTCGCCACACCCTTGATATCCAACGCCGCCACCGACTAATGCCAACGAGTGGGAGAAGGAAAAGGAGGAATTCCGTGAATGCGTGCCAGACAAGCTGTCGATTTAGGTATTCGAAAGAGACCTCGCGGCTTGCTTGGGCAGAAGGTGGTGTAAGGCGCATGCGAAGGATACGGTCGACCAACGTTCGATACCGCCCGTTCACCAGGAACACGAGGAACGAAATAAAGGCCGCGACGGAGTGTGTTGTGGAAAGAAAACTCGTGATCCGTGATAGTGTCCGGACTTCCGGTGAGGGCTGCAGATATAAGACTATGAACTAGGCGATACCAGGCACATCCGATTACTTACTTCCTCATAACCCCCTTCCTGGCCAATAAGCCAATCCTCCCATTTGTTCCACGCATAGCGACCACCTACGGTAAGAAGACCGTATAGCGACTTCTGCACCCTGGTGGGGGTTGAATGGACAGGGCCTTTACTGCGACTATCGATGTATTTCAAACTTTGGAGCGCCGCGCCGTACGAGGCATCGTGATCCCATATCGAAAGCTTGAAGAGTATTGAGCGGAGAACCAGCTGGATTTCATGTGACCAATCTTCGCGCAAGTGAGGCTAGACAGATACCACATTAATCAACGCGATATTCGAAATATAATTGCGTGGGCGTGAGCATGTTGAAGAAAGCGTACCCCGAAGTATTTCATAGCATCCCCAACTTGTCCCTTCAGTAGGCCGAGTAATTCCTCGTCGAGCAGCTCCGCATCAACCTGACCAACACGAAAGGCAGGTCGTGAACCTTCACGTCCTTTTATCGCATTCCATAACGAGAATCCGGATTGAGGCAATGTATTTAGAGGATAAGGAAGTCTTTGCAGCGCTGGATGGTTGACCGCACACGCTCGTTGTTGCTCTGCTCGTCTGCTTTGGGCTTCGGCCTCGCGTTGTCGTCGGCGCTCTAGAACCCGCGCCTGGGCGGCGGCAAAATTCGTAGAACTCATTATACAACCATCGTGCGATTGAATAGAGATTCAGGAAGTCAAGAGAGAAGATAACCCATCATCGCGATGCTCGGTCCGCTCCCCAGACGGAGACAGCCGAGGTCCAGGGGATACACGTGACTTGGCGTCTGGTGAAGGTTTACATAATATACTGTTGATTGGCTAAACTATACCTCGACCCCGTTAACTGCCTAGGGAGGTAACTTAACTACTAGTAATACCTAGTCCGGGTACTCCGTATCCATGCCTTTCTGCCCACCTAAACTGCTACCTGCTTTAGGTGCGCCACACATTCTTCGCGATCACACATTCTTCGCGATTTTTGATATTTTAACTTATTTTTATTATTATTATAACATAATATGCCTAAATCTCCAGATTTTAATAAATCTTGCTTGCTTGAAGCTATTGCCATAATTTAAAAGTAAAAAAAACTAAATATTATAAAGATTATATAAAAATTTAATATACCTAACTCTATACTCTAAATATACCTTAAAAAACTAAAAATACTAGTAATACTAATAATAATAAATAAGAACCTTCTATAGCTATATTAGGAGAAGGCCTTAATTAACTAGATTATATAAATATAGAAATAGAATATTCTACTAACTCCTATAGTTATTATAATATTAGTAAATTAGATACTTGCTCGTGCAGGGTTAGATAAGCAAGTTAATAAGATATAGCTATATTAATTTAAATTATATATACTAGTAGATCTAGGACTTGCTTTAGTAAAGTAGAAGATTAAGGAATTAAGATAGATATAAGTAAAAGATACTAGCTTGCTTTAATATTAATATAATCTTTTAAAATTACTTTTTTATAAGGTCCTGGCTTGCCTTATCTATAACTTTAATAAATATAGTTTCTAACTAGGTAAAGATTATAATAAGAAGGTTTTTAGGAATTCTAAATACTTTAATCTTGTAGAAAGTAAGTAAGGTAAAAATATTACTATAGTTAAATATATTACTATAGATAGTTAGGTAATAGATCTATTTTTTATTTTTAAAGTAATAGGTAACTATATAGAGGTCTAGTATTATAATATAGAATAATTACTACTTAAAATAATAATAGTAATATTCTTAAATAATTAAATAATTAATAAACTTATACTTACCTAGCTATATTAATTTAATACTAAAATAAAGTATCCTGATTATACTAAGTAAGGTAAGAAGTAATATTTAATATTTAATAGCTATAGCTTATATCTTATACTTAAATTTTTATAATATTATAAAGAAAATAATATTATTCTTTTTAATTTTATAGCTTATTTAATATATTTTTACTAATTTCTTAATAGAAAACCTTTTCTTACTTATAAGACTAATTTTTACTTTAAGAATAATAAGCTATCTTAATAGGGGGGTAAGCTATATAGGAAGGTAGAATTCTTAAAGATTATCTAGCTAATCTATAATTAGACCTTTTACTAGCAAATTATTTAAGATGCCTTTAAAGAATATAGTATCTAGTTAGTTAATAGTACTAAAATTATTAAAAAACTAGTAAATTAGATAGATATACTAAATATATTAATTAATCTTTATTAAACCCTATCTCTACTATTATTACTATTCTCTAGTATTAAAAATAGTCCTCTAGTAATAATAGAGGCTCTTCTAAAGAATTAGGTAAAGATTATAAAGAAATTTAATAAGATATCTAACTAGGCAAGATAGAATATATTAAAACTCTTTTAATATTAGGTAGAGAAGCTCAAGGAGCTAAAAATAATCTAGAAAGTAATTTAAAGGATTAGGGCTATGTAAGAGCCTTAATACTGGGTTTATACTAAGTATTAGATTAAAGGTCTATCTAGTAATAGGGTTCTAAGAGTTTATAATATTATTTAATTAATTAAAGATAGGAAGGCAAAGGATGCTAAATATAAATAGAGAAAGTTAGTAAAGTAGAAAAAGAAAATATATAGTTCTCTATTCTCTCTATACTTACAGGAGTTAATTTAAAGAGAAATTAATAATATAAGATATGCTAAAGAAGCTAGAGAGTTTTTTTATTTTAATTACTAGTATTATTATTGTTGTATAGCTTCAAATATTAAAAAATCGCGAAGAATGTGTGATCGCGAAGAATGTGTGGCGCACCTAAAGCAGGTAGCAGTTTAGGTGGGCAGAAAGGCATGGATAGTGATTGTAGAATTGGACTATTCGTTTGGAAATCAGAAAAAGATGGGCAATCGACAAATCTCGCCCCATAAAGAAATCCTGAAGAAATCCTCAAGGAATAATAATAAATCCGATGTGCCGGACTTATCAGGTGACCCCAGTTTGTGCCTAAATTCTGAGGTGTCCATGGCATCCAATTCAGCCATGTTAAGGCCGCGATTTGCGCACAGTATCTCGAACTGGAGTGATTTGAGTAAGTGCCTGCTTGCTCACCCCTATTATAATAGTGGACTTGGTCAAAATTCAGGCTCTGATAACAGACTCCAGATACACGCTGGCAGGACACCTAAAATAAGTTGTCGTGATGTCAATTCCAACCTTAACCTGGGTCGGATTTCAAATCCTCGCCTCCCCTTGTTGGCTGGGCATGTGTGGAGGTCATTTTGGAGCTCCAGGAGCTTCGCCCAGCCGATGGTGTGTCTCATAACAGGGTAGAATCCCGGACAGGCCGACGAAAGGGATCCATGCAAGTTCTGAAAGACGGGTCGAATAAGCCGCGAGCCTGAGTCGGGGCTGATGGTGATCATCGACGCACCCTGACCGCGATACCACCTTCCCCCTCATCTGGTCTATAGTGGGAGTCGACTACCATTGGCATTTATAGCAGGTACATGGTACAAGGAGGCATCTTGCCATTATTTGTGCCCACGCCACGCATGATTACATGCGCAGATGGGAAGACCCCTCCCCCTTGCTCCTGGTTTATAAATAAGCGACACCGCAAGTCACTTGGCAATTTGCCTCGTGAAAATTTCGGAAGCCTAGGTTGTGTACTCAACTGCCTCCTAGGATGAAGACTTCCGCTGTAGCTTTGTTTGGGGCTGCTACTGTGGTCTGCGCCCAGACAGCAACGACCACTGAACCCTCGGATGCTCAGATCTCTGCCAGCGCGGCTGCCATCAAGCCATTGTCTCCGGTTTCCAACGTCAAGGGCCTTGCTTTTGACCGCTTTTACCAGATCTGGCTGGAAAATATTGTGAGTATCAGGTCCCGATACTTGTCTGTCCTTTTGATTAATGTTGTTGGGGAAAAAAGGATTATGAAGACGCGGCTGCAGACCCTAATATGAAATGGCTAGCATCACAAGGACTTACCCTGTGAGGAATCCCACCAATGGGCCGATTCCAGTGTGAAATACTGATCCAAGCAGGACAAACTATTACGCTCTCACACACCCCTCCCAGCCAAATTATTGTGCTTCGGCCGGAGGAGATACATTTGGAATGGATAATGATGATTTTTACCAAGTTCCCGCCAATGTATCTACTATAGCCGATCTTCTCGACACTAAGCATATTTCCTGGGGGGAGTATCAGGAACATATACCTTATCCTGGGTTTCAAGGATTTAATTATTCGAACCAAGAGACCTACGCCAAAGACTACGTGCGAAAACACAACCCCCTCATTCAATATGACTCGATCACAGAGAATAGTACCCGGCTGCGCCAGATCAAAAGTTTTGCAGATTTCCAAGAGGATTTGGTCAACGAGAAGCTCCCTCAGTGGGCCTTTATAACCCCCAACATGACGAATGATGCTCATGATACCAACATTACTTTTGCTGCTAAATGGGAGCGTAGCTGGGTATCATCATTGCTTGAGAACGACTACTTTATGAACAACACGCTGCTGCTTCTCACATTTGATGAGGATTCCACATACCCCAAAAGCAATCGACTTTTTAGCATTCTTTTGGGCGGAGCCGTCCCTGAAGGGTTAAAAGGCACGGAGGACAATACATTCTACACACACTATTCGATGATTGCTTCTGTCTCGGCAAACTGGGGCCTCCCATCCCTTGGGCGCTGGGATTGCGGAGCTAATCTTCTTGATCTTGTGGCCGAGAAGACAGGTTATGTCAATTACGACGTGGACACGGCGAATCTTCAACTCAATCATACAACTTCTGGCCCTCTCTCAGCAGGAGACATATCAGAGTATACCCCGATCTGGCCTATTCCGTTGACTAACGCCAAATGCTCCGCGGGTCACGGAATTCTTGACATTGTCAAGAAAACCTATGCCAACACCGAACCAACGTACAACTACAGCAGCCCTTTCCCATACGATACAAAGATTGGTTACAATGTGAATGTCACTGCGACTAGACAAAATCCGGACCGTCGACACCGTCTGCCTTGATCTCGGGATCATGCTGTACAGCCTTCTTGCTTTGGGTTTCTTCTTTTCTGGTGCGTTACATTGTATCCGGATCTTCTTCAGGGCTCCAGGGAAAGTAGGATATCATACTTATTGGGATGATACACTTGTGCTAATTTTATTTGATAGTAACTCACGTACCTAGGTAGCGGGGAAGAAATCAAGAAAACGACATGTCCAAGATTCCAGGTTCTCTGATTGTATTTGATTTGGACTACTAAATGTAAATCGACACTAGAGAGGTAATGATAGTATGAATTGTAAGTAGCAAATATTCTAATTAGGTATACGACATTCTTTATTCCGGGCTTATTACATCCAGATGTATACAATTCTCTCCAATCCTCGAACTCGAACTTATTCACAGCCACGTTGTTGAAATTAAAACAAATAAAAATCATTGGAAATATTCACAGATTTGCATTTCTGCGTTCTAAGAGCTCTATCGGTTCATCCCGGATACTAAGCTGCACGGTTTTCAGGATCTGAAAGCGGTTCGGAGGATCTTGACCAGGGACCGGGCCCGGGACTGCATCCGGGTCCTCCATTCGTTCCCAGCCCTTGCCTCGTTCTATCCCGGCCGAGCAGCTATAAGGAATGGCCCTGTGGGAGGAGGAGAGGGTGTCTCCCTGTGCGGCGGTTGCTGATTTCGTCGCCGATCGAGAAGTTCCATCCGTGTAGGAAATGCCGGTTTGATCCACGTAGACCGCGAGGAAGGATTTGAGGGAGGTGGTCACAAGAGAGAGGACGCTGAAAAGGAGGTATAGCTCGGTTGCTACGGTTGCGTAGGCTCCGTGGAGAATCGGATCGGGGGCGTCGAACTGTTTCTTCATGTAGTAGAGGTGGATGGCTGCGAGGGGGATGAGTCTGCTTGATATGATCTGGGTGTCAGTTCATAGGGAGAGCCACTCTACTCTACCTAAGGTGGTGGTAGTAGTAGTAGAGGAGCTGTAGAGAAAGTCTTTGAGAAGGAACTCACACAATCCGACACTCGAGAGCTAACAGGACCAAAAGCTTTTTCTGCGCTGAGAGTTTGAGTTTCCAGATGATCAGGCCGGAATACACGCAAAGCAGAATCTCCGTGAGGAAATCGACGCTGGTCAAGGCGGCTAATCGATTAAACTAGGTGAAAGTCAGTGACGGTATTTGAGATTGAGATAGGGACCGCATCAGGGATTTTCTTTTAGGTACCAGAACAGAACAATGAGGGCCAATGTCATTCCATGGTGTATGGCCGCAGCGAATCCCGACTAAGAGCATCGCACAGACTGTCCAGACAATCATCCCCGCCAGGATTGTACGGATAAAGCGCAGCATCATTTTTGAGAAGAGGGCTTCATAGAACAGACACGTGGTAATCTTGGAGAAACCCACGACGACGACGGCGAAGATGTCCGCGGTATATCCGATCTTTGTCGATTCCAAGCGTTTAGAGACATCCCACCAGTCCTCTGAGCTTTACTCTTACCTTGAGCACTCGATCTAGGTTTCTGTCTGAAATCGACTCTATTCGGGCCCCCCAGCCAAAATGAACCTGTAATAGGACCACTGAGGCTTGTATAGATGCTATGATCTATTTGGTATGAGTTGAGGCAAAAAAAGAAGAAGAAGAAGAAGAAGAAGAAGAAGAAAACTTCAATGGTAACGGCTTACCACAAGTATAGTAAAGATGTAGTCATCCCGCTGCACATTGTGTCTTTGATAGGCTGAGAATGCCCGGGCTGCAAAAGCAGCAACGGTGAGAACGAGGAAGAGAGAAGTGATCACGACTACCACTCCGCTATGGTTATCCGCATTGTCCAGGGTCAGAGGAGGACTGATGCCCGGAGGGAACGACTTCGGAGGAGTCGACATGACGAGTTGCTAAGCGAACGCAGAAACATCTCACATGGAACCCCAGGGGCAGGGTCTAATAGGTATGTATATACTCCCGGGCAGTGCGATATGGTTTTAGGGCTTGTTTCCCCAGGTACAACCCAGGAGCCTGGATTGGAATTAGACTTACAGGCCGATAAGTATTTCAAGGGAAGCAGATTGTGAATCCAAGACTTGACTCACTTCAGGACCGTCGATATTATCCCAAGAGGGGTGTTAATGTGGTGGTGCTGATCGCATCCTTGGCTGGAGATTCATCGACTGGGATGTACATCGCGGCGCAGCGTCGCTATCCCACATCTGGATGAAACAACCGTTTCCCCCCACATAGTCGATACACCAGAGAATCAGCTATAAGACCTCTTAAATTGACTGTCTTCCTGTCTTCCTGCTAGCAGCCATACGTATACCTTTTCTTGGCGCTGATCAAGTGTATATTGTTCTTGATCCTGTTGGTGGTTGTCGGACTAGTAACTGTGCCCTAACTCGATGCTACATATAGTAACTTGAACTAAGCCAGCAATCCCAGGATGAATCGGTGTAGTAAAGATTCAGCGTAGAAACGGTTAGTTTCTTTCTCGGTTTCCTCTACTACCTCGGGAATGTCTCTGTTGCGGGAATGTCCTTTCTTCACCTTCTTTTTTTTTCTTTACTTACTCCTCCCTATTCAATTACTCCATCAAATTCATAAGGCATCCTCCAATCCTCATGCAGGACCCAAACAAACCCCCGAGATTAGAACCTCTGGACATGGAGGACCCTCCCATGGACCGTAATGTTCCGCCAGAATCAGGGACCGTGCTCGATGACAATGACATGCAGCGTATGGGCAAAATCCAAGAGCTTAAGGTGGGCGGATTCCATCTATGTTGACCAGACCACATCAGCCTCTTATATATATATATATATATTTTTTTTTTTTTCTAAAAAAAAACAGAGAAATTTGCGGCCGGTAGCTGCATTAAGTTTTTCTTCCGTCCTACAAGCTGCCTGGGAATTTATTTTAATGTGAGTGATCTTGAGGAGGCCTTGAGTTATGGTGACAATTGATATATCCCGCGTTCAGCTCGAACTCTCAAGGCTTGCAGAATGGCGGCCTGGCTGGGATGTTCTGGTCATATGTCTGGACATTTGTTGGATTTGGGTTCATCATCACCTCGCTCTCTGAAATGGCGTCCATGTATGATATCATCCAAATGCTTGCTTCTTCTCCCCCGCGATGCTTACTTGGTGTGATGTTAGGGCCCCAACCTCGGGTGGACAATATCACTGGGTGTCTGAATTTTCCGCGCCTCGATACCAACGGTTCCTGAGTTATATTACAGGTCGATATGCCCTGCCCTGCCCCCTCTGTCATTTGCACAAGTTGACTGAGGTATTTGGTGATTTGTAGGTTGGATGTCGGTATTGTCATGGCAGGCTGGCTCTGCCTCGGGATCCTTCCTGACTGGAACTATCATTCAAGGATTGATCAGTATCCGGAACCCGAATTACAACCCGGAAGCCTGGCAAGGCACTCTGTTTGTCTTTGCCATGGTTCTGGTGATCTACATTTTCAACGTCTATGCAGCGGATCTGATGCCAATCCTCAACAATCTTTTGATGGTTCTCCACATGGTTTCTTGGGCAGTGATCGTTATTGTCCTGTGGGCCATGGCTCCTCATCAGCCTGCGAGGGCTGTCTTTGCCCAGTGGACAAACCTCGGAGGTTGGCACAGCATGGGATTGAGTGTGATGGTTGGGCAAATCTCTGCTATCTACGGCTCCATGAGTATGTGTGACATGCCTGGACACTCCTACCGGATCACTCCTAATCAGCGCTGTAGGTTCTGACGCAACGGCACACATGTCGGAGGAGGTCAAAGATGCAGGCCGAAATGTGCCCATGGCGATTGCCTGGGGATTCTTCAGCAATGGCATTATGGCCATCATCCTACTGATTGCCTACCTTTTCTCCATCCCCTCGCTGGAAGACGCCCTCGATGATACCACCGGCTTCCCATTCCTCTATGTCTTTAAGAACACAACGTCCACCGCCGGCATTAATGGACTGACAGCAATCATCTTGCTGCCGGTGATATTCAGCAACATCATGTTCAACGCCTCGACCTCTCGCCAAACGTTTGCCTTTGCCCGGGACAAAGGACTTCCCTTTGCCAGTTGGATTTCCAAGGTGGATCCAAAGCGCAAGATCCCCGTGAACGCCATTGCCTTGTCCTCGATCATCAGCTGTCTGCTCTCTCTCATCAACATCGGCTCCTCAGCCGCATTCAACGCCATTATCTCCTTGAATGTCGCAGCCTCGATGTACACCTACATCATCTCCATCAGCTGCGTTATCTACCGGAAGATCTGGTATCCTGACACCCTCCCGCCCCGTCGGTGGGATATGGGGAGAGTGGGACTGCCCGTCAACGTCATCGGGCTGCTGTATTGCTGTTTCGCGCTCTTCTGGTCGCTGTGGCCAAGTGAGCTGCCAGTGACCCTGGATAACTTCAACTGGAGCGTGGTGATTTTTGTGGGGATCTTTGTCGTTAGTTTGGTTATGTATGTGGTCAAGGGACGGACAGAGTATGTTGGACCGGCGGCAAGTGTCCAGAAGACGGGGGACTAGATGGGGACCGAACCAGAGGACCCCCGAAGAATTACATCTGTCTATAATGATAATAGGATTACTTACCCACTAGGAAGAGATGCATAGCGTCTGAACGCTATTTGTAATCCCATGTTGGACCTTTACGCCTCTTCCCATTCTCGGATCATTCTACGTATGCCACATTCTAGATCTCAGACAGGTGGCTTGCATGTAATGATGATGATGATGATCGATCACGTTCTTGCTCTCCGTTTGATTACTTTCGAGGGCAGAGTAGTGGAGGCTACTCCCTCGTCCACAGGCGACGAGCTCGCGTTGTTCCATGCGCTCTGTAGATATTTCCAATAGCTAACTCCACCTCTCAGAGGGTAGCACCGATGATCGATCTTGCGAACCGGGCCAGTGCCTGGGAACCCGTGGATGGAGAGGCATGATTCTTATATATGATACCGTATTGTCTGTCTAGTCTGTTGAGATAAGATGAGTGACGCAGTTGTAGGGCTTCAAACCAAGCATTCTACTTATTACTAGGATTTCTATATTAAACCTGCCAACCAACGAGCAGGAGCAGCAGCCACATGCACCAACTAATACCAGAGTAATTAAGATCGATCCCCGTTCAATACCACCTACCGGAGTACGTCTGATCACCTGCACACTCTATTTAATGACTGCAAGACAAAACACCGAGGCAGTGGCATCCTTCACCCTACCTAGTGTGTGTTAATTAATGTGGGGATTCATTCCTAGGGGTATGTCGTATTTTAGAATCGTTTCCAGGTCCCTGCATGCAACATGAAGGGTCTGTCTGGGTGCGTTTCTCGTGCCGTGAAGCTCTAGGATTCGTCCCTTGTGAATGGCACGCGGAGGAATGTGGTGGATCTGGAAACCCGCCATTTTCAAGGGGCCAGCCAAACGTCGACGGGATTTCTGCAGTTTACGCCTTGTCAGGATAGAAGTATATACGGATCAGTACTTAGCTCACACTAGAAGATTAATCAATATCAATGGGTTGAGTTTATGTTGGGTGGACGCTAGGATACGGGTAAATGAGAACGAATGGCAATATTTACTAGCAAACTCGGAGAAAAAAGAAGAATCTAACGCTAATTCCAAATACATAATGACAAGAAAAAGAAAAAAGAAAAGGTCAATTTCTCGCAGTCAGAGGATCCAATCTGCTGCAGGTTGAGAGAGAGAGAGAGAGAGAGAGAGGGAGGAATCGGTCCATCCGTGTACAGGGATGACATATGGCTGTCAAATATCCAGGCTCTATTTCCGCTGTTCGCTCAGAATGATAACATGCTCCTCGTCAAGCTCCTGGCCGTCGTCGAAGATTCGATTCCTCCGTGTATTTTGCACAAGCCCATTGCATTTGGTGACGCCGAATGCCATCAGCAGCCACATCACGCCCACGACCAGGATATGGACGGCCGCAATCCACACAATGCCCAAGTCCGAAGTCCCCATCACAAACACAAATCCAAACTTGGTAAAGGGCTCGCTGTCGGCCTTGGTGGTAAATATCAGAAGGGTGATCAAAACGGCCAGGACCAGCGTCATCACCAGCGATATCCCGGTACAGGCAGCGGCGACGAGGAGCGGAGCCCGGTATCCAAAGGCGCCCGAGATCCCCATTGCTACCACGGCAAATGTGCTCAGGATCGCAAGGATAAAGAAAACCTGGGAGCAGCGGAGTTTGGTACGGCAGCTCGACATCGTGTCCTTGTAGGCATCTGAGAATTCGGTCGAGGTGCTGTTGTTGTCGAGGACGGGGGAGATCTCCAGGTCCTTAGCGTAGTCCCAGCCACTCTTGGGGTAGATTGTTTTGTTTCCCGTTGTGATTGCGTAGTTCCAGAGATAGAACGCATATTGGTCGGCCAGCTGGAGGTTCGCCGCCGTGAGGTTTCCGGAATGCGAAGTCGCTGATGGAAGGGTGAAGTTGGCGAGATCCTGCACCGGAACTGAGATTTGGACGGTGCTTAAATCAAAAATAGGGCCCATGAAAGGCCCAGGGATACCGTTGATTCCGATGATGAATAGCATGCATAGGGATCCAAACATCATCCCGAAAGGGGTCATGACCGAGAGGCCATTTTTAATCCGTTGGAAATTCATGATAAAAATAATCTTGGCCCTTTTTTTTCTTTTTTTTTTCAATTGAAAAGAAGAAGATCTAGAGAATAGACGAGAGCAGTGAGGAATAGCAGGGACTAGCCAATTTATCGGCAGAATGGGTGGCAGAGATGCCTTTTATAAGGACCTCTTTGTCACACAGCTACTACACTTAGTGTTAGAGAAATGCATGTCTTTCCTGGGATTAATTCAACCGGAGACTAGGCATCCTCGAAAATCAACATTCAAGCTACGTCTGTGGTACTGGTGATTGCCCTACGCTTTACTTAGTCTGCTGGCGATCATGGTATACAGCCCATGACAGGGACCACGGTGGGAATTGATCCACCAATCCGTTCGTCTGGGTTTTTTTTTTTTTTTTTCTACTTTCTGCCTATTTCTCCACTGAAGGGGGCTGGCGATCCCTCTTGGAGACCATGTCAAGACAATGATGGATATAACAAGCCGTGCGGCTGTCCATGTCTATATTAGGGTCTTGAAGACAAGGCCTCCCCCAATAGGCCATGCATACGGTCTATCTTGACACTGTCGGGGACACAAGAAGCATGAAGAATGCTTGGATAAACAGTGGTTTACAGAGAGTAGCCAGCTTCCCCCATCTGGCCCATGCAGCTTGCTGGGACGTTGAAGGTAAAGTATTAGGCTAGAATAGAACGAATTGCAGATCCACCTACGGAGTCTCAATCAAATTCACCCACCAAGTTTAGGCGTCTTTAATTACCAAGGGATCGTCCTGTTCGAGCCCTAAGTCCATAAGCCCTCAACCCGACGGACGATTCAATTCACACTCTGCAGAACTAAACTTTGATCAAGGCAACTTTAAAAATTCCAAACTGATCCTAAAAGATTCCATTCGGCTTCGTACTCGGGTTCGCTATCGCATTTCAAGTTGGTTTTAAAATTGGCGCCGGCGATGCACCGTTAGTTATGTATGCTTCCGCGTCCAAAAATAACATTAGAATCCTGTGCTATAGCATGTAGACCCCGAGGAGATCGCCGCCCCCTCAATTGTCACCAGTAACGAGCGGGCAATAGAAATAGGTCGGGGAAGATTGCAACGCTATGGAGCCAAATATCTGTTAGCCGTCACATCGACACCGGGGAACCTCGATTTGCCGTCCCCAGTATATCACTTTCCATCTCCCACGTTTCCGAGTGAAGCGAGCCCTATTGTTTTGGTTAGACTGTTTTGACTGTCGGGATGGGATGGCGAAAGGTGTCAGATGAAGAAGGGGTTGCCATCCCTAAATAGTTCACCCACCTCGAATATTCACATTGAAACATTTATCAATCGGCTCTCCCCGTCGTCGCGATAGACACTTCTTCATTCTTTTATACTCTGGTTTTTGATACAAGCTGTTGCCGGGTTTTGAGTATAGTTGACAACGTCCCCCCCCCCCCCCCCCCCAACTTTCATCTTCACGCAAGCCAAGACGGCAGCAATCTTGGAGAAATTTGAGTAATCTGCATAATCATCAAGTAGTTTAAGCTCGAAAGATTTTGTTAGATCTAATCTCATTCGCAACCTGTTGGAACGCTGGCTGGACCCTCTCTCGGTTTGGCCCCGAACCCGAATACGGCATACGAGACTAGATCCATGATGCTGCTTGAGGTCGTCGCTCGTTTCGAGACTTGAGATCTGTTTCCAGTACGGATTTTATCCAGGAAGAAATTCTGGAACTCCCCTTCCCCCTGGACCCGTTGGGCCACGTTAGAGACTTGAGATCTTGGGATCTCAGCTTGGCAGATAGACAGGGTGGCTGAGGCTCAATGAGATCGTACTCGGTTTTAAATGATGTAGACGTGATCTTAGGGCTGATGATGATGATGATGATGATGATGATGGAATCTGATGAAGAAAGCATAGACAAGTATATACTATAAAGTTGAACCCATGGAATGCTCTTTGAGTGAGCACGAACGGAAATTCGAATTCTAACAGCGATCGAACTGACCATTTCAAATCCTTCAAAGAGTAAAATACAAGCTTTGTTTCAAGGGTTCGGGGAAAACATACATATACATATATATCAAATATGCCTCTTTTTGATCCGAGCCACAAAACCATCGTCCATTGTGGTCAAATCCTCTTGGTGATCGTGATTATGGCCCTGTCTGGGGCTCGCCTCGTGCTCTCCGGGGGAACTGCCCGAACTGGAGCTAGCTCTATGGGACTAGGAATGGTAAATAGTCTATGATCCTATGCATTCGGGAATCTGGAGAGTTTTTTAACCTGACCTCGAACGCGTAATATAGGGCGCCAAATCCCTGGTGATTATCCTCTACCAACTGCTTTCGGAGCATGTCTCCTCCTTTAAGAAATGGGCGAGCCTGAAGGCGTATCTGATCCTGAACTCGCTGGAAATCGTGTTCTGGGCTGCCGTGATGGTTTTGGTCCTCCAAGGCAATATTCAGGTGTGCGAGGGTACGACCTGCGCTTTGGGATGGGTCGTGGTCGTGTTGTCGGTGTTGATGAGGTATGATCCGCCCAACCCAGGGAGAAAGAAAGACCCGGATGCTAATTTCCTCAGTCTTCTTTCGACCTACACAGCTACTATTTCATACATGGACTATCGATTGTATAAGGCTGGGGGGAAACATCGGGATTCTTCACTCGAAGAGGGCTATCAACTGTGATAGTAAGCCAGCAATGCTGTCCTTGGACCCTGGGTAGCAGTAGCAGATATTATTGCATAAACTACCTATGGTATTCGGATATAGAATTTGTAGAAGAGGAGGCTTTCATGCCAATCTGATCACCAAACACTGCAAAGTGGGCGTTTTTACCCCAATTCCTTGCGTGTATATATATATATATATATATACTGCATCGATTATGATTTCGTTCCGAATAAATAGTTGGATATGATTTTCCTGAACTTCTCATGCTCTTTCATAGTTGTTGGGAAGTTATAGTTAGAGAGCTTTGCGAACCCTAAATAGTTATCCGTATCGGGTAAACCCCGGGCCATCTGGGAAGGAGAAACAATGATCCGGCGGTCCCGCAGAGGCGGGGAGATGTAAAAGAATCGGGCAGTTCCTGGAGCTTGATCGATCACCGCAGCCTAGGTTTACTAGACAGGGCCTGTCAGACTTGATTCTTCATCGGTTTATGGTTTACTGAGCCCGGGGGGTTCTGTTTTCGGTCAGAATTGAACGTGGATTCAAGTCCTTTGAGCTGAGATCTCGGTGTTATTGCTCGACAGCTACAGTCCCGACCTCCGGGGATCCTTAGCCATGGCTCATATGGTCGAACTAGCTGGGGAATCTAACCCTTTGACACCGCAAAATGTCCTCAATTCCTTGATTCAAGCCGCCAGCTCCTCCCAGCAGCAGGTTCAAACGGGGACCAAACAGCTTCAGCACTGGGAGAAGCAGGAAAAATACTATACCTTCCTTCAGGTGCATCTTGACCTCATTTTCTTTCTTTCTTTCTTTCTTTCTTCCAGCTTCGCTGTAGATTGGCAGTGCTAACTCATTGCAGGATATATTTCTAGATCACTCTGTTCCACTGGAAGCCCGATATCTCTCGATTATCCAGTTGAAGAATGGCATCGACAAGTATTGGCGAAAAACAGCCCCAAAGTAGGGATTTCCTCCGTCTTGGATGGGAGACCGAATTGAAGCAGTTAAGCTAACCCCTGGAAGTGCGATTAAGAAGGATGAGAAGGACCAGATAAAAGTTAGGGCTTTACAGGCGGGTGTCATCGAACCGGCCCCTCTACTCGCCCTTCAAAATGCCCTCATGGTGGCCAAAATCATGCGGCATGAATTTCCTCAGGACTGGTGCGTATGATACTTTCATGCATCAATCTCCAAGTTCTTAAAAATGCTCATGTCACATTCATAATTCTAGGCCTGATGGGATCTCCTTGATTATATCGTTTCTCCGCTCTTCCACCCAACCCGGCGCAAACCCTTTGCAATTGCCACGGACCCTTACCATTCTATTACAAATAATTAAGGAGTTGTCAACAGCCCGACTACAAAGAAATCGTACCACCCTTCAATCTGTCTCCCCAGAGATCTTCCATATTCTCGGAGTTATATACGTGGAGAGAGTGAATAAATGGGCTGCTATATTGGAACAAGGGAGCGGGGATGAGACGGGTATGCTGGAAGCGGTTGAGCAGAGTCTCGTTGCACTTAAAGTGATCAGGCGCCTTGTTGTCGCTGGCTTCGAACATCCAAATAGGGATAAGGATGTCCAACAATTCTGGCTATTAACACATTGTCATTTTAGTCAATTCCTGTCGCTCATTAATGCTTCTGCTGTGGTGCCCGAGCAAGTGCCGAGGTTCATAGAAAAACATCTCCTGCAGCTCGCAAAGCTTCATGTCGAAATGGCCAAGGACCGGGCTGCATCTTTTGCGTTGCTTCCGGACAGCATACCACTTGTTCAATCCTACTGGACATTAGTAGTGAAACTGGGTGAAAACTACAGCCAGCTTGGAGCAGATGGCGAGTCGGAAGGCAAAACCTTTATGGAAAAAGCTGGACTCAAGGCACTCCTTTTGATTAGAGCGTGCTCGAAGATGGCTTACCATCCGGCTCAGACCTTCAGATATCAAACTGCTCAAGACAAAGAGGAGAAGAAGCAATCCATTGAGCTGATCAAGTCACAGCTTTTCACTCATGAGTTTGTGGTGCACGTCATGGAGCTTCTCGTCACCCAATTCTTCCGTCTCAGGAAAAATGACTTTCAAGAGTGGGAGGCAGACCCTGAGGAGTGGGAGCGCAAGGAGGAGGATATCGCTGAAGCCTGGGAGTTTTCGATCCGGTCTTGCTCCGAGAAGCTCTTCCTAGACCTCGTCATCCATTTCAAGGATCTACTAATCCCACGCCTTCTCAATGTCTTCTATTCATTCGCAAGTGAGTTTCAGCTCCGCAACAACCCCTTCCCAAGCTTAATCACTAATGAAGTTAATTCCGGTCCTAGGCCCTGACAATCGGGATGTGTTGTTGAAGGATTCCCTATACTCTGCTATTGGGTTGTCTGCAGCCACCTTGGAGCAGCACTTAGACTTCGACGATTTCCTCCAGAGGACTCTCGTTCCCGAAGTTCAGATCCAGGAGCCCGGGTATAACCTAATTCGAAGGAGGGTCTCTATTCTTCTGGGCCAATGGGTACCAATCAAGTCCGGCGAATTGAACCAGGATGCTATCTACCAAATCTTCCAGCACTTGCTGAACAAGCAAGACCAACTGAATGATCTAGTAGTCCGAGTTACCGCAGGAAGACAGCTCAGACAGGTGTTTGACTCTTTTGAGTTTTCAGCGGCAGGATTCATGCCCTATGCCCCATCTATCCTCCAGAGTCTTGTGGCTCTCGTTCAAGAAGTTGAGCTCTCAGAGACTAAAATGGGGCTCCTGGATACTGTCCGTATGGCAGTAGTAAGACTGGAAGATCATGTCAGTGTTCCCCAAACAAAAACCTGCGTAAATTCGTATTCTAACCACCTCAAGATCGCACCATTTTCGGACCAAATTCTATCCTTGCTACCGCCACTGTGGGAGAACTCCGGCGAGGAGCATTTAATGAAACAAGCTATCCTCACTTTACTTTCGTCGCTAATATACTCGCTTAAGCATGAGTCAACAAAATACCACTCTCTTATTCTGCCTCTGATCCAAAATTCAGTCGAGCCCGGCTCCGTACGGCTAACCCCATCTCCGTCAAAAAGAAACAGATACTAATCCCAACCCCAGGAAACCCTGCTCTATCTCCTAGACGAGGCCCTGGAGCTCTGGAGCTCCATCCTCATGCAAACGCCCGCCCCCGCATCCCAGGAAATCCTCTCTCTCATCCCGTCCCTATATCCCATCTTCGAAGCCGCAATCGACAGCGTCCCACAGGCGCTCCAAATCGCCGAGTCCTACATCCTCCTCGCCCCCCAGGAAATTCTCAGTGACCGCGTCCGCTTCCCCCTCCTTGTCTCGTTTGAGACCCTCCTCAAAGCCACCACCCGCCAACGCCTTGGTATCGTGCCGCGTCTCGTCGAGCTCATGATCCGTGGCGCCAACACTGTCGACAACGGCAGCGAAACCACCTACAGCGTCATTATCCGCTCCCTCCTCGACAGCTCCTTCCTCCCAGCTCTCCTCGAGGGCCTCCACTCCGCCCACGAGGCCAGCCAAACCACCGGCCCTAACAAAAAGCAGACGAATGTCTACGGCGTCGTCGAAACAGATTACTTCTCCGTCCTCGCCCGTCTCGCCCTCGCATATCCCCGGCTTTTTGTCGCCGCCCTGGCCACGGCAACAAACACATCCCCCGACACCCCACAGGACGTCCTCTCCTGGCTCCTCTCGGAATGGTTCCTCCACTACGATAACATCGGCAGCGCCACGCAGAAGAAACTCCACGCTCTCGCTCTCACCCAGCTTCTCACTCTCAACGGCCCCAACTCCCAACCCCCACCTTACATTCTCAACCACCTCCAGTCCTACCTGAACATCTGGACCGACATCGTTACCGAACTCGCAGACGGCGTGGCGGAGGGCGCCGACCCCAATGACCCCCATGGTGGTGACTACTTAATCTACTGGAACAATGCGGGCACGGGTAAATTCGACGAGAACGAGCCGCCTGAGAACACCCGAAAACGCGAATGGGAGCGCTCCGATATCCTGCACAAGATTAATATGCGCGACTTTATTCGCGAGCGGCTGCAGTCGTTAATTGTGGGTTGTGGAGGGGAGCAGCAGTTCCAGGACGAGTGGCTGCTCAATGTGGATCGCGAGGTTGTCGCTGCGTTTGGGGCCTTGGGATTGATTTGACCATGATTGATTTTCTTCTCCTTTATTCTCTCTCTCTCTCTCTCTCTCTCTCTCTCTCTCTCTCTCTCTCTCTCTCTCTCTCTCTCTCTCGCATTCTTCAATTTTCAATTCTATGTGCATCTGTGCAAAGCTTCCAGTGCATTTTTTTTTATTCGTGTTGCATCATATTTAGATCATATGGATTATCCCTATGATGCCATCGCTTGATCGGTCCAATACCTTTCTTTCTAGCTCAAAATACCCCTATAGATGAAGCATGTCAAATACGAATATGTTTATGAGTCTATTCTGTAATTCTCAAACTGGACCAATCGTTGATAAGGATAAGAAGAGAAAAAAAAAGGCGTAAAAAAGGAACAACGAAAACAAAAATAGCTTGATTTAAGCGCACTGGCCAGGGAATTGCCTGTCCGTCAAAGGTTGAGGGAAAACGCCATTGTCAAGCAAGTCCTGCATATCCCAGCCAGGGGCACCCTCGGTTTTCCAAGTCCAAAACACCCAGCCGGTTCTCATCTCGAATGCATCCAGCTGGGCTTCAATGAAGCGACGGGTATCAACCAACCCTTCAGAACCCAGTTCAACCACGCTACCCACATCCTTACCATCACAGTCGCCGATGTGGGAGCTGCCGGGCAGGCTGCCATCGTATCGGGCGCCAATTCCCCTGCCATTAAGGTGCTTGGCACAATCAGTAAGGGCACCAGTCCACTCACCCACAATGACTGGCTTGTCTGTTGCTTCGAGGTGCTGAATTCCAAAGGAACAAGCAAAGCCTACGTGGCTATCAATATCCATGGCAACCTGTCCATTATCGAAGACCTCGTAATGGTGGGTATCCATCACAGCCTCCTCCCCAGTCATGAAGCCGTTCCAGCTTTCCACTGCATTAAATCCGTCGTGCAGGACAAGAGCAGCGTCGGGATTGTTCTCCTGTACTTTAGCTAGGGCCTCGCTATAGTACTCCTTGAGTTCGTCTAGGTTAACACCGCCGGGAATGCTGGGTTCATTGAGTGCCTCGATGGCGGTCACAACATCAGCATTCCCAGCGAGGTAGCGCTGAGCCAGAAGCTCAAAGGCGTAAATTGTTTGTTCAACAGTGTCTCTTTGTTGCCACTCAATTGGTCCTTTACGTCCACTATTATCGAATCCGTTTTGGGAACCCGGTGCTGATGCAACAATCAGTGAAAACCGAGCATTGTGAGTTTATGTCAGGTACTTACCGCCATGTAGGTCAACAATCACCTTCAGTCCGGCATCCCTAGCCCAGGTGATGGCATCGTCTAGGAAATCCAACTGGCCACTAACATATGGTTCTCCGTCAAGTGGAGTAACCGCCCAATAGCCAACAGGGATTCGGACGTGATTCAAACCTGCCGCAGCAATACGATGGAAATCATCCTCGGTGATGAACGAGCTCCAATGCGCTTCAAGTTGAGCTTGGGCCTCATCTTCCCCCAGGGTAGCAGTCAGTGTGAACTCATCCACTACATGTTCTGGAGCTCCATCAAAGAAGGAGGGAGTAATCCAAGGCTCCAGGACAAGCCAACCACCTAAATTAACACCACGGACCGGGTCGGCCTTGTAGTTAAAGGATGTATCACGAGCTTGAATGCGGCTATCCCAATAATTAGCACCACATGCGAAACAATGTAATGAGCAGAAGTAACGAACAGGCGAGCGGCTGGTGCACCGACTGCCATAAAGGCAAGCGCCAGAAGCGCGTTCTGTGAGAGCTTGGAATACATTCCGAGAGCACGCAAGCTTTCAGACGAATACTGGGAGGCTGGGTTAGAGAATGGGATCTGATGATAATCTTTGTTGTCTGGAATGGAAATCGACTGGTTTAAGTAAAACGATCGCTGAGCCCTGCGTTAGCAGTTTATGCAAGCAGCCTATAGTGCCCGGGTCTGCAGTGTTTAAATTAGCTGTACTGTTTTCGGGCAATTTTTATACCAAGTTGGGATGATCACCTGCCTGAAGAGGTTGCGGCTGTGGGGGATATGCCGGAAGCAGGGATGAATTATTTGTATAATAGGCCACAGATTTGCCCCACGAGCGGGTGATCAATAGGAAGGCCTTTCTTGCTTTGTTCTCAGGTTGTTGGCAATGCCACAACACGACGTTGAAAGGCAATGTTCTGATCCAAGAAGTACAGTGCCCGTTTGCGACCAATAATGAATATGAACTTGTATTGCTGGAAGAGAATGTCAAGGATTTTATGATAGAGAATAAAAACACTTCACAAGAGAAGTTAGTGAAGAGAGAGTATAGTCTTCAAGTGAGATGTAAGGAATCATTCTGATTGTTTATTTCTTCATCTTGGTTGCTGCCCTGGCTTGTATTCAGGGAAAGAACGTCCGTCCTTCCTCAGCCTGCAGGAACAGGGTTGGAAAGCGCTTCGGGGGATTGTCTTTAGAGCACATTATGAGCTAGATTCATCCATAGCAATCTATGCTTCTCTTAGTTCTATGTTACTAGCTAGGGAAAGAGCATGGTAGTTCTAACCTGGAGTCAAAAACTTGGTTGTCGTCAATGGCGACCCCGATGCAGTCGAGAGACATGTAAGATCATTCATGCGTATCTTGGGAAGGATGCATTGCAAGATTCTGGGGATTATGAGCCCGCTGCATTCGGAAGCTGCGAAGAAAAAACATTCTCAACAAAATAACCAAAATCTAAAGAGATGAAGAAGAAAAGAACCTGAGTCGATTTGATCGATGGCCGAATCCGGCAACTATCACGTGGACAGAAAAGCCGGTGTCCGTGCAGTACAATACCATACCGTATTATATACAAGCAATTAGACAGATCGAACATGACAACCGCCCACAACGTCTTCCCAACAAAGCTGGCCGAGAGCATGAAAGGGCCACCAAGGGAAGAATTGTCCAGTTATTTGATAATGCCCTGCTAGAAAACTGACCGCAGGAAGCTTTCGGTTTAGTTGCAAGAACAAAAGACGGTAATTTCCCGCAACTCCAACTCAATCTGAGGATTCCCTCCTCGCGGCCAATGCAGATGATGATGATAATGATGATTAGGGTCTAGACCACGGCCGAGTAGCCACTCTGAAACAGTCCAAAAGTATCGAGATACGACGAGTCATGAATTACATATCAATTTGATGTTTTCATCAGGGTCAAAGGGACCACAGTCAAACGCGGGAGTTAGGGGGAGCCATTCGGCGTTGAGAGTCCGGCCTCGGTATCATGAGGAATGCGGAGAATCAATCCCCAAGTGACGTATAGAGTACCGTTGCAGACCATTCATATACATCCAATCATGGCTGAAGGGATTGGATGAGCTCAAAAGCCTCAGACACCGGAGGGGACATGCATACATATTCCGTGCTGGGGTGAATGACAAGGGCATCGACTACAGGGTCTTGACTATCTACCGTATGTGGTTACAGCCACTTGGTTCAGAGAGAAATATTTCGATCTGAGCTTGGTCAATGACTGGGATCTACAAGGGAAATGGCACCAAGAGCGGGCCTGTCAAGATGCAAAACACGCGGAAATAACCTCAAAAACCTGTGGAATGGGCACTAGCTCCTGGACGCAAAGCTCCTTCAGGGCGGATAATTGTGCACGGGCACCAGCAGCATTGATTCCCTTGAACCCGACGTTTCCACACCGGCCTACCATGCATTGAATGGGGGAAGGCACCGTCTAGACCGAACTTTATACTGAGGGGAATGTGAGGGGTCGCGAATAGTGTGAATTGGCAGGGACAGAAGTGATGGGTATCCTGACCAAGGTGCTCATGGTTCGAAAAATGCACTTCCCCAACCGGTAATATGCAGAATTGTGTGATCAAGTCGACGTCATTCATCTATTCTTGCATTTGGCCTCCAGGCTCCCAGCCCGTTAGGGTAATAATGCGGAGCACCTAAGAGACGTTGATGCCGGATAATATCCGGAGACCAAGTGGATCCGGAAGTTGGAAGCAAGCCACAAATAATTTCTCGTCCTCCCAACAACAAAAATATGCAGCTTAGCTTCTTCATATTAATAATAAGGATTTTCTCTTTACATTTCCGTGCATTTCAGAGTCATCTGAAGCATGAAAAACGCAAGCCCTTGACGCAAGATGCTCTTTCTCCTTTAGCGTTTGAAGACTTGCCGAAATCCTATGGCGCTGATCCCACTATTAATTAAGTACCCTAAACTAGTAGTAGTAGAGCAGTCCACCATTGACGGAACCTTTATGAAGTACGGAGTAGATAGGGAGGTGGGAAAAAAAAAAAAAAAAAAAAAAAAAGACCTGGAGAGGTGAAAAAGATAAATACAGAAACAACTCACAAGACCTCATCCTAACTGTCTGTCACCTTATTGGGTAGGAAAAAACCGGAGAGCTCACTAGGGATCAGGCCATACCAAGCGGCCAAGCAAGCCCCATCGTCAGGAATCATAACACCAAAGAAGCCCACTCGGCGTCCAGCAAAGGTTGTTCTCCATGCGCAATCACACGATCATCGCGTCTAGCTGTTAAAATCATGAGTCAAAGGCTTTGAGCCTTCAATAGTTCCTTCTGGTCTAATCCTTTTTTACGCTAGAATGGTTCGGCTCTTTCAGGAACTCAACCAGCATCAGATCATATTGTATCATTATCCACCGAGAATCCCGGCTTGTGCTCGGAAACTAGGGCATACTTCGGCTTTAATTGTATGTTCATAGTGAGTGCTGGTGATGAATGGGTGCTCCGGATCTGGCATTATTTTTGTACTGGAAGATAGCTATTATTAGCAATTGTCGAAGAGATGGGATGGAGTGAGGAAGTACCTCTGGGATTCTAGGTCATTTCTTTATGACACAGATGCGAGGCAGGGGGGGAAAGTCAACTGAACTGACGCAATTGATTCGATACCCATCCAAGACAACATCATCCAGCCGAGATGAAAGCTTTGATAAAAGAAGAAGAAGTTGGAGATGCATCAAATTGTGAGGTTGAGTCCTGGGTGATGGACAGATCCAATCGGACCCGCGATTCCACATGTAGCTCGGTATATCCTGAGTGCTATTGGTCAAGCCTCCTCAGTAGGATGAATCCATTTCCTGTTCTCCGCCGTTTTCTTCGAGAAGAAGTCAAGAATTTCATCGTTATTACCCGGCGTAGTCTTCTAAACGAGGTTCATTGGGTCTGTATGGAGAAATCAGACCAGCCTAGGACCGTAAACTTTCCCTAGTCTTCTCTAACGTTATCCGTCAAGCTCCCTGTGCCCACTCCTTGTGATACGTTTTTTTTCTTTTCTTTTCTCACAGTCCGAAACACAGCTTTTTTTTTTTAGTTCGCTCCGGTCCCTAGTTGGAATTATCAGAATCCGGTGGTGAAAAATGGATCCCCATTTTACTCTGTACGGGACTCGTTCCCAGCGCGTGGAGGGAGATTCGAGTTTTCGGTGGGGAGATGGATGGCTCTGATCCATCTGTAGATATCGCAAGCTCCCCCCTCCTTCTCTCTCTCGCACATATAAGACCGTACGATCTCTCCTGGATTCCATGATTATCTACGTACTCCATTCATCATCTCCAATCTTCTTTTCATCCTAGTTCAAGGCTGAAGCTTAAACCTTGGAACATCCTTGATCGATCTTGGTTCCACCGTATATTCCAAACACCTACCTTGACGTCAACTACAAAGCCTATCATAAGTTCATCATGGAGTTCACGTTCGACGGTCGACCCATGAAGCATGTGGACCGAAAATCTCTCTATACGAGGCTGGAAACTCGGATCAATTATCTGAAAGATTTCCTCGACTTCACCTCAAGTATGTCCTCCGTTTGCTTTTCCTCACTTCATCACTGAGCCCGGTACTGATCTCCTTCGACAGGTGATGCTGAAGCCTTAGCATGGGGCTCAAAGTACATCAAGACCTTAATCCCTGCCGTCGTCAACCTGGTATACCGCAAGCTCCTGGAGACAGATATCACGGCCCGCGCCTTTCACACTCGAGACACCTCCGTCGAGACCCCAGTAGAAGACTTCTTCCATGAGGATAGCCCGCAGATCCAACGGCGAAAGATGTTTCTGCGGTGGTATCTGACCAAGATCTGCTCTGACCCCACCCACATGGATTTTTGGCGATACCTGAACAAAGTCGGGTGAGTTATCCTTGCCTTTCTCCGAAGGAAACGAGCGTTCGCTAATAAAGTAGATTGATGCATGTCGCCCAGGAGCGTCTACACAAGCTCAATATCGAATACGTTCACATGGGTGCTTGTCTGGGATATATTCAAGACGTCTTCACCGAAGCCCTCCTCTCCCACCCGACTCTCTCTATCACCCGCAAGACAGCCTTGATCCGAGCTATTAGCAAGATCATCTGGATCCAGAATGACCTCATTGCCAAGTGGCGCATCCGTGATGGCGAGGAGTACGCCGATGAAATGTCCGAGATCAATCTCGATGATAAGGAGGGTTATTTGGGCGAGAAGAAGATCCTTGGGGATAGCTCATCGGCCAGTTCGAGCGACGACGACCGGGCGAGTATTATCAGCAGCATTGCGCCCAGTATCGCCCCCTCCACAGCATCAGCGTGTCCCTTTGCGGAAATGACAAAACCTGCCACAAACACCAAGATCTGGGCGGGGAAATAGTTCCGGCTACTATTTCGACATAGTACGCCAGGCGCGGAAAGGTACACGGGATAAAAAGCATGGCGGGTTTTTCTGGGAATACATATATATATGACATTGTTTTGGATTGATATTTTGCCCCGTCAACACATCCCCCCCTTTTTTTTTGTTTTTTTTTTTTGGTTTGGAAATGCATGGATGGCGTTTGGTTCAGGTTCAGAATTTATTCAGGCTAAGAATTCATTTTTGATGCTATTTTTATCTTCAAATTTTTGTCCGGGAGATGGTACAACAACTGTACCCTCTTTTCAGCCCCAAATTTTCCGGTTCTTTTTCTCTTCGCTAACCTGCAGAAAAACAAAGTCCCTGGCATCAATTATTGCACTGGGGCCAGTACATCCACTACAGTTAGCCGCATGCCATTATTGATCTCAGATAATGGTCGAATTACCCGAAACAGGAACGATGTCGTAGATCTGTGGGACAATTATTGACGGCGATTTACTTACGAGTTACGACGGAGTAACGGAGTAGCAGGAAGCGAAGCGGCATCGAACGTGCTCGGAATACCCGCCTGATCGCCACGAGCATCTTGATTCTTTGAATCTTTTGTGCCATTGTGGTGCAATGGAAGTGGAGCAATACAACTGGTCAGTCGCTTAACCTCTTGTCTATTCATTCCCGGTACTCCGTACTCCGTACTTATCCGTTCATAGTACCTTTCCGATACTCTCTATATTGCCTATATTACAACAGCATACAATTAAATCGAAATCCGAGGGTGTTTAAACAGCTTCAACCCTCCCGCCCCTTTTTAGTCGACCCCTCCGGGCTAAGCCTCCCGTCTCGGGAAGAACAGCAGCGGCGCAAGCTGCCCACAATCACGCAATGAATCAATGAATCGAAGAGGCCCTTTCGGCATAACAATGAAGAATTGGCATGACGTCGATACTCTTTCCCCACTCAGGAGCCGAATGCCCCAAAAAAAATAATGGGGGAAACGTGCTCTCAATGCCTATCTCGTTGCCATCAGAGCAAAGCCGGCTCCAGGCACCCGAAAGCGTTGCCGAAATTCATTCCCCTCACTTCGGTGGCTGCATAGTGCATACGAGAGGAAGCGATGGCCTGTGTCGACTTGACAGGATTATTGGGCTGTCGAACTTCTTTATCGCGCTATTTGCTTTTGCATATCGCGTCCTGTGCTGTTTCAAAAAAAGAAAATAAAAATAAAAATAAATATTTCCAGTGGCTACTCGCTCTTTTTACCCTGATCAAAGTTCCCCCCCCCCCCCCCCCCCCCTGTACAAACTTGCGGCGTTGCCTTTTCCGAAGGAATAATGATCTCGAGCGATTCGAACGGTCAAAAGGCGACCATTCCGTTGCTCATCAATAATGAATCAGTCGTCACAGATACGATCTTTGAGGTGCGCAATCCGGCAACTGGCAAGGTAATTGACTACTGCGCCGGAGCATCGGTTGAAGATGCCACCCGCGCCGTGGCAGCTGCAAAGGCTGCGTTCCCGGCCTGGAGCCAAACGAATCCCTATGTGCGCCGAGACATCCTGAGCCGGGCGGCCGAGATCATGTTTCTGCGGAAAGAGGAGTTGATTCGGTATCAGATGGAGGAGACGGGCGCCGGGCGACTGTTTGTGGAAAAGACCTTCATGTTCGGAGTGGAGTTCTTGCGAGATTTTGCGGCGATGATTCCCTCGATTGAGGGCAAGGTGCCGACGGTGAACCAAGATGGAGAGGGGGCAATGGTGGTGAAGCAGCCGTATGGTGTTATTCTCGGGATCGCGCCTTGGTAAGTGGACTGACTGACTGGCTTTATGTGTGAAGGTATCTGTGTGGCCACTGACCTAGATCTTCTGTTTCTAGGAACGCCCCTTATATTCTTGGAACGCGAGCCGTGGCTCTTCCCCTGGCCGCTGGGAATACGGCGATCCTGAAAGGGTCTGAACTGTCTCCGAAATGCTTCTGGGCTCTGGGGGATATTTACCGAGAAGCCGGTCTCCCCGCCGGATGCCTAAATATCCTCTATCACCAGACCTCGGACGCGCCGGCGGTGACCAATGCCCTGATTGCCCACGCGGCCGTCCGCAAGATTAGTTTCACAGGCAGCACGCACGTTGGCTCGATTGTCGCCGCGACGGCTGGCAAATATGTCAAGCCCGTTCTGCTGGAGCTCGGTGGCAAGGCGGCTGCCATCATTTTGGACGATGCAAATTTGGCGAAGGCGGCGATGTGCTGTGCGCTGGGGGCTTTCATGCACGTAAGTTATATATATATATTTTTTTTTTTTTTTCCCTCCTGAGAAATAGCAGAGTTGTTAAAGAGGGCTAATTCCGGATTAGTCGGGTCAAATCTGCATGTCAACAGAGCGGATCGTGGTGCAGCGTGCGGTTGCAGAAAAGTTCCAGCGTTTGCTGGTCGAGGCGACGGAGAAGGTCTTTGGCCACAATGCGCCGGCACCTGTCCTGGTGGCTTCTGCGGCCGTCCAGAAGAACCGGGATTTAGTGGCGGATGCGGTGGACAAAGGGGGTCGCATCTTGTTCGGCAGCCCCAACGCGGTGGAAACATGCGAAAACAGTCTGCGACCGGTTGTGATGGGGGGGGTCACCAAAGCGATGCGCATTTACTCTACCGAGTCGTTTGGGCCAACTGTGTCCTTTCTGGTTGTGGACACCGAGGACGAAGCCATCGAGGTGGCCAACGATACAGAATACGGTCTTTCGGCGGCGGTTTTCACCAACAACCTGTTCCGTGGTCTGCGGGTCGCAAAGCAGATTGAGTCCGGGTCACTAACCCCCTCTCCTCCCCTGGCAATCCGCTGAAGCTAATTCATATTATAGCGCTGTTCACATCAACTCCCTGACGGTACATGATGAACCTACTCTTCCGCACGGGGGATGGAAGAATAGCGGGTTCGGTCGGTTCGGTGGCACCGCTGGGTATGATGAATGGTTACAAACCAAGACCATTACTTGGGTGGAATAAATATGGGACTCCGTACTCTATATCCGATTTGGTTAATGAAAATATATTATTATTATTGTTCATTGTGTAGTACCAAGTAGTACATTGTATTGTTGTACCTTGTATTCAGAAGCAACTATTAGGCCGACAAGGATACCTTAGGTAAGGTACCTATTAGATGCAGATCATTCACAGGCTAATTTAATGGACCCAATCAGACCGGAATTCATGCTCGGGTGTTATTTCTGATTCCACGGGCCAAAGTCAAGTAAATTAAATTAATCCCCTGACAGGAACGTGGATTCGGTACCTGGTACGGAGTACTGAGGTACCTGGTACTTCGGTACCTGGACGGAGTACACTGTCCAGTACTAGGTACCTGGACGGAGTACTTTCGTCCTGAAATACAATGTATTGATCTGTACATCTCAACCTTTTCTCTCTTTAACCCTAATTCCGGATATCATTCACCAACATTCCATTCCACTAACTCTAGACTAATGCAACCCCTTCCTTGGTGGTAATTTCTGGCGACCCACGGCAACATGAGCCGCAGTCTGCGATTAGAGGGAATTAACTTCCAGAAACTAGGGCCCTAGCTTCTTCTCATGGCCAACTTAACTTGAGCCCTCTCCCAGCACTGCGCCCCCTCGTTTTCTCACCTTTCTCGCTTCTCACTTTTCTCCCTGTCCTTCATTTTTGTCCCTCATTTTTGTCCTTCATTTTTGTCCCTCATTTTTGTCCCTCATTTTTGTCCCGGGCTGAAACCTCCCACCTACTCCTGTCCTTCTTTTGAAAAGTCCATTTGCACCGAAATCTCCCACTATTGTCCCTCTTTCTCGCAACTATCAACATGCGTTTCTCCATCACCACCGTCGTTTCTACGCTGTTGGCTATGGCCTCGGCCTACACGAAGCCCGACTACTCGCAGGACCCCTCGGGGAATGCTATCCTGACCCCCGGCTTGAACCAGGTCGTCCCCGCGGGCAAGCCCTTCACCATCAGCTGGAACCCCACCACCACCGGGGATATCTCTCTCGTTCTGCTTCGCGGGCCTAGCACCAACGTCGTCCCCATCGACACCCTCGCCGATAGCATCCCCAACTCGGGCAAGTTCGTCTGGACCCCCAGCACCGAACTGAAGCCCGACACCACCCACTACGGCCTCCTCTTGGTCGTCGAAGGCACCGGCCAGTATCAGTACTCCACCCAGTTTGGTCTCTCCAACCCGGACTACGAAGGTAGCCAAGGTACCTCGACTACTGCTGTGACTGTGTCCTCCTCCACCACCACCACCACCACCACCACCACCACTTCTTCTTCTTCTTCTTCTGCGTCCACCGTCGCCACCACCGAGTCCACTACTACCGAGTCGACCACCACCACTGCTCAATCCGAGACCGCCACCGCCACCACAACAGTAGTGAAGCAAACCAGCACCGAGCCCTCTACCACCCAACCCACCGAGGGGGCCCAGACCACCACTACTGCCGCCGCCGCCACCGCCGTGGCTGTAACCACCGTCAAGCAACCCGTGATTTCCACCGCCCGCACCACTCTGCAGAGCTCCACCATTCCCTCCAGCACCCCCGCAAGCACCCCCATCCAGGCCTCCGTCAAGGGATCTGCCTCCCGCAACGCCGCCATCAGCAGCTTCGGCGCCGTAGCCCTCGGGGTAGCTGCCGTTCTTGCCTTTTAACTTCTGACCCGGGAGCAAAGCAGGATGAGGAGGAAAAATGAACCGCGGCGAGAAGGGGGAGGAGGGGAATGATGTGACGTGAATGTGTCTTTGTCTGGGGCATTTTATTCTTTTTCTAATGTTCGTTTTAACTTTTGGCCTGGTTTTTTTTTTTTTTTTTTTTTTTTTTCTCCATGTATCTAATTTACCCTTTTTTTTTTTTATTATATTATATTATATTTTTTTTTTTTTTTCCCCTGGAGTTTGATTATTCTCGGTCACCTGTAGACACTACAAGACTAGACTATTAATACCGTATATATATATATATATATATATATATATATATGTTAAATGGTAAATGGTAAATGGTAAATTCTGATCGGATGGTTTGGGAGATGTTAGTCAAGTATAAGCAAGGAAAGGAAAACTTGATTATTCTAGATAGACTTGATTACAAGGGGAACATTAATCGTTAACGGTATTTACAAGACATCAAATCATCAACTGGAAGTACAAGCATGCTTAATAAAACCCCAGGTTATCTCGATTGTCATCCACTAAACGCCCGTACCTGGAAATCCGTTAGTATACCTAGGTAGGAAGCCAAATCAGAACCCACACGACACTTACTCCAGTAATACGCGGAAGAACCACACTTCCATGTCTTCATTGCGCAGCGACCTCTGCGCCCACTCTTGGCCGTTCTGAGCGAGTCGCGGCCCTGCAGTTCTCCCCGCGTCCTCCGAAACAAAGTACCGCATGGTTTCCACGAATTCATCCCCCCTGAAACTCAACGGCACGTAGTGGACCCAGGGCTTGATCCGTTCATCGTGCCATTCTCGGAACAAGGCGACCTTGCAAACCAGACTGTTGCTCTCGAGGAATGCATGGTATCGACCGCTAAAGGCATTGCCGTCAATATCGATCAGATATTTATAGCCCCATGCCTCCTGCTGGCCTGCGGGCTCGCTGACGTTAAAAAACTCCCGCTGCGCGGCGCAGTCGTGCGCATCACATTGCCCGATGGAAGTAAACTGGACGTCAAAGAGCGCGTGGTATTCCTGCCGGCTAACTTGCTTCCTTCCCCAATGGCCATTCTCGCCTCTGCTAAGGATTTCGGCCGTGTTGAGCGCGTTGATGTTGCCAACCATCAACTGTCGATGCTGCCGTCGCCAGCCACCCCCTCGTGAGTATCCTCCTGTTGTCGAGCCTCTCCAGTACAGTTTGTCGGTCTTGTCTTCCCACGAAACATCTTTCTCGCCAACGTACGGCACCTTCTTAGCCCAATACCAGGGACTCGGGTAGAGAATATCCTGGAAGCTGGAAATCTTGCTCTGCGAGAAAACAGGGAAGAGGTCGTGAACAACGGCGAAGACATTGGGTCGGTCGAAGAACCCGTACGTATACCGTAGCGACGGGGCGTTGCATATATCAGAAAAGGCAGAGGTGTTGTAGATGAACCCCAAATCGCCATGGGCATATCGATCGGTGTTGTCGGGTGCGTTTTCGTCAAGCGACCGAACGGGGCTCTCTACTGGACAAGACATTCTCGAACTAGTCCAAGCAGGCTGGTGAGAAAATCGGTTGAAACGAGTGGTGCGCACTTCGTCAATGCGATCTCCTCTGTTCAAGTCACTAGGTCTATCCGACCATTCATTCACGATTGATGTCGTCTGGAATGCCGTGGGAATCGCATGATCCTTGGCATACGCAACCAGTCTCTGAAGGTCCTCGCTGGGCAGAATAACTCTCGGCTCGTCGTGCGCATTAAAGACCAGATCCAAGTCTGGAAGATACTGGACAAACTCCTTCATCATGCCCAGAGTCGCCACGCGTTGCCACGTTTGTTCCTCCGTCAGCCCCCCTTCAGCTAGCGACACCTTGCCGTCTCGAATCAGGATTCCAAGCAAGGAATTATCGTATCCAAGGGCCTCACGCGCGCGGGCACGGATAGTTTCTGGTGCAAGTGCCCAAAAGGGTAGCAAGGTCTCGTATATCGTGTCGTATTCATCGATCAACTGAACGCCTCTTGATTGCGCAAATATGAACCACTTATCGAAATGTGGTGGCGGGTGCAGGCCGTAGCGTCGCCGGTACTCTTTCACCGCATCTGCGAGGTTTTTTGACTGGCGTGAGAGAAGCTCATTGAATTCCTCCTCCGCATCCTGAATAAGCGCTGCTATTGGATGTACATCTTTCGGGTAGAGATCCGCGTGGGCTGGGGCAGGTGCCATTGGCTGTTGTAGCGGGGGAGGGGGAGGGGAGACCAAGGAAGCAACCCTTGGAGAGCCATGGGAAGGCCTGGAGTGTCGAAGGAAGACAAGGGAGAGACACACAAGGACGCCCGTTACCAGTAAGCCCAAGAGCCGTGGAGATCGCATGCTGCCATCGGGGTTAGTTGAAGATTGGTGGAGTGGAGAATTGATCGAGTTGCGGGATGGACCTCATGCGGGCATTTAAATAATCAGCTTTTGCAAGAGATGGATGTGACAGGACTGTGTAGGTAAAGATCGGGAAAGGCAGAGAGAGGAATGTGGTTCTGGATCAATTGCGGATGAAGAGGTTGCCGGGCCAAACAGGTGATCATAACAATGCGAATCTGGACTAAAATATATGTACGCTTCTTAAGTGGCGCCCGATAAGATCAACCAGTAGTTTCGAAGCCAAGATTTTATTAGTTACTTCCGATCTTGCTTTGTCTCCTGAAAATCATCAATGATTTTTCGAATATTTACTATATTGGTCCATCTTTACTGTGCAGTCATTAAACAACACCCCAGATTCACAGCCAGCACCGCGACAGACTGCAAAACAAACCTCCGCGCCTGCTTCACATGGAAATAAGCCGCCGTACACAGCGCTCCCACGATCGAAACATGCACGATATAAAACGCGCGTCGACGGTTCTTAATTGACCCCTTCCAAATGCCCCCAGTTGCGCCAATCGGCCGCATAAAAGCCATGACCGCAATTACCATACAGACAGCCGCAATCCCCCACTGGACATCGCGATCAAGAATGCGCTTGGCGAATAAAGAGCTGTAATCTGGGTGACTGGACTGCAAGAAGAACGAATCATACAAGGTGGCGTGGGCCAAGAGTAAAGGAGGAACAACGACGCGGCCGAAGACGCGGTGGTAGGGCGTAAGAGATGGCTGCGGGATAGAAGTTAGGATAGATACCAGCGAGGAAGATCGAGGTTTTGAGGTGCTGATGTATAAGACTGGTGACATGGCTATTTGGAGCGGGATTTGAGAGAGACCGATGTGGCCGAGAGCTTTGGTCAGATGCAAGTAATCTAGATAGCATAGGTTAGTCTTCCCTTTTTTATATATATATATATATAATAATCGGAAATTCCTGCATCTCCTATAATACACCGAGTAAAAACGAACTCACCGTCTCCCGTATTCCATACAGCAAGACCGATTAACCCGCCAAGCCAGAGCAGACAGATAATATACTGTCTACGGGCTTCAACCCAGCCCGTGAAAGGCGGCAAATCTAGCCATGATTTTTGTCGCGAGCGTGGAGTACGCTTTTCGCCCTTCTGGGCCAATGAAGAGGAATAATTGTATAATCGAATGAGGATAATCGCAAGCAGGATCGCCAATTGGGCGACGTATCCGCGAAGATCCAGAAGCTCGCGACGGTGTTGCTTTTCAGCCTCGGAAACGGTCACGAAGTGCCAGGGCCACGACATCTTCTTCGTTGCGGATTGACTCAGCAAGAGTGGTCGCTTGGAAAAGGAAACAAGGGAACAATGGGAGTATCTCCTTGTGCCTCAAGTCTTGTGTACGAACTTCTTCATCTGTTGGGATGACGAACAAATGGCGACTGCGTAATTATTAATCTAGGACAACATATCCAGATGTCACATGATTCTCCAGCCTAGGACGCCTACAATGAATTGGAATCTTCAACCGATAAAACTATCAAGGAAAGTAAATGACGGTTAATCAAATGCCATAACTGTGGTTTTCGTTGGATTATTCATAGAGGACCAAAAGGATCTACAGTCGAAACGCCATGGAGAACTTCATCCCAGTCAGTTGCCCCGACTAACTTCTAATTTGACTAAATTGACATTCCCCCCAAGTCGTGCCACCAGTTCCTCACATTCACGGTGTTCTACACCACGTGCAGACGAAGCCCTATACAAAGCCGAATCAAAAAAATTGGCCTACGGCGAGGTCTGCATAGCCTCTTCGTGGCCGCCAGCGGCAGTTGTTGCAAAGTACCGAACATCAACGTCATCGTCACCCTGGAGCTTCTCCAGACTTGGGATAATCCTCTGTTGGATAAGTTCCTGGCCCCGCGGGGATGGTGCCTCGGGTTTACCTGCCTTCTCCAAGTCTATCAGAGTGCCTTGCGCCGGGAGGCGTCGCAATGTGTCAACCAGAACGGCGTAGGATTTGGCGACATTAAAGCGAATGTTGGGGATCTCATCTGTCACAAGTCTGTCCAGAATAGGGAGGATGGAGTTTTCGATGATGTCCAGCGAAACCACGGGCGCAAGAGTCTAGGCAAGTCAGCGGCTGAACCGTACGGGTAAATAGAGTGCTACGTACGGAGATAGCAAAACATGTGGTCATTCTGTAGAGGTAGTTAGGATGTTGACCCATGGCCATGACCTTGGGAATGATGGAGCCTTTAGCCCAATCCACTCCGAACACTTCTGTGAGCTTCCTGAGATTTTGGGTGGCAGCCTCTCGAATGGAGAAGACGGTGTCGCCAAGCCAACCCATGCACAGGTCGCTGAGTTGCTCATCAAAGAATTTGACACCCAGCTGACTGGCAAGGAGGGGGATGTATTCGATAATCGCAAGGCGGACTCTCCACTGCTTATCCTCAGCCAACTGCACAATGGCAGGAAGTAGAGACTGAGAAAGGAGATCGATGCCGATAACTAGGAAAGTCAGAGGCTAGTAGTGAGAGACAGAAACTGGTTGACAAAACTCACCTTTGTTAACCAACTCCAATTTGGAGATAATATGCAGTCGCACATCTGGGAACTCATCCTTGAGCATCTGAAGGAACATTGGCAGAAGGTGTGAGATAGTCCTGCACAGATTGTAAGCTTTCCCACGCGGATGCATGCCGTTGAGGCTTTTCCGATGGCACTTACTCCTCTTTTCCGAGAATGGGCGCAAGGCCACTGATTTGAGTGCCCAGGGCTGCTCGCACATGTTGGGAGGGATCTGAGACAAGGTCCTCCACGCTAGTCATAATCTCATTAAGCAACGTCTCACGATCAATCAAAGTACAGAAGCCTATTCAAAATTAGCCCCAAAGATCACATTTACCGAAAAAGATGAACATACCAGGAATCTGTCCAGCAATGGCGGTACGGACCTCCGCCTCAGTGTCTTTGAGGAGTTTAACAAAGGATGGCACCATGTCACGGGTGACAACTTCCTCGTGCACGGCTTTCGCAATCTTCTCATATCGGTCCGCAACCATATACCTAACCCTCCAGCTCTTATCCTCGAACAGGCTTCGTAGGGATGTCAGCAGCACGCCGTGGCTGGGCTGCTGCTCCTTGGGGATTTCTTCGGCAATAGCTATGAGAATATCCACTGTAAGCAGACGCACGCTGTCCTGGTCGTCGCTGGCAAGATATTGGAACAGGGGAATCATTTCGTCAATGACCACCTGAGTCGACATTTCCTTCACAAACTTTGCAAGGTTGTTGGCGGCTTGGCGCCTGACCATTGGGGTTTCATCGCGCACGAGACCAGCGAAAAACTGTCGCAGGGTTTGCTGCAGAGCAGGAGGGCATTTCTTATACGGAACGCTGTAGAGGCCGGTAGCGGAGACCTTGGATGTGAACCAGTCGGCTTTTGATAGACGTTGAACCATGGGGACGTAGTATTCTTCGATCTGCTTCTCCGACAGCTCCTCGCCGATCTTGTTAAGCGACTCGACCGCCTAGAAAGTAACATTAGATAGGCCAGCAACATAGATTGGTTAAATTTTACCTTCTCTCGGACCAAAGGTTCCTCAATCGCGGCCAAATTCTCTAGGGGTGAGAGAAGAACGTGGCCATATTCCGGACCACCAACATACTCTATAAAGCCACCCAGTTCCTCACTCAGCGCTGTCAGAACCTCATCTTCATCCTCAACCGAATCTGTATTGAAAGTATCAAAAGAATTACTAGAGCTCTAGGTAACGATATTGCGTTTATCAGAGACTAACCATCGAGGAATGGGATGAGCTCCTCGCGGGTCCTCTCGGGCCCCAGAGCTAAAGCAATCGTGGAGAGGCGGTGAATTGCATTGAGACGGAGGAGAACATCGTCATGCTGGAAGATTCGAGACATCAGAACCGCTAGTTCCTAAGACAAGGGGAAGTCTGCAACCAGGAAAACCATGATATGATACCTTCAACTCATCAATAAGAACGGCGATAGGGTAGAGCTCATCGTTTTCGCCCTGTCCTTCCATCGCGAATGTAATGTATAAGTCTGATATAGTATCGAACTAAGGGATGACCAGAGAGGCGAGGATGTGACCGGTCCAGGTCCTCACTGAGGTGGTTGATATATCACGCGAACGGGGCAGGTTATTTTTTTTTTCCTTTGCAGCTTTCCTCCTAGGACGACCAAGGAACGAGGGACGGGTGCACGAAATTAAAAGAAGAAAACGAAGCAAGACTAACACCTGCAAAAAAAAAGGGATTAGCCTAAGTGTCGAGTGGACAGGTCTCCGGGGGCGAGGTTTCGTGGGGTTTGGGCCGCCGCAAGACACTCGAGCAACAGCAGCAGCATTACGTCGACACAATTGGATTAAGAGCAAACAAGATCTAGGGGAAACCTACCTCAGAGACTCATAAAATTAAAGGGAAGAAGAAGAATTAGGAAAGGGGATAGCTAGAAGAGGTTGAGATGGAGGGAATATGGGGTTTTCTGAATGCTGAGAGGGGAAGTTCCAGAGGTTGGAGAGTTGGAACTCAGATGTGGCTGATGCATCCGCCAGGAGGGGTGACTTTTCTGTGGCGGTGTAAATGTGGCGGTTCTTCCGGTCATGAAATGAATTAATTTGAAGCGTCCAAAACTCCCCCCCAAGAGGAAGACTGAGTGAGATCTCTCCTGCCCTCAAAGTATCCCTACCCAACAGCGGGGTGAATTTCACTGCTCTCTTTTCTCCTGGAAATCTTTTCTCTACGTCTCTTTGTCCCGTCTTCTTGTGGACGACTTCTTAAGCCCCTCTCACCGAATTTTGACTCATCTATTGGCGCATCGTGAACCCCTCCCACTATGCCTACCATCTCGGTCGACAAGGCCGCGCTCTTCAAGGAGCTCGGTCGAGAGTATGTTCAATGCCTCATCTATGAAGTCTAGTATCTTTTTCTGACCAAATATCCCAGGTATACCACTGAGGAGTTTGATGAGCTGTGCTTTGAGTTCGGTATGTCGATCTACCACCATATTCTTTGGCGGGGTTGCGCTGACTGATTTTCACGTAGGCATTGAGCTCGACGAAGATGTATATCCTCCCTTCCTCCCTTCCAACCTTTCTTCTACGGCCGCTAAATCCATCTAGACCACAAATTCCGAGAGACCGATCGTGAACGGACAGCAGGAACCTCCCCAGCTTAAGATTGAAATCCCCGCCAACCGGTACACACTCATTCGCCGCATCATGGAATTTCCAAGGCGCATATACTAAAAATGCTTGGCAGATATGATCTACTGTGCTTCGAGGGTATCTCCCTTATGCTCAACATCTTCTTGGGCCGAAAGCCTCTCCCCAACTACAAGCTGGTCACACCTGCAAGCGGGGAGCTCCAGACGATCATTGTGAAGGAGGATGTGAGTCATCTTGAGCGCCTCTGCTTGATTTACCTCGATTAACAACCCGTTAGACTATGAAAATTAGACCTCTCGTTGCTGGTGCTATCCTTCGCAACATCACCTTTGACCAGGCTCGCTATGAATCCTTCATCGCCCTGCAAGACAAACTCCACCAGAACCTGGCCAGGCAAAGAACCCTGGTGTCCATTGGTACTCATGACCTGGATACCATCCAGGGTCCTTTCACCTACGAGGCCTTGCCGCCCAAGGATATCAGCTTCATCCCTCTCAACCAGACAAAAAAGATGAATGGAGAGGAATTGATGGCTTTCTATGATGTACAACCCTCCGAACATAGAATGCTTTCATCATCGATGCTAACACACCGATAGAAAGATAAGCACCTAGGCAAATATCTGCACATCATTCGAGACTCCCCAGTTTACCCCGTGATCTACGACGCAAAGAGGACAGTGTGCTCACTTCCACCAATCATCAACGGCGATCACTCCAAGATTACTCTGAACACCAAGAATGTGTTCATTGAAATCACAGCCCTCGATAAGACCAAGCTGGAGATTGTCAACAAGATCATGGTTGCCATGTTTTCTCAGTATACGTCCGAGCCATTCACGTAAGCTACATCTGCCTCTTTTCAGAGCCCAAAAAAAATACTAATTCCATGATTCGCAGTGTTGAACCTGTTCGAATTGTTTCCGATCACAACGGTGAAACCAGAGTATCCCCAGACATGGCTCCCCGGACTACTCAGGCCGAGATCTCTTATCTCAATGAATGCTGTGGCTTGGACCTTTCTGCAGAGAAGATCTGTGAGCTCCTGACGAAAATGGCCTACGAGGCAACCCCGTCAACTGCCTCTCCTGATTTAATTGACGTGCACATCCCCCCTACCCGCGCCGATATTCTCCATCAGGCAGATATCATGGAGGATCTTGCCATTGCGTATGGCTTCAACTCACTCCCCCGATCCTTCCCCAGCAAGTCTGGCACTATCGCTCAGCCTCTGCCAATTAACAAGCTTTCTGATATCATTCGAACAGAGGCGGCCATGGCCGGCTGGTCTGAGGTCCTGCCTCTGATCCTATGCTCGCACGACGAGAACTTTGCCTGGCTTAACCGCAAGGACGACGGAAACACCGCCGTCAAGCTGGCTAACCCCAAGACCCTGGAGTTCCAGGTTGTGCGTACCAGCCTCCTTCCCGGTCTTCTCAAGACCATCCGTGAGAATAAGCACCACTCGGTGCCCATGAAGATCTTCGAGGTCAGCGACGTGGCCTTCAAGGACTTGTCGCTGGAGCGTAAGAGCCGAAATGAGAGACACTTTGCTGCCGCCTGGTACGGCAAGACCAGCGGTTTCGAGGTCGTTCATGGTCTCCTCGACCGCATCATGTCGATGCTGAAAAGCGCGTTCATCACTGGCGAGGAGGGACTCGAAAACCCCGCCGTCAGCGACTCGCACTACTGGATCGAAGAATTGAATGGTAAGCTCTCCCCACACAATCCACCATGGACAGAATAAACTAACCACACTGAAACTTATAGAACCCACTTACTTCCCCGGCCACGCTGCCTCCGTGCACGTCCGTATCGGTGGAAAGGACGTCGTCATCGGCGCATTCGGCATCCTACACCCTACTGTGCTCGAGAATTACGAATTGAAATACCCCGTCAGCACTTTGGAGATCAACATCGAGGCCTTCCTATAAAGAAAGAGTCCTCGCATATCAGAGATGAGAGAGATGAGAGATTACACGGTTTAGATCTATGATAGATATATCTCTCTTGGGTCAGCTCGATACCTATGTGTACATGCTTCCATGGCTGATTTTATGAGCGTTCGGATTAAAAGAAATAAATAAAAAGTAAAATGTTCAATTTAGTTTCTCCAGTAACTATGGTATCAAGTCATCAATCAAGTGGGCGGGATTTTGTGGATGGAAGAGTGAACTCCTTGTTCAAACTAGGCTATAGTTATGTTAAGTTACTTTCAATTTTAAGAACCCGGTTTAGACAGTTGCTAGGCTGAAGGAATGACTGACTCATCCATTCCGCGGATTTCCACCTCTCTATCACCCTAGTCCTTCGAAATAAGGGGATCTACGCTGAATCGAAACCACACCATACATACGCACGCAAACACGAGACCAAGAGGGACGTAGAAATGTTTTGTTTTTTTAAACATCATGTAGAAAGCTTTTTGAAGATCATGTAGTTCTTTATTTTTGCGTCATGTAAATAGGGTAGGATGACAGGAATGAAGAGGAAGAGCGGGACCTAAGGCGAGAGAAATAAAAACCCAATTTACTCCTGAGCGTAAACCTCGGCACTGGCACCTTCCTGAGCCTCCGTCGCCTGTTGCTCTGCCAGACGCTGCTGCTCGGCAAGCTGCTGAGCGGCAATAGCCTTAGCACCGTAGTCCTGGCTCATGGGCTGCACAATGGGCTGCTCCTCCTTGGGCTCGATGATGGTGACGGAGTCGGGGAGGGTCTTCTGAGGACCAGCCTTGCCCTCGGGGTCGGAGCCGCGCATGATCTTAACCTTGATACCGAGGACACCCTGGCGGAGGAGAACGTGGCGGGTAGCAGAGTCGATGAATTCCTTAGCGGGCTGACCGGAGTGGATCATGAATCCGTCCTGCGCAAAAAAAAAAAAAATAACAAGTCAGTATGCCTGTTCTAACGTCCAAAAAAAAAACATTACTCAATTTCGCCCCATTGAGCAGTCGCAATTCTTCTCTATCCCCGACCAAAACCACCGCTCATATCCGTCCCGTTTATTTCTCCTAGGGAATTCCACACGTACCGTGAACTTCATGGACTTGGCACGAGCGGCCCTCAGCTTTCCGGAAACAACAACCTCACAACCCTTGGCACCGCTCTCCATGATGAATCGCAGAACACCGTAGCAGGCCCTGCGGACGGCCAGACCGTTGAGGAGCTTGTAGCGGAGGGATTCGCACTGAGCGACGGCGGACAGACCGCGGTTCTGGACCTTGGCGGCATAGAGGGAAACAGAGTTCTCGGGGAACTTGAAACGCTTCTGGATGAGGGAGGTGAGCTCACGGATGCGGCGACCCTGCTCTCCGAGAACCTCCTGGGTGTGGGTGGCACGGATGACTGTTTAAAAAAAAAAAAAAAAAAGAGCATCCATTAGCAAATTTCCTTCCACCTTCACTTGATTTTAATAATCCTCCAATAAACGGTCTTTTGTCTTTCTTTCTTCTTGTTTTCCCCTTCCCCTCTTGTTCTTTTTCCATTTCCAACTCCTCCAGGGATATTCAGGCGAACGTACTGATATCGGTGACGGTGGGAGTAACGCGGACTTCGACACCGGAGTATCCCTCCTCAGCCAGCTCGCGCTGGAAGAACTCGTTCAACTCGGCATAGAAGACACCGTCGGCGACGAACTTGCGGCGCTTCGAAATAGCTCCCTGGACAGCAGCCATGATTGCGTTTCTGCGGATCGAGAAATGAGGGTTGTCGAAGAAACGGCCGAGGACGCGGTGGTTAGGCGGTGCACCGAAGTTGGGAAGTCGTTCGAGGTTCAGGTCAGTTTTGAGAAGTTCGGCGTTAGTGGGGAATTTTTGGGAATAGGGTTTGCTATTTCCTATCTGGGATAGGGCTCAACCCTCGCTTGTTCTCCGCCCGCGCTTTCCTGTTTTGGGCTGACGGACACCTCAGGCTCTGCCTAAGGCACCATCATCAGTTCTATACTTCTGACGCTTAGTTCCATAAGAGTTGAATTGGTCCTCCCGCAATAAATCGTAACCGCCTTATCATACTTCTACATCCATCAAAATCAATAGCAGCAGCAGCAGCAGCAGCAGCAGAAGGAACTCGGAATTTTTCTAGTCTTGCTCCAGACCAAGGGTCACTCGCTAGTGTAGTTACATACATCAATCATAACGCTATTCATCACTGACTTTTACCTAAGTTTCAATCTCTTTCATTGCATCTCAACCTCCATTTGATTCATTCGTTTCGGGTCAGGACTATTCTCCCTGCTGGTTGAGAGCGACAGATTCGAAACCCCAGAGGTGACTCCTGCACCCATCCTGTTTTGAGGAGGGGGGGTCTGACTCGCAGGCAAACCGCTTCCAAGGGAATGGAAGGCGTTTTCAACCCCCGTGAGGACGGGAGTTCGCTCTGCGCTCGAGGCTTCACGAATGCTGGCCTGGAAGGTGCCAGATGCGCGGACACCATTCATTTCTACATCTGATCGACCAAAAGCCTCACTCCACCATCTGACCTCGTTGACTCGCGGGAAAATCAGCCGCTCTTTGCCGCGCTTATGGTCATCAATCTGGGGGTCGTATTTAGGGTTGACGAATTGCTCCCTCCGCGCGAGGAAATAATCCCAAACGCTTCGCGTCCGCTCCTTCGCTTTACATTCCACGCGCTCTTTCTCGCTATTAAAGAGAAAGGTACCATACTGACACGAATAGAGATGATAAAGCAGACGTCGTAGAAACCGCTCGTTGAACTCAAACCGTGTCGGATATTGATACAACAGTTGATAGGTTGCATCGAGAAATTGATGAAAGACGGGGCTGGTTTCTTTAACCTTGGTAATTTCCTTCTCTGTAACGACAGTCCTTGGTGCAGAACTAGGTTTCCTAGAACCAGGGCTATCGGAATCGTAGTTTTGAACTTCCCCGTCCGACTCTCCAAGCGAATCACGGCTAGTATTCTCTCGATTAAAGAATCCCTTGGCACTTAGGAATGCGTTTTCGATGGCTTTGCCTGCACCACCCCCTTCGCCAAAAGCCCTGTTGGAGTCGCCCCCAATTCTTTCGTTTTCGATTTGGAACCATTTCTCACTGTTTAAATGGCCCGATCTTTGCCGGAACATGTGACCAAAGGACATCCAGTCCTTTTCTACCAATACCATAAACCCTTCAAGAGTTCGAAAATACGGGTCAAGACAGACCTGGCTCAATGCGCTGAGCTGACTTGTGCGATCCCACCCGTCCGAGCAATGGATCAATACGTGTGAATGCTGAAGGCCAACTTGACGCGTGATCAGACCGGCACCATCTAGAATCCCGGAGATATGCCTCAGCCAACCGCTGCGAGTAAGCTGGTCTTTATTTGGGCCGAGTGGGGTAAGATCCGAATCCTTGAGAGCATCGATCACTTTGTTCAAGGAGTCTCTCATCACATGGATGTTGTCAATGCCAAGGTATGCCTTCGTAGCAAATTTGTAATTGTCCATGTTCTCCGAGCCAAGGCCAACAGCCTGCATAGCAAACGCATTAACGGTCGGCCGCGCATCAACAATAAGGTTGTGCTGTTGAGCTCCATAGATGTGCTGCTTTTCATTAGACTCCTCATTGAACGAGGCTAGTAGCTCGTCTTCCAATTCCTCAGCATTCGCGAGCTCGGGCAGGGTTTGACTACTCGAGACGTCACCCTGTGTCGAAGTCGAGGACTCAGACTCGAGACTCGGTGGGCTGACATTCGCTAGCGGTCTATCTGACCGTGAGGTTGTAAATATGGCAGCCAGAAGCTTCTCATCCTGGATACTTCGGTTCTGGCGGACGCCAACAAGTGGCTGAGAGCTTCTTGTGATCGAGCAATTGTTGACGGGATGGAGATAGGTAAGGACCGGTATTCGTGCGCGCGACCGATAACGTCCAGCGTAATTCAATGTGTTATCGGAGATATTGGCGGGTACAGGCAAAAGGGCTGGGTACGTTGCCGAAAACTAGGTCGTGGATAAGTCAGTAACACAGGAGCAGCTCGTAGCAAACGGGTGACGTAAATCATCATACCCCGTAGTCAGAATTTATTTGAGAAATGCGCCAGCCCTTTCCATCCTGGCTGACCCCTTGTCTCGCCCACTCGTGGCGGGCATCATACAGTTCCCAGCCGTTTAATTCCCGTTCAGGCGGGGGAGGTTGGTAGGTAAACGCATAGAGTTTATCGAGCCGGCCAATTTTGCACGTCCACGACTTAATGCTGTCGTATACATCTCGAGCCCTACTCTCTGCGCTGAAGTAGAAACAGACGAATGTGAAATCTCGGCAACGCAGGCGAATTGACGACGGTTGACGGGAGACCGCGGGGGTCGGGCGGTAGGTACAGAAGGAGATGATCGGGTACGTAATCCAAAGCTCCTTTGGCCGGACGATCGCACCTTCTCCTTGTGCGTTTTCAGACTGAGGGGGAATGTGGGAGAAGATGATATGGTGAGGGGTGAGATGTAGTGTGCCAACGACTTGTTCCCCGCGACGTGCCAAGGTCACATCTTCAACCTGGGATGGGAGGAGAGAGTGTCAGAGCGCTTAAAACTCCGTTTGGTTCATTTTCCTGGTATGAATTCCTCCTTGGAGCATAACACACACCTTAGCGACCCGTGTTTTCTCCATGCCTTTGCTGTTACCGGGTCTGCTGAGCCTTCATGGCTGGTTGGGACACGTCGCTGTGGGAAGGGCGGGGGGGATTTGGGAGGACGCAAAAGCGAATGAATCGGGAAAGACAGAGTAGGATATAATACGTTTAAAAGAGAGAGGATGAACAACAATAACATATACTGAACGAAATCATCAGAGTTCCCAGAGTTTGAATCCTGGGAGGAGATCCGCAAGTCGCACGGACTCGGTCAGATGCGGCCAACCCCTCGCTAACTAACCCAACAATTGCAATTACATACGTCAACCCCGGGCAGTAACAACTTCACGCCTTGCCTTGTCCATTGTACCCCGGGACGAGGCGGTTAACAACTGAAACTTCATGTATAGATCCTGGCCCTCCCTCTAGTTGGCGGCGTCCAGGGTATTTATACAATTTCTGCCTGTTTCGGTCCTGGTTCGCGCCCAACCTTCGCCTAACCGTAGGTCCTTGTGATGAGTTTCCATTTGTGGTAATTACTTCCTCTGCCTGGGATGACCTCACTACAAATAGGTCTAGACAGATAGAGAGAGAGAGAGAGAGAGAGAGAGAGAGAGAGATATTAATACACTCAGACTATCGTCTGATACCAGAAAAAGGAAGCGTACACGGAGTTCATCCTTCATCTAATATACAACCGTTCAAAATGTATGTAGTTCAAACGCTAAAGCGCAGGCCGTGTTATAGAATGAATTGAAATCCTGTTGAAGTGGTTGTGGTGACAAGCCGTTTTCTGAGCCGGCCCGGAATTCGGTGGAACTGTCGACCAAATCCTTCCGGAGGAAGAGCTCGGTCGTAGTTTGAGGATTGTATGGTCCGCTCTCATAGAAAGAATAAAAGAGGTTCTGGTCTCGGAACTCATACTGGTGAGTTTGGGTACCCTGAATGTCCTTTACGGGTAGGAACATGTACTCTCCTGTACTAGACCCATTCGAATCGAGATTTTGACTAGTATGGCCAAGAAGGCTATTCGGGAGAGTTATTGAAGCAAATGTTGGCAGAGGAACTTCACTGTCACTGGTAATACTTCGGTTGAAACAATCCTGTAGATCGCTTTGAAGACCTTCCAAGCAATTTTCCCCGGGCCTAGCTAGGAGGTCGTGGGTCAGCTTCCGAGTGAACCGAATGTCCAGAGTAGCCTCCGGGAGTAAATAATCAACATGACTCTCATCCAAGACTGCCTTGGCCCCACGGATGACACAGTCATCATCACTGGGGCTATCTGATTTGCCTGCTTTTGTGGAAACCTCCAGCTCGAGCTGCGGGAATAGACTTGCATGAAGACCGGATGGTACAAGCCTAATCAGATGAGACCGCATGCCTTCCTCTGAAAAACGTGGCGTCAACATGCGTAGGAAGTGGGCCGCCCGAGGGATATCAGTGGTGAAAACCCTCGGAAGACACATCTTTCCTAACTCAGAAGCACTAGCCTGTTTCTCTTCGAAGAACGGCTTGCGTGAGAACAGACATCTACCGACCGCTGCTGTTACGGACTCATGAACCTCAGAAGCGGTTTCTAAAGTGGGATTTGCTGTTGGTGGCCGCGCGCGAAGTAGTTTAAGAAGCTCGTCTGAAAGTCGGGTTTGGTGCTTGTCAAAGAAAGATCTATTTAGGTTCACCATCTTGGTAGCTTGGGTAGGTGATATTCCCCACCGAAACCATGATCCCTGGCGGTCGGGCCATGAGGTAAAATTTTCTGCGTCAACGCCGTGTACAGCCGATGGTTCAGAGGCGGACATATAGGTGCTGAATGGTATATGGATGGGCGACGCATTGCGGACTGCGAGGTTTAGGGTTCTCCGAGCGTTCTCCGCATCAAATTTATTTTCGAGGAGATAGAATATTCGGCTCGGGACATGCAACGGATTTCGTTCGAATGCGACTCCATATGTTTCGCTGACCCAGGTTATAAAATCTGAAGTAAAAATTCGCCCGATAGTTTTTGCTGTGGTGTTATTTGGTGGTAATAGCTCAAGTTCTTCCTGTCGTATCCTGTTCGTAGTATCGTGGACGATTTCACGTATAGATTCACACGATCGCTGCTTTCCGGTCACCCTTACAAGGCCCAAAGAATGCGTGACATCGACCTTAACCTCATGGAGGCTGGCCAGTTCCTCGAACGAAAAATGGTCTGAGCGAAGGAGCAGAGACAAACAATGCGAAGGGAGGCGAATATCAAGCTGCCCAATCTCGTTTATAACGCCGAGCTGCCAGCAATCCCTAAGTATCCTCTCCGCCAAAAGATCCTTGCCTTTAAGGTCCTGAGATATCGCAACTCTCTCCGCGACGCCCTCTCGAGCGGCTGGGCCTGTTTCCAGGAACACGGAAGTCCCAGGTCTCCATTCTGAAGCGTTGCCTTTCTCAGAACCTGCAGATTCCATTGACGCAGCGCCATCCTGCCTATTCTCGGCTATGTACTCGGCTAATTGCCGAATTGTGAAGGACGACTGAAGCCTGCTTCTGATATCCTCCCAATCGCTTAAGCTTAGTTTGTCTCGGGATTGGTAAGAGAGGCGAAAACTCTCGATGCGTTCGGCTATCACGGAGCTGTCGGCAATGGATAGGTCTTCCTCGATATCTTTGAGCATAAATGGGAGGGCGCTTTTGTCCGCAGTTTGACCAGGCAGAGTCGAGATTATCGGGACATGGCGACGGTGCTTTCGCTCCCGTACGACGACTACTTCCCCGGGTTGTCCCAGGGAAGTCACATCGAGCTCAACCTTCCGGCTTTGAGGTCGTTTTGGATTTCGATTCCGGCGGCTAGACTTGTGCCTATAGGGCACACGGCTGAGGTGGGAGCCATCGCTGGAATCGCTGGCGGTATTCTGGGATCGAGAGAAAACATCATGTCGACGAGAGGTCACGTGGATGGCATTCCTCCTGCATGCGATCAGTAACTGCGAGTTGAGAAGGCCCCCTGCACCTTTGCAGGATTGAGACAGCATCTGGAAGAAAACGTCAAGCTCGCTGATCCGGAATTGAATTCTTTGACCGTTCGGAGCGCTGAAGCTCGAGAATCCAAACCGCACTAGTCTGTAATCGGAATAGTAATGTTATCTCATCGTTATCGATAACACCTTCCTAATTTGGTAAATTTGCTTTCTAAATATTTGGGGATGATACAGTGTTCTGGGAGAAATTCATTTTAAAAGTAAATAGTAATATGTCCTATTTGTCGCTTACCTCCCAACTTCGTAAGTCTTCCCGGACATGGAATTCCGACAGCTCGTGGTCTGCGGCACGACTTCGCCAGCTCTTCCCTTTGGCACCATCAAAGAGTTGTTGCTCGATACTCCCTGCTTTCCCAGTATGGTCGAGGGCTGGGGCGAAATCCAGTCCCTTACCTCCATGGCGGAAATGGCCACCCGAGCCCTTTGTTCGCTTATCGAAGTGGGGGGATAATCTATTGCGCGACATAGTCTGTTTTGTTGCACTCACCCCCTGATGCGGGGATAGTTCATCCGGATGGCTATCAGCTGTTTGCCCAGAGTCATGATCATGGGGATCAGTCCAGCCGACACTTCCCGCAAAAAGCTCTTCGATTAATTTGTCCGCAGGAAGTTCATCTGACCGAGATATCCAGGAGGCAGCTAGAGTACGTCGATACATTTCTTGCATGTCGGCAATTTCTCGGCTCTGAGTATTGATTGATGGTAATTGGCCGAGGTCGTCAGCCTCGGCCTGTTCTGATGCCACTACTCCAGTGATACCCCCGAAAGCCATTGCAGATTTGAGCGGGGGGCTAAACACAATTAGCTATGAGAACATTGAGGAAAGGAAAAGAGAGGCGATATTCACAGTGAACATACGTCGTAAAATTCCTATCTCCTTCCACTTGGCGCACGGCTATGCCAATTTTGAGAGTGCTATTTATCTTGCTATCCTGCATCAAGTACCGCCGGACGATGCCATCGTCGTCATCGCTTTTATCAACGTATTCCGAGAGGTTGATCTTAACCCTCCCTAGCAAATTCTTTTCGTTGTGCCCCCCCGACGAAAACTCCTGTTGAACTTCGAAAACCATATCACATTCATTGAGCGTTTGGTTCCGGTCGATCGTCAGCCTGATCTGGAAAGTCTTCTCGTAGTTCCAGGACGCTCGGTGGTCCAGGATTAATGCCCTATCGGTGGATCCATGAGTTTCGTTCGAGGTTGACGAAGGCAATCGCCATTTCACGCAGGTAGTCCCGCTGACAAGGGGGATATTATTGAGGTCGATAATCTAAAATCAGCCCGAAATATGAATGGGAGGAGACATTTAACGCAATTCTAAGATCAAGGGGCTTACCCGCAGATCCAATTCAAACCTGGGCTAGGTATAGCATTAATTATATTTCCTGCATCGTTGAGTAGGAGGACTTACCCTCCGGTTCTTTGGGACTGCTCGCTGTTAGCACGAATAGCACAAAGAATGAGGTCATCCACCCGTAGAAGTTAGAACCCACGAGAGGGACCAGTAGGTAAGGGTAAGAGGGGGGCAAAGACATACCAAAGGCCTGCATCTTTGACAGGTTGTAGATGCGACTTATAACAACCACGAGACTTCTTCATTGAACTCGATGCTCCATCTTGTGGTTATCGTGTAGACCCATACTCCGTACTTTGCTTCCCACCCTCTTCTCCCGCGGCGCACTACATCCAAAGGCGGTAGGGGTAAAACTAGCAGAAGCTTACCGCCTAACAGTTATGTATTAGGCCATCAAAAAGTCACCCTAACGAAACCAATGGATGTTCTTAACCCAGAGAAACCAGTATATAGATACAATGGATCAACTACCACTTTCACCACCTTCCGAACGAGCAGTTTCTCCCAAATCAGTACCGATTCCTCTTGACTCCACACTCCGCACAACCCCAATTCACGAGCTTCTCCCCGAAATCCGCGTCCCGAACCAGCCCCTCCCAACATACCAACACCATCCTGTAACCTGCTCGCCGATCGATTCCGAGGACATGCGCATACAGCTCGAAGAGCTGCGCAAAGAGTTCCCATCTCCCGAGGCGGCATTAAAAGCACAAGAGCAAGCCGCGAGAGATGTAAAGCAGAAACTGGAAGATGCCGAAAAGAAACGCGAAGATGTCCAGAAAGCCATGGATAAGAAAATAAAAGAGCGGAATACGGAGCTGAAGGTTCTGTCGAAATATCAGGACGGGAAGGCTTCGAATCCCTTGACCTAGGTCATATTGGATTGATTGAATATATGTTCACCACGAGAGCAACGCCAACCCATATATGGCCGACATGGCTTTGCCTCTGATCCCTCTCCATGATTTTCTGCGGCAATGGACTGTTTGGGGGGGGGGGGATGCTGGAACGAAGAGACGCAGAGGACCTATCAAGAGCCGTCCCGTCCGTCCCCTCTTGTGGAATCCTCATGCTATCGGGTAAATGCCTTCCGCGTTGGAAGCACCATTGGCATACATACCTACCTAGGTATTCTTCTGGGAACTCGAGGTTCCATTCCTGAATCCAGCGAATAAGAATGGCGCAAAAGATCAGTCAGCCCCATTTTGCAGCATGACAGGTAGAGAGGTGGCGCTATGTGACATTTCCTTACTCCAGGGCGTTTAGTTGGATACACAACTCTTATCTCTCACCTTGTCTCTCACCTACGCGACTACACCCTCTTATAGTGACGCACCACACAAAACTTCTCACGCGTCATGGGGCCCAATTTTACTTCTTCTGGTTAATATCATGATTTAACAAGTCCATAGAAGGTTGCATTATTAATAGTGCACTAAATTGACATGTTAAGCATTAAATATTCATATGAAGTAAATCGCTGTCCATCAATCATGGTCCTTTACAAAGCAACGTCATGGCTTAAACTCCTTCACAGATTACCCAAAATCTGTATCAATGCGGGAAGCAACTAGAAAACAATAAGAGTTAGTCCCGTGCTGGTGCAATTAAACCGCTTGTTTTAAACATAAGGCTTACCTCCGAAGCATCTTCGATTAGAGTCCGTGTCTCATTGACAAACTTGGTAGTGAGCAAGTCATGAGCATTGTTGAGGAGGCCGCCCACCTCTCCGAGCAGCTCGGGGGTGATAATGGGGCCCACTTCCGTGACGAGGTCCTTGGTGTCATGGACGAACGCAGGCGTCAAGAGCGACGTAGCATTGCCAACCAGGAAGGAAACGCTGGTCAACAGCTTGGGCGTAATAGCCGGTCCGACGTTGTCGAGTAGGGTCTGAGTTTCCTCAACGAACTTGGTAGTGAGCAGGTTGTTTGCATTGTGAAGCAGGCCACCGACTTCGGCAAGAAGTTGGGGCGTAATGACAGGTGAAACCTCGCTGATCAATCCAGATGTCTCGTTGACGAATTTCGGGGTCAGCAGGTCATTGGCATTATGGAGCAGGCTGCCAACTTGCGCGAGCAGGTCTGCGTTGATGACAGGAGAGAGCTCTGTAACTAAGCCGCGCGTGTCCTTGACAAATGCTGGGGTCAGGAGACTATTGGCGTTGCCAATCAGGGAGTTCGTCTCGTCAACAAATTCAGACGTGAGCAGGGAGTTGGCGTTGTTCAGAAGTCTGCCAACTTCCTTGAGTAGGTCTGCTGTGATATAAGGTGCCACAGCGCCGATTAGGCCCTGGGCTTCGTTTACGAAGTGTGGTGTTAGCAGTGAGTTGGCGTTATTTAGCAAGCTGGCGACTTCTGCCAGGATAGCTGGTGTTATGACAGGGTAAACAGAGCCAATCAAGCTGTGTGTTTCCTTCACAAATTCAGGCGTTAACAGGTCGTTGGCATTACCCAAGAGGGAGCCGATCTCCTTGAATAATGAAGGGCTGAGTAAAGGTCCAATAGCTGCAATCAAGCTGCGGGCCTCCTTCACAAAGTCAGGCGTTAACAGGTCGTTGGCATTACCCAAGAGGGAGCCGATCTCCTTGAACACTGAAGGGCTGAGCAAAGGTCCAATAGCTGCAATCAGGCTGCGAGTCTCCTTCACAAAGTCAGGTGTTAACAGATCGTTGGCATTACCTAGGACGGAGCTGATTTCCTTAAACAGTGAAGGACTGAGGAGAGGTCCAACGGCCGTAATCAAGCTGCGTGTTTCCTTCACGAAATCAGGTGTCAACAGATTATTTGCGTTGCCCAAGAGGGAGCTGATCTCCTTGAATAATGAAGGGCTGAGGAGAGGTCCAGCGGCTGCAATCAAGCCGCGAGTCTCCTTCACGAAATCAGGTGTCAACAGGTTGTTGGCATTGTTCAGCAGACCACCAACTTCAGCAAGGAGGGCTGGTGTAATGACAGGCGCAACATTACCAATCAAACTCTTGGTCTGTTTGACGAAGTCGAGAGTCAACAAGCTGACCGCATTATTCAGGAGAGTACCAAGCTCCTTGATCAGCTCAGGGGTTAAGATAGGACCCGCAGCTTCAATTAGCTGTCGGATCTCCTTGACAAAGTCGGCTGTCAATAAGCTGTTGGCATTTCCGATCAGGGTGTTGACCTCCTTGACAAACTCGGTCGTCAGCAGGTCATTGGCATTATCAAGCAAGCTGGAGATCTGCTTGAAGAGATCAGGGGTCAAAAGGGGAGCAATTGACTTGATTAACTCCTGGATCTCATTCACAAAATCCGGAGTTAAAAGATCCGTCGCATTGTCGAGAAGGCCGGTGAGCTGGTTGATCAACTTCTGAGTCAGCAGCCCAGATGCGATGTTGATCAATGACTTGGTCTGGTCGGTAGTCTGGTCATCAAATAGATATGCGAAGTGATGGAAGAAGGATTCGACATCCTTCAAGAAGGATGGGGAGAGCAGCCCTGTAACTCCACTGAGAAGGTTTCCTAAATCCGTTAATGGGTTCCCGGTGGTTCCATCAGGGATCAAATCGTCCAGAAGGCTGCCGCCACTGCTTGCGGAAGCTGCAGCACTTGAGGATGTGGTCGTTGTAGTAACAACCGGGGTTTCCGTGGAGCTGGTGGTTTCGGTATTTGATGGAGTAAGGTCAGACAGGATATCACCTAACCCTCCTAGTGAACCGGTGCTAGTTGCTGCAGCACTCTTTGTTGTAGTTTCTGCCGTGTCACTAGCAGGTGTGTCAACCTGCTGGTTAACGGCGATGCTCTGGGTCTGCTGGGCAGCAACCGTCGTTGTTGTTAGCTCTGTTGTCGTCGATGTGGCGGCCTGTGTTATAGACTGTTCTGCCTGTGATGGGGAGACTTGAGCTGGTGTCGCTAGTGCAGTACTAGAAAGCACCAGCGCGGCAAAAGCTGTCGAGAAACGCATCTTTGGTCTCCGTCCACACTTCACAGGGATGGCCAGCAATTGTTGGCTAAAGAACCAAATTCAGATGCAGGGTGGCTGCCCCTTTATATCTGCAAATGCACCTCATTTCTGCGCCAATGCAGTGACGATGGGGAGATGATAAGCTGGGTATCATTGTTATTTCGCTCATGTGAACTGCTGGCTATCTCATTAAAGCTGTGGGGGTTTTCCTGTTTGTCTCCATAGCGGATTTGGTCGTCCAACAGCAACGGGGATGTCTTAGAGGCCTCGCGGAGGTTATTCCTGCTTGGTCTGGACTAGTTACTATGGCATTCCAGTCATTCACTGTGGAGTTGGAAAAGCTCCAATACCCAGATGGGCAACGGTAAGGGACAATGATCGTCGTTGGCTAGTAGAGAGCACGGATCTAGAGCAAGTCCTCGTCGTCAAAATGCCCCAATCACCCTACCCTCCGCGACGGTCTCCAAAAAAAAAGGAAGAACGGCAGTGTCTCAGCAAATTCTGGTCAGGAGAGGAATCGAAAATGAATTGGGAAATCATTGCGAATCGTGCCCGAGGACTGGAGGTTTTGATTTCTTTTTTATCCCTAGCACCTATCATGCTGCGTCAGTACCGGTAAGAAGGGGTAAGTATAGCTTTTAAGCTACTCCGTACTAACCGAACGTTCTAACGAGAAGAAATTGCTGGTGTAACTGAAAATGAGAGCCGTGATTGGGCGTAGGACGGCTCTCTAACTTTTCTTAGCAGGAGCCTGGGGTGAACGTAAAGACTCAACTTGTATTCAGCAAGATGTGATTGCTAGAACGTGTATGAAGTACTCCGTACTCCGAGGACTCTGTATGTCTCTGGCTGATACAGCAAGGAGGGAGTCAGTTACGCTTCTCGGGATTTTATTTGTATTTTCGAGAAAGTCCTGACTGAGTGGGAGTCACACTCATGCTAGTTTGTTGATCATGCAAGTTCCCCACTATCATGTCTTGTTTTTTCCCCCTTGGAAAACAGTTCCTCTGTCAGAAAGGATAGGTTCGGGCAGTTTCCATGGGAGAAAACTTCCTTCTTATATTCGAGTTCACATAAACAAAGAGTGAGAGGCAAGGAATTACTGTACCTTTGGCTAAATAACTATACTAGTACAAAATTACTAAATTAGTGATTCTTGTCAGCCTCTTTCCATCAATAATACTCCGTATTTAAAGCAGACTTGAAGAGATGAAGATTCCACATCTACATCAAATTCTTCTATACAAAGACTGCCATCTCCCCTAGGGATAATAGGCTCACATTTTAATCCAGAGTATGGTACTTTATAAAGTTAGGGCTCAGAGAAGTTACCAAAATAAAGAACCTGGTTCTGGTCCCTCGTAATAAATTCAATATTAATATAGGCCCTAGTAAAGAACCTGAATCTCAGCGTCATACCCCCTAATATCTACACCATCGTCGGCTTCAAGGTGAGTACTATTACCCCAACAGCTTTATTCTAGGTAGTGATTAGCGCGACGTACTTTAAATAGAAGAACTCCATTCGTACGAACACAGATAGGCCGAGTTGTACAGTAATAACGTAGGAGTAAAGCAACTTGGATCCTTGTTCATGTCCGCAGGCATGAGATTCTAAAATGCTAGTATAGGAATGTTACGCGAGAATTGACCTGAAATAGACCACCGTTAAGATAGTACCAAGTAGAGCTCCAGGTCCAAACACAGGAAGAATATCAAAAGCCACCTCACCTCGCACAGGGAGGGTTCGTTTCGTACTTTTGGTTCAAGGATCAACAGAGGCCAGTCAGAGCACGGACATAACAAGGTGTTGTTAAATTGGCCAGCCCCTCATATAGTGATCAAAGAGAGGTCACAGCGTAACCCAGACTTCAGTTTCCGTATCTCAACGTCAGTCGAGGCCCTTCGATCAAGGACCTAAAGAAGTTAGCTGAACAGGTGACTGAATCTGTATGCATGGTCAGCATCACTAGTGACCCTCCATCAGCAAGATATGGTAGCACTGGCACTACTTGAGTCGTCGGGGGCTATTACTCTGATTGATTTGGGATTTGGGACTACCCAAGATACCCCAGAAGGAGGAATTGTCCGACCATGCTTATGGCGTACTGGCTGGGTATCCGTCAGAATCCACGCGCTGAGCCCATCTGAAACAGAACAGGTGCAGAGATCGTCACCGGAGAAGCAGGTGTCAATGTAACCGTATTGGCTTGTTGCATGCCTGGCCGGATGCTAAAATCGAGGTTGAGGGCGGTAATATTATAGGAAAGGAATCCATCCGTACCCGGTCTCAATGAACAGAGGAATGTGGGATGGGCATGAAGTTATTATTGGGTCTTTCTTGATAGTGGAGGAGGGCTAACGGTTGAAAAGATCCAAGAGGACCCCAATCGTTGAGTCATTTTCCAGAACTAACTAACTAACTAACAATAACTACAACCTGATACTGAAAGATATCGAATCATGACGGACTGGTGATCATCGTCAGGCTTCGCAGTCTCCCGTTTCTGAACCAAACCTTGTGTGTCCGGATTCGATTCTCTGGCTCTGAAGGTAGTATCTTGAAGTTCCTTGACCAGGCTGCAGGAATGCATCTCACACGGCGGCAACCCCCCGCGCCTTCACGCCTTGTCCAACTTGACCATTCCAAGGATCAGTTAGGTAGGCATCATCCCACCTTCAACTGCAGACTTTTCAGCTTCTTTTTTTTTAAAAAAAAAAAAAAAACTCATTGACATATTTTTCTCAAATTAATTCTCCGTCGCCTCCATCTTATTATGTCATAACCTTGTGGCTAATGCAATGACAGGTGGCTTCGCTGGGGCGCAGCAATCGGCCATCCCCGAAACCCTGCCGCGAAAAATAATATCGGATGAATTATCATGGATGATTATTATAGTGAACCAGTCTGGATACTTTTCCGAATTTTCGAGGGTCTCTTCCGCAGGGATGAAACATCCGATGCGCTATTCTGCGCTATTCTGGTGTATCGCACTCGCTCGTTCAAGACGCTGATGACGCAACCCAACCACACATAAATCAATCCGTGGATAAATTCAAGAAATAAATCAACCCTTCGTACGGAGTACGGAGTATGGAGTACATCATGAGGATCTGCTGAATGCCGATTCCAAGCGCTGCCGCATCCCCCGTGACTCACCAAATCTGCACAGTACATACGCTGTACAGTAACTGGGCGCGTACTGAGACGGCCACTCCAGAGTCTCTCAATTTTTCTGCCTGTCCCGTCATGTCCGTGTTGTGGCATGGGCACTCCGGACAGAACTCAAGAGTCTTACTGGGCTCATAATTCACTCACCTTCAACCAGTCCAAAGGCGTCTGTTGGCTCTGGAGAGGTCATGGGATTATCTGGAAGCTAGAGAATTAAGTATAGTTATTCAGAATACCTGCCTATCCCCCCCTCCTTGTCAACGCCTGATTGCATGCCGTCCGGACCAACAAAAGAGTCCTACAACATACATACACATTAGGGACTTTGTGCAGAGCGACGCCAAAGATGCATGAATGCAGATCAGAAAAGAAAAGATCCAACGGAGACAGGCTGCTTCTCGTCGCTCTTATTTATTTCTGTTGTTTCCTCGCCCTGTAACACCCGAGTATCGACATGATTATTACCAGTGTAGCCAGCCCTTTTTTTTTTTTTCCCCTCTCCTTCTTTCTTTCAACTCCGATTCCTCTTCCAGAAAGTCTGGAGATAACCATCGACGAGGCTTAGTCCAATGGTTGATCGTAGCAAGGATCTCACACAGTAACCCACCAGCCGGACTCCTTTACGTATGGACGAATAGAAGCTCTGAAGTGGCATCTGTTCGGGTTCCCAGCCCATTTAGCTCGCCCCACGGCGTTCAACCCCTCCAGAATTACCAGCTGAACTTGAATTTTTTTTTTTTTTGTTTTTCCTCCTGTTAACTATAGTGTCTCTCTCCTTCTCGTCGATTTCCTCTGTTGGACGAGATCATGTGAGTCGTACTCAACCTTCCTTCTCATAGATTTCAGATCTGGTCTAGGGAAGTAGATTAGGGTAGGCCGTGACTGGAAACGCACGAGGGAATTTTCCCAGACATACCGCTCGATTACACGAAAATACCGAAGCCGGAGGAACCTCGTACAAGGTCAGACGCATCTGCAAATCTGGATGGAGATTGAGACCTTTTTTGTGCTCGGAATTGCAGCTGGTCAGTGCTGTGCAGTGAGCGTACCATAGACTTCTATCTCTATCGGACGGAGTAAGTTTCTAGAGACTGCATATTCCTATTCTGTTCGAGGTTGAAGTTGAACCGTGGTACCATCAGTAGTGCTTCTTGGGCGCTTAGGTTTAACCCCCTTGAAGACAGAGAGATCTACTCCGTACCTCGGTAATGAACTTGGATACGGTCAATATTACTACTAAAGTAAGTAGTAGTACGGAGTAACCTGGACTGATTCCAGCTGAATTATTAGCTCCACAGTGGTGGCAACTTGGATGATCTTCACATTTGGAGGGCTGTATACTCCAATCTCTCGGACCGTCCGTCATACGAAAGGAGGATAGGGCACGATGACCTTCCGTATATAACCCTAAACTGCAGTGTACAGATATCGGGGTTCCTATCCTTTCAATTTGGGGGGCTTAGCAGCTTACTTTGGTAACTATGCATGGATGACAGAAGTCTACATATAGAATACTTCGGGTTTGCTTCATGATTTACCTCTAGTATCATTATCCCTCCCAGAACCCTAGGTAGGCGCTCTGGTTAGTATGTAATAGGGATGTATGGCCCTGTATAGTAGACCTGGGAGGATAGACATCTCTCTCATCCTACATTAGTGCGCCCTACTCCACCTACCGCCCGAGGACAATTCTGGACACCTGCATACTACTAACGCTGAAGCCAGAAGAGATGCAGAGACTCTGAACAGCTGAGATCGGACGGCGAATCCGGACAGAAGTTGGTCTGGTCTTGTTCCATACGATCGGGGCTCCACGTCCGTCTGCAAGAAAAACAGAGACACCGGAATATAGAAGAAGAATATGACTATTATAAGAACTACTTCCGATCTCTAGTTGTTATCTAAGGGAAGTGTGACAGAGAGGTTGGATGTAATTCAATCTACCAACAAGGGTTCTTCGGACGATTCCCAGAAGCCGAAGTCTAGGGATATTTCTTTTATTTCTTTTATTTACCTCCTTGATATATTTATATTTATATTTATATTTTCTTATTCTTATTCTTATTTGACCTGCGGGAAAAAGCCTTAACTCAAGTTGCGCGCCAATATTTACTGGAAATCCTCGTCGTTTTTTCATCCTCGTTCGCCCCTCTCTCTCTCTCTCTCTCTCTTCTTCTTTTCCCCTCTTCCTCCATCTTGGTATATTTCTTCTTCTTCTCTCTTTTACGGTCCTAAAAGGCCTTCTTTCCTTCTTTATATATTTTCCCCTTTCTTTCCTTATTCCATTCTTATTAACGAGTCACTGTTTTCCTTCTTCTTCTTCTTCTTCTTCTTCCACCACTAGGTTGCACGTTCGCCCACACGCTAATTATCACTACCCAACACCCACACTCAGCATCGTGGACCTAACTATCTGTCTCGTCTATCTGAGGATATCCTGTGGAAATTACCAGATATAATCAAAGAAAGAAAGAAAGAAAAAAAAAAAAATTCGCTGTGGGCGAACGCTGCCTTGATGATTGGTTTATGCTCTCTTTTCCCTCGTTAACCAGCTCTTGCGTTTCCACTCCTTATTTTGGGTATACCTTCGCGCAAGAATCACAATGCCAACTATCTTGTTGCCTTCTTCGGCAGCTGCTTTTGCGCCACGCTCCCCGCCAAACGTGGTCTTGAATACTAGGATCGAACCATGGCTCACCGCAACCTTGAAGCGAGTTAACCGGGTAAAGCGACCCTTGAACAATGTGACCCAACATACAAGATGCCTCACAGAGACGCTATCATCACCAAACGCCATCTGGACCCTCTGCTCGATGATGTTCCCCAAGGCTCCGGAGTCGGAGCTCAGGAAGGATGAGAATCCTTTGGTGGAAGCCCTCTTCAATTACCAGATGATTCATATGGAAGCATACGTGGTGCATGTTGACATGGTCTCTCAGAATGAGATCGCCTTTAAACTAACTCCCGAGACGATCGAGGCCCTGGTGGAGTACCATAAGGACATTTACTCCGTTGACACCGCCGCTAGTACCTGGGACTGGGCGGAGAAGGACAACCAGCTCAAGAAGTTGCAAGAGGAGTTTGTCCAGGCAGCCAATAAGTTTGTATACCGGACCAGCGCCCAAGCCCTGGAAGGCTTGGAGGAAGATGGTGCCGGGGAACTGCTTGGCGGGAGAAGTGATGATGCAAAGTCGGCGATCTCCGCCCTTTTCGTCCCTTTACTTCCGCCGCCACCTCGTGTGGTGGATGTCCTCCGGTCGACGCCTCTACTTCCTAGCTCTACCGCGCCCGAAACATGGTGGCAAGAACCGATGCAACACCCGGTATCGATGGATTCTTGGAAAGTCCTCCCATCAAGCCCAGCACCAACCAGCACCGCCGACAACAACCCAAACATGTGGGCGGGTTTGCACGCCCTGCCCGAAATGCAACTGGCTTCCTCAACCCCGACCTACACTCAAACCTATACCACCTCGCCGTACAACACCATACAGTACTATAGCGCAGCGGCGACTTCGGCAGCCCTGGCAGCTCTTCCACTTCCGAGTATGCTGGTGCAACCTTGCAGCACCGCGGCGAATATGGCAGGATTTGGGTGGGGGGATCGATACCAAGATTTCGCGCTGTCATACGGTACAACGATGTAATACGTCCATGGCACTAGACACTTGATGTTGACGGTCTCCCTGACTTCGCATGTCTTTGGATTAGATCCCAGGGCCCGTATCGACAGAACTATCAGCGCTCATCACCACTCCCCGGGTCCGAAAATGTACACCCACGAGATCGACAAGGGCCAGTTCCCCCCGGATACAGACATCAGACTAATTGGCATCAGTGACGGCGTTATACCCTTGATTTGATTTGCGAAAACCCATGATACTCCACTTCGTCCTTGCATTTGCGAACCCAAAAACACATAATCTCGTCTCCTTGCGACCCCTTTTTTCGTCCTCTTGTTGTGCTAGCCTTTTTTTTTTTTTTTTAGCGTTTTGAGTGTGTATGTGCATGTTTTTTTTCATGTTTGTTCATTTTCATTTGCATCAAGAATTAGCGGCGGGACGGCTATTTGTTGTCTTTTGGGGTGTCCCATTTTTCAATCCCGCATTATATGTCATGAAGACCGGTTAGCCTCGCGGCTTGGGATATGATTTGGATGAGGAATGTTCACCACACTCTTTTGGTTTTTTTTTTTTTCCGTCTCCATGGGTTGGCAGGTAAGTAGACAATGGTAGCTGGTCTGGATCCAGCTTCGTTCGCCTTCCTGTTCAACGTCCTGCCTTCTGGTACAGGTGACCAGACTGGTAATCCGCGAAAGCGGATTAGGAAGGATGTCATGGTGCTGCAACTCATACCATCTGTGATGGTGATGAATGCAGATTTACAACGGATGAACCTATGTGGGATGGATTTCTACAGGTGTGCTGGTCCTATCGATCTCAACAGTCTGTCCGTGGCAGGCTCTGGGCAAGGTTTAAAGGTATCCCAATACTAGTCAGTGACTTAGGGTGTCTTGACGTCGTGAAACCAACACATTCTTGCTTTCCGCCCACACTAGGTCGTCCGTTGCCCGGTAGGTTCATCTCCTACCGTCCAGGCTGGGTTTTATTGATACCTGGACGGGCCCGATCGCTGTACCCTCACTGGTGAGGCTATGGGCGACGGGAATCAGATGCTGGAGGCTGGTCCTGACCCTTCGTTCTTTTGCGCTCTTGGATAATTTGTATGCAGCTTCAGCTTGTATTTAGTTTGGAGTCTATAATTTAAACAAATACATAAAACAGATTGAGTACATGACATGAGAAAAGTCTAAGATTATTAATATCAGGGTCATAAAAAGTAATCATCAACAAGTAACTAACTTTAGGGCAACGGAAGCTGACGGCCGGAACAACACTACTACGGTGACGTCAGGTACTTTGCGCGATAACTTTGTCTTTCCACCTTCTTCCTTATTCAGCATTTAAAATCTTCTTCTTCTTCTTCTTCTTCTTCTTCTTGTTCTTCTTTCAATTTAGGAATTTCCTATGGTTTATAGGGAGCTGAAATCGCTGTCCTACTGCCTGAATTAAGCGAAAAGAGAAAAGCTCCTCCAGCATACCCCATCTACCTGAACCCCTATGGCAGCGCTGCACGAGGCCCTGAAATACCTCACCAGGACATCATGGGACTCGGTGCCCACAGCCCCCGATGAACTCCGGATCTACATCAACGAGATCTCAACCCAAGCCCGGCTCATCATTGAGTCCGTCCCCGAGCCTCCGGCCCTCGACGAATCCGCGCACCACGAACTCAATCACACGCATGCAGGGGGCTCATCCTCGCATATCAAGCCCTCGTCCGCGCGTTTCGGAACAGCAGACGAACCCACCCTCGCCTTGCAGCGCGAATGGGGCAAAGCAATCAAAATCGCCGGCGCAAGGGATAACCCGCTTTCGATCCCGGTGTACAAACTCCCCGGGATAGATGGCAACGGGCATTGGTTTGGACGGCGCAGCGTCCATGAAGGGCTGCCGTTTGACGTGTGGAAGTCGAAACTAGAGAGTGAGATGATGGAGACGCTGAGGATGAATCAAGAAAGGGTTCAAGAGGGGAAGGCGCCCGATCAGTCGGTCAGGGGGATTGGCGCCGAGAGATTGGTGGAGGAGATTGTGGTTTACGATGATCCCGATAAGGATAATGCGGCCAAGAAGGTGGTGGTGGTGCTGGGAAGGGTGTTTGTGTTTCATGTCTCGGCGCAGTTTCCGAGACCTACCGCGCCGAGAGATTTCGCGACCATGATTATCAACTGGGATGATTTGCATTCGCACTCCCCGGCTGAGAGCAAGCATGGCAAGAACCGAGGGAGGAACTGGATGATGGTCTCAAGACCGTGTCAGCATCCCGATGTCCCGTCAAATCATGGGTATATTCGGGGCGAATATGAGTCTGTCGAGTTTATTCGGGAGATTGTGGTGGAGGGCCAGGATTCTGGGTTGTCGCAAAACTCGTCTTTGAATAATGGGGTTGATGTCGCCTGGGATCGTGAGGCCGACAAGTACAACCCCGTTGAGTGGATTATGGTAACCAGAAGTGATCCGGGCGGCAACATTCCTCGATGGATGGTTGAGAAAGGCACCCCGAGAAGCATCTGCACGGACGCAGTCAAATTCCTGGACTGGGCATGCCAGGGAATGCGCCCACCGCAGCGTCAGACAAAACACGCGCGAAAGTCGACCGACAAATCCGAGAGCAGCCAACCCACTACGATCGAAGGAGAGTCGGAGGAGGATGACAGCGATACAGATTTTACGGAACCTGAGCACGAAGAACACCACGGGCTTATCGCCAGTTTCGCGTATCTGATAAACGCCGGTATTGAACGCTATGCACCCCCGTCTGTGCTTGATTATATGCCTTATCACTTGCGCCATTTGTCACAGAACAATCCAGATGGCATAGGTGACGATCTGGACGAATCCCATCAAACCCCAAGAAGTATTCCACAGAAGGAACCAACCAGCGGGGAGAAAGAAGCACAGGACGATGACGAGACACGGTCTCAAGCCTCGACTGTTTCCGACACCAACACCCCAGAGGCAAAACTAGACATCTCCCCCGCAGAGATGATCCAAAGAAACAAGAGCGGGAAACTCTCCTCGCACGAAAAGCAGCTCGCCAAACTAGCGCAGCAAAAACGCAGCGTGGAGGCCCAACTCGAACTTGTCCGAACGGATATCCAATCTCTGCGTCTGCGACCATCGGAGGAAGAGGCCAAGCGAGATAAAGCGGCAGCTCTCGCTGCGATTGATAACCCCAGCGCCGGCCATTCAAACCGTAGTTCGGCTAGCAGCGTCAACCGACTTGGATCCGAGGATCGACAATCCTCGAGTACCAGCGGTCATCGTCATCGTGCGGAAACACCCACGCGGGAGAGTGCGAAGATGAATAAGGTAGCGTCAGGGCTATTCCACGAAGAATCGAAACTACTTCGACAGCTCAGCAAGATCGAGCACCAGCAACTTAAAGAGGCCGCGAAGGTGGAGGCACAGCAGCGCAAGGACGCGGAGAGACAGGAGAAGGCGCGCTCGCGCAGCGAAGCAGAGTGTTTGCGTACAGAGGTGGAGAGTTTGAAGAAAGAGTGCGAAAAGCTCAAGGGTGAGAGGCGCAAGTGGCTAGATTTGATTGGATCCTTGCAGACGGAAAATAGCAGGTTGAGGGAGACGATTTGAGGAAACGAAGTGATCTCGTTAGGGAATTTGGGTTGTGTATTCGACGACTGTATGACATTTGATGACTTATGAAACTGATCTTGATCTGGGAACTTGAGATGTAAAAATAGTTGAATTATGGATCATTCAATAAAAGTACAATCCGTCCCTGGTGTATTCATCCCAACGACCAAAGAACGATAAGCAATTCGTACGCATCAGGGAGTTCAGTCCACACACAGCAGGGATAGAGCTCGATCCTTGATTGCAATGCCTCGTGGTGATCCTAAGCAGTGGCTGGCCTGCAACCACATGGAGCATGTGCGCCTGGGCGCATTCACTCTCCGCCATCTGGGCAATTATCCAACATGATCCTCATCTAACGAATATCATAACCGGAGGACCCGAGGGAAACGCGAGGCTATCCATCCATCCATCCATCCATCCATTCATGAATCAATCAATCAATCAATCATGCATCCCAGGAAACGCAAATCACTCCTGCGTCTACTCAAGTCAGTCACATATCTAACCTAACCAAACCTAATATCCTCTCCAACTCCCTGGAAAAAAAAGAAGAAGAAGCAGGGCACGGGGAGGGTAAAAGACAGAACAAACCTCAGGCGGATTACCAGCCCCCCGAACCATCTTCTCCAACATCGCCGCACGGACTTTCTCCTTCGGCTCGCCCATCCCCACAGACATATACGACAGCATGGCCGGATGCCCGATATAGGATGCGTAGCTGTCCCGCACGATATTCGACACCCATTCGTATTTCGTGGTGTCGGCGTGTCCGGTTCCGACGTAGCGGGCTTGCATGGCCTCGAGGTTTTGGAGGGTGCGGAGTTTGTCGGCCATTGTTTCGTTTTTCTTCTTCTTTTTTTTTTCTTATCAGATTGTGGATATCTGGGTTCTTGGGGTAGTTGGGATGATCTAAAGCAGAGAATGTGATGGTGTGCTGTGCTGGTAATCCAGGGCCTGGGAATGATGAAAAGGAGTTGGTGGAGGAGAGCGAGAAAATGCACCGTCACGTGACTGGCCCGGTTGGTATAAAAGCGGTGCAATTTTTATAATTTCAACAACTAACTACAACGAGCTCCTGCTACAGGGTAGTAACTGTCTGTAAAGAGGCTATAAAGGGGAATGGGGAATGAGGAGAAAGATCCCTTGCCCGGTCGAATAGCGTCTCTGGTTCATGCGCATTTCGATGCCCTGCCGAAGCGCAGTAAGCCGATTCTACGTGATGATGGAACGAGAGAGTGGATTCCCATGACGGGGATTGTGGTTGTCAAGGGTTTGTCTTCTCTTCTTCTCTTCTTCTCTTCTTCTCTTCTTTTTTCAGGTTGATTGTTTATAATTTGGGGGTGCTTGCTAACAATATCATCAGGAGAGAATACACCATGTGAGGAACTAACTTGTATAGCAGTCACGTAAGTCACTTTCCTTTCGCCTCTAGGCTATATATATATATAAAAAAAAAATAAATAAACACTAAAAGAGATTCAGAACCGGTGCCAAATGCCTCTCTGCAAGTCAAATCCCCAGCTGTAAAGGGCTAGTACTGCATGACTGGCACGCGGAAATCCTAGCCCTGCGTGCATTTAATTTCTGGCTTCTGTCTGAATGCCACAGTGTCCTTGCACATGAGATCCATTCATCCAAGGCTCCAGAAGAAGAAGAAGAAGAACAGAAACAGGAAATGAAGCAGAACTGCTTATCTCCATTTATTCGTTGCCGCCGAAAAAGTACCAGGAAACCCCATCTCCCGCCATTCGAGCTCCACCCTGATATCGCTATTTACATGTACTGCACCTGTGCTCCTTGCGGTGATGCAAGCATGGAACTCTGCATGGCAGCGCAAGAGGATCCCACACCTTGGACTACATCATCTTCCTCAACTACCAATCCACACCCGAAATCTCACCCCCCAGACTCGTTAGACGGCCGCGCTCACTTTTCCAACCTCGGCATCGTCCGTCGAAAACCGTCGCGCGCGGACGCCCAAGCAACCAAGAGTAAATCGTGCTCGGATAAGCTTGCACTCCGCCAGGTGTCGTCGTTACTCGGCTACGAGGCTGGGTTGCTGGTTGCGCCGACCCGGAACGCTTATATATCGGGGTTGGTTCTTCCAGAGGAAGAGATTACTCGGGTTGGGTGTGAGAGGGCCTTTGGAGAGAGAGGGCGGATGAAAGATTTAGGGGGGAGGAGCTGGTCGTACTCGCGGTCAACTACGATGAGCGGGGGTACCAGGGCTGCAGGCGAGGAAGAGGAGGAGGAGGAGGAAGAGGAACAAAGCCGAAACCCCGGAAATGGAAATGGAAATGGAAAAGAATATCAATACGCATTCTATCCATTCCAAGTCCTTTCCATACCCAACGAAAAACTCAAATCGCTGTGGCCATTCCGAAACCCCAGATCAAATAACCAGGACGCTCTCAAAAAAACCAAACCGGGTACAATCTCAGCTGTATGGATCAGGGCCCCTACAACTCCCATCCCGGGCGATTCCAAGCTATCGTCTCTCGTAGCCGAGAACGGCTCGAAAACGTTACCCGTCCTTCGTGGCTCCAGGACGGGGTTGTTTGAGAATATCATCAACGGGGTGAAGCAGGGGTACAAGGCGTCCGGAGCGGGGCCGGGTGCGCGGGGTGCGTCAGCCCTCTCGAGGGCGAAGTTGTGGGGGTATTTCCAGGAGATCGTGTCGTTGTCGTTGGAATCTGATTCTCACGGGGAGAAGAAGAATGAATCTGCAGAAGAAGAGTTGGGGGCTCTTCGAGCTTTAGTGGAAGCACCGAGTTATCAAGAGTTCAAGAAGGAGCCTGCAGTTTCGCTAGAGTGTATTCGAGCCCGCAGCTGCGCTATACAGGATGCAAAGGAGGTTCTGGCTGGTTGGGTACCTAATATAGGAGATGAGAATTGGGGGTTAGAGGTTCTTGTTGACTCGAAGAAACGCAAGCGTTGAAGGAAACCAATAATTAGTATTATGATGAAGTATAACGCCTGCTGCCAATAGCGTCACACTATAATGTTCATGAAGGTAGTACATAATAAATACATATCCATCGCCAAATTCGTTCTGACACCAAGACCTTTTGTCCTTCCCGTCCTACCGTCTAATTCCTTGGGAAAATCCCTTAAAAAGAATATTAATAAATTCCTGGAATGATACGGCTGCGAACCAGGGAAGTATAACGATCCCAGTCCTTTCCATACTTCTTTTTGCACTTTTCCTCGTCGCGCTGCTCACGGTGGATGAGCAGGACGCCGAAATAGATCAGGAAAAAGTAGGTGAAAATCATCCCCCAGCCACGCGTCTCCGGGAGCTGCACAGCCTGCTTCTGAAGCTCGCCGGTAGATGGGCTCACCGACTCAATAATAGCATACCCGGCGATACCAGTAGGCAAGGAGTACGACCACGACATGAGCCAGTCACCAAAGTAGTTGATGTGACGGGCATATCCCCACCAGCCGGAGGTCATGAGCTTGGACCCAGTGGCGGTCTGGATATACTTGATGTGCGCGACCCGAGGATCGTTAGGGTTGGTGCGGAAACGGTCCTTCTGGTTGTTGGCGCCGCGGAAGATCATGTAGCCAGCGGCCGTCACAGCCAGGACCAGCGCGATGCCGCGCAGACCCAGCTCATGGGGGAACACGGCAAGATATCGGGTCTGGAAGTTGTAGATGAATGGGACCCAAACCATATCACCAAAGGAAAGCATGTAGCCAAACCCATCCATAATCACATCCATGGTTGTCATAATCGCGGGTTCCATGTAGAGACCGTCGAGCACGTAGAAGGCTTGGAATGCGGTCGAGAGGACGATAGAGTCCGTGATGTAGCCGTACGTCTTGTACTGATGGGCCATGTTGGACAAATTCAAGATAATCCATCCGAGCAAACCAGGTCGCAGCTCACACCACACCTTGATGTCTATTGTGCGAGACTCTTCACTAACGAACGGAATCGGGAGGCTGATTCGAGGATTCAACTCGCGTCCGATGAAGAAGTCGTAAAGCACATTGCCGCTATAGCCACCGGGTGCTAGTTGTCGCAGCTGCGGGTTGGGCTGGCCAGGGGCGGGGACGGAGAAGCTGTTCGCATAAACAAAAATAGCAATCGTCGAGGCGATGATCAAGTTCGCAGTAATCACCTGCAGGTAGTTATCCCAAAGGAATGTCCAGACCACGAAGTCTGCACCGTGGAAGTAGGTGCCGACCGCCAGGCCAGACAGGATCAAAGCAGCAGTGGAGAATGCTGTCGGACCAGTCAGCAATACGACGCGATCCTCACCAGCAGCAATTAATTACCGTTGAATTTGTACCGAAGCTTTCCTCCACAGGCCAATTCAGTGCCGTCCGCTACCTGGCCGGGCAGGACCACATAGAGCACCAAACTCAGCAAATAATAGCTCAGTACCCAGAGAGTCACCTCCGTGTCATAGAAAGCACGAATCCCGCCCTCTGGCCAGGCAACTTCTTCCTTCAATCGATCAAGAGTAAGGGTAGACGGGTGCAACAACGAGGGCGCAGGACAGCCGGTGACATCGTTGCACAGGAAAGTAAAGGCGTAAATAAGGACAGGGAGGCCAAAGACGATGCCAAATGCCCCAATTCTGTGTTAGAAAACCCACACACCATCAGTGAAAACAGACCAGAAGAGCGCAGGAGGGGGGTAAGCATAACAATAACGTACGGGCCACAGAATTCATAACCACGCTTCTCAGGAACGGGCTGGATTGGGGGGGCGGATTGGGAGGCTTTTCTCACAGCCATATCCAGGAGACGGTCAGAGATGCAGGAGAGTAGAAATTGAGAGAGACAGATCAATTGGAGATCATTAATCAAATCTCCCCCTTGGTCAAAAGTAATTGGGAGTGCGCCAGGTATTTATCTCCTGGTGCAGCAACGTCTGAGACCGGATGAACAGAAGCCGTGCGAATCCAGACAAGAAGTTTCTCCGCACCAACAACTCTTAGTGCTTTTCTTTAACGTCGATCTTCTGAACTTCCATCATTCCTTGAATCCTCTCAATCGGATTTAGATTCTCTTCTCTTGGTTCAGGAGTGTCCCTCTTTTATTTCCTATCTCCTGTCATTCTTTTCTTCCTTCCTCCGCTCCTGGTTTCTTACTTCCCATTCCATCCGGTCGCAGGCTCCTCCTCGCGCAGACTTCATACCCGCGATGAAGTCGCTCTCGTCCTCCCTCCTAGCTTACCTCCCCCTCCTCCTCGCCTCCTTCTCCGGTTCTGCCGCTTCGGATTCCTCCGGCTCCAAGGATGACCTCTCTCCGTGTGCAGCGCGCTCCCCAACAACAGGACTCTACTACGACCTCAGCACCCTGACCGTTCCCGCACCCTCCGGCGAGGGCCAGAAATCCCGTCAGGATTCGCAACCCGAGAGCTGGCATGTGAAAGGGCATGATTATAACGCCAACTTTACTCTGAACATCTGCGCGCCTGTCGTGGAGAAGCTGAAGGATGTGGTCGGAGTAGAGGAGAAGAAGTGGCAGAATATCAGCGCATACTATACGAAGGAGGGCAAGGTCTACTCAATTGGGTATGTCCTTTACGTTGAGACTCTTAACTACTACCCACGGGGTACGAACTGACCCATCCAGACAACAAGCCTCAGACCCGTTCTTCCGCGGTCGTAAACTGGTGATGAACTACACAGATGGCTCTCCCTGCTCGAGCGACGCCAAGGAGCCACGGACCAAGGCGACAATGATGTCCTTCTTGTGCGACCGCGACGTATCGGCTTCCCAGCCAACAATCTCTTTTGTCGGCACTATGGACCAGTGCACCTATTTCTTTGAAATCCGTAGCGCGGCCGCATGTGGCGGTTTTGCCCACGGTCCTGCTGGGCAGGGCCTCTCTCCTGCCGGCATATTCGGCGTGATGTTAGTGCACATCCTCTTTGAAACGAATCAGAGGCTAACAGTATTACCTATAGTGCTCTAATCGCCGTCGCAGCCTATCTAGTCGGTGGCTGCGCCTATCAACGCACCGTCATGCACCAGCGCGGCTGGAGGCAATGCCCTAACTACAGCCTGTGGGCAGGAATGATTGACTTTGTGAAAGTAAGTATCCTGGCGTTAATACCATTCCGACGATCCCGATCTCGCTGGCGCCGTGACTTTCCCCCACGAAGGGACTTGAGCAACGCAAAGTTACCAACTTCGAGGATGGATTGAACTTGCTTGCCTAGAACATGGAAAGAATATCGAGGGAGCAGTAGTCTTGGCGCCTTTTTTTTTTTTTTTTTACTTCTTTCTTTCCACGCTCTCTTTTTATGGATTGTACAAATTATGCATTCCCCAAGCGGATCATGGGGATTCGTTCTTTTGGTTATCAAAACAGTGTCATCCAGCGCAGTAGTCGCGTCGGAGGCTTTGGATATTTGCAATTCATATGAAAGAAAAAGAAAAAAAAAAAAAAAAAAAAAAACCCTGGCCACATCCTGTCTATCCCATATATTTCCCATTTTGAATTTTCCTGCCTTGTCGTTTGATACTTCATATATCTTTGCATCAAGCCCCAGCTAACGGTCTTCCTCCCCCTCCCCTCCTTTTTGATTGGGAACCAACACAGGATATGATTGTCATCCTCTTTTCTTCCCTCGCCCGTTTACTCCGGTTCAACCGATCCCCCAGACTCGAGCACACGCGTGGGGGCAGCCGAGACGGTTTCATCGGCGGGGGGCGACAGGGGTCTGGGGGCGATGTGGACGCGGAAAACCGGCTGATAGACCAGTTGGATGAGGAATGGGATGATTGATGGATGGATGATGGATGATGGATGATGGATGATGGATTTGTTCTTTGCATTTTCGAAATTGTGTCTCGGTTTGATATAGAGCGTTTTGTTTATGTACTATATAGGTTAGGTAACTTGATATACGATCATGGATGGATATGGAATGGATATGGAAATGATGCACGAATACCAGATAGTTTTACCCAAGTTTCGCATATGGACGTGTTTCATTCAGGAGACGCAAGGAGGTCCTATTAGATGTACTACTAGTATTGATTACTTCTCCAGGCTATACCCCGGTATACTAGAATGTAACTACGGAGTATAAATAGTATAAATAGCATGTACCCATCTAAACCTACCAAGGCAACTGATTCACTGATGAAGCATTTTCGGAACCGAAAACACATCAAGAAGCATCATTGGTCTAGTGGTAGAATTCATCGTTGCCATCGATGAGGCCCGCGTTCGATTCGCGGATGATGCATTGAAAAGATGATTTCTTTTTTTTTTCCTAGCCGTCTCTAGCTTTGGACAGTGACCTTTTTCTTTTCTTCTTTTTATCCTCTCTATTGTTATTATCGTTACTACTGCTGTGAATTAGTTATGTAGGTATAAGCATAGACATATTGAGTATTGACGTGTTGTGTCATGGAGGTGTATGCATGAAGTAGTCGTGATGTAGATGCATAGTATATATAGTATTGTATGTATATCTCGATTCTGCGCTACCACTGGAATCCCTCTCGATGGAGCTACCACACGCCGTAAAAGACCACTGCATATATATTACACTGTCTACAGTCCATACCACACATACATACATCAAGATCAAGCACCTGTTATTTCCACAACTCCGTCCACAACTCCGTCCATTCTCCAACCCAATATAAAATATATGTACAACCCCAAAAGCTAAAAAAACAAACTCAAGTAATAAAAAGCCACACCATCCATCCGTCCGTCCGTCTACCCAATCAGCCAATCGTAGCTATCGATCGCTGAATGAAATCAAAATTGGTCACAAAAAAAAAATCTGGCAAGAGGTATGTACGGCAAGGTTACTGGCTCAGATGAGGTCCGCGGTTGACTCCTGCTATCCCGAGATCGTAGGCGCCCATGACCAAATTCCCGGGGTTGCTAAAAGCGGACAGGTCGGCGCCTGCATCGGGTTGGGAGGTAGGGTCGAGACTGGCGCCGGCGCCGATCGGGTCGAGGTTGAACGGGAGGAACCACGCGCTGGGTTGGTAGTACTCGCCTGCGCCGGACGGGGCGTTGGGGTCCAGTTGCCCGGTGAAGATGGAGCCGTCTGGAAGGGGCACGATCTCTGCGCGGTCCATGGTTGGAAGAGCAGGAGGGCCATCGGGATTACCATAGGCGGCAGGAGGCGGGTGGAAGCCGGCAAAGGAGTCGTAGACGAATTGGCGGTCCAGTTGGGGAAGTTGGTCTGTTGCCGGGACGGCGAAATCGAACGGCGCGTGTCCGAATGTTGGCTGCCCGCGGTTTTGCATGAAGAGACCTGACTGGGGGAATCCTGTCCCGGATGTCCCTAGCATGCCGTGGGTAGTCTCGATATTGACATCGACGATCGGTTGCGAGGTGGGCGTGGGGGTTGTTTGCTCCATCCCAGGTGTGCTCTCGATCTTGCTGCCGGCCCTTGAATGCCATTGGCGGGGGGTGATGCTCGACTGGGGGGTCGGGGAAAGACCAGCAAAGAAATCCTCCACACTTTGGAGGTCGGGTTTCTGGCTCATGACTGCGTCATCATTGCTCGTCTTCTTGGGATGCGGGTCGGGATCTTCCCAGTGCAGTCTTGATACACCGTGGGGGTATTTGTCGAACCAGTCACCGTACTGGAACATGGGGGCAACATGGCCGTTCTGGGTCGCCATCGAACCCTTGATGGCAGCGTCCGCAAATTGGCGGTAGCGGTCTTTGGTACTTTCTACCATGTAATGGAACATGCCCCAATATTTCTTCATCTTGTTGAGATATCGATAAGTATGTCGGAGGTTCTCCTTGGATCGAGCCTCGAGCTGGGCGTTCTTGGAGAAAATCCCCCAAATGTGGACTGTGCTGGCGGAATAGGCGCAGTATCCCGCGAACGGAACGGTGAGCGGATATGGGGCTGCGTGGTCGATGAGCAGGGAGATATGATGGGCGGCCTCGACTGCGGCGCGTCCGGCGTTGCTGAGGAACGTGCGGGGCATATCGCGGGGAGGCCGCCCCCCTGGGGAGAGTGGGATGGCGAATTGGTTGAGAAAGAGGGTATTTTGGTGTATGATGATATGAAGAAAGAGGAACTGGTTGGCCACTCGATCCGCCGCGTGGACCTGCAGGTTTTCATATGTGAAGGCTAAATGACTGGGAAGCGCCACGGCAAAGTCGTCGATCTGCTTCTTGAGGGTGGAATACCCGGACTCAGGGGACCACAGGGGATGGCCGTCACGCCGCTTGCCTCCGAGATTGAGATAGTCGACGATGCGACCCCAGATCACGATGGCGCGGATGATGTAGGCCAACACGCCCATATTCGCCTTGGCATTGGACAGCTGACCGACATTATCGGGAACGGGATTGAGCACATTCCCCTCCAAGTCCTCTGTAGGCCCCGGGATTTCCATCTGGAAATGGGACTCCTTGATGGGAAGCTGGATGTGCAAAAATTTCTCGTTCCCGATCGGGGGACGTTGGCTGCCGGACGAGTTGTACCGATCCATGAGAAAACAGGCCCACATAGTGCGTCTCCGGATTTCTCGATCAGTAAAGCCGAGCAGCGTAGCACCGCCCTTGCTTGAGCTCAGGAGCGGATCGTAGTCGAGTTCCCGGTGGAGCTGCAGGGCGTACGCCATGCGCATGGCCTGCCCGCCAAAGGACCAACTCCGTCCGCCATGGCAGGTGCCAAACTCGTGCAGGCCCAGCAGCAAGAATACGGTCAAGATGGTAATGTTCGGTTCATCATGGCGACTCAAGGCGATGGCGGCCGCCGGGTTCGCCCAGTTTTCGCCGCGGAGGAACGGGGGGTCGGAATTCATTTGCGGGTGGGTTGAAAACCGCGCGGAGACGGCGCACACCGCGAGAATGAGCACGGGAGGCACGGTGCGAGCCTTGAGGCGGCGCATGAAACTCGGTTTGTGAAGGAGAGGGTACGACTGGCCATAGACGCAATCGAAAAACACCTCCGCAAGGTGTTCCTGGATCTCGAGCGACGGGAGGAACTCGGCACCCTCCGTCATCAGACTCGAGCTGTCGCCTGGTTTGCTTTCGCGGCGCATGGGAAAGGTATCCTGCGGTCCATTCCGGCTCCCCCGCGTCCAGTCGTCCATGTCGGCCGCAAACGCTTCATCGGCCGACCGCTTCTTCTGAGTCTTGGTGCCCTGTCCCGGCTGTGAGGGCCGCACCATTGACCGACCGATCGCGGCCATATCCCGAACTTCATCCTTGGGGATAGTTTTGATCACGCGGTCCTCCATGCGCTTCAATCGCTTATCCAGCATGGCCATGTAGTCCGTTCGGGGGGCAGCCTTGCGGGTGGTGACCTTGTATACACACGGAATTCGGGAGCGGGAGCAGTGCTTGCAGGCGGGCTTCTCGCCCGAGCATCGAATCTTCTTCCGTCGACAGGCGATACAGGCCAGCGGGAGACGTTTTCGCTCCTTCCCCGCCTTGGTCTTCATCTCGCTCCACGCCGGTTTGTTGTCCTTCTGGTCCGGGATCTGTGCGGAGGGGTCGTCTCTGGCCTCGTCGTGCGGCTGGTCGAGCAGGCCATCGTGGACCCCCGCCAAATCGCCGCCTGGTCGTGCGCTGCCGGGCTCGCGTGAGCTAGTGGGACTGTGGGAGTCGAGATCATCGGGGATATTGGGGTCGTCATGGCTGCTGGGGTTCAACGGCACTGAGGAGCTCGGCAAGGGGGATTCGTCGGAGTCGGGAGGGATCATGATGGGCGCAGGTACCCCGACGACGAGACTCGGATCATTGTTTTTGGGGGGGGGGGGGAGGGGAATCAAAGGTCAAAGGAGGTGGAGGAGAAGGAGGGAGAGAGAGGGGAAAAGAGAGAAGGGGAGATGGGAAGGAAGGTGGTGGGTAGAAAGAAGACGGGGGGAGAAGTAATGGGAGGAATTGTGATAATGAGGATGACAATGATGAAGATAATAGTGATGATGATGATATTGATATAGGATGAGAGATGAGATGAGATGAGATGAGATGAGATAGTTAGATGGTCTTGAATTCTTTCTTTTCTTCTTCGAGATGTTGAAGAGAGTCTGAGGTCTTGGCGCTTTTGAGAGGAATTAATAATAATCTTTCTTCATCTTCATCTTCTTCATCTTCATCTTCTTCATCTTCATCTTCTTCTTCCTTTTTTTCTTTTCTGCTTTTTCTAGTCTCTAGTTTATATTCAAAAGAATTCACAGAATACCTGACTCCTCCAGTTACTCACTTTAGTCCAAGCTGTTGGTTCATTCATGAAGAATCTCAACCTCCACCTTAGATGAATCTAGACCCTGAACAAAAATTGATATAACGCAGTGAAATGCGTCCTGATGGAGCAAGTGGGAACGTTTATTCCCGGAAAATTAGAGACAATATCGAAATCCAACAGATCATCATAATTCTCCGGATGCAGGACCACTGGGAGGTCATTTAAAGGGGATATTACAATCTTGGAAGAGCAATTATTATTCTAATTCTTTCTAGGTTAAGCCCAGGTAAGGTGCGTTACATGAAGATGGCATCCCTGGATGGATGTTTTCGAGAATGCATCCAGAGGGATCAAGGAGCGAATATTAGACATCATGGAATAGTTTCCAGTAAACATTATTAAAACCGTTGGATGATTAGAGCTTTTATGGTCGTAATCAAGTGAATAAATGTCCCAGTTGTTGCCCCAGACCCGTCAAAGCACGATAACGCCGTGGATATATATATATATAGATATAGATATATATATGAATATTGTGTGTTGTATGGAGGTTCAGTCGAATAATGAATGGCTCCTTCTGTTCTCGACCTGAATCGATCCTGCTCCGAGATACGCCTAGGACAGCCTGGGTCTGCCACGCTGGCGTGCTCCGGCATCACTCAGAGAAGATACAATTTCCTCCCCCAAGATGTGGAGATTGTAACCAGGAAAAATAAGCCAGAGTGCACTAGTGTCGGCGTGAGTCTATAGCCCTAAGTTAAGAATGGGGGGTGTTAACCTACTTAGGAATGATCCACAGGAAAGTCAGAGTCGTTGCATCGTTGTGTCCAATATTGGCGAAGTCGGAGAAAGCTTCATTGAGCCCTAATAGCTTATTGTTAGGTTTTTCTTTTCTTTTTTTTTGAGAATTTTCAGCTCGCTCGCTCACTCACAGTAAAGGGCCGTCTTCGACAAGGTCATCACCGAAGCACTAAACGCCACAAGCAGTGCAACAGCGCCAATTCGCCCTGCAACGACTTTGTCTCCAGTCAACATCCACATGAGCCCCTTTTGAGTGGTGCGGGATCCGCGACCGGAACCGGTTGCCGAGGTCCCATGTACGTACACCACCCAGAGGTAGTATAGATAGCTGGCGGTCTCCAGGAGATTCAGCACCGCCTGGGCAGCGGTAAAGCCATTGCGATCATTATATGCCGGCCAGCCGTAAATGTAGTCGACCGTTCCGTACAGCGCATAAGGAGACCAGATGGGGGAGTGCCATTTACCACCGGGCATGGAATGCGGCCGCAACAACACGTAGCCCGCATCCCAGATGACGAGTGGGAGCGAGACAACAAGCCATAGGATGATATGAGTTGCGGGAGTATGATTCCACTTCTTGGAGGGTCCATTTGTGCTGGGAGCAGGCGTGGAAGGGGTAGACGCTTTGGTAGCTCCGGGCGGAGGGAAGTCGCGGGGATGATGTCGTGTGGAAACCATGACAGGACAAGGGAGAGGATACAATAATAAGTATATGAGAAAAAGATATAGAGATGACTGAAATTATCCAAGGAGATGGATTTTTATAATAGAAGAAAAGGAGGAAGAAGAAGAAGAAGAGGTACAATATTCCAAATGAACGGACCGCGGCTATAAACCGCAAGTAGTGACGTGACTGTTGTCGGACTCCGTACGTACCCAGGCTATAACCAACATTCTCAAATTGAAGCCATTCGCAGATTTTAAGGTCAGAGTTCAATCAGTGGGGATTATTGTCTTACCTATAGATCATGGAGATTTCGTAGATCCTTCAGCTACTTCTCCCAGTCAGGGGCACCTTTCTCTTGTTTAGCATGTTGGTAGGATATCTACCTAATTAACTATCGCTAGACCCAGTAGTTACGGACCATAAAGGATAGGAGAACAAAGAATAAATACTCCTTCTGTAAAAAAGCTTGCGGAGCGAGTACACACTAATTAATAGGGCAAGTAACTCGTCATAATCTGCCTCGGAGTGACAATTTAATAAACTCATCATTTGACTCCATAATGGGGTTCCTTTAGATCGAGTTCCAAAGAATATTTAAAATAGTTCGTTGGAAATGAACCCGGCAAAATACGCTTCCGTTGAATCTTCACTTGTGTAGACCCGAAGTAGAGTGATAACTAGGGATCAAGTCGTTAGCGAGCAGTTCGCAACCTACTTTTACATTGATCTGGTAAAAATGTTGCAAATGATACCTCATTCATATTCTTAGATCAAATGCGCTGATAAGATATATCAACTTCAAAGGAGGAAAGCTTTGCAAGAAGTTGAATTTGTTCCTTATATCCACATAGAACCATAGTACCACATGCATCCTGAAAGTACTCCTGGATATATTCCTAAGTACGAATTAAGCACTTACCAACTACCTGCCTACTAGTTAAAGAGAACATACCTTAATATTAGGGTCTGTATTTTGCAGAAATTTAAGACCATTAATATCCTGTCCCTTAGGATAACAGAGTAATCTTTGCTTTTGAATAATAGCTGCAATCCGGTCTTTATTACAAAAGCTTGCATGGATTTAAAGCTTTCAAGCTGGGGGTTTCGAAGAAATTGAGCTAGAATAAGCACTTAACAAGCATTTACTAAGTACCTAACCAGTGCTAGATAAGTAAGTACTTACCTGTTGTAAGGCTTGGATCTCGGATCTGTTGAATTAGATTCTTAATTCCTTGGAGAATCCGTTCTGGTGCCTTGCTTGGTGGTGGTGGTGGGTGTTTATGAACTCCATGGGATGTAAATATAGCATATGGACACTGTTCTATATTAACAGGAACCAACGCATTGAAAATAACTTTGCATGTAGTATGTATTAGTCGACCAGAACCCTGGGGATGATCCCGATCTTTAAACTAGTCAGTAGCGAGTTAAGAAGCAGTTAGTTACATACTGACTGAGGACTGACCACAATATTTTCGTCGGGATGACCGCATTCTTCAACTGGTGGTAAAACCTAATAGCTCCGTGATGATGTTTAGTTAGAATTTCATTAAATTGATTAACACAACCAATATAAGGAGGACATTGCCCATGAATATTCTATAAGTAGTTAGTAATTACTTTTAAACTAGATATTAAGTAGATTAAACAGACCATTTGGCTATATCTCTTAAAAATTGGTTTGCATGTAGGAAGTTGATCCATACAGGCATGACCCCTTTTAAAAAAGTTAACTTTTGATCGATAATAACTATGCAGTTAGTAAGTACGTAGTTAGTTAACTAATTATATAGAAACTATTTAGCAAGTTGTCACGGCGTGCACTAGGTGCACTGGTGTCAAGGCAATGATTGCTAGGTATATAAGGTGGGATTCGGGCAGATCAGACATCAGGTCTGATCATAGTGACCTTTTTGGTCCAATGGTTTAGACATGTTGCCCGAATCGCATGCTCTTACAAATACCTAAAACCACTTGGTAAATACTGGATAACATACCTCCATCACTGGGTTACTAGTAGTAGTATCTTCCGGGTCTAGCTCAACAATATCATTTAGTGGTTCAGGATCCATAATAGGTTATAAACCACTTAATAACCGCTTAATATCTGCGTGATAACTAGGCAATCGTTGAAATCAATGATAGATGTAGGGAGAATAATAGAAATTGAATTTCAGTAGAAATTACATTGTATTTAAAACCTCGCGTGACCCGAGACTGCTTATTAATGGCCTGGACAGTCACGTGCAGGGAACATGGGTCGCGTCGAGTCCTGGAGAATCTCCCTAGAATCTCCCTAGCTGGCCAAAACGACCTGGTTCCACGGCGCAACGAAAAGGAAAAGACAGCCCATGCGGGCCGTAATTCTTCCAATCAGCACCGAGACTTTCTTATATTATTTAATATTTAATTAATCCCCAAAGGGCTTAGTGTGGATGGTAGGAACGTGCCTTGATTTTGGTGGCGTTTTAGCCTGCTTCGGATTCAGCAGAAGAAGAACTTGACACCAAACCAGTTCATGAATGAAATGGACCCCGCTCTCGAGCAAAAGGTACGTGATCGATGCTGGCTTGTGAAATATCTACCCCGGCTGTTCATGTCTGATCGTGCTCTTCTTGTTCTTAGCGACTCGATAGACTCGCTCGGGTGCGAGAGAACCAGCGCAAATGCCGGGCTCGACGACAAGACCATATCCGGGATCTGGAGGAGAAGGTGGTGGCTCTCCAGCGAGACGCTCACCGGAAGGATGTAGAACACCGGCTGTCGATCCAGAGAATAGAGGCCGAAAACAAAAAGCTGCGGTATCTTTTGTCGTGCCTGGGACTCCCCGCCGACGCGCTAGAGACGTATTTGCAAGCAGGCGATGACCCCATGATGGCGCAGAAAGTCGCGATTCCGGCACTTCAACGTCCACCGGCCAAGTCTCAGCCACGCTGCCAGGACGCCAGAGGTGCCCCATGCTCGGCGACCCGAGATTGTCCCCCCGTTACTCCTTCCTTGGAAACCCCGGTGCCTCGCGTCCCATGCACCGACGATAAGAAGGTGACGAATGGCGAAAAGAGTTGTACGGGGGACGACGAAGAACCTCGGGAACCTAAAATCCTGCCACTGTGCGCCTGCCCTTCTGGCGACGGAGAAGAATCTGTCCCGGCTAGCGACGAGGTCCTCGACACGACTCTCTGTGCGATTGCAGAAACTCTGATCCATCAATACAACACACATGGTGTCGATATCTCGGAAATCCAGCAGAAGCTTCGTGCTGGATTTTCCAGGGGCATTGCATCGGAAGGGTGCAGAGTACAGAATCATCTATTATTCCAGGTTCTGGATGAAATTAGTGGGGACTGATATCGATATCTTAGTATCGGTGCTATTCTGATGTGTGCCGGTCACTGTTGCGACCACCCCATCTTTGCCTTTTGGGCAATCCGTTTCACTACCGACGAGCAGTTTCAGCGAGAACCCGGCGACCATGGCCACTCCCAAGGGTATTCCGAGAAATACCATTTTGCAGAATGGAATTGATGGCGACCAGAATTGCGCAGGATTCACTCACTGTCAACAAGGACCTTGCATGAAATCCACTCAACGCCCCGGCGGGACATGTTTCCACCAGGTGACTTTGGTTGGTTGTAGCGGTAGGAAAGCTCTCTGTTCATGATAGATAGGCTAGGATGGATGCATAAACGATGCATAGAAGAGAAACCCCGTCTGTCATCTGGGCAGCCGTTGTCGGGAAATTATTGGGAAATTGGGGATGGACGCACAGACAGAAGCCAGATGAATTGGAAGTACCCTTTCAAGTCTCAAAGCCCCCTGGAAATATGACTTGGTAACCCTTGCAGGGGAGAAGGGAAGTAAGACATTGATTTTGCCTTGATTGAGGATTGTACATACATACATACCTACTGTGGACAGTAATATCGTCCATGATGTATTATTACCATCTCTGTATGCTACGCGTTGAATAAACAGACATTCCAGGATATAACTAGGTTAGGTAATAATAGAAAAAAGAATGTATCCGATTCAAATAGAAATTGATTTATTTGGATTGGTTTAGTGGCCTTTGGATCACTAGTCAACTGTATTCCCGTCTGTTCTGGTTCTGAGGATCTTAATTAACTGCCTCATCCTCGATGCAAAGAGGAACAAATCACATTTTCACCAGAATCAAGTCTCAGCTCCCTCTTCAGTCTTATTTCCTCTCATGACCCCCATGATTCATCCTTTTCCTCCTCCATAGCTCAAGGGATATTATTATTATCCCTAGGGCCGATTCCCACCGGATGGCTGGTCATTTCTGATCTTCCCATGTCATCGATCAACACGCCAATCCCTGGAAGCAGAACGAAAACATACAAACAATCCTCCTCCTCCTCTCCTGGGGTCATGGGGGTATTCGAGGTGCTCGGGTTATTTATGTATCTTCTCCCCCCTGCCCCTTTCGCTTTTTTCCCTCCCATCCTACCACTTCTCTCCACGCTTGCCTTCTGGTTCTCTGCTTACTTCCCCGCAGCAATGAAGTTTGGCTGGTACGAGGTTGCGGTCCTGACAACGGCCTCCTCTGTAGGAGTCAGTGCGAAGGTATTCATTCCTTTGCTTCCTCTTTATACTTGTTTGCTTGAAAAAAAAAACAAAAAAAAAAAACAAACTAATGATTACTGACTGGAACTTGGACTTGTTAGAATGATCTTGCATACTCCCCCCCATATTACCCGTCCCCATGGGCTACCGGTCAGGGGGACTGGGCCGACGCATACAGTCGTGCCATCGAGATTGTTTCGAAAATGACTCTGGATGAGAAGGTGAACCTGACAACCGGCACTGGGTAGGTTCTGTAAAGGATTCTTGCAAGACCGTTCAACGGCGCAATGCTAAAGATTCTGCAGATGGATGTTGGAACGATGTGTCGGTCAGACGGGAAGCGTGCCTAGGTGTGTAACTAGTTCCCAAACGGGTGCTTGACACATACTCATAAATCAATCTAACGTTGCCTGAGACTTGGGATTCAATCTATCTGTACCCAGGATGGTCCTCTAGGTATCCGTTTTAGTATGTCTCCCCATCACCAGCGCCCCACGGGAAACCCATCACTGACAATGACTATAGCGGACTATAACTCAGCCTTCCCGGCTGGGGTCAATGTTGCCGCCACATGGGACAAGTCGCTCGCCTATCTTCGTGGAAACGCTATGGGCCAAGAATTCAGCGACAAGGGGATTGATGTCCAGCTCGGCCCTGCCGCGGGCCCTCTTGGTCGAAGTCCCGACGGGGGCCGTATCTGGGAAGGTTTCTCTCCGGACCCAGTCCTCACGGGTATTATGTTTGCAGAGACGATCAAAGGTATCCAGGATGCCGGGGTCATCGCGACCGCGAAGCATTATCTTGTCAACGAACAGGAGCATTTCCGACAGGCCCCCGAGGCTGTTGGCTATGGCTACGACATCACGGATAGTTTGAGTGCCAATGTGGATGACAAGACTCTACACGAGCTGTACCTCTGGCCCTTTGCCGATGCCGTGCGGGCGGGCGTCGGGGCGATAATGTGCTCCTATAACCAGATTAACAATAGTTACGGCTGCCAGAATAGCCATCTCCTGAACCGGCTTCTCAAAGCTGAACTGGGGTTCCAGGGCTTTGTCATGAGTGACTGGAGTGCAGAGCACAGCGGGGTCGGTGCGGTCCTGGCCGGCATGGATATGTCCATGCCGGGTGATGTCACGTTCAACAGTGGCACCTCATACCTGGGAGCCAATCTGACTATCGCGGTTCTCAATGGTACCGTTCCACAATGGCGCATTGATGATATGGCGGTTCGTATTATGGCTGCCTACTACAAGGTCGGCCGCGATCGCCTGCAACATCCACCCAACTTCAGCTCGTGGACGCGTGATGAGTTCGGATATGCCTACATCGCCGTCTCGGAAGGCCCGTATGAGCGGGTCAATGAGTTTGTGGAGGTCCAGCGCGATCATGCTTCGGTCGCCCACCGTGTGGCTGCGGATAGTGTGGTTTTGTTGAAGAACCACGGCTCGCTTCCCCTGACTGGAAAGGAGCGCATGGTGGGAATTTTGGGCGAGGATGCTGGCTCTCACCCGTGGGGCGCGAATGGCTGCGCCGATCGTGGCTGCGATCAAGGAACCCTGGCCATGGGCTGGGGTAGTGGAACATCGAACTTCCCCTACCTGGTTACTCCGGAACAGGCTATCCAGGACGAGGTTCTGAGAGGACGTGGCAACGTGTTTGCGGTGACCGATAACTACGCTCTGGACCAGGTCGCCTCCGTGGCTGCACAGTCGACGTAAGTTACCCCATGTCGATGGACGCTGACGATGGTACGTGCTGATAATTAATCTTTCTTAGCGTCTCTCTCGTGTTTGTCAATGCAGACTCGGGTGAAGGGTATATCAATGTGGATGGCAATGAGGGCGACCGCAAGAACCTCACCCTTTGGAAAAACGGCGAAAATTTGATCAAGGCGGCTGCAGGAAACTGCAACAATACCATAGTTATCATGCACTCTCCCGGTCCGGTCCTGGTGACTGATTGGTATGACCATCCTAACATCACCGCCATCCTCTGGAATGGCCTGCCCGGCCAGGAATCTGGCAATGCCCTCACCGACGTGCTCTATGGGCGTATTAACCCGGGCGGCAAGTCCCCGTTTACTTGGGGCCGAACGCGCGCTGCGTACGGCGACCCGCTGCTCACGGAACCCAATAATGGCAGAGGAGCACCTCAGCACGATTTTACGGAAGGAATCTTCATTGATTACCGCCATTTTGACAAGAACAACGAGGAGCCGATCTATGAGTTCGGGTTTGGCCTGAGCTACACCACTTTCTCCTACTCGGACCTCCAAATTCAGCGGCTCAACGCCCCCTCCTACGTTCCCACCACCGGCAAGACTCAAGCTGCCCCCATTTTCGGAACGATTCAGGATGCCTCGGCTTACTTGTTCCCTCAGGGACTGACCAAGATTAAGGAGTTCATCTACCCCTATATTAGCTCCACCGATCTCAAGAGCGCGGCAGGCGATGCAAACTATGGAATGAAGGAGTCCCAGTATATCCCCCTGGGTTCTCAGGACGGGTCCCCTCAAGAGCTTCTCTCGGCTAGTGGGGGCCCTGGCGGAAACCCCGGTCTCTATGATGACCTATTCCGGGTGACAGCGACTATCAAAAACACGGGATCGGTGGTTGGCGGCGAGGTGCCGCAGTTGGTAAGTCGGATCTTTCCATCCCGCATGCTGGGCGACTTGTAGTTGGGCTAATTTTTTTTCCCCGCCTATCTAGTATGTTTCCCTGGGTGGCCCCAATGAGCCCAAGGTGGTCCTGCGCCAGTTTGACAAGCTCAATTTGAACCCCGGAGAGGAGTTTGTGTGGTCCACCACTCTAAACCGCCGGGATCTGTCCAACTGGGATGTGCAAAAGCAGGATTGGATTATCTCGTCCTACCCGAAGAAAGTGTATGTCGGTAGCTCGTCACGGAAGCTCCCGCTTGAAGCTACCTTGCCTGCGGTGCAATAGGCGCGGGTTGAATGTGTACAGCGAGGTCGTCCTTACTTCGGAGGGAGGCTCTCGATGCCATCTTAATCATGGACCCCTTCTGGTCTTTTCGAGTACATTAGTTCTAAAGATAATGGGTACAATTTTAATGACACGATATTGCTTTCAATCCTGCGATTCTTGCTTCCAAGTAGTTCCCACGGATCCATACAAATAACGCCACCAAAGCCACCTCTCCCACCAGCCAGCTTTTCTCCTCTTGACCTGGATTTTCCGTTTTGGAGGCTATCGACTAGTCGAGAGAATAAGATCGCAATCGGGTGACTCAATGATGTCACGGTGGTGGTCTCACTCGCTACAGAATTCATCCTCTCCTTGGTTCAATCACAATGATTCTCTTATGGTATAATTACGATGCTCTTGAGCAGCTAGCTATACTGGATGTCTGTGGGAGCCAGATATCGGATCGATCTACAGACTCCTCGCAATAGAATGTTTTCGCTATGCCTGCTGCTGCCCCATCGTTTGAGAAGCTGATGCAAAAGAGTCCCAGGCCGACAGACCACCTCGCCATCACCCTCGGCCCCTTCTTCATCGTCCTCTTTGATCTCGTGGTCCCATGTATCATCTACTATGTCTGGTACAACACTCACCATCACTCGCACCGGGAAAACGATTGTAACGCATCCGGTCCCGAACTTCCCAAATGCTCCCCGGAATCCCACCAGATAAACAGACACATCCTCGGCTATGCTATTGTCTCCTTTGGAATTGGAGAGCTCTATATCCTCATCGCCCGGGTTTGTCGCCTCTTCCTGCATCCAGACGAATGCGCCCCTTTACTGTCACGCTCCCGATGGGAACTCGACGCCACCTCCTGGGTATACGGGGTGTCGATGATCTGCGCCCTCATCCCCTTCGTCATAAGCAGTAGCCAGGAAATGCCGATCCTGTTCCTCTACTCTCCTGCCTTTCTGCTGGGGTTTCTGGCCATCCTGATGCTCATCACCTTGGTCCCCTTCCGCATCCCAATCGGTATCGACTCCCAGCCGCGGGGGACGCCATTACGACCACTCATATACTACGCGGCGGAAGACTTCATGGCCGTTGACTTTCTCCAGGACCGCGACTTCCGTATCCGGTACAACCTGCGCTACGAGCAATCCAAGGCTTTCCGGCGCATGCTCTTCGCTCTGACCCTCTGGTGGCTGTTCGGCGTGTGTGTCTACCTGGGGAGTGTCTCTGCCGTCATTTGGACCCTGCAGTTTCACTATGCGTTTGGGCTGTCGTTGGGGGTGTTGTTTGCATTTCTGGGGGTTTGGGGGGGAGGCTCGTACTTGGGGGTGAAGATGGAGATTGATAGAGAGGTGAAGACTGGCCGAAGTGTATGATCTTCATGGTATCTTAATTCAGCCGAGGAGGTAATTAACTAGAGGAATCAAACAATTTTTTGTAGAAAATTGATCCCTAATAGCGGAGTAGAAAATATGGGAATAATAGAAAAGAAAAGAACCTCCTCGGCTTCGACGTCATGTGTCGAAAGTTGCCAATTTAGGAAATTCGGGAATCTCTTCATTTTTCCCTCGGATTTCCGCTTCTCTCTCGCTTTCCCCAATTCCACCTCTCTTTTGACCACTTCCTCTTTTTCTTCATAGTATATTAGAACTGAAAATATTCTGGCAAGAGGGATTCCTCCCTCTAATTCGCATCCCGACAATGCCTCCTCCTCCTTCCTCCGCCGCAACGACAACACCACCAACCAGACCCTTCCACCCCTCCGCCGCAGTCCTCCTCATCTACCCAGCGACTCTAATTCTAGGCTCTCTCTTCTCTGTTCTCTCCCCGACCGCTCAACCTGCCTCTCCACAGCCCTCATCTGCCACAAACCCCCTGCCGTCGCACCACCAGCAACACGTGGCGATCAACTACTTTGCCCGCAAGGACAACATCTTCAACATATACTTTGTCAAAGTCGGCTGGGCATGGATGACTCTTGCCTTTGCCACGATTCTCCTTGCGCATCCGGCTTCCATACAGAGACCCCGGCGACTTCTCCAGGCAGGTTTGCGGTATATCCTTGTGACGACGGTGTGGTATTCCATGACGCAGTGGTTCCTCGGCCCGCCCATCATCGATCGCAGTTTTGTCTGGAGTGGGGGACGGTGTCGGCGGACTATGAACAGCATGGGTGAGATGCAGACGGAGGGGGATAGTGACGAACAACGTCTAGGTGTTTACTTGACCGCCGCGACTTGCAAGTCTGCTGGGGGTGCTTGGAGGGGTGGACATGATGTCAGCGGACATGTGTTTTTGTTGGTGCTGATCACGGCGGCGTTGGGATTTGAGGTTCTGGGGTTGATGGAGGCGCAGGCGGAGTCCGATACTGGGACGGGAGCGGCAGAGAAGAAGCAAGATTCTGTAGGTGGGTGGAGGAAGACGTGGCCGGTGCGGTTTGTGGGAAGCGTGATTGCGCTGAGTTGGTGGATGCTGTTGATGACGGGTATTTGGTTCCATACGTGGTTCGAAAAGGTGCGTTCTCTCTCCCGGTTCTTTATTGCTACTGCTACTGCTACTGAACTATCCTAACGGGAGGCAGTTTAACGGGTTGGTTATTGCTTCGGTTACGATTTATGCTCTCTACATCCTTCCTCGACGACTCATCCCATGGCGCAATGTGGTTGGTATTCCAGGCGTATAGACGTCGCGCCTGGCCATCACGCGGCGCGTTTTATAGATGATCTTATTATTTTCTTTCTTTTGGTATTGTTGGGATACATATATGATTCTGCAGAGCATGTGCGAATGCTGTAGATTAACTACTGAATGTACAACTCGTCGATTAATGATCACTTAACTTTTTTTTTTCAAGACTCAATTCCAGTTCAGTGGACTGAAGACTCGGGCTCTGGACCAAGGTACCCGCGTTGAAACGCTACTGACGTTAGGATCTATTCTTCACCCGAATCAGCGTGGATGGCTTACCTCCTGGAATCATCGCCGCGGCATACATCACGCGTGTAATGGGCCGCAAGTCCTCTGGAGTCACATCGGTGCGCAGTGCAAGATCCATATACGGACCCCAAGCAGCGAGAATTCGATCCGAATATACCTTGAGATCAACCGATCGCTCCATCTCCGAGTCCTGGCCCGACATGCACCGGATGCCCATGCAGGTGCCGAACTCCCGAAAGGCCAGACGATACTTGATGTTGCGATCCAGGTAGCGGTTGATTTCAAAGAGGTCATCTACCAGATTTGTTATCTACGAAGGGTAAAACAGGAAAGGAAAGGAAAGGAAAGGAAAGGAACGAAGCATACAGATTTGCTCAAAGCACCGATCAACCAGTCTTGTGGCCCACTCTTCCTTTTCCGCAAACCAATGCGCCGTCCACAGAGTCATGCCCAAATCCAATGGATCCCCGGACACAAAATGGTCCCCCTTGCGCTTCATCACCCGGTGATAGTCCTGGATCTCCTCTGTCAGCACGGATTCACGGCCATCGCCATCGCCATCGCCATCGCCATCGTGCATCGTCGCCGCCGCCGTGGCCTGCAACAGCCGAAACACCACAAACCCATCGATAGGATCGAGGTTCCCCTCTGATGCGACGAGCGGCCGCGAGAGATTCACATCCATCTTCCACACCATGCGCGGGCGGTCGGAGCCCCGATTGATGAAAAACGGCCGATGGATGGCCCTGGCCAGCGCGATCGCCTGTTGGTTATACGCGGGGTCCCCCGTTGCCAGGGACAGACGGTTCAGCGCAAACATCCACAGCGTCAGGTAGTGGTGGTATTGCCCGTCGCCGTCGGAGCCGTACTCGTTTACCTTGCCGATGCGTAATCCGCCGCCGAGGGGGTTGGCGTCCGAGGCGCCCGGGAGCCGACTGGCCCCGTCGCGTGTGTGGCCTAGGACGTCGTGCACGGTTTCTGCGAGCCGCCGCGCGAGCACCAGGTACGGATTGTTGGCGTCCGGGTTACTGCGGCGGGTTTCCTGGTGGAGAGTGACGAGGTTGAGGAGGCCGAATGCGTCCGTCCAGAGGTATCGCCCGCGATGGCCGCCGGAGTTTGCGGGGGGCGTCCATTGCTCTGGGTTCCGGATGGCGCTGAAGTCCCCGTAGAGGGATTCAAGCACTTGTTGGAAGCGTTGGAGATGTGGTAGGGGGGTGTTGGTCATGGTGGGGTTTACTTTTCTTCTGTGTGTGGTTCTGGGCGCTACAGCGGGAGAGAGGGAGAGGGGATGCCGCGCGAGGAGTTTCCGACACCAGTTCATTTGGGTGTGAAATAACTAGTACGTAGTACGTACAAGGTTGAGTGGGCTGATCGGGTGGATTTATGGAAAGGATTGGGTTTGGCGATGAAGTCATACTGGTGGCCACTTACATGTCGAACACAAGTTTGCTGTATGTACTATATAGTTATAGCTCTGCTGGGTCGTGGACGCTGCAGCCAAAAGACCCCATTAGGAAAGAAAGAAACATATCCTCCATTTGGGCTGTAGAAAAAGGCAACAAAATAAAACGAAATAAAAATAAAATAAAAACCATTCTCCGCGGATATACATATAGCTATAAGTACAGTTATTCCGCAACAGCCCATCCATATAGCCCCTGTATATCCTCCTCTATGGCATGATCAGGGTATGTAGTACTTACTAGTCTGCGGTGACGGTGAATTATGTACTGGATCTGGCATAGCATTCCTAATGGGGGAAAGCAACTCACTGCCGCTTGGAATTCGTGGTGCGTGGTCTAGGTCTGCTTAATATAACAGTAGTGAGACAGAGTCTGATAGACTGCCGCTGAGTATTATGTATTATTATATTGCCACTTCCGGGAAGGCAGCCTAATAGGCACGTAGAGGCAGTGAGCTCAATTCCGTCACTTGTGAATGGTGACGACTTCATCTAACCTCTTTCTCGAAGCCATTCTTGTAAAGTGCCATATCTTCGTATCGGATCCTGTCTGTCATATCTTCCTGTTTGATTGCAATGTCTTTTGATTGCAGTCAGCTCTCACATCAACTTCTGCCATCCTATGGCTCCCAAACGTTCAAAGGATGATTTCTCACTCATCTTTACAACCTTTCTCTGTCCCTTTGGCTCCCCCCAGGGAAATCGACTACGCTTCAAAGGAAACTACCCTTCCAGCCTCTTACGCAATGAACTCAGGCCCATGTACAGCGATCGAGAACGGGACTCGATGTGCATGTTCCCGAGGTCTTTTTTTACTGGACCATGGAGTAAACTTTGAACTGTTGATATGCAAGACAAAGACGTGTAATCATTTACTTAAAGAACACCGGGCTGCTGATAATGAACCACCTCCGACTGAATCTTCTCCGACCGAATCATCAGCATCTGCCGGCAACCCTAATCACACGCAACAGCACTCCTTGGGATGTAAGTGCATATACTCAGATACTGTCCCCTCAGAGTCCATAGTCAAGAGCTGACAATCTGTAAAAACGGATAGCTACTAGGTATCAAACGAGATGTTTACGCCAGGATACGGTGTCAAAACTTGCAGCCGCCGTCGATTCTCAAAATGTTATTCACATACGCGGGACACCAGCCAGCGGGAAAACGGTCCTGTCCCAACTGCTACTGGACTACTACCTCACGAATAATAGAAAGGTGTTTTTACTCGAGACGTGGGAACCACTGGAAGCTTCCCAAAGCGGAGACCCTTGGACTCGATTCGGCTTGCACCTGCAACAAAAATATCCTGAATTTGATAAAACGTGGAAATCTGTTCCTGCAAACACTGTAATTCTTATTGATGAAGCTCAGGGTTCATACCGGGACACGTACTTCTAGAACACGGTCATCAAGAACCGAAGGTCTGGGGAAGACAAAGACATAAAGATTTGTCTTTTCTGTTCCTACGGAAGCCCTTCGACAGGTGTGGAGGAAGATGATAATGAAAATGGATTTACTCCAGTTACCTTCGGTCCCGCGCAGCGCATTACACTGACCCCTCAACTTGGCAAAGATCGCCAAAGATTGGCTTGTTTTACACGGAAGACGAATTTCGTGAAGTTGTATCACTTCTGACGACAAACAAATTCGATGAACCATTCACAATTGATAAGGCGGCTATGGACTACATGTATGACCTGACAAATGGGCATCCAGGAGGGGTGACAGCCATAGTCGATTTTCTTCAGAATGTATGTACTGTTCTTAATTCTAACCCAGAAAGTGTTAAGCTTTCTTATACAACTAACTCGAGTTCAGCGGCATCGCAATCTCCTTAAACACAAAAAGATCCGTACAATCACGATAGATCATGTTCTTAAAGTTTCAAAGGATGAGAATGATTTCTTTGGGTTTCTCGCAAATCATGCTGTTTATCGCTCATTTCCTAGCGGACAGCGCCTTACATCTGAAGTTGCTGGTACATTGGGCAAGATTTTAGTCAATAGAAGCATACCATTTAATATTAATGATACAACCATGTGGAAATGCTATGAGAGAGGCTGGGTTCACCGCATATCTGAAGGACAGATACTACAAATACATGATGTTGCTGTCCTGCCATCACGCTTGCATGAAGTGTAAGTTCTCATTTAGTATTTCTTGTCTTAATCTGACCCTGTCTTAGATGGCTTGAATGGTTCATAGGCAACAAGCCGAAGCATTTACCTGATAGATTTGACCAGTTACGTCTATTATGCCGGGAGGTTCTCGAAAAATTTTCAAAGATTACTCTGAGACATGCTATTGAAGGCAAGAAAATCTCGACTGCAGCAAAACCCAGGCCCATGGAGGCGCAATATCAGGATGAATTTTATAGGGCATTTTATGATGTGGCAGGCATTGGTGTACCTCTCTGTAGTGAATGGTCAAGGAGTAGTACTAGTCAAGTTGACTTTTATATTCCACAGAAGCAGTGGGCTATCGAGTTGCTTCGAGATTATGATCACGTTGATGAACATATCTCCCGATTCTATCCTGGAGGGAAGTACTTTCCCTGGCTGCAGGAGAAGAAGGTTGTAGATTGGATTATTATCAACTGTGCCTCCTCTCCCCCTACACGTGGTATGTTTCTCTCTGATATTGCTGTTATTCCCACTCATCCTGCTAACAACATCATAGCATATTCTGAGCAGAACCTCTGGACTGCCGTTTTTACCAATGGTTGTTCTGATTTGAAAGTATATGATTATCAAATGCGTCCTTTGTTTTCTGTTCCTCTCCACAATTAGGAATAGCTCCATGATTATAAGGCAACGAACGTATGTGGTGGCCATTAGCAAATCTCAGGTACATATACAAAAAGGGAATTTTCAGATCCATTAATTATAGTAACATACGTACATATCCCATGAATTGTGGCTCTGGATGCTGAGGAAATGGGCCCGAAATCGTCACGGGCGCTCCCTGATGAAGCTATTCTGAATCCCCCTGTTTACTGAATACCCACGCCATTCTTGCGGCCACCTAGGCGGTCGAAACGGCACACTAGTTAGTTATCTAAACATTATTAGATATGTTCCAGTATCCAAAAAGTCTGCGCAGCGTGGAAACGCCACGCTTCTAGAATCAAAAGCCACGCACAAACATGGTCTCTTCGCCGTCCCCCACAGTCACTCACTCACTCCGTAGCGCAGGTTCTTACAAGCGAAGTTCTAGAGAATAGGGGCGCGCTCGAGGTTCTCATTACCAAGGGACCAGGACGTGGCCACGATGGGTTCTGCGCTTGCTAATGGTTGGAACCAGCCCAATTAATCTAGGAAACGCGAAGCTATTGAAAAGGTCGCGCGCGTCTCTTTATCACCGTCCGAGCTAAAAGGGGGGAGGGAGCTCGAATTTTTCAAGGGCACACATTTTGCACCGGAAGTGACGTGACATTCTTATATATATATCGATCTATCTGTATTGATTTATTACACTGATTTTTTGACCTTAATTCTAATCCGAGGTATGTATAGATGGGTTTTCGTTCCCTGGCTGAATGCTAACTAACGGTTTGTGGGACTCATTGAAAAAAGGGATGGAGGTCCTTACGGCTGCGGCGTCTGGGGGCATCGCAACGCTGTGTTCTACAATCATCCCCCTGACTGGGTTTGCGTGGATTCCAAGCTGGTGTCCTGCTCACAATGCTGCCGCGGATCTGGAAAGTCGATTGTCAAGGCATGCACATCTCTATCCTCCGGGATCGCCAGGGTATATCCAGGGCACAAAACGCTGGTCAGCCCTAGATGAACCGGATATTGCCCTGGTGGTGGAGGTCGCGACCGCAGAAGATGTGGTAGAAACGGTATGTTCAAGATTGGAAGAAATCCCCCGAGACCGTGCTGCTCATTTTTACCCAGATCCAATATGCCAATGAACAAAGTATCCCCTTTGTGGCATACAGTGGAGGCCATGGAACCATGACTACCCTGGGAGATGTGGAAAACGGCATCGAGATTTGGATGCACAAATTAGACTCGATCTCGATCGCGGACGATGGGCAGACCGCTACATTTGGCGGAGGCGTCTCCTCGAAACAGGCCATGGACTCACTCTGGGCCCAAGGGAAGCAAACGGGTGCGTGAGAGAGAGAGAGAGAGAGAGCGTAGAGTAAGAGAACTCGTGGCTGACGTTCTATATAGTAACTGGAGCGTGCGAGTGTACGGGGCTGCTTGGGCCGGCCCTGGGTGGTGGCCACGGTTTCCTCCAAGGATGGTACGGACTCATGGTGGATCAATTCGTCTCGATGGATCTGGTTCTCGCCAATGGAACCCTGATCACTCTCGACGAGGATTCAGACTTATGGTGGGCTGTCAAGGGAGCAGGACACAACTTTGGCATCGTCACCTCGGTCACGATGAAAGTCTACGATGTGCCCCATGACGGCCTCTGGTCTTACCAAAGCTTTATCTTCACGCACGAAAAGGTCGAGCAATTGTATGAAACCATCAACGAGGTTCTTCTCCAAGACGGCAACCAACCCGTGGACCTGATCAACTACTCGGTCTTCTTGAACCTGCCCGATCTGGATCCAGACCATGTGAGCTGCTCTTCTCTACATATCCTCCGGGCAGAGCACCAGACTAATCCAGACAGTCCGTCATTCTCTTTGCCATTTTCCGCGAAGGAGTGCCTGCCGTGGAGGACAAATACACGAAGCCCTTCATCGAGATCGGCCCCATCGTAACCAGCGGGGACAAAGGCACCTACCACGATATCCCCACCTGGTCTGGCTTTGCTATTGATTCCCCTGTTTGCATGAAGACCGGATTGGCGAGTATGCGCTTCCCGGTGGACCTACAGAGATACAATCCGCTGGTCCAGCGCGCAACGTACGATATCTTTTCAAGTGTCACGCATCAGAACCCTGCCTTGAACAACTCGATGTTCCTCTGGGAAGGCTACTCGCTCCAGGGGGTCCAAAGCATCCCCGCCGAATCCACTGCTTATCCCAACCGGGCAGGCAATCTCCTGGTTTCTCCCGTCATCACATATGAACCTTCGGGTCTGGAGCGCGAGATCGAGGCCCGTGCGTTTGGGGAATCGCTGCGCCAGATAGTCCATCACGGCAGTGGACAGAAGGAATTGTATGCGTATGTGAACTACGCATTTGGCGACGAGGGTCCACGGAGTTGGTATGGATACGAGCCCTGGCGTTTGGACCGTCTGCGCGAGTTGAAGGCCAAGTATGACCCAGAGCACCGATTTAACTTTTATGCTCCTTTTACTTGATGATATATACGCAGACTATAGTTACCTGGCTTTTTGTATGAGGTTATTGAAGTATTATTGATGAATGATCGAATTCCGTTGCTGCTCATAGATTGATTGGATGTCCTCACATGCTCCAACGTGTATCGGAAAAGACGCTCGGTTGACTAAATACACCCAGTTTTTCGTCCTCAAAGCAGACCCTTCTTTTTCGATCTGTGCGCCGTGCTACCGCAACCATGTTTCCCCTGGTAGATCTCTGGTCTATGAATTTGAACTCTACCGCTCCACCGATCCAAGTGAAGAATCCGCGTGTAATTTTGCTTACCCTGCACCTTTAGCCATCTTCCACCGTCAATGTACTCCAATGGGTACAGTGCAGCCGCTACTGGATTTTGTTCGTATGTGCCGCTCCCTGGTTCCCTGCGAGGGTTCTGTAATTACAGCCTCAACCGAGGCGGAAACGTCTGCTTTTCATGCTACTGTGATTGTTTAGCAAATACGTCGCTGGAAGCAGAATTCGTGCCGGCCCGACTAGCGCCTGATCAGATCGGGAAAGTGACTTGTGATCTGGCACATGATTATTCGAAGCTGGCAATGGAAGTCGCAGTGCGACGAGGCAATGAAGGGATCTGGCGAGAGTGCATGAAAACGACTGCCAATGTGGGGGTATGTCCTGGTCCCAAAGGCATTGACGAAAGAGAGATGAGAGCCATGCCTGGCTGGTACCATGTGTCAGGCTTTGAGAATGTGCAGGTCTGTGTCAGCTGCTATTGGCTGAAAGTGCAGTTGTATGGAGGAGGTCATCTTTTTAAACCTCTGACACGGCCTTTAGTCCCTGGTGTGATACGAAAATGCAGTCTATCTGAATGTAATGCCGCGGGTGTCTGTTCCATAGATACCGGCAATGACTCCAGCGGCACCCTATCATGGCGAGCACGCAGGCTATTTAATGCTCTGAGAGCAGGCTATGAGACTAATCAATGGGCGTCTGTCCTCGAGGTGGCACGACAAATAGTCCAAGAGCCCCCACCCTGTGAGGGACAATCCCGAGCCTTTACAAGGGCTAGCGGGAGGAAATGGTTCGGCTGCCAGGGCAGTAGTGGCAGTTCAAATGATTGTACCATCATTGTCTGTGAAGATTGTCACTGGCGCCTGGTCCGTGGCCGACCACACGCGGCTTTATTCAGTTATGATCTAACAGAAGCGGCGTATATAACAGGGGGCAGCTCCGGGTTCAAATGCCAGACGTATACCCACAGGACACAACAAAGGCTCCAAGCGGCTGCTGAGACAGGAGACTTCCAGAGCTTTGCCTGCTGGTGGAATAAACGGGACGAACTTCGCAAGAAACGTGACGCATGGATTCCACTCATTCAGGCAGAGCAGATGAAGCAATCGGCAGCCGACTCCCAGCGGATACAACAAGCGCGCCTAAGGATGAATGCACAAAGAAATGCTCCGAGTCGTATAGGGGCTACTGGTTTGGTAGATTTGGCCATGGGTGAGCCTGGTGTACGTTGGAGAAGCTCATCAGTAAGTTGGAATGTTTTTTTGCTTGTCTAGCCTTGCTTGCCCTATAGGTTGGATGGGGACACTGGACTAAAGGGTCGGACAGAAGCCCAACAGAGTTGGCAGGATGCCAGGAACATCCCAATACAAGTTGGGGGAGCACAGTCATGGGAGTTGCAGCGGTTGTACAGGCTGGCAAAGGCAGATGAGGACGCGTTCTTGTTGATGGAGTAAATCTATTTTGCCCTCGTCCAACCCAGATTTGCAGTCAAATTAGTTATATCAGTGCGGTACCTCAGGTACCTTCCAGGCATCAGTTTATGCAGATAATGTGCATAATTAATAAGCCGGTATATTTCCCAAAATGGAATAATGTAAACACTCGCCACAAATCATGCTAACCGGATTGGGCCAATGACGTCAACTCACCGCCTGCCTACTTTGTCCTTTTATTTACACACTCAACTCGACAACGGCAACTTCCACAACAACACCATCACCACCACCACCACCACCTTCGCCATCATATTGTCAAAGTTCTTCTTCCATCTGGTTTCTTTCCTTCATTAATTGAGATCATCTCCTAGTTGCTTTGCTCAACCCTCTATCTTCCTCCCCACATCTCCTCTGCGCATTGACATTATGCCGGTTCGCCGGTCTGCTCGTCTTCGGAGCCTTCAGCAGGCGACCCAGGTAGTCTTTTTGTCCGCCCTTGCTTGGTGCGAGTTGCTGACCCTCACTTTTCATTGTAGGATTCTCCTACGGGACCCGTCACTGACAACAACAATGACAACATCAACATGGCGAAGAGGCATAAAAACCTCACTACCGTGATTGAACGCGACGAAATTCCCAGTGTTGATGTGCCCACCCCTCGTCAGCCCACTCCCAAAGCCGCGGTTACTCAAACCCCCAGAAGCACACACAGCCAGAAAAAATCGCCCACAAAGACACCAACCAGTGTTATGACGCGTCCCACGCACCAGGAAATGCATCCCAGCAAAGTTCACCAGAGCACGACCAAGAAGCCAGATTCAGGCTTGATTCTGGGGTTCAACCCTGTCAAGAAGGATGCCCAAGGCAATGTGGTGAAGGATACACCGGCACAGCATACACCAAGCAAAGTCAATGCCTCGCCAGCGTCAAACTATTACGGTACTCCGGCTTTTGAATTCAAATTCTCTTGCGCTGATTCTCAGCTGAGCGATGAGGCCAAGCATCTCATGGAGAGTGTGCGTGAGGATGTTGCCCGCATTAAAGCCCAGATGATCCACGAAAAGCACAGTGACGCCCCATCGGAAGCATCGCAGATTACAGACAGAAGGATTGCGAAACCCAAAGGCAAGGCTGGACGGTTTTCCGATGCCCATATGGCTGAATTCAAAAAGATGGATTCTATTGCTGGCCACGCCTCTGCGTTCCGCGCCACTCCAGGAAGATTCCAGCCGTTAGTGAAGATCGAGAAGACTCTGAAGAGGAAGAATTCCAAGGCGCATCTGGATGAAGCAGAGAGTCATTCTTCATCCGCTAAAGCGGCTCCCAAGGCATCTCCCGGCCCCGCAACGCCCGGCGCTAAAAGGGTCAAACGTGACAAGGCTGATGATATCTCAACGGGCCGATTGATTACGCCCAAGCGAGCAATTTCTCGACCCCGAGCTGGAGTGCGCAGCTCCTTGATGACCCCTACTCGATCTTCCATGGCGCGTGCGTCCTCTGTTAGCCTAAAACCACCGCGAACCAGCATGATCCCCTCTCTTACACAATCTCCCGCCCCCAAACCGTCTAAGGTTCCATGTACCCCTCGAACTGATTTTAATCCGCGCTTTAAGAGTAACTTGCCCACTCTGGGTAGTCTCAAATCTATCCTGCGCCGCCATCAGCCGCTTTTCTCCAGGGACCCGTCCAAGATAGCTGCCGGAACGCACTTCGCAGCCCCAGATTTCACATCGGATTTACTCTTGAAACCTTCCCGCGAGAATTCACAGGAACCAGCACCAACTCCATCCCCTAAGAAACGCGTCGAATTTACGCCAGCCGCACAGTCTCCCCGTCCGCAGCAGCTGGTTTCGCCTTCTCCGTCAAAAATCCCGATGGTGGTTGCGTACCCTGGTACTTCAAACATCGTCTACCCGACATTGCCTTCACTGACTCCGGATCGTACTCAAGTTGAGCAACTCACGACAGTTCGCTCCGTTCGCCCATCTGAGCTCCCTCTCGAAGCCACTTTGCCCGAAATCCCCGGCATGCCCCATGGCATCAGTCACAAGAAGAGACATCGTGCTGCTGACGACGAGGCGGATGGCGAGAACGTGCCACCTGTTGGTAAACCCTCGGATGAGCGGAGCGCAAAGCGACTGAAGTTTAACTCCCCGGCACCCGTGAAGTTACCTCCTTCTAGCCCCCTCAAAGCTCGTTCGCACACCCCTTCCCGGCTGATCTCAAGGCCTGGTCGCGTTGGAACTCCAGTGAGTGCTCGTGCGAAGAGTCGCGGGGTTCTCAGCGTGAGCCGCTTGAACTTGTTGTCGCAGCCAAAACATCGGTCCTAGCTGTTTGTGTGAGCATAATGATCTATTGCATTCATGAGCGTTACCTTGCTAGCATAGATGGGCTTTGTTTACATTTCAGAGAAACTTCCCCATCTTTTGCATGTTTATTCCTTTCTTCGAGTGGTCCGCAGATCCGCCCAGGCTGTCCTCGTGTATTTATTGTTTACCGGATTTGATATCTTTGGAACCCTTAATGGGTCTTGATTCTTGTTGAATTTATTTGCAGGCGCTTGGATGCATCCGGGATGCAGGATATGGATGGCGTTTTGCCTCTTGAAAGTGGCTTCTCCGCTTCCCTTGTTTAATTCCAGGGGGTGTGGGATTGATTGTATTGATCTGTAAGGGTAACAGATTTCCAAATATTTGTTTTATGAAGAACTACGATTGTCATTGTATCTCAGTCATCCTTTGCTCGATACCCTTCTGCAGTACGTATCGCCTTGTAAATTCTGGCGACTTCAGCCGACGCGACATTCATAGGCAGCAGCAAACCGAGCGCCTGGCAGATGCAACCAACCGGGAATCGTGACTGGGTGGTTCAGCAACCGCATCTTCACGCATTGGAGAGTTCTGCATCCGTGCTAATTATTTTCTAATTCTTGCGAGATGGTTTCCTGAGCCGCGCGCAAAGCATCTCGGAATCTCAAACCGGCGTTGCGTGATATTTGCTGATTCCCGACCATCAACAGGGACTGTATGGGTATGGGACCAGCCAAATCTGATATATTGTTGATATCGGACATATCTTCCTCCCATTTTATAGCCATGGCGACCGGTGAGGTACTGCTAAATGGGGTTGCGTCTTTAGAAGGTGTGGCATGCGCCGCGGAGGTTGTCCCTGAGAGTGGAGGCGATGCAGGGCGCGAAACTGTAGAGACAGCACGCGAGGAAATTGTCGCCGGGATTGGCTTTGACAGCTGGATGGATGGCATCATGACGGCAAGCATGTAGGTTAGCAAGGCAGTGTCCGAGGAATCCGACGAATCTTGCACAGATGGTCGCCCCTGTGATCGTACAACCGTCCGTAGTCCGTGGATAGCAGTGTGGAGGCGAGAGATCTGGTCCTGTGCATGATTCGGCCTGGGTCCAATGTCGCGAGCGATGTTTAGGGCTTCTTGCGCCAGGGGAAGACCGTTGCTCGGGATCTAAAGAGCTCAGACTAGGCAATCAAGTCAAGCTCTAGGAGGCATCAAGCACTTACAGACGCACACTTGGATCTGGCCTGACGACAGTTCAGGCAAGCTGTATACCCTTGGGCATATTTGCATGTTCTTGTTGGATCCCTCCGGAGATTCAGAATACAGTTGTAGCACCACTCATAGAGCGAAGATGCTGGGATCCAGTCGCTTCGATCGCGGTCTCGTTTCGGACGGATGGCTTTCCGCTGTGTCTTGGGCATCTACTGCATGGTGAGTGAGTGCTTTGCGATACTCATAATAGGGGAACTGGTGTTTTCTTTTTCTTTTTCTTTTTTCTTGTCCGTGGATTGACTCACTGTACGCGGAAAAGACCATAGAATCAAGGCCCCTAGCTGTCTCTTCGTCGTACTTTAAGCTGACGGACGAGAGAATGGTAAAGGACAATAGGGTTAAAAAAAAAAAAAGAATTACCTGCCCTGAACCTATGGATAGACCCTGAAAATCTGTTGTGGAAAAGTCGTTTGTGCGCTCCAGTAGTATGAGGCCGGCCGCGACTTACATACTGTGGATAGGGCTAACGGTGAGATTGAACTCCGTACGCCCAGTCAAACGCTCGGGCGAGGTCACCAGCGGCACTGAAGACTTTCTTAGGTCTTCTGCATGTGAGGAATCCTTCAAGAGGTTCTCCATTGGCTCCGATGATGCACTGCGGCCTGCTGAATCACATACATAGGCTTTTGGAGCTATCACTTTTAGGCCACACATGCCGGAGCAAGACCACTTTTCCAAGGAGACTTGTATATTCAACTAAACGGCTTCACATTCTATCTTCTAGTAACAGTTGTAGTAGTATACGAAAAAAAAAAAAAAAAGGTAATCACAGATGTTGTCTACTTTGCACAGCAAGAACCTTGGTCAGTAACAAGTACGCTCCGGTTGTCCCTCTGGTTGGAGATCAGAACATCCAGGGCCGGATTTCTAGTAAAAAAGTTCATCGGTTTCTCGACCGGCATTACATACAGGCCAGTCCTCCACACGGAATGTATGCCAGACGACGATGTCTTCATTCCGTACACTCCGAGGCGCTTCTCGTGTTTTGATCCAAGTTGCGAAGCCCGATCCGGACTCGGATTGTACAGTGTAATCTCCACCAGTGAGGTATTCTTAATTCCAGCGGCTTCCGCTGGTTGTATCTGTCGAAGTAAGCTATCTTATCACTGAAAGAGTTGTAAATAAATAAGCAAAAGTGGTCAACCCTTTGTTTAACCCCTAGGGTTAGGATCTAGGAAGAATACACACTACAAGATGTGTAGAATTCATTCCTATATTCCACTATATTCTAACTGGCCAAAAAAAGAGCTGCAAGTCAAGTATCTAAGAAATACCGGAGTGAATGTAAGGGAGCCTATTATTTCTTGTTGGAGTGCTGCACTCAGTGAATGCAACCAGCACCACCATAAAGCAGCATCACCATAAAGAAGAAGATAGTGATATGTGACTACTTTATGTATTTAAGGCTACTATTTCCTTCTAGATCTTCATACTTCCTCCAAGTATCTCTTCTTCTCTCTATTTCCTAGTTAGACCTAATTAAATTTATTTTAGTTAACTTTCTACTATTATAGTTTAACAACCTTTATTAGGTTATAAGCCCTCCTTAAGGTTCTATTTTATACTTTATAGACTTCTAAAAACTCTTATTATACCCCTATACTAGAGATCTGCTCCCTGATTAGATAGAGATTTTAGTAGAAATATTACCTACTATTATTATATTATACTACCTAGGTAATAGTATATAGAAAATTTCTATAATTTAATTAAAATAGTAACTAAACCTATCCCTAGTAAATATCCTGATATCTCTAACTTACTATACCTACCTTTAATAGCTACTACCCTATTTACTAATAACTAAAATTAAATAATAAAGCTAAAGAATAGCATATTTAACTTGAGCCTGATAATAGTATTAAAAAATAATTTAAAATTTAAAATTTAAGCTTTATTTATATAAATAGAGCTAAGATTTTATAAAATAAATAAACTTCTTAAAAATAATATTTCTAGACTATAATTTAATAATTTTAAGTATAAATTATAGGAATTTCTTTTATAAATAATAACTAGTTAAATATTATATTTAATAAGTAAGAAATTAGTAAAAAAATTATTAATAAATACTATCTTATATATTTTTATAGATAATTTTATATAAAAGTTATAAAAAATAATTATTAATAATAATTAAAAATATATATACTAGATATAAAGAGAAATTATTAAGATTAAGTATAAAAATTATATAATTATTAATAAGTTTATATTAGATTTTATCTAGAAAATAAATACTTTTAATAAATTAAAAATAATTATTATATTTTATTAAATAATTATTATAATACTTTAGAAATTTAAAAAAAATAATATAAATTTTATAAATTTAATTTTAAATAATTTAAATAATAATTTTATTAAAATAATTATATAAAAGTATTTTTATACTATATATAATATAGTAAAGGATAAAATTTAAGAGAATTTATTATTTAATATTATATCTAATATTATAATATTAGCTATAAATATATTAAATTCTTAATTAATAATAAATAATAGAAGGAGATTGTCACAGGGAGCAGGCGGGCAGTAGGTGTAGCTAATAGCAGGGTGTATATTCAGGCTATCTGCATATAGGTACAATAGGTAGGGGTCAGGTCAGGACAAGGACATAGCTTGAAGAGCTATAATAGGATTAGGGGTAATATAGCTTAAATATAGGAGTAGAGATAGATAATTAGAGTAGAATCTAACTAGATAAGTATATAATTATACTATAATAGTATCCTCTCTTTTAGATTAAGCTCTAGTAAAGTATTCCTAAGATCTAGACTTTCTAGGATAGTAATAATAATAAATAATAATATATTTAATAATATTCTCTAGATAGCTAGTAAGAATTTTAGTAATAGTAAAATATTTAACTTACTTAATAATATATTTTAAATATAAGTAACTATCTTAGCTATAATAATTTTAATAGGAGTTAATTACTTTCTTAATCTTTTATTCCTTAATATTATTAACTTTAATATATAGGGATTTAGTTTTCTTTTATCTAGATAATAGATTTTTAATAGTTAAATATAATAATTTAATATAAAATACTAGATATATTTTTATATTCTTAAATAGGTCTAGTTTATAAGTATAAGGACTAATAACTCTTTTAATAAGAAAGAGGCCTAGATTTTTCTAATTTAATTTCTTTTAGGGATATAAGATTATAATATTTTTAATATTTAACTAGACTAATTAATTCTTAATATAATATCTAGTAAAGTAGTATTTTTAATTAGTATAGTATTTATAACAAGCTTAAATAATAATTATAATAATATAGTAATATTCCTATATCTATTTTATAATTAAAATAAATTAGTAAGTATTATAAGTTTACAAGTAATAATTAGATAGAATAAGCTTAAATCTTATATAGGGGTTAAAACTATATAAAATAAAGAATAAAAAATATCTAGTAATCTTAAAATTAATATTATTAATAGTAAATTTTACTATAAATAATTATTTAGCTTAATTATCTTATAAATAGTTAATATAAACTTATAAATATTATTTTAAAATAATATTTATATATTTAATTTATTTATTAATCTTAGAATAATAAGTAATAAATAAAAATAATCTTATCTTTAGAATATAATTTAGGTATATCTAGAATACTAATATAAATTAGGGTTTTTAATTAAATATAATAAACTTAAAGAATCTATAAAATCTCTAAATATAATTTTAGAATAAGTAAATAGCTTTCTTAATATTATAGATATTATTATAAAAAATATAATATTAAAATTTTATTAACTAGTTAATTATTATTATAATAATATTAAAGCCTAAATTTTAGAGTAAATATATAATAAAATTAATAAATATATTTTTCTAGAAATTCTTAAATATAAGTAAGAAATAAAGTACTTCTTAATATCTATTTTAGTAAGATATAGATTATTTATAAATATAATAATTATAAACTTATTATTCTATAAATTATAATATTCTAGACTAGTAATATAATTATAATAATAATTTATAAATCTTTAATCTATCTTAATAACTAGTAACTATATTCTTATAATATTTATATATTAATTCTATCTTTAATTTTTCTATATTAGGAATATATAATTAGTTATAGTAAAATAAGAGTCTAGAATAATAAGTATACTTAAATAATATAATTAATAAATAGTAGTTATAGCCCTTTTTTAAATTTTCTAGAATATTATTAAAAGCTAGATCTTATTTATAATCCTTATCTAGGCACTCTCTTAATTATTTAAGAAGCTAGATAATCTCTTCTTCTTTAGACTTAGATAATTAGAAGTATACTAACTTCCTTCTAGTAATAACTTAGAGCTAGATTAACTATAGTATTTACTAGTTCTATAACTTCTCTAAGTATTTAAGTAAGAAACTTACTAAATTTTCTTTTTTTAATATTATTTAATTCTAATATAGTAAGTATTTATTCCCCTCCTTAAAAAGATTTTATAACCTCCTAATTAAATTATTTAATTTTATCCTATACTTGCCCAGGTAATAATTAATTATAAAATTAAAGTAAGATAGGAATTTAAATTATTAGGCTTATTATTAATTTAATATTTTAATTATTATAAAATACTCTAGGTTTCTATAGTTAATTATAATCTTAATTAAATACTAGTATCTTTCTAATTCTAGGATTTATTTTTCTAGATAATAAATAATTACTAGTAACTTCTTATTATATATCTTATAATTATATTTAATTAGAGTTATTTTCTTCAAGTAGAATCTTACTAGGTATAGAATTCTATTATTATTATATTATAATAATACTCTAGTAAATATAAAGTCTAAGATATTAGTTTTTAAAATAGCTAGTTAGTCCTAATTAAAGAACCTTAGTATTAGTTTCTTAATAAATTCTACTTTTAGTATTTTAAAAGTAGTCTAGTAGGTTAAAGTTTATAAGAATAGGGTTCCTTTCTTCTCTAAGGTAGTAACAGGCATGAGAATCTATAAGAATCCTTTAATAAAGTATTAGTAGAATCTAGTAAATTCTATAAAACTCTTAATATTAGTAATTATCTTAAATAGCTTTTAATTTATTATAATCTTAATTTTCTTAGAATCTATATAAGTACCTTCTTTTCTAATAATAATATTTAGAAACTTAACTTCTAGCTAATAAAATTTATACTTAAATATTTTTATATATAGGTTATTATCTTTTAAAATTTATAATATTTATCTTAAGTATTTAATATATTCTTTTTTTATATAATTATAGATTAAAATATTATTTAAAAATATATTATAAAATATATTTATATATTATTATAGGATATTATTTATAAAATATTAGAAGATAGCTAGGGTACTAGTTAGGCTAAATAATATAATTAGGAACTTATATAGCCTAAAATAAGTTTAAAAAATAATTAGGTACTCTAATCCCTTCTTAATATAGATATTATTAAAGGTAATTACTAGATTAATTTTAGAGAAATATTATATTTCTTATAGGTTATTTAAGATTTTTTTAATTAAGAGTAATAAGTAATAATTCTTAATTAATATAGTATTTAGTCCTTAATAATCTATATATAGGTAGAGACTATCTTTAGGTTTATTAATAAATAAGATAGAAAAAATAGCTAGAAATAAGCTAGAATATATAAAATCTTTTTTTAAGTTTTCTTCTAGTTATTCCTTTAAAATAATTAATTATATTTATAATATTAAATATAATTTATTAAATAAGAATTATTTTCCTTCTTAGATCTTAATATTATAATTATATAATTAATATAATAGTAGCTTCTCTATTTCTTAAAGATTAAATATATCTTAAAAATCTTATAGTTCTAGAAAAAATATAAGTAATAATTTAAGACTAGTATCTCTATATTTTAATTCTTTATTAACTTTATTTAATAAGGTCTAGTATAGTTTCTATACTAGATAGTAGGTATATATAGCTAGTATTCTTAGGGATATTTAGTATATTTTTATAGATATAGAAGATTTTAACTTTAGTAATTTTTTTTATTAATTTAGTTACTTAAGTTAATCCTTTTAAGAGATATCTATTAGGGCCCTTACTCTTATAGGCTTAAGAAGTATATTATAATATTTATAGTAATATTAGCTATTAAATATAGCTATTTAGTTAGAAAAATATATTTTTAAATTATATATAGTAAGCTAGGCTAGTCCTAGGATAATTAGGTAGTAAGAAAGATAGATAATATAGAAGATAAATTTCTAGTTATAATAATTATTTAATAATAGATTAGCTTTTATATAATAAGTTATTATACCTTCTTTTATCTTCTTACTATAAAAGCTAGATAGGAATATTAAATAGAGAAGTAGAATAGTTTTTAGTCTATATATTTCTACTTATTAATAATCTATAAAGCTAATTTCTTTAGCTCTAGAATTAATTATAGTATAAGTTAGTATTTTTAGATTTTCTTAGTATAATTATACCTGCTATACTATTAGGTTGGCGTGTATATAATAGGGATTAGAGAAGTTAGTTAATTTAGTAATAATATAAGATAAATAGAGTAATATATCTAGTAGTAAGGGCTTCTATATATATTCTAGTACTAGATAATAATTATAGCTAGATAGACTTTATTTTCTAAGTTAGGTAAGGTATTAAAAGAGTATAATTAATTAAGTTCCTTTAGGATAGTAAGGTAGTTATTCTATACTATAGTATAGAAAGCAAGTAATACTATAATAAAGGTTAGACTAGAATAATATACTAGTATATTTATCTACTCTTAGATTTATATAAAGTATTAGTTAAATAAAGAATAGTTCTTTATATAATATATTCTATCTTTATAATAAAAGTATTTCTTATACTTATATTATTCTTCCCTAGGAGAGTATAATATATAGCAGGCATGGAATAAATCTATAATATCTAAATCTTTTCTAGACATGGGGGGTGTGACTAGATAACTAGATAAAATAGAACTAGGGAGATTCCTTAGTACTACTAGACTAGAGTAGTAGGAATTAAATATTAGGTAAAAATAAGATACTTATAGCTAGTATTAATAGTAATAATTTTTTAATAACTAAAAGTAATTAGTATATTCTTAAAAATCTTAAGATAGGATAGGATTATAAAGTAATATATCTTAAAATTTAATTAAGATATTTTAGATTAAAAAAAATATTAGAGAGTTATTAAGTATTTTTTTTTCTAAAATAAGATAATAGAACTTTATAAAGTAAGTATTAAAATTTAAGTTTTTTTATTTCTAACTATAGAGGTAGTTTTAAGTATTTTAAACTTAATTAGAGTCTCTAAATATTATTTTTAGATAGTTAAGTAGATTAAAATAGTCTAGAAATTAGAGAATATTAAATCTTATTTTAAGTAAGATTAATTTATAAGCCTTTCTAATTAGATATCCTATTATATAGATTAGTTAGACTTTAATAGCTAGAAAATAATCTAGGTTAGTATCTATTTTACTATAGATCTATTATATAAAGTAGTAAAGATTAAAATAAGTATTATTAAACTTTTATAAGTTAGGGAGTTTCTTACTAAAATAAATATTAGAAGGAAGGCTAGTAAAAATAAGTATAGATACTCTTATTATATTAGTTACTATAGCTTTAATAAGAGGAGCATATTTAATAGGAGTAGGGATAATAATAAGAGTAAGTATAATAAAAGTAGTAATAACTTATAATATAATAAATATATACTTAGATTTAATTAACTTTTATTAAATTATTTTTAATTTTTTCTTTTAGTATAGTACTACTCTCTCTTTCTTAACTAGCTTCTAGCTAGCTTTATTAACTTAATTTTAGAGAATATAAATCTCCTTCTTTAGAAAATTAATATATTTATTATAAAATTTAAAGTAAATAATCTAGATAATAAGATTATTAATAATATAGTTTATAAATTCCTTAACTAAGTCTATAATTAGGGATAGTTTAGGTTATTTTAATATACTAGTAGTAGCTATACCTAGGGTAGGAGCTATGTAATATTACAGGAAGTAGATAGGTAATAAATATAGCTAATAGTAGGATATATATTCAGGCTATCTATATATAGGTATAATAGGTAGGGATTAGATCAGGATAAGAACATAGCTCAAAGAGCTATAATAAGATTAGGGGTAATATGGCTTAAATATAGGAGTAGAGGCAGACAGTTAGGGCAGAATCTAACCAGATAGGTACATGGCTACACCATGACAGAGATAATAATAATAGTAGAAATATATATTATTATAGAATATAATAATTATTAATTATATTAATTATTAATTAAAGTAATTTAAAAAATCTAGAATATTATATTTATTTTATAAGGAGAAAAAATATAATACTAAGGACTACCTATATTTAATAATTAATAAGTAGAAAAAAGGATAAAAACTAATTTTAATACTTTAGTACTTTAAGCTATATAAATTAAAGAATAAGAATAATTTAATTTAAAACTAGGCTATTACCCTAACTATATAAGCTAATACTATTCTAGATACTAATAATTTTATACTATCTAGAGTTAATATACTAATAATTTTAATATTAACTATTTTTAGGAATAGGTAGCTATATAACTTTAAAGTAGATTATATAATATATAATAATTATAATCTCTTTAATAATCTAATTAAAGATCTAAATAATTTTAAGAATTATAGTTTTATTATCTCTAATAATAAGATAGTATATTCTTAAGATTATAAAAAAATAATAATTTAATTTAAATTAAATAATAGTACTTTAATATTATACTAAATAAAATATTTTTAGAATCTAAATATATTATATAACTTAATACTAGTAAAAAGAATAAAGATAAAATTAAGAATTTATTTTAACTTAAAAAATTAATATATTTATAAAATAGTAATAAATAAGATAATTAAATATACTATCTTAAATAATAATATCTTATTTTTAGTTCTAAATAAGATAGTAATTATACCTACTATACTAATAAACTTATTATATTAATAATTAGGTTATCTATCTATTAAATAATTAAAGTATAATAAGGTAATACTTTATAATAAAAGTAATAACTTAGCTATTAATAACTTACCTACTATTAATTAGAATACTAAGCTATATTATAAAGTATATTAATTATTAAAATTAAAAAAAAAATATTTTAAAAACTATAATTATATATAATAAAATTATTATAATTTATATATATAGATCTTTAAGAAATTAAATTAATTAGAAAAAATAATATTAAATATATCTTACTAGTTCTAGATAATTATTCTAGATACCTTTTTATATAATATTTAAAGGTAAAAAGTAAATCTTTAAAGGTATTAAAGAAAATATATAATAGTTAGCTAAATATAACTAGTATCTATATTAGAAGGATTAGATTTAACTCTACTCCTAAATTTAATAAGTATACTAGGTAGAGTAAGGATTTTAATACTATATATGAATTAATACTACTATAAACCCCTGAGGAAAATAACATTATTAAATAATTTAGTAGCTATATAATCTAGACTGCCCGCATAATATATATATAAGTAAAAATAGAATTAATAATATAGCTATATAGTATAAATATAGTAGTCTATATTTTAAATAAGTTAATTAAAGAAAGTAATAATAAAGAAAAGCTATCTATATAACTTTTTTATAAAGAATTAAATATTTTAATTAAAAATATTAATTTATAATATATTTATATATAAGAATATAAGATATTTATAAATATTCTATATAAGAATAAGATTAAAAGTATAAAAATATTACTTAGAGTAAAAATTAATTAACTAGTTAAATATAATAGAGATTATATCTATAAGATATAGTATCTAGATATAGGGAAGATAATTTAGTCAAGAAATATAATATTTAATAAAAGTAATACTAATAAAATAAATAAAATATAATTATAACTTCTTAATAAACTAAAATTAAATAATAATAGTCTATCTAGAGTAACTATATCTATTAATACTAAAAGGGGAAGAATAACCTATAATAATATATTTTAAAATAATATTATTCCCTAAACCTTATTATTAATAAATAATAATAAGGTTATTATAGAAAGAATTTAAATATTAATATCTAATCTAGCCCTACCTGAACCAAGCCTACCTGATCTAGAGGCAGGTATTAAACTTATTATACCCAAGTGGCTACCTGCCTCTAGGGCTGCTTCTAGGGCTATCTCTAAAACTACTAAGTTTATTATACTAGAGTAGATACTGGCCTCCAGGACTGTTTCTAAAACCATTATCAAGTAAAATAATTAAGTAATTAGTAAGGATATAGAGGAGATAGTAAGACTTAATATAGAGGAATAATCTAGGTAGGGTAGATATAAAGGGATAATTAATTATTTTATTATAAATAATCTATATACTAGTTAATCTATTTTTAAAAGAATATTAATATTATAACTAATATAAAGGCTTTTAAAATTATTTATCTAATATAAGGAGGTCTTACTAATTTTAGAATCTTCTAAAAATAACTATGCTTTAATAACTCTAGATATATTAAAAAGGAAGTATTTAAAGACTAGAAAGTAGGTTAAATTTAATATTAAGAATATAAAAATAGTTAACCTGGTAAAGATATAGAATCCTACTAATAATAATACTAGTAGTAGTATTACTACTCTATAGAGATTTTCAAGATCTATAAAGAGTTAATACTAAAGTATTTATTTTAAAGATAAGCAAGTAAAGTAATTATAGGAAGAGAAGATAAAATAAGAATAATAATCTTAATTCTAATCTATATTATTTTTAAAAATACTTCTAGAAATACCTTATTTACTAGGATCCTATTGTCAGGGGGCAGAGTCGGATTCAGACATTCATTGACTAGGAGCTAACCAGACAGAACAGCAGAACAGTAGGTGTTAGGTAATAGATAGAACATAGCTTAAAGAGCTATAACAGGATTAAGAATAATATGGCTTAAATACAGGAATAAGAGTAGATAGTTAAGGTAGAATCTAACTAGATAGGTATTATAGCTTTATACTATGATAGTATCCCCCTCCTTAGGGTTAAGCTCTATTAAGACTAGGGAGGAATTAGTTAGGGTTTCTTAGGATAATAGAGATAGTAATTATTTATTAATTAGTAGGTATTCTTTAGATACTTAGTAGGCTCTTTAATTAGCTTATTATATTTAATCTATTTAATAGTATATTATAGCTTAAGTTTACTATAGCCTTAATAAATCTATTAAAAATTAAGGATTTCTTTAACTTCTTATTTTTCTAATTCTTCTACTTTAATAAGTAGTGGTAGATTAAGATATTAACTAGGTAAAGAATTATTAGTAGTAGAGTAGAGTAAAAATATATTAAATATAAGATAGATTTTTATATTTTTAGGTAGTTTAAGTTTATAAATATATAGGTTAATAATTCTCTTAATATAGTATAATTTAAAGTTCTTCTAGTCTAATTTCTTTTATAGGTAGAGTATTTAGATATTATAAATATTTAACTAGACTTCTTATCCTATAGTATAGTAATATATAGGTTATTTTTAGTAGTTAACTTATACTTTATAATAGGCTTGAATAGACAAGATTTTAGTATAGATAAACTTATAAATCTTATATATAATATTAGTAAACTTCTTAGTATCTTTCTTAGTAAGGTAGATAATAAGGTAGCTTAATTTAAATCTTAATATTAAGTAAAATCTATAATTAACTATAAATAGTAATACTCCTATAGACTTAGAGTAAATAAAGTTAGTAGTAAATTTAGTTATTAATAGCTATTTAGATTAATTATCTTATAGGTATAATATATATACTTGTAAGTATTATCCTAAGATAGTATTAATATATTTAATTTAGTTATTAGTCTTAGAGTAATAAATAATAGATAATAGGTTATAGATTTTTAAGCAGGATATTAGGTATTTCTAGAAGATAGTAATAAACTAGACTCTATAATCTAATATAATTATTTTAGGGATACTATAAAGTTTCTAAATATACTTAAGATATAGATTAGCTATCTTTTTAATATTAATTATTTTAGTACAGGGAAAGAAGTATTTTATCTTTATTAGATAATTAACTATAACCAGGATAGTATTATAACTATTACTTAGTAATAAGTATATAATAAAGTCTATATTTATATCTTACTAGATATATTTAAAAATTAGTAGAGGTTTTAGTACTCCTTACTTTACTTTTTAAGAAAGAGTAATTTAGTAGTAAAGGTAATAATTTTAGATTTATTAGTTAATATATTTATAGATCTCGGGCTAGAAATATTTATATAATATTAGTTTATATATCTTAGTTTTTTTAGGATATCTAGTAATAGGATTTTTATAATAAAATCTTAGTATTTTAGCTTTTATTTTATTATAGTTAGGCATGTAAAGTTAGTCTTAATATTTTAGATATAGACTAGCATGTCTATAGTTAGCTAGTATAATATTAGAGTGTCTTAATAGACTATTCTTTAAAATATTTAGAATAGACTAGAGCTTCTTATCTTATAAATAAGCTTTATTAAATAATAGTTATAGTATTAGTAGCAGGGAGATTAGTTTATTAGTAGCAGGTTATTTAGTAAAGTATACTTGATATTAGCTATTAATATTTAATCTTAGATTAGTAGTAATCTTAGGTAGTAGGTTTTTAGATTTTAGAATAGTCTAACTCTAGTAAAGGAGTTATTTATTCCCCTTTTTAGGTAGATTCTCTAATCTCCTAGTTAGTATATCAGGCTTAGTACCTAACTTCCTGGAGTAGTAATATATTTAGAAGTTAAATCTTAATAGAAATTTAGATTAGTAGGCTTATTAATAGTTTAGTAGCTTAATTAATATAAAATACTTTAGATTTTAGTAATCTATAATAATCTTTATAAGTAATAGAGTTTCTTCTAATTTAGAATACTATTTTTTAAAGTAGTAAATAATAATTAATAATTCTTTATTATAAATCTTATAATTATATTCTATTATAGAATATTTCTTAGAGAAAAATATAATAGGATATAATATATTTTTATTATTATATTATAATAGTACTTTAGTAAATATATAATTAAAAGTATTAATTTCTAAAATTATATCTTTTAACTAGTTAAAAGGTTTTAATATTAGGGTATTTATAAAAGTAGCTTTTAGTTATTTAAATACTTCTTAATAAGTAGGTATCTAATTAAAATTAATATTTTTTTTAGTTAGGTTAATTAATAGTTTAATAATTTTTAAAAAATTATAGATAAATTAGTAGTAAAAGTTCCTAAAGTTAATAAAGGCTTAAATATTAGTTAAATAGGTTAGTATTTCTTACTTAATAATTATTTTTACTTTATTAAGGTCTATTTAGAAGCTATTTTTATTTATAATTAGTTTTAGGAACTTTATCTCGTGTATAAAGAATTTATATTTATTAAATTTAGTATAAAGTTTTACTACTTATAAGTATTCTAATATTTATTAGATATAATAAATATGTTTAGTATAGGTTTAGCTATAAATTAGAATATTATCTAGATATATAGTATAAAAGATATCTAAATAATTATATAGGGCTTTATTAATAAATCTCTAGAATAATACTAGAGCTCTAGTAAGCCTAAATAATATTATTAAGAATTTAAATAGGCCTAATTAAGTTTAGAAGATAGTAAGATATTCTTATTCTTTCTTAATTTATAGATTATTAAAAGTAGAGATAATATTAATTTTTAAGAAATATTTTATCTCTTTTAGATTATTTAGTATCTCTTTTATTAATAGTAATAGGTAATAATCTTTTATAATAATTATATTTAGGGCTTGATAATCTATATAGAATTATAGATTTTTTTTAGATTTCTTTATAAATAAGATAGGGGATATAGTAGGAAAGAAACTAGAATAAATAAAATCTTTTTTTAAGTTCTCTTTAATCTATTCTTTTAGAATTTTTAGTTTATCTCAGGATATACTATATAGGCTTTTAAAAGGTAGGATTTTTCTAGGTAGTAATTTAATCTTATAATTATTAAGTTAGTAGGATGGCAGGTACTCAGCCTCCTTTAGTAAGAATATATTATAGAACTTAGTAAACTTAGGGAGTAGTTACTCTTGTAGCTTAGATTTAGTAATAGTAATAGGGTTTAGAGTAGCTTTAATATTAGTAATAATAGTAGTAAATATCTAGTATCCATGGTAGGTATATATAATATAGGTAGTAATTAAGACTCTAGTAATATCTTAATTCTTTAGAGATTTAGGGCGGGAGTTAAGATATTAGGGAGAAGTTTTTAGTAGTATATTATATAATATTAAAATTTTTATAAATTTTAGAGATATATTATAGTACTTTTTATAATAAGGATTTTTAAATAAAATAGTATAATTAGTAAATCTAATCTAGGGGTTATAAGTCTTTAATTAAGGCAAGTTAAGAATAATAAGAAAGTATATAAGTTAGATTATAAGAAAAGTAATATTCTTTTTAATATAATTATAAATTCTTTAGGTTAAATAAATAAAATAAGTAATATTACTAGATTCTACTAGAGTATTATTAAATCCCCTTAATAAAATAGGGTTCCTTAATAGTAGTATCTCTAGTTAATTATTTATAGCCTAATTATAATTTATAAAATATTTATTTTTAGCTCTAGAGTTAATTATAATAAAGATTAGTAGAATCTTATTAGGGATTTCTAGGTTAATAAGCAGGATTATTAATTTAGATTAGTAATTTTTTTTTTTTACTATTATTCTAGTTATCGCAGCCTTTAATAGATAGAGAAAGTGCTGGGGGTATCCCTAATTATAGCTTAGGTTAGGAATACTCTATTTTCTAATTTAGGGGATATAAGGTATTTGGTAGGTAGGGTTCTAGTTAATAAGGGGTATAGGTCTAGTTTAGTAGTAGATATAGAGGTATAGCTAGTTAGTCTTTAGTTAGGATATAAGTAGCTATCTACTAGGTAATTAGTGCTGCTATAGTAGTAACACAGGTATTAGGTTTAATAATTAAGGTAATAAGTAGTAGACAGGTCTATTGGGTTTTTAGTAGGAGTAGTAGTAATAATAGGATTAATAAGGACTATAAGAATTTGGGTAGTAGGAGTTAGCTTTAAAATAGGTTAGGAAGGCTAGGAATTCTTTATAGATAGGGATAGAGTAGTACTTATATAATAATAATAGTAGTTTTCTAGATTTTATAAGTAATTAATAAAATTATAATATTATAATAAGGCTTTAAAGTATATTAATATTTTTTAAAATTTTTAGCTAATAGCCTATTTTAAAATTATAAGTAAGATATCTTTATTTATATTTTCTTCTAATATAAGATATTAGAATTTAGTAAAAAAGATATTAAACTTATAATAAGTTTATTAAAGGTAGAATAGATTAGTATAAGTATTAATTTCTAGATTTAGGTCTTTAAAAGCTTTCTTTAAGATTTCTAAAATCTTAATATAATTATTTAATTTATAAATTCTATTTTAGATATATAATAAAATTTAGATATATAAGATTTCTTTAAGGTAATTAGTTATATAAATTATTCTATTATTTAGAATTAGAAAATAGTTAAGATTTATAATTATTTTCTAATAAATTTAAGAAGTAAAGTATCTTAGGTTACTTTATTAATTATTAAATTTATTAAAGTTAGAAAGTTATTTAGAAGTTTAAGTAGTAGGAATAGATATAATAAAAATAATAGTAATAATAAGAGAGGTAGTAATATTAGTATCTCTTTTAAAAAAAGATAGTAATTAAAAAAATATATTATTTTAAGTAAGTACTTTAAATAGCTCTTATTAGATTTTTTTAGCTTATATTTTCTAATACTTAATTATATTATTTTTTTATTAAATATAGTTAAGAAGATTAGTAATAGTAAAGTATAGAATAGATAATTTATAGAGTTTTTTTATAATAGTAATAGAGAACTAGTATATTTTAGTAATATATTATCTTAATTTATTAAAGATATTATATAGGAGGGTTTCTATATCTTTAAGTAATATAGGTAGTAAGGCAGGTATAATAGTAGTAATTAACTTCTAGTAGAGAGAAGCTATATAATATTAGAGGGTAGAGTTAGATTTAGATATTTATTAACTAGGAGCTAACTAGATAGAATAGTAGAATAGTAGGTGTCAGGTAATAGATAAGATGTAGCTTGAAGAGCTATAATAGGATTAAGGATAATATGGCTTAAATACAGGAATAAGGGCGGACAGTCAAGGCAGAATCTAACTAGATAGGTACTATGGCTTCGCACTGTGACACCTATCTAAAGTTAGGAAAATTACCTAATATAATTACTATAGTATTACTAGATATTATATTACTAGATTCTAGTAATTTTATACTAGAGATTAAGCCTATAAAGACTTATAAAGTTAGAATCCTATAGACCTATATTTAAGTAATAAAGTTATTATAAAAAGATTACTAGATATAAGTAATATAGAATTAAATTAGTAAGTTTAAAGCTATTTAGACTTATAAATTTATATTATTATTAAAGGATATAAAGATCTTACTAGGAAAATAAGTATATAACTTAAAATTAGATATAAATAATAATATATTATAATTTTATATAAGATAGGTTATATATAGAAATTTCTAAAAATTAAGTATAAATTTTAACTAAGTCTACTCTCTAGTAGTAATAGATACTTTAGTAAAGTTATTTTTAAGTATAGTTACTTATTTTAATTTAAAATAAGTATAATTTAATATAGTAACTACCTATCTTAATATAATAATTAAGGACTAAAAAATCTATATATATTAATTAACTAGTTTTAATAAGTAAGATAATATAATATATTTATTACTCTAAGTCTTATATAAATTATAATAATTAGTATTTTTTTAATATAAGAAATTCTATAATATTCTAGTAAAAATTAGTATAAAAATAATTAATAAAGATTTATACTTCTATTATAATCTAGATTAGTAATTAATATTTATTATCTATATTAATAATATAATAATTACTAGCCTTAATAAAGTAAATATTTAATAATTTATAGATAAATTAGAAAGATATTTTAAATTAAAGTAATTAAGTAAATCTATATAGTTCTTGAGATATAATATTTATAAATTATTTAATAATCTAATATTAATATTCTAATATATATATATCTAAAAAATACTCTATAAATAGAATTTTTATAGTCTTTAGCTATGTTATATACTAATAACTCTAGAATAGAAATTAACTAGAGAGATACTAGATACTAGTAGTATTATTCTAGATACTATATATACTTCTGCAGGTAAAGATAATATTACCTATTATTAGGAGTTAACTAGATCTTTAAATTAGATTATTATTTAAACCTAACTAGATATTTAATATATAATAATATAATTATTATAGAGAAATTATAATCTTATTAAGTTAAATTATAATATAATTAAATAAGTTTTCTAATATTTAAAGAAGATCTTAGACTATATAATAATCTTAAGTTATTTAAATAATTTATTATATATATATATTAATATCTTTTATATAGATTATAAAGATAAGAAATTAATAAAAAGCTTTATATTTTTTATATTTAAAGTATTAATTATATAAAGATTAGTAAAGTAATTATTAATTATTTTAAATTTAATTATTACTAAATTTATTATATAGAATATAATAATAAAACTAGCTATATAATTATAAAAATTATATATAATTATTAGATTAAAAAAGTTTATAAAAAATATTATATTTTTATATATTAATTCTATAAATATTATTATTTTAATAAAGAAGCTAAATTATATATTTATATTTTATTAAATAGATATTTACTACTTCTTTATTAAAGAAATAATTAAAAATAGTAGAATTTAATTATAAATAGTTAGTAGAGAGGATAATATTATTAATAGGCTAATTAAGATACTACTAACTATAAAATTTAATAAATTTATTAAGAGATTAGATTTTAATAGGTTAGAGATAGACTTTAAATAGCTTTATATAATAAATATATTATTAAGGGGGGTGTATTAGAGTACTATACTTAGTAAATATAACTAGCACTACTATAAAGCAGTATTACCATAAAGAAGAAGATAGTAACATGTGACTACTCTATATATTTAAGGCTATTATTTCCTTCTAGATCTCCATGCTTCCTCCAAGCATCTCTCCTTCTCTCTATTTCCTAGTTAGACCCAATTGAATTCATTTCGGTCAACTTTCTACCATCATAGTTTGACGACCTTCATCATTTCTTTATTAATAGGCATGTATTAGCATGAACTATACTAATATTGCCTTAACTTATTTTAATAAAGAGAAGAGATAGCTATTATATTAGTATATAGGCCCTATATAACCTTACTCTTTATCTTATTGCCTCAAAGACTTATATATCTTGAGATTATCTAAAAGAGGACATTTTTATTGGTTGTACTTATACTAATATCTAATTATCATTTGTGTGGTTTCTGTTCTATTAATTGAAAGAGTTTTTCTTCCCATGCCTTCTGCTCTGCTCTCTGCGGTTCTAACTGAGTAAGAAGTTTCTCTTCCCGTACCTTCTGTTCATCTAATTGCTGCTGTAAGTTCTGGATCATGCTCCGTAGCTCCGGCTGTAATCCTTGGTTCTGAGAAGATGGGGCCCAGCTATATCCAGGTTCTTGAAAACCGACTCTTGATGCTTGGGAACCAACACCATAATCAATATCGCGCTCGAAAGATATATCTTGTGGATCAGGAATTCTTTCTAAAAAGTGCATCAATTGATTGGTGTGAATAGGGAGAAATTCGCGATCAAGATTCTCAACAAAATGATAACATATCCATTTATTCTCCTCCGTCCAAATATTGAACTGTTTCACCTCCCAACGATAATATTTAATTCCATCTTCGCCAATCTCCGGATAGTACCCGTAGATCCGCACGCCCTCTAGTTCGTGTGAAATCGAGAATCCAAGGAGTCTCCGGTGCACCTCTTGTGCGCAACTAGCCGCTTGAGCTAGATTCACCACAGCCTGAAGTGATACACATGCTGTGCATATTCTGTCGATCGGCAAATTCTAGAGCCTGATTCTCGCATATAACTTCTGCTGTCAAGTATGGGAAGTGCATATCTTCTTGCACTGCATATAGTGATTTTTGCTCTGGCCTGATTCCGAGCTTTTGCCGCTGACTCTCTGAAAACGTTGACCATCTCCAGCCTCGAGCATGGTCTGGTTGTGGTGTAGGGCCATATATTAGCCCTGTCTTGAGCCATGAATCATTATATCCATCAATCACATCTTTCAGTTCTATCCTTCCTTGGATGAAGGCATTCTCTGCATATTATATTGGTCCACAATTTCGCAATGTGTTATTGAAAATCCTTGACAAACTCATTGTCAAACAACGTTCCGCGCGGATATTCAACTGATCGATTGAGGAGCCACATCTTCGGGAGTTGGACCAGTGGCTGACGGGCCCATAAAACAATCTTTGGTCTCAAGGATTGTAACATAGTTCACAGCCTTGGATGCATGTGGTTTAACATCTCTGGACGAGGCACTCGTACTGGGTGAAACGGAACGAGGCCGTCCACGGTCTGTCGACGTGGATCGTGACCGTGATTCAATCTCGTCTGATAGAGATGGAATCCACTCAAAGCTTCCGTTTTCGCGTTCGTTGACCGATTTCGATTGAGGTGCAATTGCTGGTTTCCGTTCTGGCTTGTCAATTTGCTAGAATTCACTTAGTTACATCAATCACTACCTCAGAAATAGGCATCGCAACTTACCTGGGCAGAAATGTTGTTGGACAGAGGCGACGGCGGCTGTAGTGAAATTGCCAACTTTACCGTTCAGCTAAAAAGGTGTCAAGATGGACTTTTCTAGCCAATACAGTATTATCTTGGTCCACAGTAAGCTGTTCCTTCTGCAAGTTGGGGATACAGCTTGGCGTGGGTAGAGATTCTACCCATGATGAGGTCCAGAGTTCATCGTGGGTAGCCGAGCTGTATCCCCTTGGAACCGTACTGGAGCTGTCTCGACGTTGGAGTTTAGGTAGCCGTTCGTCCCTGTTGAGTGAATCCGATCATATTGTGCATTTCATGTTCTAGATATGTTCAAAGGGAACGAAGTACTTGTCAGGGCGATGGTTGAGGTTAGCTGGAGGCTGTTTTATCGCCCAAACCTGAAGTGGCTCCAAGATATGGCTGCCTTAAATCCCAGGCTCCCACAGACTGAACCGTGCTTCTTCAGATGCCTGTAGCATTCCTGTCGTCAGCCATCGACTTAAAGATTCGCTTTCCGGATGCTCTTCATCTTCCATACGAACATCACACTTCTTATCCTAACCATGGCTTGTTATTTTAGCCAAATAGTTTTGATCTCATTGGCATGATATCTGACAAAACTATATGTAAATGAATGAGCTGTATACATCAGTGAATTGGTATAATGCATAAACCTGTTCTGAACGAAGTCTCGGGCTATTGTTGGCAAGAACTATGTGGTAAAGGACGTGACAGGCCACTCAGACCTGTTTTCAAGGCGAGCTGCAAGCATTGCCAGCAGGCAAGACTTATCCCTGTCCAGCGGTCAGCACAAAATGCAGCATAGCCAGATCATGGTGCGACCCCGATCTTATTGACTATAGCAGCGCAGCCAAACAGGTTATTAACATCCTCGGTTACGTTCTGTATAGGCAGAGTGCCCTGAGAAACAAAGCACATGGTTGCTTTATATCTATGAGATGGGTAAATCCGATATTTGAGCCCAGAGACTATTATCAGACCTAGGGAGAGCCCCGTTTAGAGTAGTATTAACTGGTGGTATATTAGCAGCAAGAACCCTAACCCTAAGCATCTCTTTTTATGCCTTCCGGATACCAATTTCTCATGGATTTGTTACATATCTTTGGGTTTACCATGGAAATCAAGGCAGTAGAGACAGCGAGTCTATAACCAAGTCAAGATTTTCCTTTATGTGCATGGATATGTGATATATGGCTCAGATGATGAAGCATGGTTATTGAACCCATGCAAAAAATTTTTAACTACAGGATCCTCATCTGAACATCACAAGCAAGTTCATTACTCTGATACAGTAGTCTATACTCCGTATACTAAACCATTTTCATTCTTTCGGAGCTATTTCCACTAACAAAGTCCCAAGCGGGGCGAATTAAGACGCATATCCAAACTGGTTCTAGGCACGGAATATAATCCATATCAACCCAAATCAAACTCTTGCCAAGTCAGCCACCCAGCTTATTGACTAATCTCTATGCGAATGGTGACCCGTTATAAGAAAATGCGGTAAATGGTATGTATGTATACTGGATTCCCCACATGGCATCTACCGGAGTACGGTAACATGCCAGGGGAGGTTCCGCACACGCCAGCACAACAGACCCATGCAGACAGGCAGAGCCAATGGATATATGCAGATCACTCGGTCTTGCAAGCTAGAGGTTCGCAATTCCAGCTGGCAATTGGCCGATCCGGTGGAACGTGCGGCAGGCCAGTCAACAGGATTTGGTTGGTACTTTTTCCAAAGGACAGGGGCTCGAGATGCTTGTCTGGTATTTTTTTTTTTTTTCGGTCTAGATTTCTAGTTTAACGCCTCCGGGAACTTTCCTAGTTCGTTCCGTGAGGATATAGAGTTTGGTCCGGTCACTCCTGGTCTCCTTCCTAGCTTGTATTCTCCCTATTCCATCACATGAGGTTCCCAGCCTCTGTTCCGAGGGATTTTTGGTCCCCCGTGAGGGCATTCTCGATTTCCCAACAAACCCCTAGGTAAAAAGGAAAAGTTAGAAAGGCGTTGTTATTCATGTGATGATATATCTATATATGTATATATATACATATATAGATATATCCATACTGTCATGGCCGCCACCGCTGGAAAAGCTGAAGCTCCTCGCAACCCGCCCCCTTTTAAACACGACAAGTCGGTCTGTTTGGACATTGAACTTCCCCCAAAGATGAGATAGTGGATACCTTATTCCGCGTCTATACTATCTTCCAAACTTATAAGCCAAATCATACCATTATGGAAGTCGAGACCTTACCAGCCTATTACATTCAGATCCAAGGACTCAACGCCACCAATCCCATCTAGCTATATACGAAGAACAGAACGCAACCGGCCCTGTGAAAGCGTTTATCAAATTTTTTCAGGGTTCTGGGACCGCAAAGCTCCCCCGAAGGGACCTAAAACGGCCCAAAAATCCATTTGGGAGGAATTGAGACTCATCGAAAATGGTCAGATATTGGTTACCGGTGGGAGATGGCTGGTTTGGACGGAAGGGGAACAGTGTCAACGACGGCCTTTTTTGGGGGAAACGCACACGCTCGGTCGAGGTGGAAAGGGCTTCATGTGGAAGTAAACACAAGATCGTAAGTGGATGACGAGGTTGACTAACTTATGCCAGTATATTAAAAACGGTTGCTTGCTCTAACTATAAACAATGACATTGCTCTTGGTTTCCTAATTACCCTGCGCCCAATCCTGATCATCTTGGAACCAATGCCACCAACCGAACTCTTCGTTGAATGAGGATATTCGAGTACAATCGGATATTGGGGGGGACTTGTGTCTTCCTCCCACCTAACTTGGAAGATGTACTCCGCCGTGATTAATCTTGGGGATACCGAGAAGACATGAATTCGGTATTATGCGTTAATTTAACGCGGCTAATGCAAGGCCAGCGCCGTTTTGTCTTGTAGGGTTAGCCATGAAAAGGGCTACCAGTAGCGCGCAGGGGATAATAAGAATATCGCAAGCATTTTAGACTCTCGGAAGCGGCTGGGTTACTTACGCGTTAGCTACCGACTTACCACCCTAGATATTACAAGAGTAGCTTAATCTTAATAATGGCAGGATGTGATAGGCTGAAGGACATTTTTTCTGTAGATAGGACCTGCTTTGGCACGTCCAGCTGCGAGTTCAAGATGGTCGGTGATGAATCTCCATTCCTATACGGAGTCGTCAAGGTGTTCTTCATTAGCTACTTACTCACTCTATTCTATACCGTCCTATCTCGTGAAACAACCGGTTAACTGCGGTCCACCAACGCTCAGCTCGTATGAGATTCACAGTCAGCAGCCAGTTTAGCAAGCCAGAGTCAGACAACGTTGTCTAACATTAGAGTTTGGAAAACCGGCGTGTATATTCGAAGAATCGGAATGCATGTCAACCCTTACGAGAATTGCTAGGAAGATCGAAATTGGTCCCAGGGCTTTTCCTGTCCTGGTCATGAAGTGGAGAGCGCTATATCAGTAAACCATGCTCTAGACCTGAACTCCCTTTCGACGCCATCTTTTTAACTTTGGGCAACGTATATATATTTCCTAGTTAAGGGCAATACCCCTGAATACACGGGGGGAAAACCCAAACGATCCCGCTGTCAGCCCCTTAGCGTTGATGGCGAAAGTTCCTTTTAGACGCCTCGGCGTTGTTGATGGCGCAAAGTTGATGTGTCAATTTTGGAGCGGAGCAACAAACATGGTGTTCACCTAGACAGGTCGCCCTCTTGTACAATATATCCGATACTTCCAAGTAGGCCCGAAACATTGGACACGATTTCGAAACGGTTAATTCTTTCTTGGGCAAGGGAGATGAGGGTTGGGAGTGAAGAAGCCACCAAGCTCTATTATACTGGAGAGCGATTAGTATAATCCTCTAACGGAAGTACGGAGTACATAAATGCAGATCCATTTCCACTTTGATTCTATATAGCGCATTAGTAACTCTTATGAATGGGGATTTGTAAATATGGCTTCGTACTGGTGGATTATTTTTGTGCCTGTGATTGTAACATGCCACATGCGATCGTATACATAGACTACATCTGCGCACAGAGAATCGTGCACAGCTCGCTAGAAATATCCTTAAAACTCCTGGAAGCCGGACAGCTTCTTCTCCTCCGGACCAATGGTAGAGATGAAGATGTGCGCTTAGCTTCATGCCAAATTTGAATTCCCCCCCCCCCACACAGGGCTTATGGGCTTATGGGCTTATGGGCGGCTTAGTGGGCTTGAGTGGAAATGACTTCTAACTTCTAAGTTCTGCTTAATCCACGGGAGGCGGGGCCTTGTCTGCGCCGTTGGGGGGTTCTTTTTTTTCTTTTAACGCAATCCGGCCCTAAATCCTTCAGGGCATGAAATAGTGAACCTTCCACCGAGAAGGATATGCAGTTTCTCGGCAAATGCAATGCAGTCCGGGCAGTCAATCGCTCTTCGGTACTTTTCCGGGTTGCCTTTTCTACTCCTAGGAACTTTGTGCTCTGGTCAGACCAGATGGCTTTGCGCTGAGACGTAAAACCGACCCAACACCCCTGGTTCCTGGTGGACTTGGTCAGTTGGGATTCTTTGATCATACAGCTCACGCGCACTACATAACCCATATCGATAATTTCGTATGAGGGATTGTATCATTTTGTAGGTTGAGCTGAACGCTGCCTGCGCAACAAGATCTGCTTTGGCACAATGACGGCCACGGGGAACTCGACTACCTTGTGCCCAGCTCCTTTTATTGCAGAGCTGTCGATTGAGGATGGGGACGGATGTAAGTTATTTACCGAAAACCCCCTTAGCCGATTCTCCTCACAAATGCTGATGCGTTGTATACTAGATATCCTTGGTCGTTGGTGTGAGGATCTTGTCGTAGGAAACGAGACTGTGTCTTGCTGTTTCCCGTGTCCAATTACCGACTGGGTATACTCTGATGGTATTCTACCCTGCCTCTCGACTACCTAGAAAATGATGCTGATTGGGGAGCAGACTTTACCACAGACATGGTACCCTGGATCGGACTCTGCGTCCTCATCCTCATCGTGATCCCGATCTTGACATATTTTGTTCTCCCCAGCAGAACAACCCAGCGGCATTATCTGAAAACCTCTCCATTGATGGGGTTTGTTTTTATGTCGGTGAGCTAAATAAATCCACTGGTCAACCATGCGTTTACTGGCATTTAACCATGGCTATATGAACAGGTTGCCTTTGTTGTTCCGCTGGGCACCACTGCTCGACATTGCCACGATAGCATCACGCCCAACAACTGGCTATCAAACACCAGCTGTGCCGTTTCTGGATCACTACTACTTTATGGGGCTTGGGTTCTCATCATCGGCTGTACGTAACTCACTCATTTCATAAACCACGGCGCGGAGCCTGACTTGACGTTTTTCTAGGCTTTTTCCGGTCCATCTCCCTGTACGTTCAGCTCTGCTGGGATATAGAACCTGGAAAGACATTCCGAATCGTTGCTCTCGGTTGTATCTTCGTCGGGTCTCTTGTTATGCTTGGCATAGCACTTGGCTTATCCGGCGTTTCGTATCAAGTCGGCGATGTATGTTATATCAGCTATCCTCGCAGCATCGGGTCATTCTGGACCCCCTTATTCGCCGTAGCCTTTGTCTCCTTCATGATTCAACTGTACATCATGGGATACTGTGTGTGCGGAGTATTGACAACGGGAATCACGGCAGGGCTCTCTATCTTCAAACGGTCCGAAAGCCCGGATGGGATGATTTCCAGAGCAGAGGCAGCGCGAGAAACATCTTCGCGCATCTGGCGCATCTTGAACCTTCAATGGAGAGCTATCGCTATCGCCTGCCTGATACTCTCCTTTGTAGTCTTTCTGGGCCAAGCAGTGTTGCGATTTCGCAGTCCCGCAGAGTACTCTGTTCAAGACCTGGCGCCTTGGGTCCACTGTTTGATACGGGCAAATGGAGACGCGAGTGCGTGTCTCGGCTATACGAATTGGATCGGATCAAACGAAACTACTTCTATGATCGCATTATGTCTCCTTGCTGTAAGTCACTTCGGCTGTTTTGAAGCCCCTAGATACTAACACATCGTAGTCCGGGGGTCTCTTCGGCATGGCGTGTGCAGTACGATGGCCCATGATACTGGCATGTTTTGACTTGGCGAAGGAAAAGAAAGATTTGCTGCTTCATACTTGGCGTGAGCGACAGAGCAGGGAACGTCCACCAGATCTCGAGCGCATATCAAGCCATAATCATTCGCTCGGTGGCGTCTCCTCTCCGACTACTCTCAGCAAGATCGATCGCATGTCCGCGCTGAGTGTTTAGTGGGCAGGTATCGGAACGCAATAGAGCTAAACAAGGCCATCCAAAGGGAATGAAAAGAGCCATGCACTAATATAACTGTAATTGTAACCAATTAGCGGCAATTATAGCCCAATTGAGACGTGAAATACCCGTAGAAAGGAATGTAAATTAACCAAAATGGACCAACGGCCCAGCTGTCATGATGTAATCATCCGGGCCTCAAATCATGGTTTCCTCCCTTGCTTTTGCTGTAGTGATGATGATGCCGGCAGCTCCTATACGAGATATTTTTCCCTACCGGACACCAGGTAGTATACTAAAAGTAGGTGATGCTTCATTACCTCCCTGTTTTCATATCTGTAGCTCAATTCATTAAGCCAGCAACGATGTTCTACTAGGACGGTTACCGGTTGCATTCGAGTACGCCGAAACATCGAAACCGGTGCCAGTGAAATCCAACAGAATGTGTTGGGTATTCTCCCGGAACCGAAGGGAAGAGGAAATGAAGGAGCACCGGGACTCATCACAGTCTACCCTGTTTGGAAGGCTGAAGAAGAACCTCTCTCAATGTCGGGAAAAATGGGGACCGCTCCTCGCTGCAAAGGAGAACTGGAATGATGAATACAATTTCACGTCTGGAAGGTCCGCTGGTGAGGAACATGTAACCATGTCCCAGTCGACATGAGCGTGGTGGTGGTGGTGGTCGTTTACTTGGTGTCTGTTTGTTGGGTCCAGGTTTACGCCTGCGAAAGAGACTGCCGGCTATACGTGGAAGCTGATAATTGTCGCTGGTTGAAGGGTTTGAGAGCGGAAAATTCTGTCCTGTCTTGTCTTTACTAGGGTCGTTACAGAGGCGAAGCATAACTTCAATCAGGAAGACCCATCGAGTGTATTGGAATCCTGCAAATTCCGGCCTCAAAGTTCGGTTACAGCCCGCTATGTATGCGATTTTAATGTCTCATGTTCTTGTTACCAACGGAATGTTCAATTCTCTGTGTCATAGCATCGGCCGACGTAGAGTGTGCGTGGGATTGCTTGGTCTGTAATCTGATCTGGCGTAGCGTTGACATGACAAAAGACGAGGAAGCGGCATTGAACGGCGACGGTGGGAAAGCGCGCTCAGGATCAAGCTCAATATCCTGATCGATATTACGCGCGGTTGTTTCCTGCGCAATCTGGTGCTGTCGGTAGAAAGTCCAGGAAGCCCACGAGCCGAATATAACTAGCGTCAGGGGGATAGCAACCGCCCAGTACAGCCAAAAAGGGGTCCCTGCAAAGTTGGGAAGCGTGAAGAGAGTCTGATTTTTTTGACCTGTTACTTGATTGCAGCAGGATGCAGAAGGGAAGAGACAATGGCTTACAGCAATATACGTTGCGGGGAAGAAAAGGGCCGTGAGGACAGTAAGTGATTTCAGGGCTGATCCGTCACGTTTTGATGCTTCTGATATTTTCTTGGATTCGATGGCAACCGATACTCCCACCATATTATCTCGTTGGCTCAGAAGGCCATAAATCTGCACGGTTCATGTTAGCTCCGAAGAGTACTTCGATTCTGAATTTAGGGGTTGGGGAGCCTACGGCTGTAACTTGATTGTCGGCTCTGCGATCGCTATAACATAGATCAACCTGACGAAACTGGACTAAGAGCTCTACGTTGCCCATCCATTGCTCATATTCATGTTTTGGTCCTGCGGTGCGCACGAAGGAGTTACTGATGGGCTGTTCAAGGTCCTTGAGACTTTTCTTGATCAGCTCCAGCCAACACTTAATCGAATCGAGTCGTCGGCGTGAAAGAGAGATATGAATCTTGACAGCGTGCCCCAGTCTTGACAGTTCACTGTCGTGCGCGGGAGCATCGGCGGCGGGAATCTGGAGCCAAGCATGCTGTCCGGTTGCCTTTTCAATGACGCTTAATTCGTGCCGAATTTTCTGCATATAAAGCATATTTGTCGCAAGGCTGATCTCGACGACCATAGTAGGTATGAGTAGGGGGTGGCCCACAAGGTCTTGGTGTGATTCTAGTGCTTTCTGGAGAAGAGTCTGATCGTACGGACTGACGCGCAAGGCTAGTACGACCGTACATTTCTTGCGAAAATCGTGGTTAATCGCGATGACTGATGCGAAGCTACCAGACAGTCGAATGGACATGACAAGAACTATGTCGTTGATTAACCGAAGGACCCGTGAGCGTGGACTAGAGATCTACGTACCTAAAGACTTGATCTCGCCGCTGCTGTCATCGTATTCTATTTTTCGGGCACCGCAGCCAGATGATGATCTGTATCGCCAGGCTTCTTGCACTTGAGGAGAGAATCCATAACGAGTTGTTAATCGGTCAAAAGTTTCCTGACTCAGAGCCAGCTCCAAAGTCTCGTTTGACGACAGATAGTTGCCGTCTGAATCTAGAGCTGTCGGCGAGGTACATGCAAAACTACCGCCGGTTAGCGGACGTGAAGATGATCCTTTTGTAGGAATAATTACGCATACATACATCCACCGCACTGCTCCACAGTGTTCAGACGCAGCCGGACTGGCAAATTCGCCCTACTCCACGCGCCTTGATAAGTTGTTCTACACAGGAAACGTCGAGGGACCTAGGAGATGCCGGAACATACTCGCTCCTCAATCCAGTTATCAACCTCTTGGGCGCCTACGACTTTCCTCTTATATTCGCTAGCCTTTCTGGACTGTGTGCTGAAGGGTCAGATTTAGCTTATTCAGATAGACGGCGATAGAAAACTGACAGAATATCGTCGCATCTCTGCGACGACACAGGGACCTGGTTTGAATTGAACGTTGTCCTCCGGGTCCAACCCGATCATCGGGGTATCTAACTCCATATTGACCAACGAAAAAAAAAAAAAAAAAGAAAAGGAAAAATATTTCACTGCAATATATGAAGCTGAAACTGTGTGAAGAATTGGTGTAGAATCGACGACGAGACTGGGAGACTGGGCTTGGGAATCAAAACCTAAATAGGGTATAATCTAGGGAATAATAAAACCCCCTTCTGTTCAGCTGCATGTTGAATATCCGTATAACACGAGTTTGCAATATACTCGGCTTGATATGCAGGAATAGGAGCCCGAGCCGTCAGCCTTGAGTGATTGGTAAATTGTGTGGTGGTGGCTGCTGATGTAGGAGCGCTTCAGCCAGAAACGGCTCAGATAACCGATGGCATCTGCAGCCTCGCCTTGACTAATAAAAGACCGCTTAGTCGATGGAATGAAACGGAAGGAAATGGTCGATAATCGAGTTGGCCCAATTCATGGGTTTACCTGCTGGGGTACGGAGTAGATCTGCTAGAATTATATGTTGCGATTTCGAAGGTTATATGGAGCTGTACCCGAGAGCTAGCTTGTATGTAGGTTCCCCTTCATTCATGGCTATGGCAATCTTTTCTACTGAATTGTAGGGGGGAATATAGAGGATGTATGTTCTGGGATCACTAGACTAAGCTAATCTACGAGAAGGAATTATTGATCCAACGTGCCTAATGAATACGTTGCGGACAGTGCATCCGGCGCGGCTGTTCATTGGGAGCTCTTCTATAAACCAGGAGCTAGATGGATTGCTGAAGTATCTCGTAAGTGGTTGAAATAAAACAAGGTGGCCTTGTGGTTTCACAAGCAAAACTAGCCCCCTGGTGTATACTGTTCGAATACGTGTTACTATAAATTGACAGGCCTAATTGAAAGTCAACGGTAGAGACAGATGTGCGTACATAACATAAGCGTAGATCGACGTCTGGATGCACTCTGGGGTGTACAGATGAAGTGATTAAAGCTTCCCATTCAACGGAGTCTCGCGAGCCATGGCGCGTTCCACCTGCTCCATGGACGCACGAAGCCAACGCTTCCCGGCCCCATAACGCCCTCCCTGGGTCTCCTCGTCTCCCCAAATGGCTCGGTATTCGTCTTCCCAGAAGAGCAATGCCTCTTTCTCGTGAAATCCAGCAAGAATCACCGCAAAAGGCTCACCCATGCAACAAGCACACTCTTCTGCTTCTGAGGGAGGCATGTTGACAGTTCCGTCCTTTAGACCGTTTCGGAGTTGGGTTTGACTTGATACATAGAGGCCTTCCATCATGCTGTCCAGAGTCACATGTAGGAGGCGGATGCTAAATGACGCATGCTCTGTAGTGCATCGATCGGCAGCTTTGAGGTAGATTCGTCCCAAGTCATCCAGATTGCCTGTTCCTTCGTACTCGGGGTGAGTTATGACTCGGTCGCCTGTTGCCGAGATCGAGGTAACTAGCTGTGGAAGAAGAACAGCCAAGCTGTGGATGGTGTGGTCGTGGGGCGCGGATGAGAGTTCCTCGATTTGGTCTTGAAGTGTCGACCGGAGCGGTTTGATGTCTCTAGTGATTGATGCGGAAGCCATCGTTGCTAGTGTGAGAGATGTTAATGAAGCCGGTGATATTGGAAGGTTCGAAGGCTCTTCCGAGGTTCCCATACATTGTTGGTGCCTGATTTATGCACGAAAGAGGGGTGATGGCTTTTTGGACCAATTGTGGCTAAAGTTATGGCAGGTAAATGTATACAATATACACTAATATGAACGCAGTTCAACAACTAGAGCTTTTTTGTTGTTTTAAGGGCTTGACTCTTTGATCCACCCGCGAATCTAACCACGCAGCCACTCTGGTTGGATACGCTGGACGTTGCGTAGAGATTTGCTCACACAGAGAATGTTGGAGTGCTGGATTCAGTGAATGCAAACAGCACTGCCATTAAGCGAATAGCCACCGTTTCCTTCCAGATCTCCAGTTAGACCTAATTGAATTCATTTTTAACTCGATCGGAGCTGAAACTGCATGGAAGACCCCTTTGGCGATTTCGAGCCGCTTGAAGCGCCTGGAATCCGCAGCCCGATTTAGACAGTAAATATAGGCAATGTCCATGTCCACTAATAAGCGGTCTAATATGAACGACCCAATGGCACCGGTTGATCCAGTGAGAAGCATTACTTGAGAGGTGGGCTTTCTCTCTTCCAAGTCGTATATGCTTCTGAAGGACGGAAAACTGTCGACCTGGCGCTGGTGACCTTCTAGTGTGTGCCTTATTAGGGCTAGACGATTATAGTTGTCCCCGACAGGCACCAAGATCTCTGATTTTGCCCACCTGGCTAGGAGGTCCACAGACGGATTTTTGTAAATAAGAGCTGGCGAAATTGAAGCAATTGTAAAGGTTGATCGAATGGGGGTACTCAAGCGCAATCCCTGCAATGAGTCCATTCCGAGCTCAAAGAAATTGGTGTCATCATCAAACCGGGACCAGGATGTGACATTTGGAACCCAATGTATGCAAGTGACTCACTAAATCTTCCAGAGAGAGAAGTGAATGATTGATTTGCCTCTCTGGAATGGCCGCAATATCTGCGTCGCGGTAGAGAGCGTCAATCTCATCAGAGTAAAGCCGAATGGTACCCTCACGTTGGACTGTCCCCTTGCCAGCACGGAGCATGGGCTTCTCCGGATCTAAGATGAGAGCTTTTGCTTTTGATATCTGTGCATGTGCGGGGCAGTGACAATTAGCCTGATTTTACAACCACAAGCTCGTACAAATCGTCCATATGACTTCTAAATTCGTGTCTGACAGCAGGATGAATGCATGGTATTTCCATGTCTCAGTAAAAAGAGGGTTGGGGTTTCTTATCTGGGGAAACGCGGCGCAGTCACTAGAGCTAAGGGCAGAGTAAACTGGGATTTTAGATGATACCAATTCACCCACACCTTCAGGCAAGGCGCCACCCGTGTAGAAGAGGTATTAAAGCTTGGTGGCCACCGCATCAAGAGACCCTGGAGCATTCCCCAGCTCGCTAACAATCACACAATCAAAATTTCCGCACCTCACAGCCTCTAGGCAGCCATCCGTGGAAGGAGGCTTACTCGGGAGTGGAAGCACTGGGATACTATTCGCCAACATGGGAAGAACCAAACCCCATCCAATGCCCGCAGCCTGAGCTTATCAGTTGGTGTCCCTCACAGGAAAAGCTGGCAGGAAGGAGAAGAACTCCCCTTCAAAAAAAGATCATCAATACGTCTTGCCCTCGGGTGGAGGGAGGATATTGGCCTTGGAAATTCTCCACGGGAATTCGTGTGTATAGGTCCTGGGGTTCGGAATGCCTATAAATGATGAGCCGTCCAAGTGTATGTATGCAAAGATGCGTGTTTGGCTTATGCTTACCGGTAGATCCGGAGATAGCAGGCAACGGGATCTGCTTGCCTTGTAACCAGTTCGGATCGCTGTAGAGAAACCAGATCTATACCTGGATGAAATGACAGAGTTCTTGTTCAATGAATTGGAGGTCGTATCCACATACACTATCAGTGGCTCGACGGATAGCACAAAAGGCATGGAAAAAGCATAGTTATGACCCCGCGAGTATATAAAGTACATAAGATGTACTCCTAACCCCTTTCTCTGCGTCTTTTAGGGTTGCGCAGAAAGAATGGAAGAGTATAGATTGGTAAAGCTTTGCACCTCTCTGTACCGAGTAAAAAGGGAAATTATAGAAATCACCTAAAGGGTTTCAGTGAAAAGACCCTTCGGACCTATGAGAATCTACCCAGCTAGTCAGTAGATGATTATTATACGAGATGGACTGAGACAATACTCTCTGTAAGCATCAATTAAACAAATCAAATCTCATCCGAGACCATGTGTTCGGCCCAGCCGAGAAACTCTAGTATATCGTTCTCAATAGCTAAGCAACTCAAGCTCATTCCAGCTCCACTGCGGACTCCGTTAGTGCCCTAACTAGGTATTAATTCCAGCTAGATATCGCCAATGAAACCGGCGGTATTTGTCCACATGCTTACGGCGGACAAATGGGGGTCCACACCTTAACTGGGCTGCAGTTGGATACGACCTCAGGACCCTGTTGTGTATCACCTACTTAATTTGAATATCCGGATTCTTGGCCAATTGATGGGTACTGTATCTACACGTGTGATTCTGGGGATAAGATGTTTTTTTTTTTTGTTTTATTAGCGACGGCGGATCTAGCCGTCAGTCCACGGGTATAAACTGACCGCAGGCCGGCCTCTGATCGAGATGGTTCCTGTATCATTGTCGAGTTGTGGATTCCAGCACGCGACCATGAAGGCCCCGACTACCGCTGCTCTGCTCGTCGCTCTTACCGCAACGGCCGCCCAGGCTCGTCCGGTTGTCGACGATCGGTATCCCTATACCGGTCCCGCAGTCCCTGTGGGCGATTGGGTCGATCCTACGGTCAATGGCAATGGCAAGGGCTTCCCGCGTCTGGTCGAGCCTCCTGCGGTGAAACCCAAGTCGGCCAATCCAAGCAATAATGTCAACGTTATTTCAGTGTCGTATTTGCCGCGTGGTATGAACATTCACTACCAGACCCCCTTTGGCTTGGGTGAGGCGCCTTCCGTTCGCTGGGGAAAGAATCCTCACCACCTGGACAAGGTTGCCTATGGGTCAACCCACACGTATGCTCCTCCACGTCTTCGAGAAAATGAATGACAAGGCTGATCTGGAGTTAGCTACGATCGGACCCCTTCTTGCTCCGAAGTCAAGGCGGTCACCCAGTGCAGTCAATTCTTCCACGAGGTCAGCCTCGAGAAGCTTGACGCTGGTAAGACTTACTACTACCAGATCCCCGCCGCCAATGGGACCACCGAGTCCGAAGTCTTGAGCTTCAAAACTGCCCAAAAGGCCGGAGACAAACAGCCATTTACCGTAGCTGTGCTCAATGATATGGGCTACACCAATGCCCAGGGAACCCATAAGCATCTCATGAAGGCGGCCGAGGAGGGAGCCGCTTTCGCCTGGCACGGCGGTGACATCAGTTATGCAGATGATTGGTACTCTGGTATCTTGCCTTGTGCCGATGACTGGCCCGTCTGCTACAATGGCACCAGCACCGAGCTCCCAGGGGGCGGCGCCATTCCCAAGGAGTACAAGACGCCACTCCCCGCTGGCGAGGTTGCCAACCAAGGAGGTCCCCAAGGAGGAGATATGAGTGTCCTGTACGAGTCCAACTGGGATCTCTGGCAACAGTGGCTGAGCCCCGTCACGACCAAGATTCCTTACATGGTCATGCCTGGAAATCACGAGGCTGCCTGTGCCGAGTTCGATGGTCCCGGCAATACTTTGACTGCTTATCTCAACCACGATATTTCCAACGGCACTGCTGCTAAAGCCAACCTCACCTATTACAGCTGTCCTCCTTCTCAGAGGTAGGAATCGCTACATATGAAAGTCCGCTTGTACGGCAAGCTAACCAAGAAACCAGAAATTTCACTGCGTACCAGCACCGTTTCCATATGCCCGGAGACGAGACTGGTGGTGTTAGCAACTTCTGGTACTCCTTCGACTACGGCCTGGCCCATTTTGTTTCTATCGATGGCGAGACCGATTACGCCGACAGCCCCGAATGGGCCTTCCAAGAAGATGTCACCGGCGATGAGAAGCTTCCTACCGCTTCTGAAACGTACATTACCGACAGTGGCCCCTTCGGCCCCGTTGATGGTAGTTTCAAGGACACCAGGTCGTACGCTCAGTACAAGTGGCTCAAGAACGATCTGGCCTCTGTTGACCGTAAGAAGACACCCTGGGTGTTCGTCATGAGCCACCGACCCATGTACAGCTCCGCCTATTCTTCCTATGAGAAGCACATTCGCGATGCCTTTGAAGGTCTTTTGCTTGAGTACGGTGTTGATGCTTATTTCTCTGGGTAAGTCACGTCCACCTTATCTCTCCTCTATGTAACAGACACTAATCGAGTGATTGTCAAGTCACATTCACTGGTATGAGCGTATGTGGCCTCTTGGTGCCAATGGCACTATTGATCGCCAGTCCATTATCGACAAGAATACCTACCGCGCCAACAACGGCAAGTCGGTCACCCATGTTGTCAATGGCATGGCCGGAAACATCGAAAGCCACAGCGTGCTCAGCAAGGGCCAAAGCCTGGCCAACATCACCGCCCTCCTGGACACCACTCACTATGGTTTCAGTAAGTTGACTGTCGTCAGTGAAACCGCTGCCAAGTGGGAGTTTATCCGAGGCGATGATGGCTCCCTTGGGGATTACCTGATGCTTGTTAAGGATGCCCCTGCTCACGGAGGCCATGGCTCAAAGCCCGGACACCCTGGCGAGCCTCAAGGTTGCGCTGCTCCTAATTAAATAACATTCATGTCAGCGCATTGGGCAGTAGATCACCCTTTGTAATATAAACCCCAAGGTTCTCCGTTTATTCATGCCTGTTTAATGTGTGAGGGTTAGCTTCTAATTGTTGATCAGCTAGTGGTCATGAGATTTTAATAAATGTATCTAGAATACATCTCTTTACCTCCCACCTATTATGTATGGGTGCACGTTTAGGAATTTATCTACCGAATTTATCTCCCTTCGTAGTTCTATTTCTGTCATCACTATTAGCAACCACCCATCATCATGTACGAAGACAGAATGCACATACCCAGATTCGATCAGGATGAGACTATGTTTACCACGCGGGCAGGCAGTACCAAACATCTCGACCACGGGCAAGGGTTTACATATCTACCAACAGGTGCTGGAGAGGCCGCAACTACGCCTGATCGTCGAGTAACCATGCTCAGACCGGTGGAGCCGCAGCTAGGGCGTACAGGAACAGATTCATGCTTGCTGGTTATGGCCGCGTCCATCCTATCTATAACACGCGCTGATGATACAAACCCTGGGATTAAGAATAAGTGTCGGGAGCGAAGCGGAGGACCGTCAGTTGCCCCGGTAGAGTATCGCGAAGAACCGTATTAACATCATCAGAGCAAGAATATAAATAAATTTCAATCTTACAAATATCCATTGAGATTTTTACAAGGCTACGAAAGAAACGAGATCTCAGTTATGACCTGACAAGAGTCTATTTTTAGCGAACGTTACACATCGTCGCGGCTGGAAACACGCTGCTCGCTCCTGGCTCTTTCTATACTAGAATATCGAGTATGTCCTCCGGAAAGTCAAATTATATATTATTGTCGTCCCACGTTCCATGGATAGATATACTCGCCGCCTGAAAACTGCAGACCTCCCTACTTCTCGGTCCTGTATACCTCCTCCGTCGAATCGAAACCCCATTAAGCGTCGTGTATTGGCCTGTGTCCGGTGTACTCAGCTTCGATGACTGTTCGAACCGTTCCAAAGCAACGTGGAATGCTGTAGGCATTCAGCTCGCCGTGGTCGAGCCTGCCTGCACATCGCTTCAACGGTTCAGGTACCGCCTCACTGCCATACATATTTATGCAGGTATGTGTGCTACCTATTGGAGTATGACGCGTATCATTCCAATGGGAATACGAGGTTCTCTGGGAAAAGCATCGAACGAACTTGCCGGATGTTCTTTGCTTGTCGTTTGCGATTTTGTTTTGCGGTAGTAGCTGGCTATTGAGTCACAGCATGGTGGTCACTGCGGTCGAAATGTAACCATCGGGCCAATGGTCTACATTAGTAGCCAGTAGTAAACATGTACCCCTCACAAATTCAAATTCCAATTTGACTATCCGGTAACTCGTATACCATGGCGTCCAATTCCAAGTGCGCCTCTTTGGCCTCCAGCTCTGCCTCTTGGCTCTGCAGGCCTTTTCGAGAGATTGCACGCCCTGGCTGTTTATGCTTTCTCCGCATCATCAATAGCCAGAAAATGAGGAGGCCAAGCACAACTAGTCCGCCGACGGTTGCACCAACAGCAATGCCTGCCTTGGAGCCACTAGATAGCTTGCTGGACGTGGACGAGGGCGAGCTGGTTGGTGGTGTCGACGACGGGCTACTGGTTGAAGATGTCGACGTCATGGTAGCTGTCTTGTATAAACTCATATCACTGGCCTCAAACTCAACGGTGATAGGCTGTCCCCACATTTGATAAGTTCCTGAAATACTTGTGCTTGTGGTGTAGTCGGCGGATCCAAATCCTCCAGCTCTTGCTGCGACACTAGTAGCGCCGGTATAAGTCCCCAGACAGCCTTGGTATCCGTTACTCTCATAGTTCGGCAAGTCCCTGGATAGCTTTCATGGTCAAAACTGTTTACTTGGAAAGGCCGGGACGGAAAATTGAAACTTACTCCGGACAACAAGTTGCCGTAGTGGTAGAGGAGACGACCAAGATGGGAGACTGCGTTACATATCCATGCGGACAAGCTCCGGGGCTGAATACCACGTTCGCTGCGATGCGACCGGCTTGATTAAATCCGGTTGGAAAGCAACGTGTATCTCGATAACCTAACAGCACATTTTGCATTAGGATGCCGCTCGTGATGTTATTGTATGTGGACGCTTCATATGTCCAGCTGGACGAGCACGACAATGGCGCGGTAAATACTGTTGAGAGAGCAAAAGTAGTTGTGCTCGCGGTGGCTGTGGTGGTGGTGGTGGCTGCTGTTGTTGTTGATACTGCAGTAGATGCCATGATGATGGTACGATATTAGACTTCGTTCCGTATGGAGTAGACGCACATGAAAAGGAAAGGAAAGAGGTTGTGATGTATTAATATGTCCTAGGGGGTGGTGAATAGTGCCCTCATTCCAATAATAACGGCTTAGGACCGGCGCGTACAGCCAGACTCTTTGGCCAATAGAGGGTAGATGAAGCGTATCTCCTAGGTAGACCGAACATTCGTTCAGCCAGTTAGAATGACCGCTGTTGGCGCCGAGATAGCTGCAAAAGAATTTGTTGGTGGGAAAAGCTTAGCAAGTCTACCCAGAAGAGGTATTGACGGTGCCAGTTGGAAGGCTACTGAATTGTAATATGAACCCCCATCTAAGCGCTAATTTTGTATGAATTCTTTGTAGATACTTAGAGTTCTAAGTATGTCCTACCTGAGTCAGTAACCCACACCAGCCCTAGGCAGTGGCGGCCTCTATAACTTGCTGCTCATATCATATATTTCCCCTCTCTGAAATGAAACCAAGTGCCTTTGTGATGTAAATTGACCCTGTAAACTCTCGCAGACCAGCAGCCATCACCGGAGAGCCGGGTTCAAGCTTGGATATTCATTCCTCAGCAGTTCGGGAATAGGCATGCCAACTGTAGCTGCTTTGTTCCCAGTGTTGATCCACTGACGATCAGGACTCAGAAGCAAAAAGGGGGCGTGAAACCTGCCAAACATATCCCTTCGCGCCGGTTTCATTTCAAGAGGGATGGGCGCTTGCAGATATGCAGGATGGTATCACCCCCAGCAAGGCGCTAACCACTAACCTACCTATGGGCGCCAACCCATAATAGGTACGTCTGACCTTAACACCGTATGTCGTGGGGATAGCCATCAATCCTGGTCGATAATTTTGAGGACAAGCAGCCTATGGCGAGGGCTCGGGTTATCCTGTGCGTGGCTGGCATCAGCAGGCAACGGCTGGAAGATAAAATATGGGATGTTTCTCCGGATCACTAGAAACTCTGAAGTGAAATTTATACTGCAATCAGTATTATACACAAGGTTACTCAAATTTGCTCCTGGCTGCAGCATATTCGCGGCCGAATATCAGGAGAATGTCAGAATATTCAGTACCGCCACAGGTTTTGACGGCCAGAACGGAACAAGAATAATTCGCGAGAATGTAATTTGCCTAAAATCTGATCCAAACCCCTGACCGATTGGGTGCCGAGTACGAAATTTGGCTGCCTAAATATGTGTGATGTCTGTATATAGTCCGTCACCGCCAGAAGTATTGTATGCTCTGACGGACTCGTCGTTGAACCTTCAATTATTCCCCAGAGGCCGGCTGTTCATCATCTCTTAAGGCTTGACTTTTCAATTCCAAGTACGCCGACATGTCCTCCCACATTCCCACCCTCCTCCGTCCAGTGATCGCCCTCAACGGCTGGACATTCGTCGTGGAGGGCTGGATGTATGCAACACGAATTCCGGTCTTTAGAAAGCTCAAGGTTGCATCTGATAACACTGTCACCAAAAGCGACCTCGATCAAAAGACTCCCGCGACTGTTCGGTGGAAAGCTGATAATTTCAACAATCTGCTCGAGCAACCAACCCAGTTTTACGCCGTCGCACTGATCCTGGCATTTGCGCGCCGGGGGGAAGATAATCGGATCGACAATACCCTTGCCTGGACGTATGTCGGCGTTCGAGTCTTACACAGCTTGGTCCACTGCACCAGTAACAAGGTTCGGCGAAGATTCAGCTTGTTCGTGATCTCTTCTGGTATTCTGGCTGCGATGACCGTGCGAGCGGCCTGCCTTGTATTTTAGACCTCTTGCTTCCCGATTGACCGATTGAAGTCGGGTTCGGGCTCCTGCTGGAACTGACCATGTGGCATTGTTTACTTCCTATTCCAGGGAATTGTGAATTGAGGTTTTTGTGAATTGTAAGATAGGTCGCATGGAATTGTGACCGGATGGATAAACTTCTCTTGTATCTTCGTTTCTAGGGACTCATTGCTACACACACGGAGCCATCCAAGGATTCGGTCATTCTGGTACGTATCCCCGGAAGTTGACTATGCTATGGAATACAAGGTCATTTTGAAGAGGAGAGCTTGATGGGTTGTGTCTACTATTGTTACCGTGGTGATACATGCTGTGGGCTTTACGTTTAGTATTACGGCCTGGTTAAATAGGGAGATAAGACAAGGCACGAGAACAAGCATTGAGAAGTAACGATTGAAGCTGGATATAGTTCCTCCCAGCATCCCGCAATTGCAGCTGTCATTAATGTATAAAATTCGTTCGCGTGAATCCCCCCTGCTTCCCATGGCTTCAAATTTGTGGCCCCGCCTCGTTTAGCAATGAGCCCGATGCCTAACTATCATTAGTCCAAGATCCACACTGACGGCTGGACGGCCCTTGCTTCGACGATAATGAGCGAGAGCATCCTGGTAGGTATTGCCAGATGTAGAATTGACCTTAGTGCGATTGCCAACAATGCCTGTGATAGAGCCGAGCATGACAAAAAACTGTATATTGGGAGACAAGAGATGATGGAGAATCCATAACCCATAAATCTTGGGTCTTGTTACATTTCTCCACTGTTCATGGGTCATATTGTTATAGATACAGACTCATCTAGAACTGTAGCACATTATATGACGCCTTTGATGAGCGGCATCTCTTCCGCGCATTGATCTAATACTTGGCGCAAGGCGGATTCTTCAGATAGATCTGCTGCGTCTAGTCTCGTTTTGCATTTCTCTGTAGTGCTCAAGAGGCTGGTTAATAGTACAGAAGATCCGGGAGCCAGAGATCCATGATTCTGCAAAGCATCAGGGTACGGGTTCTCGCAAATATCCTAGAATTTAGAGTAATCGCGGCCATTTTTAGCCTGGATACGCATGTGAAGTGGGGAGATTGCAAGATTGATGTGCGCCACGGCAATACTGCGTTCCTGGGGTGGTTTGCGGTATACGCAGAGAGCCAACCAATGTTGGGAATACCTTGGAGAGCAGATTGATACAGGGCTATAGTGTGGACTGAAGTCCAGCGTGATTCTACCCAAAGTCTAATATATGCCATCATTACTGATCATATGTAGAGTCTTCCCAGTCCGCCATGATCCTTAAACCCAGGCATCCCAAGTCAGACCGTATCTGGAATACGGAACTGCTTCCTGTGGACCTTCTGATTCGGGAATATACCCTCGTTCGCAACGGTCAAATGATACCTTGGGTTGAAAGGGATAGAACGAGTCATACTGCGACCTGAGTGCATCTTGTAGGCTCTGAACAGACCCGTCCGGGTGTAGGACGCCCCAAGGCTCGATGCAAGACGCGCCTTTGCAGGACTTAAGGACAAGAAGAATGGCATCTAGGCGTGAGATTACCTGGAACAGGGAGTACCCGAGGATCGTGTTCTCTTTTGCATCGTTTAGCTGTCGTGGCGATGAGAGCCAATTCTTCATCTGATACGGATCGCTCTTGGAATCATAGGTTAGTAGATGCAGATCGGATAAAAGAAGACTTGGAAACTCACCGAAAGATCATACAACTCATGCACGTTGTTGCACCAGACAGAATAGTAAAGGTTATAGCCTTCGCCAATAATCCGAAGCGATTTGTACGTATGATTTGTGACAACGGGCGAAAACCCAGGAGCTGGTAGTTGGTGAGAGAGGAAACTATAGTCAGCGGTCAAGTTCCTAAGATATGCATGACTCCACGCTCACCCAAAGCACCTTTTTCTCCTTCCAAATATGATAGACCCCAAAATTCGACAGTTACATGCTCATGCCGTGTGTATTCGTGCCCTCGCCCTGCAAAGAGGGGAAGAGGTGTCCCGTCAAAGTCCTCCCGCAAAGGTATCTGTGCCAATTGAAAGATTGTCGGCGCAAAGTCAATATGCGTGGTAACAGCATCCTCAGTTCGACCTTCCGGTATTCCTGGGCCTCGAATAAAAAACGGTACGCGGATGTCCTCTTCATATCCGCATGTTTTGCCCGGAGGCAAGCGGTGTTGTCCAATGTGGTAGCCGTTATCAGAAGTGTAAATAATATACGTGTTATCCAGCTGGTTACTGTCTTCAAGTCGAGTCACCAACGCATCTACCAGTTCATCCACGCCCTGCAGTGCACGCAAGCGTTGGCGATAGAAATGGTCGTGGTATTGTAGCGTCGCCTCATCCTGTCGGGGGAGGTCTCGGATCCAACTCTCCCCGCTTGGCTGGTATATCTCATCAACAACCTTGGATATTCATCATGAAAGGGGGGGGGGGGGGGGATTATCTCACCTCTTCCGGGTTAAAGTTGTCGGTTCGGGGAACAGTTGCACCCCTGAATAAATCTTTATGTCGGTCCAAAGGAATGGGCTCTGTCATGACCGTGGATGACTTTCCCTTAAGATCACCGACATCCACGTTGGAATGTGGAGCGATGGGTGCAACAGCAAGAAAAAATGGACGACTGCCATCCAGACCATCTTCCAAGAAACCCAAGGCTTTCTCTGTGGTTACCTCCATGGTATGTCGGCCTTCATAGCTGACCGGTGCATCGCGGTTGCGCTGATAGGTTGAGTTTAAGTATGAGTAGGTGAAAGGATCCAGTAAAAAGTCCGACCCAGTAAACCCATTCACATATGGGCTATGATAATTGTCTACCGTGTGGGCATTGAACAGTTTCCCGGTATAATAAGTGTCATACCCGGCGTTTTGCAGCCACACTGGGAGGAAGTTGTCGTTGAATCCTCGCGCCACAAACTTGGGATAGCCCCCTGAATCCAGATTAGATTGCCTTTCTAATTTCTCTGTCGGGGTGCGTTTTAAGGCGGATTTCACCCGAACATACCGTATGGAGGATTGACGTCCGTGACATTAGTGTTGTGAGCCTGAAGCCCGGTCCAGAGACTCACTCGGGAAGGGCAGCAGACAGCAGTGGTGACGAAATGGTTACTGAAAAACGTCCCTTTGTCTCTCAAGTGGTGTGTTATGTGTGGAGTAAATTCAACAGAGTCCAACTTGAGATCCTGGTCGTCCGTGATTACAAGAATGATATTCGGTTGCTTTGCCCTAGCTATTCCCGAAGCCTCTGGACGAACGGGACCAAAAATGTGCTGCAGAGCATCGGGTTGCAGAGTCAAGGCATTGACAGCGAGGAACAGGCCAAATACGACCTCTAAGAGGCCAAATGGAAGCTTCATGGGGAAGGAAGTCTGTTGGCAATTACCGCAAGACTGGCCTCGGGCGGGCCAATTCAGTTATTCTCGCCGCTTGAAGTCCGTCTCACTCGACCCCCATTCCTCGAGCGTCTTAAAGTAAGAGATGTCGACCGTCCTCGGCAATATATGGCAGGTTTCGGCCCCTGAAGGATAAATGATTTTGTTGTCGGCTAGATTCTTGCGTTACACAGGCGAGAGATCTCAGGGGAGGTTCATGTAGTAATGAATTTAGCTTATGGCTATGTGAAGAGAGAACGGGAGGAGCAGTTGATATGATCGGAATAAACCTCGATGCCTGGGTGTCATCATTCTGGGAGACGCCAGACGGTAGCCGTAGATCTAGGTGGATGGCGCAATTTTAGGGTCGATGGGTTGATTTCCGCTGCTTGAATCGGGCATCGTAATAACAATAGGAATGAGGACTCTGGATGGAGTGGAACTAGTAGTTATTGCACCGGAATCCATAGGGATCTTGATCATAAATCAGGTTATCTACTTGGGCCAGAACCCTAACCCTATAGCCTACAGTAAATGTGCATCCTCGGGACATTTTTTAAAATTTGCCGGAGAGTTCTATATACAATCATCAGTCTACCTTATTAACATGCACTATCCGGATCCTTCCTTTCATGAAAACCTCCCCCTCCAACGGCACTGTCTCCACGAGCTCTTTCCCATCCACCAGGGACCATTCGCCGCTCTTCTTCTGGGCTCCTACCACACCGCAGGGCCATGAAACGGGACCGCTAATTGCTGAAGAGAGACCGCGATCCTTAATTGAGACATGAATCATCTCATATGTTGGACGGGGAGTGGATCCTGGTTGCTTGTATGCGAGTGGTGTTCGTTTAGAAGTGCCTCCAAGGACAGACTCTAGAGTTTGAGTGAAGCCGCCCGTAGGGGTCTTACCCAAAGCCGTGGCCCATAGCGGTGTTGCGTCGGTCTCAAGTGTAGCAGGAGGTATATCGAACAGGTACCCCTCTACGTCAAAGCTAAGTTGATTGTACTTTGTGCACTGCGCGACCATCCATGCTAGGGCAATGTTTGAAAGACGCGGGTCGTTGCCTCCTCCGCCGATATCTGTATGCACCCCGGAAAACCAAACCTGTAGAAGCTCCTGGCCCTCTGCGTTATCGGGGCTATGCCAGAGCGTTGGTTGATATGCGGTACGATTCTCATCGAGGGCCAAGGCATGGAAGGCGTATTTGACTTCCCTAGAAAGAATTGTGTTGTGAAACTCAAGCTTTTCCCCCAAAAATCGACCGAGCCAGCTTTTATGAAAACCAACCGTGTCCCAAACGCCTACAATCTCGACTGTAAAGCGTGGCAGCGGGTCTCGAAACCCGAGCTGCCGGCGTTTCTCAGGACTATATTCATCTACTTTTCTGCTGTAGAAGTCGTTATACACGTTGGTAAAATTGTCCATCCCCCGTGGTGTCAAAAGTCCCAGCTGACAGACTATTCCGGCGATGGCTCGAGCTGTATACGCACCGCGCGAGAATCCGAAGAAGTATATTTTATCACCTTCATTGTAATTTTCGGCAAGAAAGCCATAAGCGGCTCGTACATTGGCACTGAGTCCAATGCCTGTAACTCCTATTTGAAACAAGTTGAGACACCTCAGCACGTTTTTGGGTTGCATTATCGCCTCCCACAGACGAGCTCTTACCTCCGAAATACTTGTCTCCAATCCCCGTCCCTACGCCTTTTTGATAGTACACGATTTGCGGAATCTCTCGTGTTTGGCCATCTTCCTCGACAATAGCTGTCCGGCTCAAGGCTCGGGAGATGCGAGTGACGTTAGAGGGCGGTTGATCGGAATCTGCTGTTGCGTCCTCCCAGGTCCCTATACATACCGTTACTGTGAGATGGCTGGAAATGCTAAAGATCTATGAGACAAGGGTGGGAATCTAACCGTCGCAGCATACTATGAGTCGCTTGCCCGTTTTAAATGCCATAGGTAACAGCGAAGGGGGAGAAAGTTAATGAATTAATGATAATCTACGGAACGAAAGTCTGATCAGACATCGCGCAAGGGTTTGGGGCCCTAAATGTACATCAATTTCTTCCTCTTCATTGAATAGACATCCAGGATCAATAGATCGTCGTGCATCCTGGGCACTCAGCCCGGCGGCGAAGAAGTTCAGCTGTTAGGATACGAGATTTGGCAGCAGCTGAAGATTCGTAGCCAGCCACCAGCAATTCGGGTAACTGTGGCCGAGGCGTGACTACCTGGCGCCCTGCACTTCATATGATATGTAAGAACATCTTACGACGCGGAGACCTTGGATGCAGATCTACAGAAAGGCGTTCGTCCCAGGCCTCGAGAACCACAGACCCCTTGAAGAACATGGAACGTGTCAAATTTATTGGGTAGAATAGCAATAGCGTCCGCATGAGCCCTATCGAGCTAAATAAACTACACATGTAGCTCGTCCGGAGTAGTTGCCTCGGGTATCTCCTTCAGCCTTCCTAGGCTAGGGCTCTCAGCATCACAGTGTGGATTGCGACACCACAAATACACAACATAAGAGTCATTCCCTTGGAAACCGCAGCTGAGATATCCTCAAAGTTATGGTTCCAAGAGGCCTTTACGCATGGTGTTGTCTGGCTTTTCGACTTTGACATAATTAATTTCACTCCTGGTCTGGCGGAAGTGCGTGGTCCCGTAACGCAGAAGCTCAGCAAAGGTGCCGGGTTCAATGTCCTTGCCCTCATTTTCTTTTAAATCCCACAAGAGGCCTAATGCAGGGGCTTTGGTTAGATTTTTCCCGTGGGTAATCTTTTGCATACTGCATTGCGACAAAAAGTGCCAAACGACCTGGTAAGCCCTTTTGTATTCGTCGGATTCCGGATCTGCGTCCACACGCGTCGCAAGAAGATTAAAAGCGTCTTCACCTTTGTAGCCGATCAGTGACTCAATGCCCCAATTCTCGCGAAGCACGTCGAACCAGAGGATATGATCCTGCGCGTAATCTGCGCAACTGAAGCCATCCCCGGCATCCTCCAGGAGGCATAGACGTTGCCAGGCAACGACTTGTGTGATATACTCAAAGACGGTTCTGGGCTCGACATCAAACTCCCAAGCGAATCCTCGCTCGATTGATTGAGAAAAGTCCTGCTGCAAGACAAAGGAAACCAGTGGGTTCTCTAGCATTCCCTGGTAATTTGTGCGGTTCCTCCAAAGATGCATAAAAAGTTCATGCCAACGTTTAATAAACGGATCGGCTTTCCGGCTGGCGACAAAATGATTGGCCATCACCGTTCCATACATCCAGGGAACACTGATCTGGAAGGGTGTCCCGGGGTCTTCGAGCTGGGACCAGCAGATGCGATCGATGGATCGGGTCAGAATGATGCCAACATCCATGAAGACACCCCCGAAGAGCGTGAGACAAGCACCACGCAAGAAGTCCGCGCTATGTGGTCCGACATAAGGACCATCCATTGTGCCTTGTATAAAAGTGTCCGGTAGCATATCGGGGGGGATGTACTTGAGCGCATGGTTCGGAGAATCAGGAACCGTATCCAGTACGCGGATGGTCCATGAAGGGCCACAAATCCGATGCCAATCCACTACGTTACGCCGGCACCATGCGGGCATGGCCTCCACGCCTGCATGCCAATATGCCCAGATATTTTTCTCCGATGTTACAGGTCGATATTGGCAAAGCGACTGCAAAGTTTCCCGAGCGGATCGGGTATCTTTTGGCCCCACATACTCTAGGCTGTTCTTCAGCTCATTCGGTATTTGGTAGGTGGTGATAGGTAGTGACATGGTGGTCGAGTCTTCACAACCAAGATCAATATTGAGACAAAAGATGGAGCAGGATAGGATATAAGAAAGAAGAAACGTTGCCTTTGCCTCTCACAAACTAACCGGGCATCATTTTATACTTTAAGGTTAGATACGTGGTTAACTGTGTCCTTTACCGTGGCCGTCACCATATACGGAGTATGTACAATCTGGATCATATTAGGCCTTCCATTTCAGCCCCAAAGCCCCATTCCGTGTCCAACGAGGATTAATAATACATATAATGATGCCCGCGGGGGCTGGCACGAAGCTGCAGCTCAAAGTCAACATTCTGCGGAGCAAGTCGACGGGTGACTACTGGGTCGCTTACTGAGGATGCGCCAGCTGAAGACTCGTGGTGGGAATTTGTCTGGAGACTGCGCCAGGCTGGGCAATCTTGTTCATTGGGGCCATTTTGTTGAATATAGTAGTTATGTCGTGTTGGTTCGGATGACGAATTCAACCTATAATTAACCACATTATAGCACTTAGTCAAGATCCTAGCTAATAACTAGTTAGTTAGTTACGCCATGAGGGGGGTACAGTTATCTAGTTACTACTAATACAGAGTATAAAGTACTTAGTAGTATATAATATTAAATACTTTCTTTAGCAGCTTTCGCCCACTCCATTAACTTAGGTTTGCCCTGATGGATAAATGGCATACTCCATACTCCAAGTTTGCTACACCAGGTTTATCAGGATCGTGCGTTTCTCTCACCCCGGGGCGGCCAGTACTAATGGAACATAGCCATTCTCTAATTAAGTTGGGCTCCGGAAGCCAGAAGGCTGACGCCCACTGCTGAATTGGGTGTTTTATACGGAAGGGCTTCGCGCTAGGAGGAGACATATGAACAGGATTCTACTGGCTGAAAGAAACTCGCGTACTTTACTAAATTAAAAGGCAATGAGTTACCACTGAGTTGGTCTATTTATGAACTGTAGACTTCCGCCCATCTCATGGCCTTTTTGTGGGCTTCATATTCCCAGAAACATCCAACGGCTGTGTGCACTACCTCGTATTTTATCGAGTTGTTTGATAGAGAGCTACTCTGGAAGAGCCTGTAATGTAGAACAAGAGTGGACATATACCTATGGATGGACTTGCCCTGCTAACTGTGAGTTTTGCTTCCGGGAATGTGGAAAAGAAGTAACAAGGGGAGTGCTAACTTGTAATATTCCAGGGCTTCCAGCTATGAAAGACAGTGAATCACTGCGCTACCTACTGTAGTTGGGATTCAGAACAGTCTCAGCGCCCACTATATTAGGCCGGTCAGTTGTCCCCGGTCTAGTTCCAAGGCAATCTCATAGCTTCGTATCAAAACAACACCCAACTTGGTCTCTCAGATGGAGTTGTTGGGTGTGGTGTCTTGCATGTCTATGAGCCACGTCTCAACTACATTCTGCAGCCCATTGGCATTACTATCAAGGACTTGGTATACACATAAAAAGCCGAGGAACGGTAGGTACATAAACAGGCAGGGAAAGAGAATCAAACTATTCCGTCTACACGAACAGCGGTCTGGTTGTATCCGCCGCAAGCTGGCTAGAACCACTACAATTGGCAAAGAAAATCTAAAAAAAGATAACACTCTTCAGCCAGCGAGAAGCCAATGGGGAGATACTGAACTATTCATGCTTATCATTGGGCTGTCGTGGATGTCACCGAAGAGAATCCAACCATCGGATACTTATCCGTGGTATCTTGTTTACCAGCCTGAGGGAAAGTGATGATTAGCCATGCACACATTAGAAGTTTTTCTGCGTTATTAATTTTTCTGGTCTGGAAGCTCTGGTCCTTATCAATATGCAATGTGTGAGTCATTCGTTTGTGATTCTGCTAAACCTCTAGTTGAAAGCAATATATATACCTGTTAACTGGTCTGCTGGCGACGGTCAGCCGGTCTTGAAACCGGACCCAAGAGTGGAACAATGACCGAAAATCAGCCAGAAAGCAATGCACAGCCAAGCGGCAATGCAGAAGATGGCGAGTTTAGTCGATTTTCCAGTCGCAGAAAAACTGTCATGGTTGTAATTCTAGCTTGGACCGGATTGCTCTCTCCTATGGCAAGCACCTCGGTGCTATCCGCGGTTCCCAACGTCGCAGCCACGTACCACACTTCGGGTTCGGTTATAGGGCTAAGCAATGCTTTATACTTGGTGTTTATGGCTCTGAGCCCATGTTTTTGGGGTCCTTGGTGTCAAGCAATTGGACGGAGACCAGTAAGACCCTCCAAGCTCGCGGTGACGCAGGGAAATACTAACGAAGCTCCTGTGACAGTCCTGCTTAGCTAGCAATTTGATATTTTTGGGGTCCTCAATCGGTACGGCTCTGAGCCCGAACATTGTCGCCTTCATGGTGTTCCGTATGGTCACTGCTTTCGCTGGTACAGCGATTCTGGTGATAGGGCCGGCTGTAATCCGAGACCTATACCGTCCCCTTGAGAGGGGGACGGCCATAGCATGGTTCTATACTGGGACTTTGGCTGGGCCAACAATTGGGCCATTACTTGCCGGTGCTATTGTGACATACACCACATGGAGAGTCATCTTCTGGCTCCAAACTGGGCTCGCTGTTATTTCATTACTCGGAGTGTTCTTCCTGCTCCCAGAAACGTTGAGTGAGACTGCACCAAGGCCGCTACAGGGCCTCTCACGCAAAGAGCAGGGAAAAGTTTTACTAGTTGTATCAAACCCTTGGCGGGTCCTCACTCCCTTTAAGTACCCCAGTTTATTGCTCACAGCGATTGCCAGTGGTTCCTTAATCTGGAATCAGTACGGTCTCTTCACTCCGATTCGATACGTCTTGAACCCCAGGTTCAATCTAGAGACCCCTCTCCAGTCTGGCCTGCTTTTCTTGGCCCCTGGAGTTGGATACATGGTGGGTACCCTTGGTGGCGGCCGATGGGCCGATTACACTGCGCAGAAATGGTTCAAGCGAAGGGGTGAAATCTTCGTCGCGGAGGATCGCTTATATTCCTGCATTCCGTTTATGCTCTTTGTGCTTCCAATCTGCATGCTTATATATGGATGGTCGGTTGACAAGGAATTTGGGGGTCTCGCCGTGCCAGTGATATTCATGTTCCTCCAGGGAGTCGCACAGCTTTTCTGCTATCCAAGTTTGAACACGTACTGCCTCGATGTAATGCCAGGGAAAAGTGCAGAGGTCATAGCTGGAAACTTTTTCATTCGGTATATCTTTGGAGCCGTTGCTTCTGCCACCGCAATTCCGGCGACTGAATCAATAGGCGTTGGGTATTTTAGCACGATATCAGCAGGGCTCCTAGTGCTAGGAGGCCTCGGGATATTTGCTACTACTCATCTGGGTCAAACGTGGAGAAAGGTTGGATCTGATAGTCTGGTATAATATTCCGGTAGTAATATTTTGACCATAATCAACGAGCTGGCCGCCTGGAGTATGACTCTTGTGGTTTCATTGGTCCAATAAACGCAATTATGTAGTCTATCTCCAGCCCTTTTTCAAACAATTACAATGGGGACGAACAGGTGCAATAAACTGAAACATGTGGCATTAGCATCGGAAACTAGCGATTATAGCCAGCCATTTAATGGTAATACTTCAACCAGACCTCAACTCCGGTGATATCTCATTTGAACTTCCTGGAATACCATATGTATATTTTTGTGGAGTATAAGAAGCTTCTTTTAGAAGATATTATCTAGTTCGCTAGTTCATAAAGAGTCATATACAATGCAAAGACTGCAGGGTGTAATGCTAGCTGTGCTGTGATAACGAGATCCTCCAGGCAGTGTACATAGTAGGTAAATCCTGGCCCTACAAGATGCGGGTCTTATAAAGCCCATTATCTGGTTTAATATAGCTATCAAAAAGATAGGTAGACACAGGCCCAAGTTATCTGAAAAGAATATTGATATTATTTTAGTGAGGTCCCCCAGACACCCACGACTTCGACCTATAGAGTACATACGATAGGATAATTTTTCTCTCTCCTAATTACAGCCGTCACCACCATTTTCAAGCCTGTATTTCCCAAGAGGGATCTATTTATTCCATTCCACACGGCCCATGACAGCCATCAGTATCAGCTAGGAGTGGCCCAGACAGGCCTCATTTCCTCCGTGGAAATGCTCATTGTGGAGATATATGGAGTGCAGCTACAGCCGATCATTGACGGCATCATCACAGCTAAGGGTCAGTCTATTTTGGACTTTATACCAACTCCCATTGCGCTGTTGCCAGCCTCATAACTTTCTTTGACGGGTCAATATTGTCGACCGATGTCCCAAGCCTGGGGCCGGATATGCTCGAACAAACCTACAATAAAATCGATTCCAGCAGAGAATGCCTTGGGGGTGAACGCAGAGGAGACTCGTACAGCGCTGGTCTTTGTGTACCACGCGACTCGGGATAAGATTATACAGGACAGCAATGCCTCATCCGTGGTCGAGTCATGATGTAACAATGGAGCCAGCGTCACGTTTATGATCTTCGCAATGGGGGACACGCAACGACCGAAATCATCAGCCTGCTTGATGCGGTTAACTTTGTTGAAAGCGCGTTTTCGGGGATAGTGAGTAGTGGCTGCTCGTCGAATACGGAACTAACCAGTTTACTCAACCACATTGGCCTTGGAATAGAGCCGGAGCCAGTTCTTGTGGCTCTTATTGACGCGCTTGCGGTTGCTGGTAGCAAGGACTCGAATATCGTTCAAGACATTTCCACTCTGAGCACAGTGGTTTTATAAGGGATTCCTCGGCAGACTACGCTGCTTCCAACCTGATCTGCCAACCTTCAATGTAAATAACAATTATACTGAGAGCTGCGGGCTAGTTGTGGTCTATCTGGAGCTATGCTTCGTGTCTTCTATACTGCAGCTAAAATCTATACGTCGCCGGCTCTATATAGGTACATCAGCAAAGAGTTCAGCTAACCATACTTCGCCCCAGCAGCGAGACCAATTCGGTTGACCAATTCGGTTCATGTTGAGGAGTGGAATTGGAGCGCCAAAGTCCATTTAGCCCAGAAGAAAAACTCCTTAGTGACTCGCTAACACCGTTGTGTATTTCCGGGCCACCTATTCCACACTTTAGCTGTCATTTCCTCCGTTTGTGCAGGCTTACCCGATCTCATCCTCTGTACTTCCAAACATGCGGGAAGCAAGCGAAGAAAAAACCAGGATTCCGGATTTATCGGGCCCCGCACGGAGTTATAAAGGCTCTGATACTCTGCAATTCGTTCTACATTAACGCGTTCGCAGGCACCTGTTAACTCTTAGTAGTCCGGGAACAGACGAAGAAGATACCGACTGATAAAATGCCTACTTTTCTTGGAAAAGATATCGGGGCCACTGGTCTCGGTCTGATGCGTATGTTTGACAATGAGTTTGAAATACATATACTTTCCTCGCCACGAGCAGCTAACAAAGTATAGGCTTCACTCTCCCTGGAAGTGTTGTGAGCGATGAGACTGCCTTCGCCGTCCTTAGGGCTGCTCTAGACAATGGTGTCAACGTCTGGAATGCTGCTGATTTTTATGGTACCCCAGACAACAACTCCCTCCACCTGCTGCAACGGTATTTCGCTGCTTACCCATCTGACGCCGAGAGGGTTGTCCTTACTGTTAAGAGCGGGGTTGCGGATATGCGGACCTTCTCCATGGATTGTTCCCCTGCGGCTGTCCGTCGCTCTGTTGATCGTGCCAATGCTATTCTCGCAGGCACCAAGAAGATCGATCTGTTTGGGCCTGCTCGAGTAGACCCAGATGTGCCAATCGAAGAGACCGTCACGACATTGAAGGAATTAGTTAATGAGGGCAGAATTGGTGGCATTCAGCTGAGTGAGGTAAATTCAGAGACCATAATGAGGGCGCATGCAGTTGCCCGGATAGATATGGTAGAGGCCGAAATTAGTCTGTGGGCAACAGACGTCTTCACGAATGGAGTTGCGAGAACCTGTGCCGAGCTGGGTATCGTGATGGAGGCCCATACACCCCTAGGAGCAGGTATGCTGACGGGGAAAATCAAGAGCCCGGACGATATGCCCCCGAATGACCATCACCGGTGGTTTCCCAGGTTCCAGCCCGAGAATTTCAGCATCAATTTGGACCTGGTAGAAAAGCTTGGGCAGGTCGCTGAGGGAAAGGGTTGTACCCCTGCACAACTCGCTTTGAGTTGGATCCGGGCTCGGAGCGGCGCCAGACAATGGCCCATGATTATCCCTATTCCAGGGGCGAGCAGTGTGGGTAGAGTCAAAGAAAACAGTCTCCATGTGTCACTGTCTCATAAGGATATGGAGGAAATTGATGGGATCCTGAGCCGATGCCCTGTGGCCGGGGATCGCTATCCTGCAGCAGCAGCAAAGCTCAATCAGTATTAATATAATTCGATCGATAATGTTTACTTCGAACCCACAAGCCCATTATTGCCGATCACACAGCCAGGTTACCCGGAAGTAAGCACTACTCGGTAGGTACTCAGATACCCCTCGTAAAGTCGGGATAATGGCGCAAAGATGGCAGTTGTTTGCATTGGACCTGGTGATTAGTTAATGCTCACTAAACATTAGTTAATGTTGACCAAAACATGATACTGTATACATTTTAGCCAATCGGTGAAGTTTGACAGTTAACTACGGAGTAGTTAACTTGGACTAACAAGTTCGCTATTGAACACTTTACCTCTCTATCCCCTCTGACCGTCTGTAGGCAACGATCCAGGCATTTCGTTCGCAGTCAACACTACTTCCCTGCCGACGCTGGTCTAGTACATAGTCAGCATGATGAAGACGCGTCTCACCGACCCGCGCTGGATAAACATCTGGTAACGTCCAGGCCCTAAAGAGATCAGCGCAGGAGCTACCCGTCGAGTGCCCTGGAACCTCATTCAAGATATGGGGAGTGAAGTAGTCGGGTACGCGTGTTGGACCCTGCCAGAAGTACTGGCTAGCCAAGGGGACGTCTGGGATGGACCTCTGGAAGCAGTGGATATGGAAATTACAAAGAATGACTCATTTTCAAGTCAAAATTTGTCTTACCTTTTCCCTACAAGCAGATATCTACGTGCTGCTGGGCTTTATCCGAGCCGTGGCTTTCCACTGGTAGAAACAGTCAGTATACATAGCGGAACAGAGCCAGTTAAGACCCCGTGTCAGCAATGTCTGAATTCAGCACATCGTCGCTTCAGTATCCTTGATAGGTAAAACGTCACAAGCTTATCTTTTGGCGCTGCTTACCGTCGAGTAAATAATGGTTAGATTCCATAAGAACACTCCAAACAGCGCATATGACGGGCTGGTAGGATGCAGAAATCAAAAAAGAAAAGAACGAAGCAAACATACTCCGTACATACATCCCTTTAGCCTTGACAAGGAAATAATCCGAGGTTCTTGTAAACTAAATAAGCCACTCCGTACTTCTGAATTTCAAGCATGCTGCCATGCCACTCATACTTCTATGGGTCTCAACGACGGGGGTGCGGTTTTGCCGTTATCCGACTTCTTATGTATCTGCCAACCCCCCCCCCCCCCCCCCTGAGAATTTCTTTCAGCTTCAGTTTCGACATACCTAGGTATTTGAATGATGGAAACAATTTAGCCGGTCCGATGAAGTAGACCAAGATCTATCTTCCAATGCGTTTTTATCCCAAAGCCGACCAACGGCGCATGAGCCTCTCGCACCCAGCTATCCGCCACTCGCGCTTTGCAGTTCTCAGGGCCGCCGCCATCAACGGCCTCCTCCTTAGCTTACTCTTTCTGTCATTGTTTTCCTATATATTCGGGTCTCTTTACCAGGAAAACGGGCATTTTCACAACCTGAACGTGGTTTTCGTCGACTATGATGGTGGTGTAGTCAGTACCGCGGTCCGCCAGGCGTACCAAGAGTTGCAAGGGAATAGCTTCCCGACCTTGATTGAGCACTCAGCATCCCAATACGGCCAACCTGCCGCTCTGCAGTCTGCAGTGTGCGATATTGATTACTGGGGAGCGCTATATGTCTCCCAGAACGCCTCCAGCCGCTTATCCGAGGCTCTGGGCGGCGGCGAGGCTGCGTCATTGTACAATCGCAGCGATGCTCTGACTTTTGTCTGGAATGAAGCCCGATATTCGACGGTCATTGATTCCCTTGCGAATGCTATGAACACGTTATCATCCACTGCAGAGGCTGTGTACACGCGTATTAATGGCACGGGCTCAGTTGCGCTTCTGAACGCCAGCGATCCCACCGCAATTTCAATTTTTGCCAATCCCTGGGAGCTAGCCTCCATCGATATTCAGTCAACCGTCCAGGGATCACGTCTGATCTATAATACCTTGGTTATTATCCTAATTTTGATCCAAGAATTCTTCTTTCTGGGCACCATCAATGGTCTCTATGCTCAATTCCAACTCTTCGGGCGTATCTCAGCAAGACGCATAATTGTTTTCCGCCTGCTGATTTCGGCGTTGTACACGCTGGCTGGCTCCTTATGCACAGCTGGAGCTATTTGGGCATTCCGGGCTGGGTGGCATGTGAGCGGAAAGCAATGGGCTTTGACATGGCTTATTCTGTGGCTCTTTGCTCATCTCAATTTTCTTACCTTGGACGTCTTCACGGTCTGGCTACCTCCTCCCTACGTCCCGATGGCCCTTATCTCGTGGGTGATTCTCAATGTCACTTCGATCTTACTACCGTTCGAGCTATCACCAGCGTTCTACCGTTGGGGTTATGCCCTCCCTGCACATGCAGTGTTTCAGGTTCTCATCGATATTTGGTCTGGCGGCTGTAATCCGCAATTAGGGTATGCGCTACCTGTTCTATTTGCCTATGAGCTATCCAGCGGGGTTTTAAGTGGAATTGGTGTCTATCGACGGTCTCACTATGCTGTCATTGCAGTAGAGCGTGAGGAAAAGGCTTTTCAAGAGAAAATTGCGGCAGCGCTGGAAGATCACATGCAGGAAGCAGCATCAGAGCCGGAAGAAAAGACAACAGTTGGCAATTCGCATGAAGGTCGTGATGAAATTGGGGAAGAGATCGGGCGCACAAACACTGCACAGAGAGTGCGGAGGCTTGACACCATCTCAGGCAGAGAAGACCTCGCTGACAGAATCTGGCGGGCGACCTCTGGGCTGAGCTCTGAGCAGACAGATTTGATCAGAAAGGATACTCTTGGACCCTCATTTGATTTATCCTACAAAGCGTGAGAGGTGTGCCAATCATGGGCTGTTTCTGAATCGTGGAGGCGTTTTTATTGTACCTAATTAGCTACATCAGAAAATACTACTCATGGGCAAGATAGAACCGGGCAGCTATAAGTCTGCTAGAGCTCACAGATTCCACAGTTGCCCTCCGCTCGATTGGCCTCGAGGACTGCCGAGTTGCACCCATTCATAGTGGGATCACAAACTAATATCGTTTCCTTTCAGCATAATCCAGAGATATATCCCCCCCCCCCCAACACAATCTGACATTGAACGTGGCAGGATCTTGTGGTTCGACAAGAGGCCGTGCCTGTAGGCCATTTCCTGGTGGTACTTAGCCATGATGGTGTTGGATTGTTTGACAATTAAAACCAGGTGTGAAGGACAAATCCCTGGCCCCGGAAGATGGTGTATATTCCTTCCATACTGTGGACAGTGTAAACTCTGTCCCTAGGATGCCAAATATTGAAACGGTGGCAAGAATGGCCACCCCATCGCCGATGCCTAGATTGGTATAGATGTAGGGGGTTACAGTGATCAAAATGGCTGCCGTTACGGACTTCATGAAGTGATGCGACATATCGAGGGCATGATGCAGATTTGAAGACTAGGAAATTCGAACCGGTAAATATAGCGATCCCGACAGTAGGAACTCTCCAATGAATAGATTGACGAGTCGTCTATTGAGGCGATTGGAGCTTCTCGACGGCGTAGAACTACTCAGCATGCTGGTAATTAGTGGCATGATTGCCCTCGCCCGATGCCAGTGTGGCATAATCGAAATGCCATCTTCAAGGCTTATAGGATAAGTACAGCCTGGCTTACATGATGGTTGTCCCGCTGTGTGCGAATGACGCTGAGCTCGTTCGTTCAGCACGGCAGAAGATGTGGAGACTGGCTACTGCTACGAGACTACAAAGGGGGCGAAGAAGACCGAATCAACATCCCAATCAGAGGAATAATGCGGTGTATCCTACCTGGCGGATGAAAACAAAACAGTGCACATTACTTCAGGTGAATCGTGATGCTTAGTTCTCGAGAAATTGACGGCAATGGCGGCGTCAGTTATGACGCGAAGTGAGGTAGGATGGAGCATGTAATTCTGTATGTCTAACTAGTATCTAGTAAAGAATCAGCATTGAATAAAGCGAGAAAGTTGAGCCCGATGTCATAATGTCTTCATGTGGGGGCAACTAACTATCTCTTCTCTGATTCTCATACTGCAATTGCATAATTACTCCGCACATGAGTCTGAAATGTACTCAAATATTGAGCATACAGCATACCTAGATAACTTCTGCGCACAGAGAGAGACATTCGAAGGCAAGCTCTCTTCTATAAGTTGTGCAGGTGACATCAACTTAACCCTAATTATAAATCATGCAACTAAAATCCACCATTCGCAGCCTATATTGGATCCAATTAGCTGTTATGTGCCCTTTCTATATATTTGGCATTCCCGGTTGCTTATTTCCGCTTAGTTTCAAGGTTTAGGGGTCTAACCATAGACACCAAAAAAAATATTGGGATAACTTCCCGTCGAGTGAAGGTCGATTTCCTAATGTACTATCGAAGCATGAATATACTGGGCAAATAATGCATCCCTAACATACATAATGCTCTTCTTGCAGACCAAGGCCTAGAACAGTCCATTATGTATTTTCTGTTATTATAGATTCCATTTTCATCTGCAGGTACTGGGAGGACAAGAACACAGTCATAATGTAATCATGTAAACTGACTAAAGAATTCGAAATTTGTCCCTTTTCTTGTCTCTATAAAGAAGCAGTGTTGATGAGGGACCTTTCTTCTTTACTTTCTTGCATAAAAATCTTTCCAAACATCTCCTCTAATCCTGGCCTGTCCTAGTCCGGACATCCAAGCCCAAGCATCTTATAATACAAGTTATGGCACAAGACAACATCGTCGACGGACCCTTCGGAGGGTTCGGGGGACAACCCTACCGTGAACAACATAACAGTCAGAGATTAAAAAAAGTTGACGCATGGGGAACGAGCTATGCAGGTTACTTTGTTCTTGGTGGGTTTCAACTTACATGGCCTGATGGCCACCAGAGCGATCTCGTCGGCAAGATAGATGCCAATCACCATTCCTCGTTTAACTTTGATGACGATGAAAAAATCACGTCCATGATTGTCTATGCGGGAGACGGGGAAGGTTTTGTCAATGGAATCCATTTCGAAACCAACAAACCCCAACATGGCGCTTTCGATGTCGGTGGCACCGAGGGAAAACAAAATCCACTTGATGTCGGAAATGGGGAGTGGGTGGGAGCTGAATCGCGAGATCCATCAGTACCTCATGATGGAGGCGCCGAAGGAGTTGTGGATAATATCAGGGTCTACTTCAACGAATAGAAGGTATGGCGAATGTACGCGTTGCGGATATATTTTGTCGGCCACATACTAGTTGCTGATCTCATGGCAGTCTGGAGTAAAAGCCTCAATCTAGTAGTCATGATATTCGACTATTTGCATTGGTGACTTCAATCCCTCCATGGTCCCAGTACTTTTGCTGAGTGGTGGTGCCTGTTTCGTTCAATATGCCTCAGTATGGGTTTTTCCCCCTTATAACACAGGTTTTCCCCATGCTGTCTTGTGAATGCAGAGGCAATTCAATATTTGTCTACTCTTATGGTTCGGGATGATAAAATATAATGCACATCTCCCTCTAGGATTATATATATGAATACAATCTTTACAAATCTAGTTGTCATCATCCCTACAGTTTCTTTTCATATTTGTTTTATAATAGATATTTACCATATCATTCCATTACCGAAAACAACTTCGAATATACACTATTCTATAATTACAGAGCAAGCAGGCTGGTCAGCAGAAGGGCGACCAAACCACCGCCAACATTGGAAGCGAGCTGAGCGGCAGCACCCTTGCTGGTGGTGGAAGAAGAGGAGGAGGTGGTGGTGGAGGACCCGGAGCCGGTGGTGGTCTTGGTGGAGTTCACACCGGAGACATAGGTCTTTCCGTTCTTGGTGTAGGACACACCCAGATCGAGGCCAGCAGTGGCATCATAGGGGAAGGGGGCGGTGTAGTTGTAGGTAGGTGTCTGACCCTTGAAAGTATCGATGACCTTTTGAAGAATGCCGTGTCCAGCCGAGCAGGTCTCGTTGGTGGTGGGGACGGGCCAGGAGGACCGGTAAACAGAGTAATCCTTCACGGACAGAGGGCCGGGCAGGGATTCGTTAATGTAGAGCTTGGAGGCATCGACGTCATAGTTGGTGTATCCAGTCTTGTTAGCAACAAGCTCCAGGATGTTTGCACCGCAGTCCCAACGTCCAAGGGAAGGCAGGCCCCAGTTGGCAGACACAGTGGCAATGGTCGAGTAGTGGGTGTATACGGTATCATCAGTAGTTCCAACGAGGTCGTCGGGAACGGCACCACCAAGGAGGACGCTAAAAATGCGGTTGCGCACAAAGTAGTCCTCAGTTTCGTCGAAGGTCAGCAGCATGAGGGTGTTATTCCAGACATAGCTGTCTTCCATCAACTCGGACACGAAGCTGCGCAGCCAGGTGGAGCCGTAGGTAATGTTGGTATCATGGGCATCGTTGGTCATGTTAGGGGTAATGAAGGCCCACTGAGGAAGGGTCTTGTTCTTGATATCATTCGTAAAATCGGTAAAGGTCTTGATCTGACGAGTGGCAGTATCGTTGTTGGTGATTGAGTTGAACAGCATCAGAGGGTTGTGCTTGCGCACATAGTCATTAGCATAAGTTTCCTGGTTGGAATAGTTGAAGCCCTGGAAACCAGGATAGGGAATATGCTCCTGGTATTCAGCCCACGAGATCCCCTTGGTATCCAGGAGATGGGCAACGGTATACACATCCTCAGGGATCTGATGGAAATTATCGTTGTCCATGCCATAGTTATCACCACTGGCAGCAGCACAGTAGTTGGGCTCGGAGGGATGTCCCGCGGCATAGTAGTTGCTCAACACGATACCCTTGCTGGCGAGCCATTGCTGGTTCGAGTCCCCAGCCGCAGAGCTGTAGTCCTGTGAAGAAGTTGTTAGCAAGGGCAGGGACGATGAAGGTAGGCGGAATGTGTCTCTCTACATACCACATTCTCTAACCAGATCTGGTAGAACCGATCAAAAGCCACGCCCTTGACATCGGAGACGGGGGAAAGCGGGGTGGTGGTGGCAGCAGCGGCCTTGATGTCAGACAGAGATGGCTCACTGGTGGTGATAGTGGTCGCAGTGACCGCAGTGAGCAGGGAGAGGATCGCAGCACGAGAAACCGGCATTTTGAAGAAGGGAGAAAGGCTTGGGACCTTGGTTTGCTTGAGCGATGTGACAAAGGACGAAGATCGTATGTCGCTCAGCAGATCTTTACCCTTAAATAGGCCTGTCTTGTGTGTTTGCCCTAGTCAACAGAATACGACCATTTTTATTGTTACTATGATCATTTGATGTTAATCTAGAAAACTGTGGGTCATGCATGCATGCCCTGGATATTTCTTTTTTTTTTAGGATAATTTTACGAGTCCAGGAGCGAAGGCAATTTCTCCCCCTCTTACATCGCCCGCAGAGACAGCATGCTCCAACGACAGACGAAGATACACACCAGGATGCAACGAATTGGATGGCAAACTTGCGCCCCATAGGATTAATTCTCAATTAGTCTAACTAGCCGTCGTTTAGATAGAGTAAGAATCCGAAGTTTCTCATGTTTCCCGCCTTTACACGTGTAGCCCGAAAAGTGTATGACTGGATAGGATTTGAACTCCAATATCGGCTGGCTCTCCATCTGGAGATTTTCTGGATCAAGCGAGGAAAAACATCTCATGGGCTGGGGGCCGGAGGGGTACCTGAGCAAGCTTCACTAAGCTTAACCAAGCTTGACCAAGCTTTCACACATTGTCCACCGTATTTTCCCCACCCGCCTGAATCCCTGATCCTCTCGTACGAAGCGAAATACGAGCCAATGTCCATGCACCACGGGGGCACAGGGCTGCCTTTGGTACTCCTAGTCGTCGTGTCTGAAAACCCTGGCTATGATTCCCGCTAATATGGCGCAAGTTTCACTCTTCACAACCCTGCGTTGATTAAACCCTGGTGTCCCAACTGTGCGCATGGGATGATTTCAACTCCACATGCTACCCTTTGGTTTTTTCCCTCTTTTTTTTTTGGCCCTCTCTCCCCTTCTACACCCTCTCCTGATATTGCTTGTTATTAACTGGTTTACTATTGGTTCTGATTCCCGGGTCCAACTTGGAACTTTCTATCATGATCTGTGATTGTGACGGGTATCGGAGTGATGTTCAAGTCCGATCCATACTGTCATGATCTTTCTTATAACCTCCAAGACCACGGAGCATTGGTAAATGTGTGTTTTTATTATTTTAAGAGTAGATTCTTCCGCAGGCATCTAAGAACGAGCTGTGGGAAAAGATCCGAGAATGAATTCGAAATCAAGCGATGGGCCCACTGCGGGCAACACCACAGCTGCCGTAGGGTCAGGGAAGTGGAATCGGCTCCTCATCGCCTTGGGTTCTATTGTTCTGTTTATCATGATCGCACTTGGGCTGGGACTCGGTCTTGGGCTTGGTTTAAGATCAGTTCATAATCACGTCCACGTATCGTCTAAAAATGCAACAAACACATCTACTTCAGACTCTCTGGCTACAAACGAGTTATGGAGACTGCCTGCATCGGAGTATATCCTGGACATGGAAAGCTGGGACCTAAATGCGGCTCCGACAACCCGGGTATATAACTTCACTATATCAGAGATCGACGCTTTCCCAGATGGTGAGTACTGAAGAAAGATTGATCGGCTTCAGCTGACTTTTTTTTTTTTTTTTTTTTCCCTGCACCAAGGTATCCTGCGCAAGGTCTTGGTAATCAATGGACAGTATCCGGCCCCTGTCATTAGGGTCAACCGTGGTGATCGGGTGCTCGTGAATGTGACGAACGAATTGACCAATTCCACCACTCTGCACTGGCATGGCCTATTCCAGAATGGAACCAACTGGATGGATGGTGTACCTGGCATCACGCAATGTGGGATTTCCCCTGGCCGGAGCTTTCTGTATAATTTCACTGTTGAGGGCCAGTATGGTACTTTTTGGTACCACTCACATTCTGATACACAACGAATGGATGGCCTTTTCGGACCGCTCATTATCCACGCCCCAGAAGAAGCCGAATACCAAAAGCGATATGGGTACACGCATGATCAGATTATCATTGTGCAAGATTATTACCATATGCTGAGTGCCGAATATTTGTCTGACTACCTGGCGTCAGGTAATGAGAATGCAGAGCCAGTGCCTGACAACGGGCTGCTCCAGGGCACAAACTAGTAGGTCTCGACTAAGATTAACCCGCAAACTGCCCACCATGTGCTGAATTTATTTTTCTCACCCAGTTTCAACTGTTCCTCGTATGATACCGATAGTACTATGACATGTTATGATAACTCTACACGGGCTCGGATCTCAGTGGAGAAAGATCACACATATCGGTTCCGCCTCATTAACATGGGAGGATTTGCAACTTTTCAGTTCACAATTGACAACCACACTATGACGGTGATCGAGGGAGACTCCACAATGGTAGAACCTTTGGAAGTGCAAACCCTTAAAATCGCGCCGGCGCAACGTTACTCATTCTTGCTGGAATCTAACAAATCCGCAGCTAACTACTGGATTCGAGCAGAGATGAACACGGACTGCTTCGCGAGTCCTAATTCGGTCCTGAACTCTACTACGTTTGGCATTCTAGCTTATACTGATAGCGACGCTCTTCCTGGCACAGACTCAGTCGGTTGGCCGAACAATGTTGATCCATACTGCGAGGATTTGAATGCTACCCTTCTGGTCCCTTCAGAGGCACAGGTCGCGCCTGCTGCAGATCATTTTTTCGTTATTCAGTTCTCGTTTGAGATCGGTGACTATGCTCTAGACCGTGCATATATCAACGGGACGTCCTACACCATGTCAGAAATTCCAACCCTTAATCGAGTGGTTCCCAATCTCCGTGCCGGAAACGCGACTTACAATGAGACGGGGCAGGCGCCATCTTATGGACTGGAAAACCAATACATTCTCGACATCCCGACAAATCAGGTTGTCGATATCCTTCTTCAAAACTTTGATGATGGTTCGCACCCCTTCCACCTGCATGGATATGCTTTCTGGGTGATGGCAAGCTCTCAGGATCAATATTTTCCGTGGCACGAGTACGATTCAATCAACACAACTAATCCAATGCGCAGAGACACAGTGATGGTCGACGCATTCTCATGGACACTCATAAGGATTCAAGCAGACAACCCTGGGATGTGGGCATTTCACTGCCACATCGCTTGGCACGTAGCAGCTGGTCTGCTTATGCAACTTCAAACCCGTGATGATTTGATGAAAGACTGGACGATACCAGATGATGTCCTGGATTTGTGCGTGTCATAGATGTATGTTTGTGATATCTGGCCAATACATGGTCTACGCCATCTCGAATCCATGTGGAACCATGGCCCTTGGGTTAAATGGAACCGCATTTGTCACACCCACTACATGATATGACCATACACGGTCGAATATATATCAATTGCAGGCAAAACTAGGCATATCGGTGCTGGTCATTCCAGATTTAACGTTGCCCAATGTGGAGGAATGGTAAAGGGAAAACAATGAATCAGGATAGCTAATTGGCGCGAGAAGCCACTCTTACAGCGGCGGTAATCTGTCTATCCAAGCCCATACCCCTAGTCCACGAGTGTTACGAGGGACAGCCCAACCACCTACCGTCCATGCGCGCCGTTTTGCGTCCCGATCGACATTAGCATTATAGGCCGTCATTATGGCAAAAAAACGTTTTTGTCTTGTTTCGATTTGGGAATTCCTGACTCAAGAACCTGCAGAGCAGCTCCACCGTTTCTTCATATTCTGCATGATAGCTCCGATAGAATCAGCCGCCCCAGGAATACATGAAACTATATATATCTAAATATTGGTCTAGTAGAGCATAAAGCTGTCTTATTGGTGACCTCGCTATGAATGTACGGTAAACATGTTCGCCCGAAGACGGTGGCGCGGTATAAGATATATCAAACCATGTCTCCATCAGGGCCTTACTACCAGACGTATACCATTGCTTAGGACAACCGCGAAGTATCAAAATGGCTTTGGCATTGAACAGGCGGCTAGTAACTCCTTGTAGAAACAGCGTAGGGTGTATCTGTCACAGCACGATAGTGACACTCGAGTAAATTTACTTTATTTGCCTTCGAGCTTACCTTGCAAGGCAGTGCCCCTGTTCATGCCAGACCTAGGCCAAGCATTCGGTGGTTCAATGACATCTCGCAATTTCGTGGCTGGAGTTTGGCAGCCGTGGAATTAAAACTCGGTTGTTCCCATACTAGGGGAGGCAATATCTGATGAAATGGCTTAGTGGATGTAAATCTTACGTCCCTTAACTACCACACTGACCGGCCTTTAATTCAACGACCCTTGTATGAATCACCACTTTGGTGAACCAATATGTGGGCTCACGATGGACTCAGTCAGTTCAACCTTGGAACGATATAGTAGTCACAGGATTGTAATAATAGAGGCCACGGACTGCTACACTTCTTCGATCGTCTGGAGCCTTGTTAGGGATTATATTGTGATGAAGGAAGGGTGTGTGGAGGAAATAATTGTATGTTTACCCTCATTATATGTTGAAGACGCGAGATGTCATGTCGTATTACCTCTAGCCGCCCAAAGGTCGTACTTATCAGACAAGTAGAGACGAGGGTTGGTATTGCCCATTTTCAGATAATTTGGAAAGGATTCGTTGTTGCAGTTAGTATGCGGGTAGTGTTCTTGCCTTCTGTATCAATCCGCATCCAGGCTCTGTACGGCAAAATTTTCAACTATCCATCTACACCAATGTTCGAAATCGGATCTCCACTCCGCAATCCTAGATGCTTTCAACCCTTTACTACCCTCATTTATTCTTTCCAACCATTCGAGATCGGTCTCATCTTGAAACGCAGCCCACCTGATACTATCCTCCGCCATAGTTGCAAGGCCGGAGAGGCCGACATTCTCAAAGGCAGCCAAGACCTGGTAAAAATCATGGCTCAATCCGTTTTTGCCATGGCCTAGAACCGCCGGGTCATCATTGCTGAGTGAGACAGCCACCCCACGGGAAAGTAAAGCTGGCATAGGGTGCATCATGATATTTGATGTAAGGCGTAGAACTTCGTGTGATATTGGGCACATTTCCACAAGAATCTTCTTTTCCTTCACCAGGTCAATCAGAAGGGGATGCTTGTATAGTGAAAACGCGTGGCCGATTCTGCGGGAGTCTAATAATATGGCGTCCACAAGGTTGCTATCGGTGCTGTCACCATCACCTAGGCATTCGCCAGCGTGCAAGAAGAAAGGGATTCGGAGATTCCTATCGCTGCATTGTTGCCGGAACCACTTACATAGCGGTAAAAGGTCAATCAAAGGTCGACCGAGATCTTCTTGTCCAACGAAATCAAAACCTGCTATGAGGGACGGATACGCTTCCTTGCATTCGATGCAATTTATCATGGAATTCTGGATGGATTGATCGGGAAAACTGCGAATAGCAGTCCAAATGATCCTGGCATCCCAAAAAGCCGTCCCTTGGGGGGATGATTTGTAACGATCAAGTTCCTCCTGGAAGCATCTGCAAAAGTACAAGAAATCAGCATCGGCTGTTTCTGAGCCCTCACGGTAAAAAGGATGATGCCCCAGAGCCATGCGCAGCTCGACGTATTTGATTCCGTCATCATGCAGCTGCTGGAAAAGCCTTGGAATACACCGTCGGAAGATAGGCTCGGTGTAGAACAGACCACCAATAGCACGGAAACAGAATGTGAATTTCTTCCAGATATCAGCAATCCCGTGGTGATGCTGAAGGGCCTCTTCATCATGGATCGACATCCTCGAGGCCGCCCAAGATTTGAAAGCGGACAGCCCGCCAGGATGTGTGCGAGCTACATCGGCAAGCGGCACCATCTCATTGGGTAGGTAACTCGATTGCCAGATGTTTGCCGTACAGTGAGTTTGCCTCCCGGGGCGATAATGAAATCCAAATATCTGGAAGCATTTCGAGTTATCCGCACACAGGGGTTCCGGGCTGGCCAGGAAGAACCCCGGGATTTCCAGGGCCTGATCAAGAAGCCAGTCAATGTCGATCATAGCCTCCATGTGCGCATGCAAAAGACAGCCTTTGGGCATGGCAGCGACGATTTTCCACATGGAGGTTTGCTCCATCCGATCTCGCGACAGGGCAAAGGACATGCCAGGAAACATTACTTCTTTCAAATCTCGACTGCCTTCGGGTGCCGCTGGCCCCGTCCAAAATGACTGCAACTCTTCCGCCCGGATGCGTCTAACAATCTTTGCCGCAGTCCGAGCGACCGGGGACATGCTCGTTTTGAAGGCATAGTCATGCCGACGGGTTTTCTCTTGCTCGAGCAACGCAGCTCGCTCGAGGAGATGCCCCTCGACATTAATCTGGGCCATTTCGGTCACCCTCGGATTTCTTACAGCTGGTCTTTCAAAATAGTTGGTAGCGCGTGAATTTCAGACGTGGAATTTTCGTCAAGACTAGAATGAACGGACGCCTGTCGATCCTGTTTGAGACAGTCTGAGCCTTGCAGGCCACGTAAGCACGAAATGTGACAGTCAAGGTTTGCGCTGTAATGTAGAGTATTGGTAGTTATCTTCGCCCGGTAAGTGGACATAAATGAAATCCAGACAGCACAGGTCCCTGGAGGCATATCTGGGCCAATCCACATGTCTTCAGTTTATTATTTGCCTATGTATTTATTCCGTCAGGCTTACAGGGGTATCCATTGGGATATAATAATGAGTAGGAAGCCTGGGGTTAACTAATCGTTCTACGCTCATAGGGTATTGGGATCCCTGGTGGGTCTAAAATTGCCAACTAAAAAAACCCTAACCCTATAAATGCATTGGATGGCCCACATTCCGCTGCAAATTGTCAATGTACTCCGTACTCCGTACTCCATTCCATATAAAGGGAAGTTTTTTCTCTCTTGGGAAATAGTAAATCCATGACTGATCTCTGTTAATTCACGCACTTGCTTGTAACTACTCTATAATCAACACAGAAATTCAAAGAATTATAATATATATTATCATGACCAAAATGGATATCTCTTTACTCTCAAATCAAATCTCTACATCTCCTCGCACCTTTCCCGATTGCTGCCTAGCCATATCCAGTATCCTGGTGACCCGCCTGGCTACTCTATTGCCGTCCAAACCTGCATTTGCCATTTCAGTGGGGAGTGGATCTGGCCTTCTTGAAGCGCTGATAGCACATCGCCATCCGAGCATCCAAATAGAGGGAATTGAAGTCGACTTGGCTGTCAACAGATATCTGCCAGAAGAGAGCATTGACACCATTAGGGGGACATGGGACATCCATTCTAGAGCAGCGCAGGCGAGCGCTTGGATGTTTGTTTACCCACGTCAACCCAAGCTAGTCGCTAAATATCTTGACACATACGGCGATCAAAGAGTCGAGTTGATTCTCTGGTTAGGCCCACGGATAGATTGGGCTGACTATGAGGCCTACTTTCATCAATCCCTATTTACGGAGTTGAGCTTCCCCGCTGATACTGGATTGACACCATATGAGATGTTAGTTATTGCGCGAAGACAGCACATCTAGTATCGGGAGGTTGTTTCCCCGGTTTTTCAGAGAAAGGGGAAATTCCCCTGTTAAGATTTACTTTACTAGCTTGTCAAGATACAGCTCAAGGAACCCCCCCTCATATACTAAGCTCTTTCTCCATCCCCAGGAGAAGCAACTTAGGATGAGACGTCCGAATCAGCATGTGAGCCATGTGTATCCCCATCATGAGGATAATTAATATCACCTTGCACTCAAATCGAGCGCATGCAAAATATCAAACATCCAATTAATCCTACATGCTTCCTTTTCGATTTGTTTTCCCTGTGGTGCTCGCAATAACAGCAGAGCCCATATGGGTCCTGGCCTGGGGCAGTATGAGACTCTAAACGATATCCTACATTACCCAGGTCTTCGTCAACCCATCTACTGTCTCCTTTTGCCAGCACCATTTTGCCTTTAAATCCATTCTGGGCGGCCAGTTGTAATAGGCAACGTTAGCAAAATATAACGCCCCAGAAGCAGACAGAGTATATCATTTATAAATAATACAGTCTCCTTTACTCCAGGAACGTAATTTCTCCCATGCATGCATCTCTAGTGTGGAATAAGGCTCCCTAACTTAAATACAAGTCTCAGTAACGCGTATTTATAATATAATTTTCCCCTTAGTAACCCCCATGCTACTAACGCAGTGCCAAATTTGCAATAAGAGACAGATTATGGATTGGAGGACGGGATACTGAAGTATGTGTCCTCTTTGTATTGATTTTGGTCCAAGCCAAGTCACCTAGAATATGATAATCACAGGGGGCTAGAGAATTACTACTAAACTACTTACCATAGGGCAGCCCGGCCTATCGGCAAGGACCAGCACTCGCTGTGTGAAAGATCAAGACCAACAATAAATAGGACAAAATATCGCTCTGAAATTTGGAAGCATTATAACAGTAGTTACCGATCATTGCATAATACTGTGTGTAAAGTAATTTTGTTACTCCTTGAAGCGTTTGCGGGCCCATATTGGTTCCCATAATATGAGCGATGGGAGATTTGGTATCTCGTCCAGTAGAGCTAACATTAATGCACGCAATTTACATGTTGGATAACCTCCGAACCCAATGTTCAAAATCCGAGATGGGGCTTATCTTGTCGGACCCGACAGATACGAACCATCTCCGATACACTAAGCTGATCCGGGTTTGTCCTCCACAAAACCCCAAAGATTTTTGTATGCCATCCGGAAAAGGGAGTATGCTGCATAGGTTGACAGCATTCTTTCGAGTCATTATATTCTTTCTTGGCCGCTTGATCTCGTAAGCGGAATGACCCGGTTACTCTCATGAATCCCTTGGGTTTCACCAAATGCCAATCACAAAAACAATTCGTTGTTACTAGACCAACATATTCATCGTATCCAGAACTAGGGCGGAAGCGAGGTTCACCTTGCAGCGCAGCCATGGGTGGGATTTCGGCTGAAACATTTAGCTTGAACGGTAACTGGAACAATAATTCATCTGGGCCTAGGTGGAATAGTATTAGGCGCTCAGCTCCTGTAGGGTTGACTATATCACGAGCTATTCCTGCCCAAAGAGTTTTCCTTTCTCCACATTAATAGTGGCAGTGGAGGACGAAAATTACATCCAACTACGGAGTGAGTAATTACCTCCATCTATCCTCGGTACTAATACCCCTTAGTTCCCTTCATTGCCCAGGAGCTCCCCTGCGACTGTTGCAAAATCTGTTCTCCTTCTTATGCAGCAAAGACGTTATTCTAATACCGTTGGCGATAGCCCCCGTGGAAAGACAAAATATCAAGCCTGTTTTCTCTGTCGTGAGTTTGAATGTTCTTCTTATTGTTTACTACTTACCGAGCTCGTATCTTACTGATTATTGCAGTTTGCCTACTTCAGAATACCTAGAAATTATCTAGCCCAACATGTTTATCACTCGCGGGATATCGCTCGTCAATTTCACGGTTGCTTCCTCCGCGCTGGCCTTTCAAGTCTTTGTTCTATATCCATGGCATAATCAGCTCGACGAGGAATTCAAATCTTTAAAAACGGAACATCGACGCGTTCTTCGTCAACTCGATCGAAGTTCGCCTGTTTAAGACGGTGGCGATATCGTTGACCTAAGTGGCGAACAGAAAATAAGCAGGATACACGTTTTCCGAATTACCGAAGCATCCGAGGAAGGATAGACAGCGCTTCGTATTCTCGCCTGGGGGTTTTCAATACTAGTGGACCTTGTGCCACGATTTTAATAGAGGGACAGAAGGAGTTTTTGACAAGAAGGGCTTGAATTGATGGTGCCCGGTATTTGGTATCTGAGCGAATGGTTGTCCACATAGGCTAAAGGTTTCCTAATAGAGAAGTTTGCCTTTATCCTTTACGCAAACAGTCTGACATGGACTACCACTGTTATCCAACATTTTAGACTTTAATACCTATCCAAGCTGCATATTATTTTCATGCCACGGCCTTAATGACTGGAAATTAAACAACACAAAATGGCTTTAGTCTGAAAGTTGTTTCTTTCAGGGTTCGCATCAAGCGACCGGAATACACATCTCTAATAAAAGTTTTTCAGTCGAAACTGTTTCACGTAATTTCTTTGGATTTTTGGTGGCATTTTCCCTATATTAGCTGGAAACCCTCGTTTCCTGCGGTTGTTTTGAAGTAGTATTTCTAAATCCTATTAGAGACGAATATGGGGCGTTCTCAAGCATTTATGCCCAATAGAAAAGCTTTTCACCTGTAGTTGGCTGAAATTTAGGTCAGCTATTTTTCTTTCAAGAGGGTAGCTATATACAAAATGATTGACATTATCTGTGCTGTATATCAAATCCCATACGTGCCAAGAGAAGCATGAGCAACCTAAGCCAAGTGTGATAATATCTTACGCAATCAATTTCGTTGGGGGTGTAGTACATCCAGTGTAGGACTTTGGATAGGAGGAACATGTGGTGTGAAGTAACACTTCAATCTAGCTACAAATAGGAGCATATCAGAGAACATAATGTTCTGTTATACCTAATCTCTGTGCCAGGTATGTCCTACAAATTGTCATAATTCCCATCCACAGCTCCCAACTATGCTAACAGTATTGTTTGCCATTTAATTCCAGTTATCTCAGCAGTTATAAATTACTGTAAATCCAAGTCCATTCTGAGCATTAAAGTCCACGCTTCCTGCAGCACCCTGCCAGGAGCTTAGCTCGACCAGGTAGCTCAGTGTGTTAGCACAGGAACTCGATGAGATAGTCGTGGTGTAAGGTGATGTGACAGCAACTGTAGGGAAGTTGAAGGAGCCCACATTAGTCGTGATGGCGGGGGGGTTGTTCCATGTGGGAAGATTGTTATAATTATCCCACGGCGCGGTAGACCAAAACAACGCAGAGCTAGCACCACTGGCTATCTGATTCGCAGCGAGGATAGGGATTTGGATGTTGAGGTTGCAGCCATAGGCGTTGTCAGGAATAAAGAAGGTAATGGCGGAGATTACAGTATTATTTAAGGGGTTTCCAGATCGCGCAAGGGTGAATTCATGCCCTATGGATGGAGTATCAGGGGTTGCAGCCGACAAGGTGTCAATGGTCCATGGAAATGCAGTTGAGCAGGACCGACGAGCGGAGGAGGTGAGACTCGGAGCAGCAATAGTGGTAGAGAGGAGCAACGAGACAAGTATTCCAAGAGACTTGAACATCTTGAAGGGCGAGCTAACTAGAAACGCAAACTTGATAGTTGGTTGAGCTTTAGCTTTGAGTGTTGAAAAATATTCAATATACTCGGCGAAGAACTAAACCCTGAACCCAGAAGTGATGAGGAGGGGGAGCAGGAGGAGCAGGAGGAGCAGGCTTTATATGCTCTTCTATACATCACCATAATTCTTAATGGTTCTATTCCTATGACTGATGAGGCTACGCGAGATATCTCACCTAGGATGTGCCGAGCATTTGCGCAGCATCTGGAGGCATTGATGAGCAGGCCAACAGGTATAGTCTCACATAATATTCAGCTAGCGTGTGGTGTTGAAAACAAAGAATAGGGTTAGAGTAACAAATCAACTTTCTCACATGCTGCATGTCAGATATAACCCGATGAAGGTGTTGGTTATCCTGGTTCTGATGGATGGCATTCGATTGCATGTTTCGAATGGTATTGTTGTTGTTAGCTATCCACATGCACAGGGCTCGTATTGTGCTGACCCGGGAAAGGCTGGCAATATTAGCCAGTGGCTTGGTATTGGGTTCAAGCAATGAGGGTGCTGGCTCCCTGTTAATGACTGGCTGCAACTAAATTGTCATCCCACATAATGCCTCATGCAAAGTACATATCTTCTATTTGTACATATGTCTTCCATTAGATACACAGACCCAGAGTAATCCTTCATCCCATGATCCTATGACCGTAAGCTTAGTAAATAACTGCTGCATGATGTCAATATTGGTATGTAGTAGTATATGGTGAAGGGTATATTCTTGATGATTGCTTGAAGGTCTAGGATATAGGAGGTGTGGTAGTAAGGTAATTATCAAACTTTCCCAATCAGCCAAAAAGGCGAGACAGACATTCCATCCTAATAGAGTGTTGGAGTGCGAGGTTGCGGCTGGCCAGTGTCACGGCACGAAGCCGTAGTACCTATCTAGTTAGATTCTGCCTTAACTATCTACCTTTATTCCTATATTTAAGCTATATTATCCTTAATCCTATTATAGCTCTTTAAGCTATATCTTATCTATTACTTAATATCTATTATTCTACTATTTTATCTAGTTAGCTCTTAATTAATAAATATGTCACGGCGTAGCCATGTACCTATCTGGTTAGATTCTGCCCTAACTATCCACCTCTACTCCTATATTTAAACCATATTGCCCCTAATCCTATTATAGCTCTTTAAGCTATATCCTTATCCTAACCTAACCCCTACCTATTATACCTATATATAGATAGCCTGAATATACACTCTACTATTAGCTATACCTACTATCTACCTACTCCCTATAATATTATATAGCTCCTATCCTAGATATAGCTACTACTAGTATATTAAAATAACCTAAACTGCCCCTAATTATAGACTTAGTTAAGAAATTTATAAGCTATATTATTAATAACTTTACTATCTAGATTATTTACCTTAGGTTCTATAATAGATATATTAATTTTTTAAGGAAGAAGATTTATATTCTTTAAAATTAAGCTAATAAAGCTAGTCTAGAGCTAGTTAAGAAGGAGAAAGTAATACTATACTAGAAGAAAAAACTAGAAATAATTTAATAAAAGTTAATTAAATCTAAGTATATATTTATTATATTATAGGTTATTATTATTTTTATTATATTTATTCTTACTACTATTCTTATTTCTATTAAATATACTTTCTTTACTAAAGTTATAATAGCTAATATAATAAGAGTACTTATATCTATTTCTACTAGCCTTTTTTCTAGTACCTATTTTAGTAAGAAACTTCCTAACTTATAAGAGTTTAATAGTACTTATTCTAATCTCTATTACTTTATATAATAGATTTATAGTAAAATAGATATTAATTTAGACTATTTTTTAATTATTAAAGCCTGACTAATTTATATAATAAAATATCTAACTAGAAAGGTTTATAAACTAATCCTATCTAAAATAAGACTTAATATTCTTTAATTTCTAGACTATTTTAACTTACTTAATTATCTAGAAATAGTATTTAGAAATCCTAATTAAATTTAAAATACTTAGAATTACCTCTATAGTTAGAAATAGAGAAACTTAGACTTTAGTACTTACTTTATAAAATTTTATTATCTTACTTTAAAAAAAAAAATACTTAATAATTCTTTAATATTCTTTCTAATTTAAAATATTTTAATTAAATTCTAAAATATATTATTTTATAATCCTATCTTATTTTAAGACTTCTAAAAATATACTAACTACTTCTAGTTACTAGAAAACTACTATTACTAATACTAGCTATAAGTATCCTATTCTTGCCTGATATCTAGTTCCTACTATTCTAGCCTAGTAGTATTAAGGAATCTTTCTAATTTTATCCTATCTAATTACCTAGTTATACTCCCTGTACCTAGAAAAGATTTAGATATTATAGATTTATTCTATATTTATTATATATTATACTTCCCTAGAAAAGAATAATATAAGTATAAGAAATATTTTTACTATAAAAATAAAATATATTATATAAAGAACTATTTCTTACCTAATTAATATCTTATATAAATTTAAAAATAAATAAATATACTAATATATTATTCTAGTCTAATCTTTATTATAGTATTATTTACTTTCTATATTATAATTTAGAATAATTACCTTACTACTTTAGAAGAATTTAACTAATTATACTTTCTTAATATCCTGCCTAACTTAAAAAATAAAGTCTACCTAGCTATAATTACTACCTAATACTAGAATATATATAAAAGCCCTTATTACTAGATATACTATTCTACCTATCCTATATTATTATTAAATTAACTAACTCCCCTAATCCCTATTATATATATATTAATTTAATAATATAGTAGGTATAATTATACTAGAAAAACTTAAAAATACTAATTTATATTATAATTAATTTTAGAGCTAAAGAAGTTAGCTTTATAAATTATTAATAAGTAGAAATATATAAATTAAAGACTATTCTATTCTCCTATTTAATATTCTTGTCTAGCTTCTATAATAAGGAGATAGAAGAAAGTATAATAACTTATTATATAGAGGCTAACTTATTATTAAATAATTATTATAACTAAAAATTTATTTTCTATATTATTTATCTTTCTTATTACCTAATTATTCTAGAACTAGCCTAGCTTACTATATATAATCTAAAGATATATTTCTTTAACTAAATAGCTATATTTAATAGCTAATACTACTATAAATACTATAATATACCTCTTAAACTTATAAGGGTAAGAGTCCTAATAAATATTCTCTAGAAGAATTAACCTAAGTAATTAAATTAATAAAAAAAATTATTAAAGTTAAAACTTCTTATACTTATAAAAATATACTAAATATTCTTAAGAATATTAGTTATATATACCTGCTATCTAGTATAGAAACTATACTAGACCTTATTAAATAAAGTTAATAAAGAACTAAAATATAAAAATACTAGTCCTAAATTATTATCTATATTTTTCCTAGAATTATAAGATTTTTAAGATATATTTAATCCTTAAAAAGTAGAGAAGTTATTACTATACTAATTATATAATTATAATATTAAGATTTAAGAAGAAAAATAACTTTTATTTAATAAATTATATCTAATATTACAAGTATAATTAATTACTTTAAAGAAATAACTAGAAAAAAATCTAAAGAAAGGTTTTATATATCTTAATTTATTCCTAGCTATCTTTCTTATTTTATTTATTAATAAACCTAGAGATAGCCTCTACCTATATATAGATTACTAAGGACTAAATATTATATTAGTTAAGGACTATTATTTATTACCTTTAATTAAAAAAATCTTAAATAATTTATAGGGAATATAGTATTTCTCTAAAATTAATTTAGTAGCTACCTTTAATAATATCTATATTAAGAAGAGGTTAGAATACTTAACTACTTTTTAAACCTATTTTAGGCTATATAAGTCCCTAATTATATTATTTAGCCTAACTAGTACTCTAGCTACTTTCTAATATTTTATAAATAATATTTTATAATAGTATATAGATATATTTTATAATATATTTTTAAATAATATCCTAATCTATAACTATATAAGAAAAAAATATATTAAATATTTAAAATAAATATTATAAATCTTAAAAAATAATAACTTATATATAAAGATATCTAAATATAAATTTTACTAGCTAGAAGTTAAGTTTCTAGATATTATTATTAGAAAAGAAGATACCTATATAAATCTTAAGAAAATTAAGACTATAGTAAATTAAAAGCTATCTAAAATAGTTACTAATATTAAGAATTTTATAAAATTTACTAGATTTTACTAATACTTTATTAAAGAATTCTTATAAATTCTTGCACCTATTACTATCTTAAAGAAAAAAGAAACCCTATTCTTATAAACTCTAATTTACTAGACTACTTTTAAAATACTAAAAATAGAATTTATTAAGAAATTAATACTAAAGTTCTTTAATTAAGATTAATTAATTATTTTAAAAATTAATATCTTAAACTTTATATTTACTAGAGTATTATTATAATATAATAATAATAAAATTCTATATCTAGTAAGATTCTACTTAAAAAAAATAACTCTAACTAAATATAATTATAAAATATATAATAAGGAGTTACTAGTAATTATTTATTACTTAAAAAAATAGATCCTAGAATTAGAAGAATACTAGTATCTAATTAAAATTATAACTAATTATAGAAATCTAGAGTATTTTATAATAATTAAAATACTAAATTAATAATAAGCCTAATAATTTAAATTCTTATTCTACTTTAACTTTATAATTAATTATTACCTAGGTAAGTATAAAATAAAATTAGATAACTTAACTAGAAGATTATAAAATCTTCTTAAAGAGGGAAATAAATATTTACTATACTAGAGTTAAATAATATTAAAAAGAAAAAACTTAGTAAGTTTCCTACTTAAATATTTAGAGAAGTTATAAAGCTAGTAAATATTATAATTAATCTAGCTCCAAGCTATTACTAGAAGGAAGTTAGTATACTTCTAGCTACTTAAGCTTAAAGAAGAAGAGACTATCTAGCTCCTTAAATAGCTAAAAAAGTATCTAGATAAGGGTTATAAATAAGATCTAGCCCTTAATAAT